GAAGCTCGACGTCAGCTACTGCGAGCACCTCGCTGCTGATGACCACGAGTGGCTTCCGAGGAGCTCTCGGGGTCGCGTGCGTAACCTGATCATGGAGAGTTCGAACCTGACGAGCGTGCCGGGTGGCATGGAGGCGCTCGAGACTCTGCTGGTCTCCAGAGCGCGCCTTGAAGAGGACTGGCTTCCACGCGACAGTCGGCGGTGGGTGAAAACGCTGGCGGCTTCCAGGTCGGAAGGCGTGTGTGTCCCCGAGGACATGCCGGAGCTCGAGAGCCTGGAGTTGGAGCATTGCACAGGCCTCGGCTCGGACACGTGGCTGCCGCCCAGCAGCAGCGGCAGGCTGCGCAAGATCCTGGTCAACCACACCGACCTTCGCCGGCTGCCGGAGAACCTCGACGCGCTCGAGTACGTCGACGTTGAATCGTGCAGAGACCTGGCGGAGGACTGGCTGCCGGAGTCCAGCGCGACACACGTCACGTTCGTCCTCGCGGGGCGCTCCAATTTGCGCAAGCTGCCTCCGAACATGGCGGAGCTGGCGTTCGTGGACGTGTCGTGCACAGTGACCCTGGAGGCGGACTTCCTGCCGGCGAGCAGCGGGCGGGTCCTGGCCTTCGTGAACGCGTCTGACTCGAACATCAGGAGGCTGCCAGCCCACATGGAGCAGCTGGTGTTCCTGAACGTGACGAGCTGCCACCGCTTCGACGACGTGTACGGTGTACCCGCAAGCAGCAGGGGGAAGCTATGGCCCTTGAAGCCGGGGGGCCAAGCGCCGGCGGACGACACGACTGACCTGGGTCGTGCAAATGAACTGAACTTGACTCGTTTCGTTCTTCTGTTGGCCGAGTCGTGGAATGGCGTCCAGAGGTCGCCGCACTACGTTGACGACTTTTTCGGCGATCCACACCGTCCCTCTCAAGGTCCCAAGCTCTCAAAGTCTCCAATCAGCAAGCTTCTCGAGGAGGGGCTGTACCGCGCGTGGTACAGACTCCAGGAGATGTTTGGCAGCGCGACGCTTCAATAGGGCCAGGACGGCGAATAGCTCGCGCAGGCGCGACCAGCGCTCCCCGTCGACGACAACCACGTGATCTACATCCCATCTCCGGCGCAGCATGGCAGGGCTTGCCGCTGCGTGACGGTGACGGGGGGAGCCCGGGCGACGCTGTGGGGCGGTCGAACAGCGCGACAGCGACGAAGAGCGCGCCGGTGGCGGCTGGGGCAGGCGACGCGTCGAGCCCGTGGAGCACCTTCGGCTTGGCCGCGCAGGAGCCGGGCACGAACAGATTTAGTATCAATACGCGGCGAGGCTGGGGCGTTGCTGCTGGCTGACGCGGTGTGAGCGCTGGCTGGGACGTCACGAGGACTCGGCTGACAGACGCTGGCCAGTCGTGGCCACGTGCAGGTACACAACACGCGTTGCTTGAGGCGCAGGCTGGGCTGCGGGGCGCAGGGCGTCGCCGGCAGCTGTGCGACGGATGGCCGTGCCCTCCACCAGCGCGCTGGTGCCACGTCATGTGTGGCGCTGCTCAGTCTGCCACGGCCCGTCCACGCCGTCAGACGGGCCCAAGGCAGGGCGTGCGCGCGACATGAGGACGGTGCTGCGACATTCGTGACCATAGTCGCGAAGCATAGCAGCAAGGCTCACGGGAGCACCACGCACGGTGTGTGCTGGTAGCGCCAGGGAGAGAGGAGCGTCGTTCGGGCGTACGCCGCGGTGTGGCACAGGTGCGACGCGGCGACGGTGTGCGTTGATAGTCTGTGCGTGCGCCGGTCGCTCGGCAGCGCGGCGCCTGCCCGCCCGCGGACCAGGCAGCCCGCGAGGCAGGGGCAGGCCAGTGCCGGGCGGGTGGGCGATATTCTGCGGCGTGAGAAGCTAGTAGATATGACGCGTGTAGCATGACACGCGTGTTGTCCGCCGATGTCGGACAGTCGCGCCGGAGGCCCTCGCCGGCAGCGAGACTCGAGTGCCTGCCCGGACATGAGCGGGACGCTGAGTGCGAAGTGTCTGACTGGTGTCTGCGACGCAGGCGAGAGCAGGACGCTGCGATGGCGGACCAGGACCCCTGCGGGCTGCTGATGCTGCCAACTGACGTGTTGGAGAACATCCTCTCACGGCTTGGCAAGCAAGTTGTGCGCGGCGGAGGGACTCAATTTGCCGCATGGGAGCGCGTGTTGTTCAGCCACTTGAAAGAAGGAGAGAAGGAGAGAGCGCGAGAGACCGCGTCGCTCGCGAGCTGCTCGTCCCTCGCCACGGTCCGCGTGATGCAGTGCCTTCCGTGCAAGCTGAATCTTTGGTGGTCCACACGGGCGCTGAAGCCCTCGGAGACGACGGACGGCGTCATCGCGAAGCTCGCGAGCACAGCACGCAGCATGGGGCTCGCGCCAGGCGACCTGCGCGGCGAGGTCTGCGTCTACGGCCTCTTTACGAACGTGCTCGACTACGACGTCATTATCGACAGAGAACGCAGGCTGCGCGCGTTCCCGCCCGTGCTGCGGTGTCCGCTGGAGTGCGGGATGCTCGGCACGATCAGGAGGCTCAACCTGTCGGCGGCGGGCTTCCGCAGGCTGCCGGAGGGCATGTCAGCGCTCGCCGCGCTCAACGCCGAGGAGCGCCAGATGCCTGCGTTCCCGCCCGTGCTGCGGCGTCCGCTGGAGTGCGGAATGCTCCGCACGGTTCGGAAGCTCGAACTGTCTCGTGGGCAGTTCCGCAGGCTGCCGGAGGGCATGTCAGCGCTCGCCGAGCTCCACGTCGTGGCTTGTTGCAACTTGGACGAGTGCTGGCTGCCGGAGTCGAGCGGGCGGCGCATCAGGAAGCTCCGTGTAGCAGACAGCAATGTGGTGCGGCTGCCGGAGTCGATGGAGGCCCTTGACGAGCTCGACGTCAGCGGCTACAGGCACCTGGATGCGGAGAATCACGGGTGGCTTCCGAGGAGCTCTCGGCGTCGCGTGCGAAAGCTGTTCATCGAGGATTCGAAGCTGACGAGCGTGCCGGACGGCATGGAGGCGCTCGAGACTCTGTCGGTCTCCGGCGCGTACATCGACGAGGACTGGCTTCCACGCGACAGTCGCCGGTGGGTGAAAACGCTGGCGGCGTCCGCGTCGACCGTGGCGTGTATCCCGGAGGACATGCCGGAGCTCGAGAGCCTGATGCTTCACATGTGCTATGGCCTCGACGCGGACATGTCGCTGCTCGAACGCTTGGAGTTAATGCCTGAGGTTTGGCTGAAACTCAGCCAACAACGTCTCAACTCGGACACGTGGCTGCCGCCCAGCAGCAGCGGCAGGCTGCGCAAGATCATCGCATGGGGAATTGGCCTCCGCCGGCTGCCGGAGAACCTCGAAGCGCTCGAGTACGTCAACGTCGATAGGTGCGGAGACCTGGCGGAGGACTGGCTGCCGGAGTCCAGCGCGAAACACGTCGCTTTCGTCCTCGCGAGGGGCTCCAACATACGCAAGCTGCCTGCCAACATGGCGGAGCTGGCGTTCGTGGACGTTTCGTACGCACCATACCTGGAGGCGGACTTCCTGCCGGTGAGCAGCGGGCGGGCCGTGTCCTTCGTATGCGCGAAGCGCTCGAACATCAGAAGGCTGCCAGCCCACATGGACCACCTGTTGTACTTGAACGTGACGGACTGCTTGACCTTCGACGACGTGCACGGTGTACCCGCGAGCAGCAGGGGGAAGCTGTGGCCCTTGCAGCCGAGGGGCCAAGCGCCGGCGGACGACACGCAACGTCTGGGCCGTGCAAGTGAACTGAACTTCAATCGTCTTCTTCAGCTTCTGGCCGAGTCGTGGAATGGCGTCCAGAGGTCGCCGCACTATGTTGACGACTTTTTCGGCAATCCAGATCCCCCTCATTCAGACCGCTGCAACCTCTCAAGGTCCCCAATCGGCGCGCTTCGCGAGGCGGGGCTGTACCGCGCGTGGTACAGACTCCAGGAGATGTTTGGCAGCGCGACGCTTCAAACGGGCCAGGAAGACGAATAGCTCGCGCAGGCGCGACCAGCGCTCTCCGTCGTCGACAACCACGTGATCTACATCCCATCTCCGGCGCAGCATGGCACCGCGCCACAGATTTGATCTCCAATCGAGGCCTCGACGACACGCAGCGAGGCTGGGGCGTTGCTGCTGGCTGACGCGGTGTGAGCGCTGGCTGGGACGTCACGAGGACCCGGCTGACAGACGCTGGGTTCCGAGGCCGGTCGTGGCCACCTGCAGGTACGAAACAACTCCCCCTCCTTGTGCGTGTTTGTTCGTTGACACGCGCTGTGTGCATGCGCGTGCTTGAAGACGCGCCGCTGAGCGATGCGCGTACCACTCCGCCGTCTGCAGGGAGCGGGGCGGTCCTGTTCACGGTCCAGTCTCGCGCACCTGGCCTCCCTGCCAGCGGCGCACTCGTGCCGCGCGCACTCGTTTGGCCTTGCGAGCGCAGCCGGACGCGATGGGCTCCTGCGCTCGAGGTTCTGCGAGCTCGCAGGGCGACCGGGACCGCGGCTGCAGCGCCGAGGCTCCGAGATTCGTGTCGACGTACGCGTGACGGTCTGAACGGCATCGTTTGAGGCGCCGGGTGGGCCGCGAGGCACAGAGCGTCGACAGAGGCTGCGCGGCAGACCGCCGTACCGATCGCGAGCGCGCGGAGGACGACACAGCTGCACGACGGTAAGCAAGCTGGTCAAAACCAGTGTGACAGCAAGTCTTTGGCATGCGTGCATCCGCTAATGCTCCCGATGCAGCCTCGCAGGCGTGCCCGATCGATCCGGATCGTGGCCGCGCGGGTCTTTCGCTGCCGCCCGCGCAATGAGCCTGACACACAGGAGCACACGACATGGGGGTGTCTTTGATGCAGGTCTAGGAGGAGTGTCGTCGCCCTGCAATCGCTCCCCGTCGCTGACGGGACTGAGAGGCATGCGTGGCGTCGATGCGGGGCAGGTTTGCTCCGATTCGGAGCCAACGCACGACAAGCCGCCTCTTACAAGGCAAGTGACCCAACAACCGCCGTCGAGATGCCGGGAGGCGGCGAGGCGCGCTTCGCGTGCGTCCCGAGCGACGAGTCGTTGTTGTCTTTCGACACAGTCAGAGTACTGCCTCGTGAGCCCGGAGCGACGCAGGAAACGTTCCAGGTGAGCCAAACCGCCGTCGATTGCGCGCACGGCGGAGCCGCGAGGCTCTTGACTCATCCGTGCGTGGACTTCTACTTTTATACAGACGGTCGATCCGGACGAGCTGGAGGAGATGCTGGCCGTCACGTTCCGCAAATCCATCGGGATCATCAAAGCGGTTGAGCAGCCCAGGGCGACGTGCAAGGAGCCGTGGCGCGACCCGAGCGTCACGATGATGCTGTGCCAGATCGAGGCTGAAGCCGCGGCCCCCGCGCCCGACATCAAGGTCACCACCACGTTCGTCAGCGCCCTCAGCAGCGTCGGCGCCAAAACCTTCTGCGGCGCCGTGAGCAGCGACGCACGCAGGCTGAAAATTCGAAAGGACGCCAGCGGAGCGTGGGACGTCTACGAGAAGGCCCCGCCGGGGAGCGCTAAGAAGAAGGTGACGGGCGAGGCCGAGGCGGCGCGCAGCGACGCCATCAAAACAGCCGTTGCCGGCTACCGTGCGTGGGAGGTGTTCCGCGAGGTGTACAACAGCAACAAGAAGCAGCACGAGGTACTGCGTGGCCGCATCCGCGTGCCCTGGGGCTCACTGCACGTCAGTACTGGTGTCGGCTTCTCTGGCTCCTTTGTCTCTTCGCAGCAGGCACGTCGACGCCCGCGCCACGCATCCGTGGCTTTCACGCACCTCCTGCACGGCTGCATGGCCGCTCACATCGCACTGATAGCTCATTGGAGACCACATGCGTTTGGAGACCGCAGGTGGTTGTTTTCGACTGTGCGGGGACGTGGGAGCACCTCATGCTCACCGCGGCGTCGAACGGAGAGAGGCCCCTGTCGCCGGAGGTCATGGCGACGCTCGTCGTGCGGGCTCTGCGCGACGACGACGACTACAAGAGGATCTGCAGAGCGGCGCTTGCTGCCCCGTTGGCGGGGTCGTGGGCTGCGACGCACCCGCAGCGCGCCTGGAACGCGGCGGGGGACGTACCTGCGGTGCGCGTGAACGTGCTGCTGTGGAGCTGCGGGTCCGGCACGTTCATGCGATGCATATTTTTGTCAACATGCCGTGGGGCGGAGTGGCAGGTGACGAAGGGGCTCACGCTCCCGCGGGCGAAGAGTCGCGTCGCGCGCCCGCTCGCCGACCAGCCGGGCCCCTCGGGCTCGTTCGAGGCGTCCAGCGACCGCCCGGCGGCAGCGCGCGAGCCCGCGGCGTTCGTTTGCCGCCCGAGCGATGAAGTGTGCCTGTCGTTCACGGTCGCGCGAGCGACGCCGCGGGACCGCGGCGCGAAGCCCACGATCGAGACCTTCCTGGTGCGCTCCTCCCGCACGTACTCACAGTGCGATTCCACAGACCTTGTTTAACAAATATATGATTGTTTTTGTTGGTGGTGTACTGTCTGTGTGTGTGTCGCGGCTCACGTTCGAATGCTCACGTTCCGGTCCGACGGTAGTACGTTTGAGATGTGCGCAGACTCTGGACGCGGTCGACGTCGAGGAGGCGTTCCGGGTCGCGTGCGAGCAAGTCGAGGACATCATGGGACGTGTCAACAGGCTACACCCCCAAAGCGTGGACGTCCGCGTCAAGACGATCCTCGTCCAGGTCGAGGCTGAGGCGCTCTCGCTCAGCCGCGACTTCCAGGTCACGGCCACGCTAGTCGACGACCTCGGGCCCGCGACAAACATCTTTTGCCGAATCATGAGCACTCCGGAGCGGAGGGTCTTCGCAGAGGAGAACGCGGACGGACAGTGGCGCGTGTACGTGGCGCGGACCGTCGACGGCGTCGAGTCCGCGCCGATCGACTGCACGGAGGAGGTCGAACGAGGGCGCGCCTTCGCGCGACGCACCGCCACGGAAGGGCTGGCCGCGGCCAGGACGGCGGACAGCTGCACCGACCCTCGCTGCGGCCACGTCTTCTGCGCCGACGTCGCCGCCAACGACGTCCTCGTCGTGCCGGCCACGGACCTCAAGACCAGGCTGCCGGTCACCAAGCTCCAAGTACGCGGCGTGTGGCACAAGGAGCACCCGGGCATCATCAACACGCTGCGTCAGCCTCTCGAGCCGAAGATGGACGGGCCCGCCTACCTGCTGCCCGGCGGCCCCGCGGGCCAGGCCTGTCTCGGCGCGCGCGTCTTCAAACACAACGACACGTTCAAACGCCTGTGCAAGGACGCCCTCATGGCGCCCCTGGGCTACGGCGCCGCGGCCGCGCGCCCGAAGCGCGCGTGGAACAAGCGCGGGCAGTTCCCGGCGATCAAGGTCAACGTGCTCCTGTACACCGACCCCGCGGGCTGCCCCAGGGACCGCGTGTTCCTGTCGCTGCCGGAGCGCAAAGAGTGGAGGCCGAAGCCGCCGACCGCGCCCCTGATCGCGCACGTGGGGCGGTACCTGACCATGCGCGACACGGTCGGCGGCGCCAGGGGCCGGGAGGTGGAGCCCGCGCTCACGTGGGACCATTTCTTCGCCATGTGCGAGGGCCAGGGGTCCGTGTAGGGGCGGTGCAGTGGCCACGGGATTGAGGGTGTTCGCAGACACGCTGAGCGAGGGCGGGCAGACGGTGCATGTAACTGTCTTTGAGTGAGCGGTTGAGTGTCAATAAGGATGGTCGCGCGGGGGTGTGTCGCACCTCGGCCAGCGGCGCTCGGACCGTGCGCGTCCGCGTCGACGTTTGGAACGCGTCCTGTGCGACGGTCGTGCACGGATGCCCCGGGGAGTTTGCCGACTGAGTCGGGCTCCCGCGCTTCCAACGACGTCGTCGAGTCCTCGCGCGCAGCCCTCGCCCGCGACACTTGATGTGCAAGGAGTCGACCAGGATTGCGCAGACGCTGGAAAAGGCGTAGTTCGGGCCGGCCCCGTCATCCCGCCAGGCTTCTGTTCCCTTGAGGGATCGGGGGTCGTGATTGTCGCGCGCACATGCATGCGCGGTATCTGTGTCGCTGTACGTAGGTGGCAGTAGCTCGGACCACAAACGGAGGTCGACCGTGCTCGACGGACCAGCAAAAGGCACGTTCTCATTACAGGGCAGTTGGTGTTGCCGGCGAGGGCGCGAGACGCCATCGAGCGCGGCCGACTGTCAACAGCTTCGATGTCACTGATCGCAGCACTCAATTCCGTCGATAAAAGACATCACCGCTCACCCAGGCAATCGCTGGACTCCCTGCCCTTTTGCAGCTGCAGAGCTCCCCGGTCCGTCGCGTTCCGGCGCCGTCCCGTGCGCTTCGGGTCCTTCACGCGATCCTTACAGCACCTGCTAGCCATGGCGGGCCCGGCGGCCCCCTCGGGCGCGCGCTTCGTGTGCAAGCCGAGCGACAACGTGGAGCTGGCCTTCAAGACCGTGCGAGCGCAGCCCCGGCCCGCGAACGCGCAGCCGGAGATGGAGACGCTGCTGGTGAGGCGCCCGCGCCAGCTGCCGCGGGCACCAACCCCGCGGGGCAGCAACGGCCGGCGTGGCGTCCTCTCTGGCGTAGTACCAGCAAGGCGCGGTCCTGCCGACACCCCCAACGCCGGCGCCACTCCGCCTCGTGCCCGCGCAGAACGTCCCCGTGGACGAGCTCGAGGAGATGCTCTTGGTCGCGCTGCAGCGCGCCAGACAGTTTTTGGACAAGTGCGACTACGCAAGCAAAGGGCTCGCGCTCATCGCCACGCGCGTCGAGGCGGAGTTCGCGGCCCGCACGCGCGACATCCAGGCGACGTCGACCTTCGTGCACCGCGTGTCGGGGCGGCACCTCGACGCGTTCTGCCGCGAGATCAGCGTCCCCGGCCGGAAGCTGCGCGCCACGCCGGTGGAGAACAGCAGGTTCCCGCACGGGCTCGGCGTGGCCGCGACGCTGGAGAAGGAGGACGGGGGCAACTGGGGGCCCGTCGACGCGATGAACGCCATCGACGTCGCGGGCGCAGCGGCAGACCATGAGTGTCAGTCAACAAAGGAGCAAGTGGTGGCTCTCATGCAGGAGGAACGGGAGTCCGGGTCGGTGAAAAAGCAGTTCAAGAAGCAGACGGAGGTGACGCACGCGGGGAACGCGTTTTACGTCCAGTTGGAGGCGATGTGGACGCCCCAGAAACCAAACGTGCTGAACTTGGACACGCTGCCCGACCGCCACCCGGGCACGAAGTCAGGGCGGACGGAGGACCTGCCGCGGCTCGTGGCGGAGCTCGTGCAGGGCCTGCGCAACCTGAAGTTCGCGGAGCGCGTGTCCGTGAGCTCGCTTGTGCCCCCCACGCCCGACGGCGTCGCCGCGCGACTCCGGGGCGTCGAGCAAGACTGGGACGTCGCGGGGCGCTTCCCTGCGGTATCGCTCACGATCATCCAAGCCAACCTCGGCAACCCCCGCGCCGTGCTGATCCTCCCCGAGGGCATGCAATGGGGGGTGTCTCCGGACGCGTGTCAGCCGCAGTCCCCGCGGCTCGTCGGGGAGATCGTCGATAGCGAGGCGTTCTGCCGCTGCGCGCCCGCGGACCTGCCCTGGCGGCTCGTTGCTTCGAAGTTCTCGGAGATGGATGCGTTGGCGCGCGAACACGAGACGCACAGACTCGTCAAGGGCTTCGCCCGCCTGGGGCCCGAGCAGACGGTGATGAACTTGTACGCGGCGTCCCTGTGGAAGCCGAACGGGATGGCGTCGGCGACGGCGAACTTCAACCTCCTCCTCCACCGCGTCCGCTGCGAGGACGATCCTCCACCTCGCGAGGTGGGGGGGACTGCGGCTGCTGCTGCGGGGACGTCCGAAACGGGCGGGGCGGAGGAGGGGGCGCATGAGAACGGCGCGGCCGCGTCGCAGGCGCAGAGCGGCGCTGCGCAGGCGGGGGAAGCGCACGGGCCGGATTGTGGGTGCCCGACATGCGTGATAGTCTGGCAGGGGTTCGAGGATTGGAAGCGCGGGAACGCGGATGTGCTGAACGGCCCTGGAGAGTACAACACGCGAGGGCTCCTGCTCCGCGAAGAGGGGTCGTCCGCGGGTGGCACAGGCCGGTTCGTGTGCGTGTCGACGCGCAAGGCGGCGGTGGCGTTCGAGACGGTGCGGGCGACGCCGCGGGCGAGGGAGGCGAAGCCGGAGCTGGAGACGATCCTGGTGCGTGGGCGGGGCGGTTTCGGCGCTGGATGACACGAGCGATGGCGGTGCACTCTTGCGTTGATGGCAGGCTGGCTGAAGCTCCCACGTCTTGTCCGCTGAGCGCAGAACGCACCCCAGGACGAGGTCGAGGAGATGCTGGCGGTCGCGCTGCACCGCGTGTGCGCGACGATGATGAAGCCGTGCTTGCAGGGCGCGCACGCGGTAGTGCTCACTCGCATAGACTCGGAGTGCTGGGCGCACAGCCGCGACCTGCAGGCCACGTCGACGCTCCTCATGAATTTGGGGCTCGTCGGCGCGAGCGCGTTCTGCAGCGCGATCGACGCCGAAGGCCGGGGCCTGCGCGCAGAGCCGTCAGGTGGCTCCAAAGAGTGCATGTTCACGGTGCCGCTGGAAGTGGACGGGCGCTCGTGCGGGACGGTCGACTGCACGGAATTCGTCGACGCCGACCGGGCGCCACTGCGTCTGGCGCTGCTCTCGGCGATCGACGCGACCGATTCGTCGATGGTGCACCCGCGCGTGTACACGTGCTTGCGAGAGGTCGTGGAGGTCGGGGGCGGGCCCGGGAACGCCGATAGGATCACCGTCACCGGGAGCTTCGTGAAGGACGTCCCGGACAAGATATTCCTCGCGGCGCCGCGCAAGCGCATGAGCGGGAGCGACGCGTCAAAGCCGAGGAAGCTGGCGCGGTTCCAGGGGGGCGACTTCCTGAGTCCCGACTTCTTCGCGAAGCTCATCGTGCGGGCGCTGCGCCGGCCCGGGGCGCTCCGCGCGATCAGCGCCGGCGCCCTGCTCGCGCCCCTGAGCGCGGTCGACGTGTCGGCACACGCGCGGGAGGAAGCGTGGGGGCCGAACGGGGAGTTCCCCGCGGTGTCCGTCAACATCGCCATGGTGTGCTCGCCCACCGGCCCGCAGCCCCTGGTCTGGCTCGGGCTTCCGCGCGGCATGCGCTGGCGGGTGGCGGGGCGCAACAAGACGACCGGCCTGACACAGCTCGTTGCCGAGGTCGCGAGCAGGGCGGACGTGGTGCTCGAGCACAGCCTGAGCTTCGGGACGACGTGGGACGCGATAGCGCGCGCGGCGCACGGGGTCCAGGCCATGGTTCGGGATGAAATGGAACGCACGTTCCCGGGCCACGGGTCCGCGCCGCTGCTGCGCACCGCCATCTTGGAAGCGCAGCAGGCCATCTTGAACGCTGGTGCCGTCCCCCGCGCCCTCGACTACCTGCCCTTCGACCGCGCGGAGGAGTACCGTCGAATCCGGGCGGCAGCGGCGGTGGACGCGACGTGACCGCCGTCAGTCGCATCGTCGCGGCTCCGGCACGGTGGTGCGAGGCACGTCTGCGGCCGGGGTGGGTCGGCGGCGCCTGCCCTGGGCGCACGTTGTGGCGCCAAACTGTCCTCGCATGATGGACCTCGCGCGTGCGTCTGGATTGTGAGGGAGTGGTGCACGAAACATGACGACGGCGCACGAGCGCAGCCCGCCGCCGCCCTTGCACCTACACCTTGACCGTCATCGACCGCGGCGACTCGCTGCCGTATGCAGGCTCCAATGCGTGCGGTGGGCGTCCTCACGCAGACCCGCACCGGGAGTCCGCGGCCGCCTCCAACGCCGGCGCCACCAGCTCCGGTGGCCCCGTGCCCTGCGCGTGTCTTCCGAGTAGCCGCAGCTCGCGTACGAACATTCATGACATGGGAACGTGGTAACGCCCCAGGGGGGGTGATTCAATCAGATTGCCGTCTCCCGCGCTCCTGCGGGTTGACTTCCGCATGTACCGCCGTCCGGACTCGAGTTGTTCCAATCATCCGCTCGACACGGGAAATTCGTTGGAATAGGCGTGATTCGGGCAGGTGGGTCACCCTGTGCATCCAGGCACCAGAGCCCTGTGCCAGTACGTCGTGGCCTCTGGCGATCACGCGCACATGCGCGTGTGGATCTGCGTGATGTCTGCGTAGAGGACAGCACACCGCGCTGACAGAGGAGGTCCACCGCGCCCGGTGGACTACTCCACCCACAGTAGTGGTGCCGGCGAGGGCGCGAGGGTCCGTCGTCAGACGCAGCTGCCTGTCGAGCTCTGCGCTCTCCTTGCTCGTGCCATTCGATCCCGTCGATGACAAGAGCTCCCCCTGACTCAGACCCTCGCCCCAGTGACCCCTTGCTCTTGCAGAGCAGAGCTCCCCGGTCCGTCGCTTCTCTGCGCCGTCCCATGCGCTGCGGGTCCTTCACGTGATTCTTACAGCACCTGCCAGCCATGGCGGGCCCGGCGTCCCCCTCGGGCGCGCGCTTCGTGTGCAGGCCGAGCGACAACGTGGAGCTGGCCTTCAAGACCGTGCGAGCGCAGCCCCGGCCCGCGAACGCGCAGCCGGAGATGGAGACGCTGCTGGTGAGGCGCCCGCGCCAGCTGCCGTCGCCAGCACCGGCCCAGCGAAGCGCCCACCACGTTGATGTGCTGCCAATGCATCGCACCGTGCCTGCAAACGACAACAGCGCACCGCCCCCACGTGCCCGCGCAGAACGTGCCCGTGGACGAGCTCGAGGAGATGCTCGTGGTCGCTCTGCAGCGCGCCAGACAGTTTCTGGACACGTGCGATCCACGCGAGGGCCACGCGGTGATTGCGACGCGCGTCGAGGCGGAGAGCACGGCGCGCGCGCGTGACATCCAGGCCACGTCGACGCTCGTGTACCATCTGTCGGGCGCGCACCTCAACGCGTTCTGTCGCGAGATCAGCGTTCCGGGGAGGCAGGTGCGCGGCGACGCGACCGACCCGGACGACGTGGAGGTCGCTGCGATGCTGGGGAAGGCGGGCGGCGGGTACTGGACCCCCCCCCCGTCGGTCATGCAGGCCGTCGCCGTCCCCGCGACGGCCGCGGAGTGGTCCGCTGTCGGGCGCGCGCGCCAGAAGGCGAAGCTCGCGGAGGAGATCTCGCGCGAGGTGCTGAGGTTCGCCTTCGCGGAGGAGATGCAGGTGACGAGCGGGGGCGACACGTGGGAGATCGAGTTTGGGGGGTTGTGGACGCCGCAGGAGCCTGGGACCATCAACCTGCACGCGCGGCACCCGAAACCGCCCCCGTGGCGCAACGAGTCGGCTGCGACGCGTCTGCGGCGGGAGGTCGCCGAGATCGTGCAGGGCCTGCGCCATCCGAGGGTTGCGAAAGAGCTGTGGGCGGACAGCCTGGTGCCGCCGTCGCCGTGCGGCGTCGCGGCGCGGCTGAAGAGCGCCGAGCAGGACTGGGACGCGGCGGGGCGCTTCCCTGCGGTGTCGCTCACGATCCTGCAGCACAACAACGAGCTGCCGACGCCGGGCGACCCTGCGGGCACCCTCGAGGCCGTCCTGAACCCGACGCTGGGCATGTCCTTCGGGTACTCCTCTATCACGCCGTTCAAGAGGCCGCAGCTCGACCTCGTTCAGTACCCGCGGCTCGCCGCATCCATCAAGCATGTCGAGTCGTTCATCTTCGGGGGGCACGCGGAGCTGCAGTGGCGGACCGTCGCCGACAAGATCGCGGAGCTGCGCGGTCTGCTAGACGACTGCGAGGACGACGCGCTGCGCCGCGAGATCGCCGAGGCCGGGGAGGTCGAGGAGCTGGTGTTGAAAACGTACACCAACGCTTTGCTGGTGCCCAACGGGCTGGAAGCGGCGGAGGCGAAGGTCAAGGAGGAGTTCTCGGCGCTCCTGCGCCGCGGAGCGTCCTCCGGTGCGGCGACGCCCGCTCGCGGGAGCGGTGCGGCCGCGTCGCAGGCGCAGGGCGGCGCCGGGCCGATGGGGCCGCACGGGTATCGCATGGTGAACGGTATGTGCACGTGTCCGAACTGCGTGGAGGCTAGGTCATGGATGGAGCGATGGAAGCTTGCGTTCGCCCCGGTCCTGAACAGCGCGGCGGAGTACAGCACCCGAGGGCTCCCGCTCGGCGAGGCGGACACGCCCGCCCGCGGCGGAGGCCGGTTCGTGTGCGTGTCGACGCGCAAGGCGGCAGTGGCGTTCGAGACGGTGCGGGCGACGCCGCGGGCGAGGGAGGCGAAGCCGGAGCTGGAGACGATCCTGGTGCGTGGGCGGGGGGGTTTCGGCGCTGGATGACACGAGCGGTGGCGCTGCGGTGTGGCGTCGTATAGCTCTCCGCGCACCGACGAGGCCCGCTCTCGGATGTCGGGTCCCTCGCCCCGCCGCCGATGCATTCAATGTTCTATTTGCAGCGTCGTCTGACGTGCAGCCCATGCGCTGTGCGGGCGGGAACGCGAGTTGCTGGAGCCCATCGACACTGTTCGTGTGCGTGTGCGTGCAGAACGTGCCCCAGGACGAGGTTGAAGAGATGCTGACCGTTGCGCTGGAACGCGTGCGCGCGGCGGTGAGCCAGCCGCGCACGAAAGGCATGGTCATGAATGTGGTGACGCGCATCGATCCGGAATGCTGGTCCCGCAGCCGCGACCTCAGGGCCACGTCGACTCTCTTGTATAGTTCGCGCCTTGAGGGCGCAAATGCCTTCTGCAGCATGATTGACGTTGAGGGCCGCGGCCTGCACGCGGAGCCGTCGGCCGGCATGGCGGACTGCTGCTTCAGGCTGCCGCTGGCCGCGGACGGGCGCGCGTGCGGGACGTTCGACGTCAGCACGTTTGTCAATGCCGACCGCTACGAGGTGAACGAGAGCGCCACCAAGGTGACGATGGCCACACAAGTATCGCACAAGCGCGTGCTGACGTGTTTCCGGGAGAACGTCGAGGTCGAGAACCCGCTGGGCGTCACCAGCGTCCAGGTTGTCGGATCATTCGTCGAGTCAGCGCCTGACATCATCTTCATCGGGACGCCCCGCCAGCCCGTGGGTGCTTCAGGCGGAGAGCTGCTGCCGCGCTTCGAAATGGATGACACCACGGACCTCGACTTCTTCGCGAAGCTCATCGTACGCGCGCTGCGGCGTCCCGGGGCGCTCCGCGCGATCAGCGCTGGGGCCCTGCTGGGCCGCATGAGCGAGGTCGACGCGTCGGCACCGGCGCGGGAGCAGGCGTGGGGGGCGGAGGGGGAGTTCCCGGCGGTGTCCGTCAACGTCATCCTGATGAAACACTTCGACCATGGGACGAGGCTCATCCCCCTGGTCTGGCTCGAGCTGCCGCGCGGCATGCGCTGGCGACCGAGGGCGCGCAACAGGGCGTCTGGTCTGACGCAGCTCGCGGCCGAGGTCGCGGACAGGCGGGCTCTTGCGGAGCATCACAGCCGCAGCTTCGGCACGACGTGGGACGTGGTGGCGCGCGCGACGCTCGACCTGCAGGAGATGATGCGGCAGCAACGGGCGAGCGCGTGCAGCGGGGGCGACGGGGCGCCTTGCAACTGCCCGAAACATGTCGTCGAAGAGGACTTCAGAGCGGCGCAACAAGCGGCGCTGAAATCCGTTGCCTCGTTCAACGGGCTCGACTGCCTGCCGTTCGACCGCGCGGACGAGTACCGCCGGTTCAGGACGATGTGAGGTGGCTGTGACCCCGGGGCGGGGTCGAACGACACACCTGCACTGGTGGCGAGTTGCGTGACCAGTGCCTGGCGTGTAGCACGTCTTCCATCGTGCGCGAACACAGTCGCAATGCGCACGTCGCCACACCGCAGCTCTGCCGTCATCGACCGCGACCACTCGCTGCCCTTCCCGCGCCTGTTCTTGCAGTATAACAAAAAAAAGAATAATAATAATCGGCCTGCCCCGTTTGATGTGCGACCCTTCCCTGCCCGCGCGCAGCCGAGACACCGCGCCCCCCTCCGCGACCAGGACACCGGCTCCGGTGGCTCGATATCGTCTGTCCGACGTTCCGAAGGGCCGCGGACAAGAGAGCTGTGAGCATCAGACCCGCAGCGAGGGCAAAGGACGGTCTTAGGGCGCTCAGCCAGCGGTGTGCTTAGGCCGTGCCGCATCGCGTTGGCACTTGAAACGGGTTCTCCGCGGGACGGTCGCAGCGCACAGGCCCCGCGGGGGGGACCTGTTGGTTCCCGCGCTTGCGCCGATTTCACTGCGCCCGAGCAGCTCTCTCGCGGCGCTTGCGTGCAAGGAGTTGATGTGAGTGCAAGAATGGTGGAACAGGCGTGATCTCTGGGCCAGGTCCGTCATTCTGCCACTGCGCCAGCTCTCGCTCGCTTCCAACGGCGCATGGCCGTAGCGGTCACGCGCTTCAGCGTGTGTGCTGCCTGTGCTGTCATACGCGCGTGCTTGACGCGCTATCAGAGAAGGTCGACCGTGTCTGACGGACTAGCAATAGGCACGTTCTCTGGATAGCAGTTGGTGCTGAGGGCGCAAGACGCCATCGAGCGCGGCCGACTGTCGACCTCTGGGCTCTCTCTGCTCGTTGCATTCGGTTTCTTCGATGAAGAGAGCTCCCCTGCACCCACGACCTCGCTGGACCCGGTTTCCTGCCCACCTATCAACGCCCTGGCCCGCCGCTCCTCGGCACCGTCCCATGCGCTTCGCGCCCTTCACGTGATCCTTACAGCTCCTGCCAGCCATGGCGGGCCCGGCGCCCCCCTCGGGCGCGCGCTTCGTGTGCAAGCCGAGCGACAACGTGGAGCTGGCCTTCAAGACCGTGCGAGCGCAGCCCCGGCCCGCGAACGCGCAGCCGGAGATGGAGACGCTGCTGGTGAGGCGCCCGCGCCAGCTGCCGTCGCCGTCATCACCCCCCCGGCGCGCCAGCGGCCGCTGTCGCCTGCACATGATGCACAACTACAATCACAGCACATGTTCCATCCCGCGCTCCCAACGCCGGCGCCGCTCCGTCTCGTGCTCGCGCAGAACGTCCCCGTGGACGAGCTCGAGGAGATGCTCGTGGTGGCTCTGCGGCGAGTCGAGCGTTTCGTGTCAACATGCGACGCGGGCGCAGGACTTGCGCTCGTGGCCACGCGCGTCGAGGCGGAGTTCGCGGCCCGCACGCGCGACATCCAGGCGACGTCGACCTTCGTGCACCGCATGTCGCACGCGCACCTCGACGCGTTCTGTCGCGAGATCAGCGTTCCGGGGAGGCAGCTGCGCACCAGGCCATCGCAGGACGATACGTACCCGTGCGGGCTGGGCGTGGCCGCGACGCTGGAGAAGCCGGAGGGGGGCAACTGGGAGGCCGTCGACGTGATGCACACCATCATGATCGCCGACGCGGCGGCAGACTCCGACTGCCAATCGAACAAGGATCAAATGGCCGTTCTGATGGGCGAGGCGCAGCGCGGGACGCTCACGTACGCCTTCGCGGAGAAGACCAAGGTGCGCCACGCGGGGCGCGCCTGGAACGTCACGCTGGGCGCGTACTGGACTCCGCAACGGCCGGAGATACTTTGGTTGGACCCGGATACGTTGACCGCGGACCCAAAGGGCAGGCGGGCGGGTCGGAGGGAGGACGTGGGGGCGTTCGTGGCGGAGATCGTGCAGGGGCTGCGGAGCCCGAAGGTCGCGCGGAAGCTGTGGGCGACCTCCCTGGTCCCGCCGTCGGCCAACGGCGTCGCGCAAGGGCTCCAGGGCGTCGACCAGGACTGGGACGCCGCGGGGCGCTTCCCCGCGGTCACGCTCACGATTCTGCAAGGCAACACGGTGGAGTCGCGCAGCCCCCGCGCGCTCTTGACCCTTCCGGACGGCATGCAGTGGCAGCTCGCGGCCAACTCGCCCCACGGTGCGCGAGCGCCGTTCGCGATCGTCGGCGAGATCTTCGACAGCGACCTGTTCTGCCGCAGCGCGCCCGCGGCTCTGCCCTGGCGCGCCGTGGCGGACAAATTTGCGGAGCAGCGGGAGCTCCTCAGCAACTGCTCAGCCGCGACGGTCAAGCGCGAGGCCCTCGGCGACGGGCCCGAGCAGCTGATCATGTACATCTACGCGGCGGCCCTGGGGCAGCCGAACGCGATGGCGGCGGCGCAGGCGAAGTTCGACCGCCTGTTTGACATGATTCGACAAAAGGCTGAAGAGGGGACTGACGACGCGGGGGGCGCCGATGGCGAGGGCGCCGAGGGCGAGGAGCGAGGAGTGCGGGGCGTGGAGGAGGCGGAGGGTCGCGACGGCGGCCCGGGCGCGTCGCAAGAGGGGAGTTGTGGCGGCCCGCAGGCACCGCATGGGCCGAGTTGTGGGTGCAAGAACTGCGTGTTTGCGAACCAGGGGATCGCGGAGTGGAAGCGGGCGAACGCGGTGGTGCTGGACAGTCCGTCGGCGTACAACACGCGAGGGGGCGTGCTCTACGGGGCGGGGGCGTCCCCGGGCGATCGAGGCCGGTTCGTGTGCGTGTCGACGCGCAAGGCGGCGGCGGCGTTCGAGACGGTGCGGGCGCAGCCGCGGGCGAGGGAGGCGAAGCCGGAGCTGGAGACGATCCTGGTGCGTGGGTGGGCTGGCAGTGCGCTGCGCGAGCAATCGTAACGCAGGTGGAAACGAGGACGCGTTCGCACGTGTCCGCTGAGCGCAGAACGCACCCCAGGACGAGGTCGAGGAGATGCTGGCGGTCGCGCTGCGCCGCGTGTGCGCGGTGATGGCGCAGCCGAGCGCGCAGGGCTTTGAGTCGGTGGTGCTCACGCAGATCGCCTCGGAGTGCTTTTCGCGCAGCCGCGACTTGCAGGCCACGTCGACGCTCCTCACCACCACGGGGCTCCCCGGCGCGAGCGCGTTCTGCAGCGCGATCGACGCCGACGGCCGGGGCCTGCATGCGGACCACTCCCAAGGTATCGAGGACTGCCGCTTCCGCGTGCCGCTGGAAGTCGACGGCGGCGAAAGCTGGACGCTCGACTGCACGAGCTTCGTCGACGCCGACCGCGAGCCGGGGCGCAAGGCTCTCCTGGCCGCCGTGGGGGCGACTAAGAGCGCGACGGTGTGTACGTGTACTTGTGGGGCGAAGCCGCGGCGCGTGGGGGCACGCAGTTTGATGGTGACGTGAGTGTTGTTCTGCAGGGATGCGAGTGACGCCCGCCCGGCCCCCGCGCGCGTGCGCCGCAGGTGCATCCGCGCGTGTACACGTGCTTGCGAGAGGTCGTGGAGGTCGAGGACGGGCCCGGGAATATCGGCAAGGCCGTCGTCCAGGTCACCGGGAGCTTCGTGAAGGACGTCCCGGACAAGATATTCCTCGCGGCGCCCCGCAAGCGCATGAGCGGGAGCGACGCGTCCAAGCCAAGGAAGCTGGCGCGGTTCCAGCTGGGCGACTTCCGGAGTCCCGACTTCTTCGCGAAGCTCATCGTGCGGGCGCTGCGCCGGCCCGGGGCGCTCCGCGCGATCAGCGCCGGCGCCCTGCTCGCGCCCCTGAGCGCGGTCGACGTGTCGGCACACGCGCGGGAGGAAGCGTGGGGGCCGAACGGGGAGTTCCCCGCGGTGTCCGTCAACATCGCCATGGTGTTCTCGCCCATCGGTCCGCACCCCCTGGTCTGGCTCGGGCTTCCGCGCGGCATGCGCTGGCGGGTGGCGGGGCGCGGCGACACTGGCCTGACGCAGCTGACGGCCGAGGTCGCGAGCAAGGCCGACGTGGTGCTCGAGCACAGCCTGAGCTTCGGGACGACGTGGGACGCGATAGCGCGCGCGACGTTCGACCTCGAGGACCGTGTTGTCAGACTGGTAGCGATCACTACCCCGGGGCAGCAATACGGGGCGCGGGAGCGCGACACCGTGCGGTCGGGGCTGCAAGGCATGCTGGATCACTGCGCGGTCCAGCGCGCGTTCGACGCCACCCCGTTCGACCGCGCCGAGGAGTACCGCGTCATCAGGAGCGCCGCAAGGGAGCCGACGTGATCGCCTTAGTTCTTCGCTGACCTACAAGCACCCTCACCGCGAGGACGCTTGAGCGACCGAAATGGTACGGCAGGCGAGACTCACACAGCAGACAGGGTAGACAATGTGAGCAGTCATGCACGGTGAGACAATGCGTTCAGGAAGCGCACACCGTGCTGCGTGAGTCTCTGAACGACCGCCTGTCCGCCGTGGCAGCGTCGCGGGCGCGGGGCGGCGGCGACGGACACGTCGCTGCTCGCGGCCGTGGCGGGTCGGGTGCGGGTCGGCTGGATGCACGCCAAGCGGCACCATCCGTGCGTCGTGCGTGTACGCACTCGCCTGCACTGTGTTACGATGACAGCTCACGATGGCAGCTCACACAGTCACGACGCGAGAGCGTTCTCTCGGAACCACGCCCGCACCTACACCTCGACCGTGATCGACCGCGACGACTCGCTGCCGTCCGCGCCCCCGGCCACGTGCGCCGTTCGCCCCTCGCCGCCCTTGCGCGGCCCCGCCGCCCCGCAGCGGCACTCCGCGATCGCCGCCCGCGCCGCCGCCGCCTGCTCCCGCATGTCCGCCATCTCCTGTCGGAAGCCCAGCTTCGCCATCAGCGCGCCGTAGGTGGCCACCAGGAACGGCACGACGAACGTCAGGCCGAGCTTCCAGTACGTGGGGTGCTTCCCGGAGAATATCACGGGGCCCTGGTTGATCAGGTTGAGGACCACGCCGACGACCGCCGCGACGATGAGGGACTTTTTGACTGTCGCGCGTTCCGTGGACAACTGCGGGGGTCGCGGGGCGGCGCGCGGGCTGTGAGTGCCGCCCGCGCACGGCCGCGTCGGTGAGCGCCGACGGTGCACACGCGCAGCGCCGCTCGTCCAGGACGGCGCGCGGGCGCGGTGACAAGGTCAGCGAGTGCACCGTGCATGGCCGCGGCCCAGGCAGACGTACAAGCCGAGGTGTGCGTGCAAGTTTGAGTATCATGGAGGTTCTCGTCGTGCGAGGCAAAAAACGCGCGCTCTGCGCGCATGTTCGCCGCGGAAATGGCGTGGAAGCAGCACACAGACTGCTGGGCCCGCACCTGCCAGCACAAGCGCGCCTTTTCCGAAAACGTTCCCCCCATGTGCCGAAACGATACTAAAAAGTCTGGATACGGCGCCGCGCTCGCAACCGCCGCTCGAGCAGAGAAAGCGGCGACGTGTACTGTCGCCCTCTGCACAGCAGCTCCGCCTGCTCGTCCCGGCGAGAACCTGCCGTGTCGTCGAGCGCTGACCAGCTCCTGCGCGCAGCCTCTCTCCGCTGCTCCGGCCCAGCCACAGCCCGTGCCCTCCAGGAACCCTCAGACAGAACCGAGGCCCTGGAACTCAACCAACTCTCGATTGCAGGGCACCGCTTCAGGGACGCTTCCAGGCCGCTCGACCTGAGGCTGCCCCACATGCCCAGGAGCCCGCCGGGGCCGGCCCCATTGGCCCGTGCCGCGCGGCCTGCGTCAGGAAACGCGGCGAGAGCCGTCACACTGTGCTGAGTCACTGAGCATCAGTGAACCGCCGCAGGGCGCCTTGTTCGGGCCCGCAGGCCTCTCCGCGCGGGCAAAGCCGGCTCCTCCGGAAACCGCACAGCCGCTCGAGGGCTCGTCATTCGCTGAACGCAGCAGCGGGGCGCAGGACTGTCGAACCTGAACCGCTGGGCGCCCGCAAGCGACCCTGGAAGGCCCCTGAGCGGGTGTGCTGGCACCCGGCGCTGCGTGTGGCGCGAGACGGGTTCGGAGGTCGACGCAGGTCGTCCCCGGGCGGCTCGGCGGCTGCTCTTGCCCGTACGCAACGCGCTGAGCCGCTTTCAGGCTCTCGTGGAGCAGGAACCGGGCCCGAGATCGGCCAACAGCGCGCGGCGTCGTTGGAGCAAGAAAGCCCTCGCGTCCTGATCGACACGCGAACCTCGGAGGTGCGCGCGCGTCGCTGGGCGGCCCATCTCACGTAGCCCGCGTCGCTCCATCGCCGCATCCATCGCGAGCTGCGCGCGTCCAGCGCATCGACTCGTCCGCTCGCGAGGCTCGCACTTTCGCCGCCCCCCGCGCCGCAGCCCGCGCCCGAGCCACGCCACCGTGCGGGCGCGGCGAATCAAGCCCGAGTCCGTTTGCCATATCCCCTGCCACGCCGAATTGGCGCGCAAATACCGACCCTCGCGGCCCATTGCGCGCCGCGCTGCCGTGTCCCGCCCCCGGCCTCCCACACGCCGCTCCCCCGCTTCCCACGCGGCCTCTGCGCCCCGCTCTCCCGCACTCACTCTCGGCTACCTGGTGCGAACCGACCGCGCAGGCTTGCAACCTCACGGGCGGATAGTGCGCCCGCGCCCACTGCGCGCGCGTTCACCGGCGACGGGCCGTCCATCCGGGGCGCGCCGCACCCCGCGGGCCCTCGCACCGCGACGCACTCCCGCTGGAGAGAGCCAGCCGGGCTCTTCCGTTGGCCACAGCGGGGGGCGCGACGGCACGGTCGCGGCGCGCGAGCGGCCGCATAGCAGACAGTTCCCGGAAGCCGTTGCGCGCCGCCTCTCGCGGCGGCGCACTTGATGGCCGTGCCGGCGGCAAGCGTAATGCAGCGCGCCGGCGCTGCGTTCGTGCAAGGTGCGTCCCGACGCGCAACACGTGCAACCGGCCGCGCACGAGCGCGCACAGCCCTCATCTCGCTCGCCGGCGCGCGGGGACGGCGCGAGCGCCGCGACCGGCGCGCAGGTTGCCCACTGTTGTTGCTCTCTGTGGGAGTTGTTCTCTGTGCAGGGGCCAAGGCGACCTGTAAGCGGCTGCACGAGGTGGTGCCGGTGGAGGTGGTGGACGACATTTTCGGGTGTGCGATACGCAAGCAGACGGGCGTGTCCCTCAAGTACATGCTAGACTTTGGTAGCTCGCCGCTGGAACGGCAAATGGTGCTCGGGGCGCAGTTCTTGCATCAGGAGCTGCCCATCCGGATCGCCCACCGCATCGCAGGTGCGTCGCGGCCACGCCCGCCGCCCCGCCGCCCCCGTCGCCACCAGTGCTGCTCGGCCAGGCAGTTTTCGGCCCCCGCGCCCGCGCCGACGCGCCCGCCGCTCCCCGCGCCGCCCGCAGAGCTCGAGAACCTCCCCTACGGCCTCTCCGACAAGGCCCCGATCGTCGCGGTGCGCGACATGTATGTGTCGACCTTCCGCACCCTGCGCGCGTCGCCGCCGGTCCGCACCACCGAGGACGAGCGCCGCTTCACGGACACGATCCGCGCGATCTACGAGAAGCACGCGGGCGTCGTGCCCATGATGGCGATGGGCGTCTCCGAGCTCCGCCGCGAGCTCAGCCAGCAGGTCTCCCTGCGCGACGTCCCGGAGATCCACCAGTTCCTCGACGGCTTCTACCTCAGCCGCATCGGCATCCGCATGCTCATCGGCCAGCACATCGCGCTGCACGAGCCCCCGCGGCCCGGCCACATCGGCCTCATCGACACCAAGACGAATCCGATACAGGTGGCCGAGGACGCCATTGCGGACGCGCGGGAGATGTGCATGCGCGAGTACGGCTGCGCGCCCGAGGTCGAGGTGTTCGGGCCGCCGAACCTGACGTTCCCGTACGTCCCCGGGCACCTGCACCACATGTTGTTTGAGCTGGTCAAGAACTCGCTGCGCGCGGTGCAAGACCGGTTCGAGGACGCGGACTTCGACCCGCCGCCGATCCGCGTCGTCGTCGCGGAGGGGTCGGAGGACATCACGATCAAGGTGTCGGACGAGGGGGGGGGTATTCCCCGGTCGGGCCTGCCGCGCATCTGGACGTACCTGTACACGACTGCGCGGACGCCCGTGGCGGACCAGGAAGACGCGATGGCGGACGGGAACGGGCCCGTCGTGCTCGCGGGGTACGGGTACGGCCTCCCGATCAGCCGATTGTACGCCAGATACTTCGGGGGGGATCTCAGTGTGCTGAGTATGGAGGGTTACGGCACGGACGCGTATCTGCACCTGTGCCGGCTCGGCGACAAGCAGGAGCCGCTGCCGTGACGCGCGGGCGCCGCGGCGCGCTCCGGGGGCGTCTGCGGGGCCGGGGGGCGCGCTAGTCGAGGTTTCGTATTTGCAAACGCACCCGCGGGAGAAGACTCGCGCCACGAGGCGACCCGGGCGAGCTGCGCCGTTGTGACGACCAACGTGAGGGACCTGCGACGCGGAGGACGTGCTCGCGCGGCTCGGCCCTGCTCGCCGCCGGGCCCTGGCACCTGCGAGCGCTCTGTGCCACGTATTACTGATGAATTAATTACTAATTAATGATTGCCTCTTCTTCTGTTGGGCTTGCTGCATTGAGGCGGCTTGGAGCCTCGCGCGCACCTAGCATGGCGCGGGGCTGGCAGCGGGCGATCGCCGAGGCGCCAAGGCGCCAACGCGCTGGTTTCGCCCGCTGCTCTGGCCGCGCGTGCGTCATCACCACGCTGCGCGGTCCGTCGCGGGTGCACGCATCCGACGTCGACGAAACAGCAGCCCGGCCCGTCCGCCTGCGGTCGCGGTACCGTCCGCGCCACGTTCACGCGGTGGCCGCAGACTGCCGTGGCCCCAGAACAGGCGGAAAGAACCACCGCACCCTCTTTCTTGGTCCGACTGGCTCGTGCGAGGCACCGTGGCGCCGTGGCGCGACATGGCGCCCCCCCAGCGGTCGCTGCGCACACTCTGCAGGTGCATTTCGAGGGAATCGTCCTCTTGCGGCCCGGCCACGCGGCACAACTGCACGGTCTACCGACACCATGAATGCCCTCCGCTCCGCCACCGCCGTCCAGGCGCCGACCAGCCGCCGCTGCCGGGGCTCTCTGGTCGCGTGCCGCGCTGAGGCTCCCCGCCAGGCCAGCGCGGACCCCTCTGCGGCCGTGGCCGGGCGACGCGCGGCTCTCGCGGGAGCCGTGGCCGTGCTGGGCGCTACCGCGCTGCCCCGTCGCGCTCTGGCCAATGAGGTGCGCCCGCAGTCTCGAAACGGAACCAAGCGGTGCAGCGCGATGCGATTTGCTGCGTCGTTCGCGACGCAGAGTTCCGGACCGACCCCAGTAGACGTGCGGCGCCCGTGCTGTGCAGATGCCCGCGCCGGGCGACAAGGCGCCCGACTTCAAGCTCCCGACGAACGACGACGCCGGCACCATCGCCCTCTCCGACTACAAGGGCAAGTGGGTCGTGCTCTACTGGTGAGGCGCTCCATCACTGCACACACACACACATACACACACCTCTGGCCTCGCAGCGCCCCGTGCGACGCCCGCGACGCCCAACCCGCGCCCTGCCGCCGCAGGTACCCCGCAGACATGACGTCCGGGTGCACCATCGAGGCCCGCGCCTTCCAGCGCGACGCTGCCGAGTACAAGAAGCGCAACGCCGTTGTCCTCGGGGCGTCTCTCGACTCCGTCGACTCCCACAGGTGCCGCCGCCGCCCCCGCGCTTCCCTGCTGCCTCCGCTCTGCAGTCCGCGCCGCCCAGCGCCGCCGAACCGGCTCCCCGCGGCCGCGACGGGAGGCGGAGCGCACGACGTATGTGTTGTGTGTTTGTTTGCCGTTGCGGGCGCTGAGCCGCGGCGTCCGGCGGCCGTGCGGCGCAGGGAGTTCTGCGAGATCCAGGGGCTCCGCTTCCCGCTGCTCGCGGACGAGGACGGCTCGGTCGCGGACCTGTACGGGTCCCTGCGTCAGTTCGGCAGCGTCAAGTTCTCGGACCGCCACACCTTCCTGATCGGGCCCGACGGCGTCGTGCGGAAGAACTGGAAGTCCGTCAACCCCAACGTGCACTCCAAGGAGGTCCTCGATGCCATCGACGCCCTCTCCACGTAAGCGCCACCTTCTCGAGGTTCCGGGGCCGTGGAACAGCCGGCGACGCAAGGCATCGCGCCCCCCCGGGCCCTCGTGCTGCGGCGGGGCCGCTACCGCCTGTCAGGGGCGTGGCGGACGCCCCCTCCGTGTGACTCTCTGTGAGCAGGATGAAATATGTTGGCAGCGTGCACATGTGGTTGCGCGTGCAGTGCGAGCTCGCCGCGCGCGACCGTGGCGCCCGGTGCGTCGCGTGACACTCGCGCGCGGCCCTGCGCCGCGGGGGCGCCGCGCCGACTGGCAGTTCTGTTGCGGCACGGTCCAGTACTAGTACTGGCACAGGGCGAGCGTGGGCGCGGTTCGTTTGCGCACGGCGGAGCCGGATGACCCGGCAGGATCAGCTATGTAGTTTGGCCGAGACGCCGACGCGCCCTCGCGCGGCGCGTCATCTCCGCGCGCGCCGGCGCTGGCGTGGAGGAGCGACGTGGCGGGGCGGCGAATACGGGCGCGGCGCCCTCTTGCTCGCGCCGACGGGCGAAACTCGAGTTCCGTACCTGTCGCGCGGGCGGGCGGCCCGGCGCCACGGGCAACGGGGGCGTGTACTGGTCCGCGGGATGAGGCCCCACCTGATCGTCCGACGACGTCGACGGTCGTTTCCCGGCCCTGCCTCGCTCCAAGGGCCGGCTGGGCGCGCACTCGGGCTCACAAACGTGCTTCTTCTTCCGCGGGGGAGCTTGTCCACCAAACAGAGCGGCAGTGGGAGGGGACCCGGAACTCGGGTCACATCACGGCTGTTGCGAAGGTGCGGAGCACGCGCGTTCGCACGATTCTTCGCACCTCTCATTCGCCGCTTTGAAGTCGTGCCGTCAAAGCGCGCGTGGGAGCTCCCACAACGCCAGGCGGGGCCGCACGCCAACGACACCAGGCCGCCACTGCCTCCGTTGATGGCGCATGAGCCCAATGCGCCATCGCAACTTGCTCTCCAAGTCAATGCTATGCGTGCTCTCTCGCGAATGTTCCCGAGACGGGTCCGACCGTTGCGGATTCGCGGTTGGCTGCCTCCTTGCGTGTTGACCTTCCGCACGGGCCCCCGCTTACGCTTTCTGACAGCTCAACCGCCGCAACCTCTACAGGTATACCCAAACTCACAGCCGAGCCGCGGGCAGGATGTTCTGCATGTTCAACGGCCGACGGGCCGCGAGACGAAGCTCCACCATGCCGGGCGATCCACCGGCCGCGTCATCGCGCGAAACGCCGCTCGGGCGTCGCGATCGTGCTTATACGGGGTGCGGTACGTCGCCCTTCCACAACAAACACCCGACGATGGTCGTGTCGGGCGCAACGGATGGCACATGGGCATGGCACGCCGCGCGGTGGCACGGGCGCGTCACCACTCTTCGCGCCCCCTCTCCGCCCCCGCAGCCTCCGCCATGGAGCCCGCCGCCGCCCCGAGGCCAGGGAAGCGCTCCTCCGAGCCTCCCAACATCGACCTCGCCGCGCAGGACCCCGCGCTCCTCCAGTGCGCACCCACCGCCTCCACCGCGGACGACATGGCCTCGAACGCGCTCCCCTCGAAGGCCGGGACGAACGCCGACGCTTCCGCGGGCGCGCCGGACCACACGCGCGCCCAGCCGCGCGGCGGCGACATCTTCAAAACGCTGTCGATGCCGTGGAGCTCGCTCAACAGCTCGTGCCACGAGGGGCCCGGCGACAAGCGCGCGCTCGTCGTCCGCGGCGACGCCGCGCAGCGGCTGATGCACAGCGCGGCCGAGCACATGTCGCGGTCGCCCTCGCGCAAGCACTTCTCGGAGGACGGAGTGGCGGAAGGCGGCAGCCGGCGCTCCGGGTCGCGGCGGCGCATCGTGCCGGACTCGATCGCCCGGGCGATCATCGCGCGGTCGTCGAACGACCTCGTGGCGCTCGCGGAGATGCGGCGGTCCCCGCCGCTGCCCGGGACCGGCCTGACTAGGCTGGCACGCCCCCCCTCGCGGGCCGGCGCGCCCGACCCGGCTGCGGCGATCCTGCCCTTCATGGAGGGCGCTGTCTACGCCGGCGTACCGACGGACGGTCCCAGCGGCGCCGTGATCGCAGCGCCCAGGGTTTTTGGCGCATCCCCTTCGATGCCCGTCAGCCGAGCAGCGCAAGTCGTGCCCGGCCGGGCCTGAGCGCGAGGGGGTCCTGGACACTCCTGCCCAGGTGACGCTGTGTAGACGCGGCCCACGCGGCCGCAAACGACGCTCCAGCGGCACACGCATCTACGGATGCTTCACACCATACGAAATGCAGTCTCAGGACGGTGAGAAACTCTGAAGTCGGCAACACGCAGAGACCGGCGCTGGTCCGGCGGCCAGGGTCGTTCGGACGAGCGTCCTGACGCCGGAGCGCCGCCGCATTCCTCGAAATGGCTTTGCGGCAACAGACTGCGGCGCTTTCGAAGCTTCGAGAGAACCGCAGTCTCCCGCCACCCCCTCCCGCCTCCCCTTCAGCCCCTAACCTCCGGCTGGTCGAAGCGACACGCCCTCCCCCGTCACACTCCCCCTCACGGCTCAGCTTCTTTTTCCCCGAAAGTTGTTCTGCAGCTTTTTTCCACCAGCACAGACTCCTTGCGCCAGAACAACCGCGTAAATGCATCGACGCATCTACGCAGGTGACGATGCGGCGGTCGAGCGCCTCCTCGTCGCCGAAAATTTCGCTCGTCGCGTACACAATCGTCCCGCTGCTGTTTCTGCAACAGCCACTGGCCAACTTACTCCCTCTCGTGGCCCTTGTTATTGCTCGTGGGTTAGTTCTCGCGGGCCGGCCCAAGTGGGGAGCCTCGCTTTCTCCCCCCCCACAGCCCCCTCTGCTCACAGCCCCCCCCTCCCCTGTGCGGCTCTCTCCCCGACAGCCGCCGGTTTTTCGCACTTCAAACCTGGCCTGCAACGAAAACGCTTTCAACATGCCAGCATGACATGGACCCCCCTCACACCCCCAGTGGGTGGCCGCTATTTACCCCCTTCTTCCGCCCTAGTAATCTTGGCTCGGGTGCACTCTGCCAGACCCTTTAGCACACTCCCGCCCCTTCGGCGATCGGCCACCGCTGCCCACCAGAAGCGAATGCGCACGCTGGTTGCCCCATGCTCCACCAAAACCCTCTCTCTATTCCTGGTCTTGACCTTTTATGAATGAATGAATAATTTTCTCTTCACTGGAACCCCTTCGCACGTCCCGGAGTCCGCTTTCCGGACAATCACTGACAAAACGCCGGCCGGACGCACGGCCTTGTCCCGCCCTCCCCTCCTGCCGCGCCAGAGGTCCGCGCACCTTGCATGCCGGCGCCGCGCAAGAACCATCATGGTGACATTATGTCACCATCATGGTGCAGAATGCACTCGTCCTCCGACACAAAGTGCTCTGCCCGTCGCTACCTAGCCTCTCCACGACCAGCAGCGCCGCGTCGACTTCCGACGAGGTCGCAGCGACCCCCACGTGGCCGCGGCTGACCTTTCGGAGTGCATCGACCCTTGCACTGCCGTCAACCGTGCAACCCTCGCGATTCCGCCTGCGTGCTCAGCATCATCGTGCCTCAGTGCTGCGCGCGCGGGCATCTCGGCGGCACGCGGAGATCGAACGCACACCTACTTGACCCGCATCTGATGCAGGGTTGAATCAACCCCCCGCCTCGACTCCTGCGGGTCCGCGGCCAACTACTCAACCGATCCTTACGTCGAGAGTGGCTTGCGTTGTCCGGTGTCGCGCCGCGTCGGCGCGAACCGTCCCGTGAAACTCCACCCAACGGGGCACAAAAGGGTTCTGGCCCCTCAGCCCCGCCAATCCCTCCCCCCGCGCGTACTTTTTCACATGCGCCTCGCCACCCACCCCGCCCCGCCCCTACCCACGCCGAGCGCTCTCACGGCGCAGCCAGGCGGCAGCGAGCCGTCATTGCGCTGCCAAGACCCCTAGGTGAGTCTTGCGCGATGAACAGCTGGATTCACAGTAGCGACACGTTCGACAGCTGTGATAGAGTCAGCTCGCAGGTGCCCCTCGGTGCGAGGAGCGTCATGCCTCGCTGATTCGGCAGGTTGAGAACATATCGCACGGCAACGGTGTCAGCGGCTTCCGAGTCGAGGGCTGCGGCACAATGCAGGTCCTCGAGGCATCGGCGCGGCCGGCGCTCGAGAGCGAAGCGGCAGTGCTGCCCAACGCTTGCCGTGGCAGCCGGGGGCGCGTAAGCAAGGGGCGTGGGCGGTAGCAGAAGCTGCCCCGTCCTGCTCGTTCCCGGAGAGAGCGTACCGCCGGGACACCGCAGTACAGTCCAGCAGGAGGTGGCGGAGGTCCTCCGGGGCGAGTGAGTCCGCCACGTCCGCGCAGAAGCGGCAGGCTTTGAAAGATGGGTGCGACAGAGGTGACACTCCCGCACAGGTTACACGGCGTGTCCCACACCGGCCGGTTCTCGCCTGCTCGCACGCGCCGCCCCGCATCACCTCGCCGCCGCGGACCTCGCGCCCGGCACTCTGTCAAGTGTCCAACTCCTCGGAGCGCCCGTGCTGCGCCCGCCGCCTCAGTTGGTGTTTGCCTCGCCGCCCGCGCGCTTTTCGCGGTCCCCGTCCAGCGCGCCACGCACCCGGTCCTTCAAGCTCTGCTGCCGCGCGCCGCCGTTCCCGCGCCCCAGCAGGCCCCGCAGCACGCCCGCCTGCACCCCCGCGCGTCGGTCCTCCTGCTCGCGCCGCTTCTGCTCCCGCCACGCCGCCGCCTGCGGCGGCAGGTCGCCCCCGCCCGTGTCAGGCTCGTCGAAGCTCCAGAAATCCTCCGGGGACCGCGCCGACAGGTCCACGATCTCGATAGCCCCCTCGTCCCACAGGAGATCGATGTCGACGTCGTCCAGCGCAGCAGCAGGGAGCTCCGGCGCGTCCTCCTGCACCGCCGGCGGCGCCGGCGGAGCGGGCGGCGACGGTTCCCGGCTGCGCAGAACGAAATCGTACCCCCGGGGCCTCCGATTCGCTGACCGCGGGGCGTGGGTGCGCGGCGTCGCCGGCTGTGCGGGGGCCTCGCGCGCCGGCTGCCGCGCTCTCGGCTTCGACGGCCCGCCGCGCGGCTTCCGCTTCGCGGGCTCCGCGGCCGGCGGCGGCGCGGGCGCTGCGGCGGGTCGCTCGGCGGCCGGGGCGGGTTCCGGAGCCGGGGTGCGCGTCGCAGGCTCCGCGGGGGGCGCCGTGCCGCCCGCGAGCGCCGACATCGCGCCCCAGAGCGCCTTGTCCGCCGTGTTCCTGCGCCGCGGCTTCTTCTTCGCCTTGCCGGCGTGCCCGCCCCCCCGGGCGCCGGCCGCCGCGGCACCCTGCGGCGCCGTCACGAGCAGCGTTGCCTCCACCGTCCCGTCCCCGAAGTTCCCCCGGCACTCCTCCTGCCACGTCCGCGCCTCCGCGCACACCACCACCTCCATCCCCGGCGCCCCCAGCGCCGCAAGCAGCCTCCCGGCCGCCTTGGTCGCGGCATGCGCGTACCGCCGCGCCCCGCCGCGCTCCTCGATCTCCGCGCGCGGCCGCACGACGAGCGCGCCCCCCTCGAACGCGCGCTCGTGCGCGCTCGGCAGCGACAGCGCGCACACCACCGCGGTGGCCTGCGGCAACACCCCGTCCAGAAACGGCCCGCTCGCGGCAGCGCGCACCGCCTCCGCCGCGAGCAGCGCGACCTCCTCCGCGGGGTCCGCCGCGGCGCCCGGGCGCGCCGCGAGCGCGCCCTTCCCGATCGCGGACACCCCCCCCTCCCCGCGCAGCACCCGCGCCAGCGACCCCGGCACCTGCACCCCGCGGGACGCCGCGCCGCCGTGGCGCGCGGTCCACATCACGGCGCCGCGGGACGCGGACATGAGGTCCTCCGCGAGGCTCGCGTGCACGACGACCTGCAGCGCCTGGCTCAGCGCCGTGTCGGCGATCGCCGACGCGGCCGCCACCGTCAGCCCCGCGCCCGCGTCGCCGGACGCGCCCACGCGCACGAGCGCCTCCTGCTCGACGACGACGACGCGCACGCCGGCGTCCTGCAGCGCGGCGACGAGCTCCTGCGCCGCGGCCGCGCGTTGTTTGCCCTCGAACCCTAGCGGCGACGTCAGCGCGGCGACGACCGTCCGGCCCGCCGCGACCGCGGCGTGCGCGACGCGGACGAAGACCTCGTTGCCCCCTGCGCGCCGCGTGCACGGACGGCGCGGGCTGGTGAGGGAGATCCGATGCGCGAACGTCGCGTGTGCATGTGTTGGGGGGGGCAGGTAGCGGTTGGAGGGTTGGCGGTCGTCACCTGGGATGTGGCCTGCGGCGCCGAGGAGGAAAAGGAAGCCGCCGAAGGGGTTGGACTTGGAGGGCAGCATCATGCGGACGCGGCGCTGGTCGTCCTGGGCCAGGTGGGCCGGCTTCGCGGTCAACGCGTCCAGGGCCGCGTCGGCGACGAGCGGCTCCGCGCCGGGCGTCACCTGCGCAGGAATTCGCGCGCGTCGCGGTGCGTCGCGTATCGCGCCGCGACCCGCCCTGAGCGCGCGGAGCCAGCGCGGATGTCGTCGTGCAACGGAGGGAAAGCGGCCTACCTGCACGAACTCCGCGTCTCGCGGCATCGTCATCGACGAATTCGGCAATTCCGTATCGAAGTACCACGTTGCGGCGCCGGCGAGCCGGTCCCAGCCGTCGAGCGACGCCAGCGCGGCCGCTCCTCTCCGCCCAAAGCCCACAACGTGCAGCTCTCCCGGGAGCGGCGCCGCCCGGGTCCCCGCACCCTCCACCTGCGTCCAGCGCGTGGCTCCGCAGCGGGCGCGTCGAAACCAGCCAGCAGCGCCGCAGCTGCCCGGGGCGAGCGGGCGACAGAGCAGCTGAGGTCAGACCGCGTGGGCGCGGGAGCGCGCGCGAGCCGGCCGCACGCCGCCACGCCGCGCGCACAGCACCACGCTACGCGTACCAGCCCGCCGCGGGGTCCGCCGGGGCCGTTGCGCGACGCAGCGGCGCGCCGCGGCGCCACCGGCCACAACGACGCAGCGGCTACCGGATGCGTACGTGGCGCCGGCTCAGCGCGCTAGCGGTCGGCTGGCAATGCGCGGGGAGGTCGTCGCGGACTGGGAGACCCGGCGCCGCACGGAGTTCGCGGAAAGGCGCGCCGCGCTGCGAGAAATTGGGCAGGCTCACCTTGTTACTAGGGTCGCTGTCGCGCCTTGCATCCGGCCCGACAGGGACGCTCCCGGCGTCGCCGTCGACCTCCCACGCGGAGGACTGCGCCGCGGTGTCCCTGCGCCCCGCGTGCGACTTGCTGCGCCCGGGGAGCCCCGCCTGCACGATGCGGCGCAGGAAGCTCCCTCTCTTCGGCGCTGCCGTGCTGCCCTGGGTCGGCGTGAGGCACGGGCGCTCCCGGGCGGCCCGCGGAGAGCAGCAGTACACGTCCGCCGCCGGGCGCGCCGGCGAGGCCGCCAGCTGCGGCGCCATGGGCCTCCGTGCGACGTTGGTGGGTTGCGGAGGCCGTTGCGCGCGCGGGCACGCGCTTCCGATGCCGCGGGGCAATGCACGCGCTTGTCCTCGTGCATTGCGCCCGCGCGGGCGTTGAAGCCGGGGCGGAGGACGGGCCGCGGAGCCAGGACGGACCCCGCTGGTCGGACGCGGTGTCACAACGGACACGGTGCGCGGGGGGGGGGTGTATTCCGCCGCGCGCACGCAGAGGCGTCGTGCGCGACAAGGCCCTGTCCCCCGGAACCCTGCGCGTCGCGCTTGGGCCTCGCGGGGTCGCGCTGCGATCAGGACCGCACCTTTTATGTTGCCACTTTGCACAACGACCGCTCCGCAGTCCAGCGCCAGCCGGCGCGGAACCCGCGCCGTAGGAACGGCGACACCGTCGCGCGTCCGGCGCTCCGGGAGTCCACGCTGAATCCGCGCGGGAGGGGGGGGGAGTCGGGAGTTGTTGTACTTGCGTGAAGACGAGCGCCTGACACCACCACGGGGCGGCGCCTTGGGCCGCGCGTGGCGCGGCAGGGCCGCAGTGGCATTGTCCGAGCAGCTCCGCCACGGATCGTGGCGAATGTCTCGGCGCACGGGCAGGTAGGTGCTCCGTAGGGGTGCTGTTGGACACAATGTCGCAGCAGCGACAGACGTGCGTGACGGACCTGCCGGCGACGGCCCTGGAGAAGATCATACGGGACGCGAGGAACGTGCACAATGGTGCGGGCCCGCGCGGGCGCCCAAAGACTGCTAGCCTGCCCTCGCCCGCACACGCGCAGCGGGTGGACGTTTGCGGCGTTGTTCGTCCTTGGGCGTGTCGAGCTGTTGGTTTACGCGCATGGGCCACGAATGATGGGCCCCAGCCGGACCCCGCGCGGTCAGTCAGCACCATTGCTGCTCCGGCCGTGCGGCGCGCGGTGGGCCGGTGCCATCGCGTCAGGTCCCTTCGAAGCGATCGACTCTGCGGGTCTGCGCGTCGTAGGGTGCCGCGCTCGCGAATAATGCCACGCAGCGGACACAGCGCGCAGGCGTGTGTCTGGTGGGATCACCAACGCTTCCGCCCGCGGAGAACGGGGTCCTTTCGATGCGCCCGCCGCGAAATTCCGCTGCGAGTGACACACTCGCTGCCTTGACGCCGTTCCGGCCGGCGCGGCCGGACGGCCGCGCGCGGTCTCGCGCTCTCAGGTCGTGACCGGCCCCACACGCCCCTCTCCGCGCAGCTCGCCTCGTCTGCAAGGAGTTTGCGTCCGCGCTGTACCTGACGCGGTCCGTGTACGTGTGGAGAAACAGCGGCGACGATCGCGCCCAGACGGCGTACGTCAAGAAGCTCACGGGCCTGTCCAGGCTCATTTTCCAACCGGCTCCGAGCGAACGCTTCTTCACCTCCATCTGCGAGAGCTGCACGCGCCTCACAACGCTCATCGTCAAGGACGTGAAGCGCCACATCACCGCCCACGGTGCGCCCCGCTGCACCGTGCCCACATCTGCCCTCCTCTCTTGCCCCCGCCCCGCCCGCTGGAAGCCCGCCGACGGCGCGCCCGCGCGGCCCCGCCGTCCTCGCTATCCGAGTGTCGCAGCCGCCCGGTCCCCGCCCCGCAGGGTTCTCCGCCTTGGCCAATCTGAAGTGCCTCAAGGTGCTGGAAGTGTCCGCCTTCGTGCCGAGCCAGTCGCTCGCGGCGATCGCCGCGGTCAAGTCGCTGACGCACCTCACCTTCGTGGGACTCGCGTCGTCGACGCTCGAGCCCCTCGCCGAGTGAGCGCCCGCGCCGCGCCAGCGCACCACACTGCCAACCTTCTGCACGCTCGGAGACCCCGCACCGCGCGCTCCACACGCACCGCCCGCCCCCACTAGCACGCCCTTCCCAAAGGCCATCTCCGCGCCGCGTCGGCGCCCGCGCGTCGCCGCTGCCCGACTCTGTCACACGAGAGCAAACGGCGCATCCAACGCCCCGCAGGCACCCGAACCTCGAGGTCCTGGACATCGAGAGCGCGTTCGCGCTCGGCGACTCCTCCCTCGAGCCTCTGCGGACCCTCCCGCAGCTGAAGCGCGTCACCCTGACGGACTGCGAGCAAGTCACGGGGTCCTCGATCGCCACGTTCGCCAACGCGCCCGAGCTGCGGTCCGTCGCGCTGCTGATCTCCAGCGCGAAGCGTGGGAAGGACGACGCGCCGGCCCGGCCGGCCGGCGGCCACGGCGGCGGCGGCGGCGGCGGCGGCGACGGACCCGACGGCGGGCACCACCCGCCGCCGCCGCCGTTCCGCGGGCCCGGCGCCGCCGACAGCGACTCGGACGACGACGGGGCCGGCCCGAGCGCGCCGGCGCAGCCCGCGATGACGCGCGTGCGTCACGTGCCGTGGGCGTCGCGTGGGGTGGAGCGCAGGCCGCGCCTGGCCGAGCCGGAGGCGCCGCTGCTGCTTGACACGTCGTCCTCGGACGAGGAGCGCGCGCGGGACCACGGGGCCGGGCGCAGGCGATCTCCGTCCCCCTCAGCAGCCGCGCTGCTCGCCATGCATCGCCGGGCGCGCGAGCGCGAACGCGAGCGCGAACGCGACCCGCTCTCCTCGCCGTACCACCGCCGCGCCCGCGGGGACGACGCGTCGGGGCGCGGGGGAGACAGCGTGTCGCAGTCGCCGTTCCGCACGCTCTTCGACGGCCGCGGGCCTCGCAGGGGGCTGGTGCCGTCGCCGTCGCTGTCCGCACGCGGGCGGCTGCGGTTCGACGAGCAGCTGCGCAGCGGGCGGCGCGCACGCGACGAGCAGGCGCTCATCGAAGACGATCTGCGGTCGGCGCAGAGGCACTGCGAGGAGTTGGAGCTGGAGATGGAGCGCGAAGCGCGGCGCCAGGAGTTGCGTGCGAGGCAGCCCGCGCGCGAGGGGAGGGGCGAATTGCAGGGCCCGCCGCGCGGAGACAGCATCGAGCGCGTCCTTGAGCCCGACTGGAGCCCCAGGCGCAACCTGCGCGAGGCGAGGGGCCTCTCCAACATGTTGCGACCACCTGCTGCCAGGCTTCCGCATCTCGGCGGAGGAGGCGGCGGCGGCGGCGGCGGCGGCGGCGGCGGAGGCGGAGGCGGGGGAGGAGGCGGCGGAGGGGGCGGGGGCGGTGGCGGTCCGCCCGCGGACAGCGAAGACGACGTATCTCTGGCGCTGGATGGTTCGGACAGCGACGACGACGTCGACACCGGCGCGGCACAGGCGGCCCCGCCCCCTCTGGCGCCGGTCGCGGCGCGTGCGGAGCCGCGGGTGGCGGGGCTGAGCCGCGGCGGCGGGACGACTCCGGAGGGCCTCTCGGTGGGTCTGGAGCGCGCTCTGCTCCCGGAGGACGGCAGCAGGTTCACGGAGCTGAAGATCGAGGGCGCCACGGTCAACGCCGAGGCGCTCGCGAACCTCGGCCTCGTGACGGTGCGCCCCCTCCACCGCCCTGCTCGCACCCAACATCCCGCCGCTCCATCGCTGTTGCCGCCGGCCTGCAGCTCGACCGCACGTCTCACCGCGCCCCCCGCGTCCCCGTGTCCACGCAGTCGCTCAGGACGCTGTCGCTCGCCCGGTGCACGTTCGTCTCCGCGTCGCTCGCCGGCCTGACGGGGCTCATCAACCTCAAGGTGCTGAATCTCGCGTCCTGTGGTCCGATCGGGCCGGGGCCGGCGCCGGAGGGCGAGGAGCATGGCGACGACTCGGCTGCGTCGCTCGCGCGCCGGGAGAGCACCGCGCTGCGCCACCTGACTCATCTGAGCGACCTGAGGACCCTCGACCTGACTGGATGTTGGGGGGGGTCCGACGACTCCTCCGGCCGCGAGATAGGCCGCCAACCCGGCCTGGTGCGCCCCGCTCCCCGTCCACACGCGCGACGACGCCGGCAGCAACGCGCACCCCACCAAACACCCGCCAACCACAACCCCACCCCCCTTCTTCTCCTTCCACCTCCGCAGGACCTCTCGCCGCTGGTGCACCTCCAGCGCCTCACGGTGCTGTCCATCACGTGCCTCCCGGCCCACGGCCGCGAGGGCGCGCACCCGCTCGCCCCGCTCGCCGAGCTGCCCAACCTGACGGAGCTCGTTGTGCAACACGTGCCCCGCGAGCGCACGCAGCCGCCGGACGGCGGGCTCGCGTGGCGGCGCGGCGAGCAGCTCGCGCTCGCCCTCCGCGCCGCGTCCGCCTGCCCCGCGCTGCACCGCCTGAGCATCACCAGCAAGTACTCTGATCAGTCGCACCGTCGCCCGCCGACGCGCCGGCAGCTCGAGCAAGGCGGCGGCGACGGCGCGGGCGGCGCGGGCGCGGCGAACGCGAGCGCGGCGGGGCCCGGGGAGGTGTCGATGCTGGACACGGCGTGCGCTTGCGTGTCTGGGATGACGCACTTGCGGTCGCTGGAGCTGGACGGGGCTGAGCTGACGTGTCTCGGCGTGGACGCGCTGCTCACGGCCGCGCCGCGGTCGATGTCGAGCGTCGTGCTGCACGGGTACCACCGCTGCTGCCAGGCCGGGAGCGGCGGGAACGGGAACGGGAATGGCGCGCACGCGCACGCCGCGCACGTGCCGGCCGGGGGCGCGCAGGCCGCGGGCGCGGCCGCGACGGACTGCACGACGTGTCGTCGTATCGCAGCTGCGCTGTCGTCGTCCGACGAGGGGCGCACGCGTCACGGACGGCCCGTCTTGTGTCTGTTGTAGACGGGGGAGTCGGGGGGGTCTGGTCTGACCAGCAGGGCTGGACGATGAGGGTTGAGCGGGGCCTCCGACTCGCACTGCACGCTCATGCAACGCGCATCGGGTGGGGCGGTGGAGGGGGCGCAGGGTCGAGGGGGGGGACTGTTGGAGGTGGGAGGGACTGTTGGATCGCGTCGTTGCTGTGTTTTGACAACTTGCCGTTGATGCGTACGTGGGATCCGGCGCTGGTACATGGAGGTACGGGCCGCGCTGCTGTGATCCACAGGCGACGGCCGGGCGCGTTCTTTCTATGGCTGCTGCTAGGCACCTGGACACCCGCATTTCGTTTCGTGCGCGGGTGATCAATTACTACTCTACGTGTTTCTCTTGGCACCCTGTGCCAGAAATGCAAACATAGAATTCAGCGACGATGCGTGCCAAACGAGGCGAAGGGGGACGAGGCGCACGCGCGAGCGGGCGACTTTGTCGCTCGCCGGACCCCCAGGAGCTGCTTACAGGACGAGACGCTCTGGCAGGTCAGGCAGCCCACTACGGCGCCGCCCACGGCCGATCGCATCACAGCCGCGAGGGAGCAGGGCAACGAGCAACCGTCCCCGCGCCACCGCGCCCGCCGCGAACCCTTGTAATCATACGCTGCTGAGCTTCTGGCTATGGTTCTGGGTCAGACTGCCGTCCGAGGCGTCGTGCAGCAGCTTGGTTGCCTCCTCCGGCTGCACGACAGGCAGGCCCTGCCCCACGTCCCGCGACGCGTGCTCCGGCAGCTGTTTGAGGCGTGTGTACGCTGCGATGGACCCAAACGTGACAACGTAGCCGATCGCCGTGAGCGGCGTCACCGGGTTGCGGAAGACGACGATGGAGACCGCCGACAGGAGGACGCTCTTCGCGGAGCCCATCAGCTGCGGCCGTGAAGCAGTGCGGTGCAGCGGTGAGGCACGGTGCGTGGGCGGGGGGGGGGGGCTGCGGCGAGCGGGGATGTGCGCGTGCAACGGAAGGCTCGTCACCTGCGACGTGATGGCGCTCGTGGCCTTGGTCATCCAGAACTGCGTCAGGTTCGTCAAAAAAGCCAGTACAACGTTGCAGCCGAAAAACAGCAGCCACAGACCGTTTCCGGCGGCGTACTGGCGGTGCAGGACGCCGTAGAGCTCCCCGACGCCCTCAAAGTACATTCCGAACGGCAGGAGGATGCCGCACGCCGCCAGCGCCTGGAACCGCATCAAGTTGATGGCGTCCAGCTTCTGTTTGTCTGCAGTGCACAGCCCGCGGCCGTCAGCGCGTCTCCGCGCGTCCCCAGAGCACGCCCGCGGCACGGTACAGCTGCGGCGGCCGGCGGAGGCAGGCTGCGGGGCCGCCCGTCGCACCAGTGGACATGAGCTTCTGCTGCATGACTGACTTGAGGGCGCGCATGAGCGTTGAGAGCACGGAGAGGAGGAATCCGAAGGCCTGGAACGACGGGTCGCCCTGGGACGCCAGCAGGACGCCCGCGATCGCCGCGCCGAGCGTGGCATACACCTGCGGGGGGCGGCGCGCCGTGGCGGTTGGTGCGGGCGTGCATCGCGTGCGTTTGCGCGCTCGCGGCCTCGTTCGGGCGCGGGGAGGCTCGCCTGCTTCGTCTCGACGCGCCGCAGGAAGACGTACACCAGCACGGCCGTGGCGGCGGGCGTGACGGACCCGACGGCCTGGTCCAGAGACACGGGGATGTAGCGGAGGCAGGCGACGCCGAGCGCGACGGAGGCGCCGACCGAGGACGAGAGCACCAGGATGCCGCGGAGCTGGCGCGTCGTCTGGATTGTTTGGGCCGGGAGCAAGCCGACGCTCACGACGGTCGTTCCAAGGGCCCAGGATGTGGCCATGTGCAGGCAAGTGAGGAGGATGGGCAGCCGCATGGGCGACAGCGCTGCATATCATCAGGGACGGTGCTTCGGGTTCGGCGAGAACGCCGGTCGGGGAGGCGCGCTGGGGTCGCGCGGGAACGCCGTACTGCGTCGCGAAGCGTAGGCCGGCGCGAAGCGTTGGAGCAGCGGCGTCGCCGCCGCTGACGCCGCGCGGACGATCGCACACGAACTGGAGAAGGGATCGGGGCCCGCGTCGCGACAATGCGCCGCGCCGCGCGCTGCGGGTCCGCGGGCGCAGTGAGGTGGTGGCGGTGCAGCTGCGTTCAACGCGCGCGTCGCGGCGGCGCGCAGCACGCCTGCGCTCACCCATCATGTACTTGTTCGTCAGCGCGAGCGTCGAGTTCGCGGACATCCACGCCACCACGGCCAGCACGGCGTTCGTGCGCTCGCTGAACGGCATCGCGCCAGCTGCGCGCCGGCGTGCCCGTCGCACCGAGTCCTTCTCGTCGCCGGGTTCCGCGGCACGGTCCAGTCGCCGCCCGGCCTGCGCGCGGTGCATCAACGTCACTACCGCGAGGACCGCCGCCCGGACATTTTGTCGTCACTGGCACTTGGCGCACATCTGGTGATGCGATGTGGCAGCGGCGGTCGCTCGGTGCGGGCGTGCGCGGCGGGCGCTGCGATGCCGAGGCGCGGAGCGCGGGCAACCAGCCGACGGCCCGCGGAAGGCGTGCGGGGGCTTACCCGGGGGTGCGTGTGTCGTTAGTCGGCGTGGCAGCGCGCATACAGTCGGCGCGAAAATGCGTTTCGAAGTGTAGGTTGGATCGTTGATAGGCTCAGTTGCCGAGGAATTCCGGGAAAGTCGGGCTGCAGGGCGTCTCTTGGGCGGGAGCGCCGCAGCTAGGTTGGCTGCACTGCAGTGCCAACGCGGCGCGTGGGCGTGCTATTCTCGCGAACGGGCGACCTCCGTGCGCGCTTTCGGCTTGTCTCGGGGCGGCCGGGCCGCCAGCGTGCGGCGGGGCGCAGGAGGGAAGTATGACGGCGTTGGGACTGACTCATACATAGCCCGTCGACGCCCTCTTGGGGCCGCGCGTGGCGCCCCGCGCGCCAAATTCCGCCTCTCATGACGACATAAGTCCCGTTCACACTGTACCACTCTGTATTACCCCCCCCAGTAGGCCCGCTACTGGCCCCCTTTCCCCTTGGTGACACGGAGCGCCCGCACCGCGCCTCCGCTGCTTCACCCCAGCCGCCCCGGCACTGTATCGCAGTCCCCTTCCCCGGGCTGCTCCTCCCTTGAATATCCCCAGCACCTCCGGACGGCGTCGTCACCCGCCGAGGCGCGCATCACACCCAGTTACTGTACAGGGAGCTAGCGCGCCCTCAGCGACCGGCTCTTTCCCGCAACATTCCGGGCCAGAGAGCGAGAATCACCCCAAGCCACTCTCACCCGCGCGCGGAAGCCAGCAAGGTGCGCAGCCCGGCCGGTCCCGCGGTCAAGCCAGGCAGTTGGCCATGAGTTACGCGCTCCGCCGGCCCAAACGCCCGCTTGGGACGCCGCTTCCGCGCGCTTCCCGCCGATTTCCCCGCGAGGCTCCGGACGCGCGCGGCGCGGGCGGGCGCGGCGCCGCGTGCGCGTCGGCGTGCGCGCGCCTGGACAGTGCTGCTGGCCGCTCCTCCCGGCCCCGCGCGCGCGCCAGCGGTCCGCCAAACCTGAAACGCCCCGCGCCCCGGCCCCCTCCACGCAGATTCCGTCGCGACCGCGCGAAGGCGTCGCCGCTGGCCCTCGGTGTCGCGCCGAACATGGCCTTGCAGGCTCCCGCTAGCCTGGCGCCTCCCCAGGGCCAGGGCGCTGGAGACGCGCCGCTCGACGCGCCCTCCGACGATCGACCGTCCGACGGCACCGGGCAGTTGTCTTCTCCCCTGGACACGCCGCCGAACGGCCAGGCGGACCGCGACCCGGCCGCTGCGGCGGCCCCAAACAGCTCAGATGATGCCAAGCCCGGGCAGGCCACGCGGCCGAAGGCGCTCGGCGGGGCGCCGGAGCGGGCAGAGCAGTCCGCGCAGAACGGTGCCACGTCCACGGCGGTGCTGACGGAGTCGGACCGCGCCACGGGGACCTTCTCGAAGCCTCCTGCGCCAGGTCGCCCCGTGCCTCGCGGCGGCCCGCGGACCGTTGGCGGGACCAGCAGCGGCGGAGACGGCGAGGAATCCACAGAGAAGGCGATTGCGCGCGCGCCGGGGGACCTGTCCCGGCACGCGGCGCCCCCCGCGGGCCCTGTACCTGGCAGCGGCTGCGCTGCCCACGCAGCCCCGCCCGCGGCCCGCATTCCGGAGCTCACGGCCGCCACGCGGCCCCTTGGCGCAGTCTCGGAGAGCAACAGGTGCGCGCGCCATCCGCCCCGCCGCGTCGGCCGCCGCGCGCCGCACCACGCCCTTTCAAACCACCACCAAACGAACAACCACCGAACCACGACTCACGGCACCTTCACTCTCTATATCTGTCCATGTCTCGCCTAGCTCCTCCCCTCACCCGCTCCCTGCCCCCCTCCACACCGCCTCGCCGCCTCCAACACTCTTCGCACGGCCCGCCACGCAACGCGCACCCACTGCTCCCAGGTCCTGCAACAACCCCCAACCCCATCTGCAGAGGCGCGGCCCACGGCCTCGGCGTGCGCCACCGCACCGCCCCGGCGAAGACCCTCGCGAAGTGGGGCGCGCATGGCCGCCGTCCCAGCAAGGAGCACCTGCGCGCCGAGTTCATGCGCGAGCTCGTGGCCAAAATGGGCGTCCCGGGCTTTTGTGCCGCCGGGCCCGCGGCGGGCGCCGGCGCGCCGGACGGGTCCGCCGCGGTCGCCCCTGCGCCGCACGGGTCCGCGGCGCCCGAGAACGGCTCCGGGCAGAACGGCTCCGGGCAGAACGGCTCCGGGCAGGGGCAGAACCGTGAGGAGGGCGGCGCGAACAAGTCGGGCTCGGACCCCACGTGCGGGGGCGCGAACTCGACGCAGCACGCGGGCGGCGACGGCAGCGAGGACGCGCCGGCGCCGGCCGACAAGCTCGAGGCGCTCGTGGACGTGGCGCTGGCGTCGGACGACTCGTCGGACAACGAGGACGACGGCGGGCTGACGCGCGGGCACTCGGCGACGCCCGTGTCGCGCGCGCACGTGCAGATCGTGCGGACCGTCGCGGCGCGCGCCCTCGCGGCCGCGCCGCCCGCGCGCGCGCGCCGTCCGCGACGCCCCGCGCGCCGAGCCCGGAGCGCGACGACAACCCGGAGTGGCCGCGGTCGACCAAGTGGCGGTACACGATCCCGTTCGCGCCGCAGGCGGGGTCGTCGTCGCACGGCGCCGCGGCGCCGCTGTGGTGCCGCGTGTGCGGGCAGGGCGGCATCAAGGTGTCGCACATCCAGTGGCACGCGAAGTCCGCGCACCCCGTGCTGTTCAACGAGGCACGGCGCGTCGCCGAGGGCCACGCGGCGTGGGAGGACCACCCGCGGCCGCTGTACCTGCCGCTCGCGGCGGACCCGTCGACGTGCGACGACGCGAGCAAGCACTCGCGCAGCGTCCCGCACCCGGAGGCGTCGGCGCGCGAGATTGCGCGCGCCCGGTGCATGGTCCAGGAGGACGCGTCGCGGCTGGGCGTCGCGCCGCAGCCGCAGAGCCCGCCGCACCCCGAGTGGCCCGCGTCGATCAAGTGGCGGTCGTTCCAGACGGTGTGCTTCGCGCCCGAGGCCGGGCCACGGTCGGCGGCGGCGGGCGGGCGCTCGCCGCCGCGCTACTGGTGCCGCCTGTGCCGCGAGGGCGGGTTCACGACGGCGGCGCTGCAGGCGCACGCCAAGGCCGCGCACCTGCGCCTGAGCGACGCCGGCATGCGCAGCAACCGCGTCGGCGCGCGGGAGGTGTTTGAGAGACACCCCCGCCCGCTGTACCTCCCGCTGTCCGCGGACCCCACGCTCGCGGAGCCCGAGCGCGACCCCGTCCACTCCGTCGTGCACCCCGAGGCGTCGGCGGCCGAGGCCGAGGCGGCGCGCGCCGCGGGGCCCGGCGGGCCGGCCTGGGACGGTGACGCTGGCAGCGGCGCGGGCGGCGGCTCCGGCGACGCGCCGCAGCTCCCGGGCGAGAACGGCGAGAACGTCGAGGAGGACGAGGAGAGCGAGAACAAGCCGCTGCTGCTGGAGCCGGCGAAAGGGTTCCCGGAGCCGCCGCGGCAGCGGCGGATGATGCCGTCGTCGGGCGACCCCGAGTGGCCGCCGGGCATCAAGTGGCGCTGCCAGGGCACGGTGCCGTTCTACCCCGAGGCGAACCCGGTCGTGCCGCGCTCGGACACGCACTGGTGCCGCGTGTGCGGCCGGGGGGGACTCCCGGTGGGGAGTCTCCAGAACCACGCCAAGATGCACCACCGCGACCTCACGAGCCTCGGCGTGCGCGTCTCCGCGGGCCTCGCGACCTGGGAGGCCGGCCCGCGCCCGCTGTACCTCCCGCTCGCCGCGGACCCCACCACGCGCCCGCCCGGGCAGACGGTCGTCGCGAGCTGCCCGCACCCGGACGCCTCCGACGCCGAGCGCGCGGCCGCGACCGCCGCGGCCGCGGAGGGCCTGAGCGCCGGCAGCGACGTCACGAAGGCGGGCGCGCAGGCGGCGGCGGCGGCGGCGCGCGGGGGCCCAGCGGGGACGCGGCGGAGCTGTTCCCGGCGCCCGCGCGCCACGACCCGGGGCGCGACCCCGCGCAGTGGCCGCCGCAGGTGCGCTGGCGGTGCTTCGCGGCGGTCCCGTTCGTCCCGGAGCAGGCCGGCATCCACATGGGCACGCACTACTGGTGCCGCGTCTGTCGCCACGGCGGGATGAACTCCGTCGACCTCCAGAGCCACGCGAAGACCGCGCACAAGGACCTCGCGGACCACGCGGACCGCGTCAAGGCCGGCGAGGCGTCCTGGGAGGACTACCCGCGCCCGCTGTACCTCCCGCTGTCGGCGGACCCCTCGCTCCTGGGCACCTCGGACGCCCCTCAGGAGCCGGTCGTGGCGTGCTGCGTCAACCCGGAGGCCACCGCGAAGGAGGCCGCGCTCGCGCGCGCCGCCGGCGCGGCGCAGGACGTGCTCCCGCCGTCGCTGCCGGCGCCGGTGTTCCCGCCGTCGTTCCTGCTCGGGATGCCGCTGACGCTCCCGCAGGCCGCGCTCGGCGGCGGCGGCGGCGTGCCGGAGGCCTGCGCGATGCGGATCAGCCCGTCGGGGTCGTCGGACGCGCCGGAGCGCGCCGCGGCGCCGAGCGCGTTGGCGGCGCGGACGATCACGAACGGGGAGGCGCTGGCGGCGATGCTGCGCGCGTTCGATGCGTCGCGGCTGTTCGACGCGGCCGCGATGGCGGCGGCGGCCGCCGCGGCGACGCGCCCGGCGGTGCAGTGCGCGGGGTGCGGCTTCGCGGTGCCGGCCACCGCGCAGCACGTGACCGACCAGGGACAGGTGCTGTGCGACTCCTGCGACGCCGTGATGCGCGGGTCCCGCGAGGCCGCGCTGCGGCGCCGCGTCGACGCGCCGGACTGGGCCGGGTTCGCAACGGACCGCGCAACAACACACCCCCCGGACCCCAACCACTGAGTCAGCCAGACAGCACAGCGTAGCATGGGCCGTGCCCGACTGGCTCGGCCCGGGGCGAGTGCTCTACAGGACCTTCGAGGGCGCCTCTGCGCCGCGCCCGCGGGCCGGCCCCCCCCTCGGCGGGGGGGTCCGGTTGCCGCGCGCCCCTCTCCCCCGGGCCCCCGTCTGCCTCTGCGCGCCGGGGCCCCGCTGCCTGCGCACCGCGCCGCCCCTCCCCCGCACCGCGGGAGGCCGTGCGGCGCCTTACCCACGCGGCGACGACGGCCGCAGCGCGTCGTTCGTCGCACCAACCACCCCCAATCACTTGTTGCGTCCTGAACCCCCCCCAGTCCCACTCTGATGCGACGCCATCAGCCGATACCATGCAGCTGGCGCACCCCGGCGGCGCGGCGCAACATGACGCCGGCCGCCCTGTACTCTTCACACGTGCGCAGTATACCCTCAACCTGCGGGAGCACCTCACTGCGTCGCTCTCGCTGCGACGACGCAGTCGCCCGCCGGACCTGTGCCCTGCCGCAGGACGGCTCCAGACACTCCCCCTCGTGTATCCTATGCCCGCATTGGTAATTCGCGTTTTCCCCCCCCTGCCCCCCTTGGACCCCCCCCCACCCTCTTGGTATCACGCCTTTGGCCCTCTTGAGCTGCACCATTGATCTCGCGCATCAATGCGTGTTGGCGACACGAATGCACACCTCTCGCAGACCCCCCCCTGACCCCCCTCACACCCCTTGTAGTAGCTGTGGTCACTAACACCACTTTGAGTAGAGTACCGTGCCTCAGAAAGCTCTTACCGGCCGATCCGCTCCCTACGCGGCATCGGAGCAGTACCCTGTACCGCTTCGTGTGGCGCGCGCGACACGAGGTCCGACGCGACTGTCGCCGCGCGCCCCATGCGCAGTCCGCTTGCCACGCCCCCCTGGTGTACCTCCGCCCCCCGTCCGTCGCGCTACACCGGCGCCGCCCACAGCAGCGAACCGACCTCAGAACCACAGTGTCAGTCCCAACCCCCCGCCCCCCCTCCCCCACGTGCCGCCTCCCACCCACGTGATACCCCCCCCAGCGCACCCTGCAGCCGCCCATGCTCACGCGAGTGGAACCCACTCGCACGGTGCTCGACCGCTGCAGACGTAGTGCCGCTCCTGCACTCCGCCGAACCACTACCACAGTCCACCCTCAGTCAGTGAATGTCACACCAAGTGCACACAGCCTTCTGCCGTAAACCTGCAACAAACCCGCCTTTTTTCTGTCGCCCATTCCCCAACCCCCGACGCGCACGTTTCGATGTTGAGACGCAAAGCTCAACGTCTTGCCGCCGCATCTTGGCGGCGCAGCCACCCCCCGTCCTCTGTCTGGACGGAGGAGCAATGGCGACATCTGAAACGGGCGTGCGTGCCAAAGACTACCGGCCCTCGTAGGCGCACCGTGGAGCGCCACGGCCTCACGCGAGCCGCGCGAGAGAGACCACCTGCCCGCGTCTCGCTAGGCTCCCCGGCAACCTGTCTACGGCCCACCGTCCCCACTGGGGACGGTTCGTGGCGGCCGGTCCAACCCGCCATTCAGTGGCGCGGTTGGCGCCGGTCCGCTTGCTTGCAACTGTACTCTTGAGACCTCTAGGACCCCCCCTCCCCGCCCTCCCGCCCGAACCACCCCCCGCTTGCCCCATCGACTCACGCCTGCGCTCAATGCCACGCTCCTGCTGCCAGATGTGCTCTCTTCCGTTTGCAGGCCTGCTGGTGATGCACGGCCTGCTGTGGTTGACTGCACCACGATGGCAGTCTTGTAACCCGCGCACTGCAATAGGACCTCCGCGCCGTCCCACCGAGTCGTTCGGCCTGCTTTCGGTCGCTCCGGCGTCCTCGGGTGCTTGTAGGTCAGCGAAGTACTATCCGGCATCCTGCCGTACCATTTCGGTCGCTCAAGCGTCCTCGCGGCGAGGGTGCTTGTAGGTCAGCAAAGTACTATTTCGGTCGCTCAAGCGTCCTCGCGGTGAGGGTGCTTGTAGGTCAGCGAAGAACCATCCTCGCGGTGAGGGTGCTTGTAGGTCAGCGCAGTACTATCGCTGTGAGGGTGCTTGTAGGTCAGCGAAGTGCAAATGCTCACCGCGTCTCCCACGCTATCTCGGACCCGCGCGCCCTCGCCACGCAGAGTCCTTCGCCTAGCTCAGCCAGCACTCAGAGATGCAAGACCTGTCTTTCTTTCTTTCTGTGTTTCCAGTCTTCGTTACAAGGTGCCCTGCACCAAGCGCAGCAAAGCGGGCGCGTGCCCGCGCCGAGCAAAGCCACCCCGCGCCTCAACCCCGGGCTCCCGACGAGGCGACCGTCCAGCGCCGCAGCACCACTCACAGCGACCCCACAGCGCTTCCGCTACGCACCTACGCCACGCCCTTCGAGCCAGCCTTGAACGGGTTCGGCGCGCACGCCGGCACCTCGGACAGCGTGAAGTTCACGGTGCTGTGGCACAGCTCGTCCGCGCGCACGTTCAAGATGACGTCGCGCATCGACGCGTCCTCCGGCAGCTTCCAGTACGCGCGCGCCACCTCGGGGGCCGACCCGGGCTCCGTCCAGCCCGGCAGCCGCCCGGCGTCGATGTCGTGCAGCGCGTGCGTGTACGTCTTCACGGCCTCCTCCTCGAGGTACCCCACGAACGCGTGGCAGTACTTGGGCGACATGAGATACAACAGAAAGTAGGCGTTGCACATCAGGCCCTGGGCGAGGACGACGTTCGCGCGGAAGAGCCGCCCGGGCTTGCGCAGGCGCAGGAACGTCAGGAGGTGCATCCGCTCGTTCTCCGCCTCCTGCGCGGCGAGGGGAGCGGCGAGCGCGCAACGTCGGCCACGGCGCGACGACGATCGCGCTGAGAGCTCGCGGCCGCGCAGCGCCTGGCCCACGCAGAGCCCTGCTCGGGCAGGTCCGCGTGTGGAGTCAGTCACCGCGTGTCAACACCCCCCTCCTCACCTCGAGCAGCGTGTGGATCCATCCGCGGTCGCGCTTCATGAGGCGCAGCGAGCGGAGGTGCCGGACCATGCCTCCGATCATGCCCGGCACGCCCGCGACGGTCTCGAGGAAGATCATGCGTCGCAGCCATTTCTCCTCCGTCATGTTCGGGCCGTAGCCGGTGACCTTGTCGAACACCGTCCGCGAGGCAGTCACCATGAGGAGCGCCGCCTTCTCGTGCAGCGTCTTGGGCGGCCGGTGCGACGGCGTGACGGACTCTACGTACTCCCTGCTGTACACGGGCTGCGTTGCGTCGCGCGGGGAGTCGAGGTTTCTTGATTGCGCGTCGCCGCGAAGGTGGAGGGGGGGAGGGCGGTGCGGGGCGGCTCGACGCGCGCGGGAGGAGGAGGACTCACCTGGAAAAACCAGTTGTAGGGGGCGTCGCCGTCTTCGCCACGCATGAGAGCGGCGCTGGTGCTGGAGGACGACGGGTGGGGCATCACGGTCTGCTGGGTCTCCACGCGGTGGGGCTCGGACGGAGCTCCCTCGTCGTCTGACTCATGGTGCGCCTGCGAGGCCGAATGTGGCGCACGATGAGGTTATGCCGGCGCCCCATGGGCGCGCCGTGCGTCGCGGCGGCGTTTCGAGCTCGCCTGGGACGCGGACGGGCGGACTGAGTTCCAATTACGCCGACTGATTCGCGTAGAGCGTCGTGTCACCGTCGCACAACGTGCGTGCGGGGCCAAAGCCTCGCAATGCCAAGGAGCCGCGTCGCGGGCGCGTGCCGTGCGTGTTACCAAGACAAAGGCGTGCCTCCGCACCTGGGTGGACGTGTAGCGCGCGTGAGCGGCCGTCACGGGGTTCAGCGTCGGCAGCACCGGCGACGCGGCCGCCGGCGAGTTGTGCACGGTCCGCAGGTTGCAACAGGACGCCGCGTACGAGCCTGAGCTCCCGCTGAACCGCTGCGCGACGCTCTCCAGGATGGGAGCGAACTGCCGGCCGCCCGCCAGGCGCCTGACTGCGCGCAGCGCCATCTCTACAGGTCCGTGCAGCTGCCAGTCACGATTCGAGGCTCCCTTGGAGGTTTCCCCTTTCCGCGAATGTCGTGCGAAACACGCGCGTTTCCAATCCGTACTCGCTCTCCGCGAGAAGTGCAGTGCCGGCCCCCGCCGCCCAGGCCGCCCATGGGCCCCGCGGTCCACCGTGCGAGCCTGGCTCAGCCTCAGAGGTCAGCACTCTTCCTGGCTTGTGCCAGTCCGACCCGCCGGAAACCCCCCCCTGTTCGGCGCCGGCGGTCGAACCCCGCGCCGGCCGCGCGGCCCTGCACTCCGCCGCGTATTGCGCGCGTCGGTCGCGGGTGGCGGTCGACTCGGACACGCAGACGGAGTCGTGCCTGTGTTCACGCATACGTGTTGGGGCGCGTTCGACGATGCTGGCTGCGCGGGGTGCGGGGTGTGTTCGGAGCGCTAGGACACCCGCGTCTCGCATCGCTGCAGGGGCCGGAAAGGTGAGCGCGCGTCGCGCGCGGACGACGCGTGATGGTGCTGGGACGAGGTGTTAGGTATCGAGGATTCGCGACTGTTTCTGAACTTCTGGCCCTCGAATGGCGTCCCGCCCGGACGGAGAACGTTCTGGACACGGCGCGTTCGGGGCGGTCGGCCGCTCAGTGCGTGTGCGCGGCCGTGTGCGGCGCAGGCTGGGGCTGGCGTGCGTGCCACCATGCTGACGCGCGCCGTGAAGAACGTCTGGGCGCTGGACTTCGACGGTGTGCTGTGCGACTCCTGCGGCGAGTCCTCCCTGTCGGCCTGGAAGGCCGCGGAGGCCCTCTGGCCCGAGGTTTTCCTCACCGAGGACGCGCAGGCAAACAAGGACAGGGTCATCGAGGACATGCGCGTCGTGCGGCCCGTCGTGGAGACCGGCTACGAGAACATCGTCCAGGTGCCGTACAATCGCGCTCCATGCGACTGCCCACCTGCCGGACCGCACAGCGCGCGTCTCTCGACACGCTCCCGGCAGGACGGGCACGGGCCGGCTGCGCCTCCCGCCGGACCGCATCGAAGCGCTCTGCCGCTACGTGCGATGACATGCAGGTCAGGTTGCTGCTGGAGGGCATGAGTGCGCAGGAGATGCTCGAGAACTGGGGAACGATGCTGCCTGAGGCCATGGAGAAGTTCGGCCAGGAGCGCGCGACGCTGGTGGAGCTCTTCGGCAGCACGCGCGACAAGTGGATCGAGTCCGATCTACAGGGCTGGTTGGCGCCCAACAGGCGCGTGGAACCCCCGCACATGCGACACGTCGCTGCTCGCCCTGGCTGCGCAACCCGCGGCTCACAGCGCCCGCACGGCGCGGTTCGCGGCCCGCAGGTTCTACCCGGGCGTCGTCGAGCCCGTCAAGGCGGCCCTCGCGAGCGCGGAGGACGAGGTCTACATCGTCACGACCAAGCAGGCCCGCTTTACCCTCCAGCTGCTGCGGGAGATGGCGGGGGTGCAGCTGGAGGACGAGCGCGTGTTTTCGATGGTGCGCACGCCGCCCCAGGCAAACGCGCTCGCCGCGCGCCGCGTGCGCGGGCGCCGTCGGACGATCGCGACCTTGGATTTTCGTCCTGCCTGTGTGTGGGCTTTTGTGTGCTTGTCTCGCCTGCATCCCGTCGCTGCGCGGTTGCGGAGGCCTTACGTCGGCGCGGTCGCGCACCGTCGCGCGATGGCGGTCCGTGCGGGGCGTGTCGCCGGTCCCGGTGGTTGCAGCGGGCAGTCTGCTTGATTTCGAGTCTCGGAGTCTCAAAACCCGTTTCGCGTCTCGGTGGGCGTCGCAGACGGTGTCGGGGCGGCCCAAGGGCGAGGTGCTCGCGATGCTCGGCGAGCGGCATCCGGGCGCGGCCCTGCACTTCGTCGAGGACAAGCTGTCGACCCTCGAGAAGGTGTGCAAAGAAGTCGAGGCTGGAGGGTCTCCGTTGGAACCATGGAAGCTCTATCTCGTGGACTGGGGCTACAACACGCCGCAGGAGCGCGCCCGCGCCGCCGCCAACCCGCGCATTGCCACCATCACCGCGCCAGAGTTCGGATCACTTATGACGACGTCAGGGGAGGCGTGATGGCTCGGACCTGACAGGATCACACGCGGGGGCCGCGGGGAGCGGCGCGTCTGTGGCCGCGATCTGTGACGTATGGGCCCGCAACTTCCGGCGCGCGGGGGGGGGTCGAGGTCCGTGCCTGGCGAGAAGATCCGGGGGGGTGTTTCCATGTTGGGGGGGGGCGCGGAGGGAGCGGAGGGCAGGGGCACGTGCGAAGACGACCGGGAGCGTCGCTGCTAGAGCGGCGCGATTCGGAGCGGAAGGGGGGGGGGTTCCTGTTGGGGGGTGCTACAGGTTGGCGTGCAGGCGCGGTGCGCCCGGCATCGAGGAGCGCTCGCGCACAGACGGCCGCGGAAGGCAGTGGTGCAGGCAGCGCGTGGCCTGCACCGCGTTCGCGGCGGACGGTCAGGTGGGGGGGGGTGTTGGACCCAGCATTGCGTTCGGAGGGGTCTTGGCCGACTTTGAGGGGGGTCTCGGCCAGCTCGGGAGCTGAACACTGGCGCCCAGCTCTTGTGCGCTGTCGCCCAGAGCTCACTGTGGGCGTTGCGGACTGGCGGTCGCGGGGTCAGGGACGCAAGCCTTGGCTGGAGAGTTGGCGCGAGCGCGACGATGGCAGTCGCAGTTGCGCGGAGTGCGTTGCTCAGAAAGCCGCGTGGAGCTGTCCTGGTGTTATCGTGGGGCCGGGCCGGGCGCCGGGGCTGGTTCAGAGGAAGCCCGTGTAGGCACTCGCGGTGGTTGTTTGTTGCTGCTTGGAGGGTGCTGACGAGGGGGGGGCGCCGCCGCACGTCCTGAACGGCAGAGCGTTGGTTGGTTGGAGCGTCCGGAGGACGGCGCTGGCGGAGAGCGGGGCCGGGAGGCGGCGGGCTGTGTCGGGTGCGGTCAGATGGCGCAGGCGCCTGCGAGGGGGCAGGGGGGCCGAACGGTGCGAACAGGCGCAGTGCGAGCGCGCAGCGCAGTACATTGAAGCCGGGGGGGGGAGAGGGAGGCGCGGGGGCTGGGGTTGGGGGTGGAGGGGGGGGGTGATGATGTGCAAGCAGGGTTGTGCATGACCTGACTCAGCACTGCTTGACGGTGTACCACGTGGGCCACTCGTCCAGGGTCTGGAGCACCGGATGGCCGACGCCTGACAGGAACTCCATGACAGCGCCCTGCGGGACGCTCCGAGAGAGCACACGCATAAAGCTACACGTCGACATCACGTGTGTTGCCGTGCGTGACGCAGGGGGCGAGAGCGCGCACCTTGACGGCCCAGCGGTGGCGCGAGCCGTCCTCGCAGCGGCTCCAGTCCTGGAGTCCCTCGTTGTTGCGCTGCAGGAGACTCATTTCATAGTCTGTCAAGAAGTCGTGCCCCGCAAACACCCCCCCGCACCTCACCTGCGACCAACAACGACACCGGCGCGCTTCATATGCCCCTAGCGATCTCGCGGCGCCCGCTGCGCACACTGCTCGCCTCGGACGCAACGGCAGACGAGGTTTCCTATGTCCCAGTGCCTGGGCACAACCCTATCTCACGGCTCCTCGACGCACCTTCGACCAGAACGCCTCGAGGTCCTGCTTCACCGCGCAGTAGTCGTGCCGCGCGTCGATGTACACGAAGTCCAGCTCGCCGTCCCGCAGCTCCTGCGCCGCCACCGTCGATCGCACCGGGCGAATCTGCACGTCCACGGCCCTCTCGGCGTCCGCCGCCGCGGGAGCCCGGACCGCGCCGGTGCCGGCGAGCTGCCTGCCCGCGCCGCGCTGCGGGGACAGGAACGCGGCGACCGCGGCCTTCGCGGCGGCGGCGTTGTCGTCGGCGGCGCTCGCATCGTTGCTGCTCGTGGTGTCGAAGTAGTTCGCCATCGGCGCCCACGGATCGATCATGATGTAGCGCTCGCAGCTCGTCCAGCCCTGGAGCATCGTCCTGCTGAACTCCCCCCGGAACACCCCCACCTGCACTCACTCGCACACAAGCCCGGCCGCGCTCAGACGCGGGGCCAGCGCGGCCCGCGCGGCGCCGTCAGCGAGCGCCGCGTCTCGCACCTCCGCGCCCGTCTTCAGGCCGAGGGAATCCAGCCACGCCGGGATCTCTGAGCGCGTGCGCAGGAACGGGAACGACAGAGGACTGCCGTCCTTGCCGTGCAGGTGCGCGACCGGGCGCGGGTCCTCGCCGGACCAGAAGCGCGGCTCGGGCTTCGGCGGCGGCCGCCGACGGTCCTCGTTGATGATTTTCTGCAGCAGCGGCAGCTGGTGCGGCGGCGGCGGCGCCGCCTGCGCCTGGGCGTGCCCCGACGCAGGGCCGACCGTGCGGGACGGGCTGGGGTTGAAGCTCGCATGGAACTTGGCGTTCCGGCTGCCCATGGAATACGCCAGGGCGAAGAGCGAGACGACGGCGACGAGGGTAACGATGAGCTCCACGCGCCCAAACCCAAAAGTAAGGCCCTCGTCGGTGCGGCGGCGCGCGCGGGCGCGCGTCGTCGACATCATGGCGCTGTGTGGTAGTCTGTGGTGCGCTGCGCGACTGTACGGGGCGGCAGGTCCTCTGGGGCGCGCGGGCGGCGCAGTTCGTTGCTCCAGGTGGTTGGGCCGGCCAAGGTGCGGTATGCGAGATCGAAAGGTCTCTCGCGCTGGCGGGAAAGCACGATCTTCGTCTCCGCGGTAGAAAGCGCCGGAGAATCGCGCACCGAAGCGGTCGAGGGACGCGCAGGGGCCGGTCAAAACTGAGCAAGTGAGGCCAACGGTTCGCGACTCGCAACTGACAGGGGAGGGGTCTGGGGGGTTCGTGGAGGGCTGTGGATTGGCTGTCGCGCACAGCGACCGCCGACTGACGCGCGGCGGGCGCTCTGGCGGCGCATCGACGCCGGACGGACAGCCTGGCTGCAGGGGCCCACCGCGCGTCAGGCCCCCCCGCATTCAGGAGGTACAATAGAGGTCGCGAGGGGCGCGCTCGATCAAGTCAGGGTCGTCGCTGTGCCGTTCATGCATATCAGACATCTTTGGAGACGCGAAGGGGCGGCTGAGCTGTGGTGGCAGTTGCGCGGGCGACACGCAATCCAGTGCCGCTCGAAGAGAGACGAGCCGCCGGGGACGTAACGCGCCGCGACGTCTCGCGATCTCGTGCGGCTCAGGCGGCCTTTCCAGGTTCACCCCCCCCTCCACGGCTGCGGAGTGCAACAACACAGTAATTGGTGATTTCTGCCGGCAGGGGCGGTTCCTGTTTACGCCCGGACTCACAACGTTCCGCGGAGAGCTCCGAGCAGCAGCCGGGTCGGCCACCGGCCGATCCGCGCGCCCTCCGCCTTTACCCCCCCCCGACAACAGGCGGGCCTGCAGACACCCTCCTCACTGCGCCTTCTGCTTCTTCGCGCCGCGCTTGAGGTACGTCATGACGTAGAAGTTCGCGAAGAGCAGCAGCAGGATGCCGCCGTGCGCGACCATCTCCACGCTGACGAAGCGCGGGCGCGCGCAGCCCGTAGCGTACGTGTAGGTGCCCTGGGCGACGACGAGGACGAACTGGAACATCTGCGACCGCGTCACGAGCTGCTTGTACGGCGGCTTGTACCCCAGGCCCGCCAGGAGGTAGTACGAGTACATGAGCACGTGGATGAACGAATTGAGGGCGCAGACCATCCATGCCTCGCCGCCGGGCGCGTAGCGGACGGTGATCCACCAGAGCGGGTAGAACGTGAGGCTGTGGTGGTAGACGTGCAGGAAGGTGACCTGCGGGGGCGGGGCGAGTGGTGGCGGAGGGGGGGGGTTTGTGGGAGGGCAGGGCGTGATGGGGGTCGCTGGGGGGTGTTGGGCTGGCGGCGCTGGCGGTGCGGGGCGCGGGCGGAGGCGTGTCTTCGTGCCGGACGCGGGGGTGGTGCAGGGGGTGTTCACGGTGTGACGGCGGCACAAAGACAGGGTGACACATTGCAATTTTGGGGGGGGTAAGGTGGCGGAGGGGGCGCGGCACCTGGCGGAAGTTCTTCTTGAGGATCATGATCACGGTGTCGAAGAACTCGTACGCCTTCGAGAGGTAGTGGATGTACAGGACTGTCGCCAGTCGCTGACCCATAGGGGAGAAGTCCCGCGCGGGGTCCTCGACGTGCAGGCAAAGGATCTGCCCCTTGGACGCGTGCATCTCCCAGACCTGCGCATGCTCGCACGGCGGCGTCCTTCGCGCGCAGCGCCCGTGCGCGACGCCAGGAGCGCGCGCGAGTCCCGGAGCCGTTACGACGCGCCGGCGTCGCGGCTGGGGGCGCCGAACGCGGCGGCCGCGTGGCGCATCTGACAGGAGATGCTGTTGGGGCGCGACGCACCGCGTAGGAGGTCTCGAGCCACATCCAGACGGAGAGGGAGAAGAGCACCAGGTTGTGCAGCATAGCGAAGTGCTTGATCTTGAAGGGCTCGCGGTTCTTCATGAGCAGCATCCCGAGCGGCACTCCGACGATATCTGCACGCAGCGCGAGCGCGGCCGGTCTGCTTGCGCGCCTCCCACGTCAGCAGCTCGCGCTCCCTCCCACGGCTGCGCATCTAACCACTTCGCGGCGCGCACACCGGCGCAGCGCAGCCGCGGGCGCGCTGCGCGCCGGACGCCGCGGACGGCGTTCGTGTGCTTCCATCGCGACGGTCACTTCGCGAGGGGGCCCGTGGAGCCGCAAGAGGGGCGCCTGGAGTGCACGCGAGCAGCAGGGGGCGTCTGTGCCGCGCGTACATGCCACCGTGAGCCCGAACGGGATCCATCCTTGAATGAGCGGCCAGTCCTTGACGCGCGGGTCCATGTACGGGTCCTCCCCGTCCACGAAGTTCCGCTGCGGGCCGAACCAATACTTTGCGCTGGGCGTCTGCAACACATCGTGCAGCTTCTGTTGCGCGACCTCCATGGCTGCGACGCGCTTCCCGGTAGAGAATACGTCGCTGCGACGTGGCCGACTGCGCGCCGCGCGCCCGGGAGCGGCCCTGTGTCCGCCAGCGGCTCGGAGGCGTCGGGCGCAGGGAAGAACACGTTTGCTGCCTGCGTCAGGTCCGACGGGGAGGCCCCGGGGCGTGACGGCGGCTGAGGCGGCGCTGCGGCGGCACTGCTCGCCCGCGCGGATATCGTCAGGGACACGCGTGCCGCGTGCTTCGCGCAGGGCCGGAGACAGCAGCACACGCGCAGCTCCTCGAACGCTGCCCCGCGTTTCGGGACCGCACGTGCCTGGTGCGCCCCCGGAGCGATACGGCGAGCCCTCTGCCGAAGTCCCTGAGCGCCCACCGCGCGCTGTTACGCCGCGCGGGCCGCCTGCTGGCACCATCTGTCGCGCCACGCGTGCCGACGGGCGCGCCGTGGCCCCATGCGATCAAAGGGCGTCTTCCGCATCGCCGATCGATCCTTTCCGATCTGTACATCGTCCACGCGTGCTGTCCACGCTCTGGCTTCGCGAATTTCCAGGCACAGCCTTGCACAGCTGTCTTGAACAGCGCACTCCAGCCGTGGGCGCCCGCGGACCCGCAGCGCGCCCGGGGCACCCCGAGGCCGCGCTCAGGCCTAGCTCCGTCCACACTGCCCCGTCATTTGGCGTTCGCAGCGCCGCCTCGACCCGCCTAGTGCGCACAAACGCCTCATGCCCTCGGGCGCCCAAACGGCCCTCCCCGCGACCTCCGCGCCCCCACGCTCAGCGTTTCTGCCGCCGCCGATCCATTCCGGCCCCACAGGCCCCCCTGCGGCGCCCCGCGGCCCGCCCGTCGCGTCCCGCCACCACCCACGCTCCAGCTGCACAGCAAAGCGCGTGTCGATCGCGTCACATCCAAAACCGCCCCCCCGCCCCCGCACCACACCATCCAGCGTCCCCGCGCTCTCCACGCTCCGCACCCCAACGACCAACACCCCCTCCCACCCCCCCCACTCACCCCCCTGCAGGCGCGTCCCCGCCGCCGCCGCCGCCGCGCGTTCGCGCCCGCCTGCGCGCCGCACGCCATGAAGATCGCCTGCATCGGCGCCGGCTACGTCGGCGGGCCCACCATGGTCGTCATCGCCAAGCACTGCCCCGAGCACGAGGTGGTGGTCGTTGACGTCAACCAGAGCCGCATCGACGCGTGGAACAGCGACGACCTCCCGATCTTCGAGCCCGGCCTCAAGCCGCTCGTCATGGAGTGCCGCGGCCGCAACCTGTTCTTTTCGACCGACAAGGAGAAGCACGTTGCGGACGCGGACGTCGTGTTCGTGTCGGTCAACACGCCGACGAAGACGCGCGGCATCGGGGCCGGGAAGGCCGCGGATTTGACGTACTGGGAGGGCGCGGCGCGGCTCATCGCGGCGTGCTCGACGCCCGGGCAGAAGAAGATCGTGGTAGAGAAGAGCACCGTGCCCGTGAAGACGGCCGAGGCCATCGAGCGCGTGCTGTCGCGCTGCGCGCAGGGCACGCACTTCGAGGTGCTGTCGAACCCGGAGTTCCTCGCCGAGGGCACCGCCATCCGCGACCTCACGCAGCCCGACCGCGTGCTGATTGGGCACCACCGGACCGAGTCCGGGACGCTCGCGGCGAACGTGCTCGCGTCGCTGTACGCGCACTGGGTGCCCGAGGAGCGCATCGTGCGCGCGTCGCTCTGGAGCGCGGAGCTCGCGAAGCTAACTGCCAACGCCATGCTGGTGCGCACCCCGCCCCGCACGCGCGCTCGAATCCCGCTGTTCCGGCCTTTGCGTGGAAGGACCCGTCAGCTGCGGCCGGGAGGCGCTCGCGCGGTGCCGAGCGGCGCGGCGTGTGCCTGGCTGCGCTGCGGTGCAGGCGCAGCGCGTGTCGTCGATGAACGCGATGTCCGCGATCTGCGAGGCGACGGGCGCGGACATCCAGGAGATCTCGCACTCGGTCGGAACGGACTCGCGCGTGGGGCCCAAGTTCCTGAACGCCAGCGTGGGGTTCGGGGGCTCCTGTTTTCAGAAGGACATCCTCAACCTGGTGTACATCTGCGAGACGCTCAACCTCCCGGAGGTCGCCGAGTACTGGATGAACATCATCAAGGTGCGCCGCGCCGCGCCGCCCCGCGCCCGCCCGCCCGCCGGCTCGCTGCTGGCGCAGCTGGCGCTGATGCGGAACCGCTGCGCCGCGCCCGGTGCGTGCTGCGCAGATCAACGAGTTCCAGAAGCGCCGCTTCGTGCACCTCGTCGTGTCGACGCTGTTCAACACGGTGTCAGGGAAGAAGATATCCGTGCTGGGCTTTGCGTTCAAGAAGGACACGGGGGACACCCGGGAGACCCCCGCGATCGGGGTGTGCTCCGGGCTGATGGACGACGGCGCGGTGCTGTCGGTGTACGACCCGCAGGTGTCGGGCCACGACCTTTATATGGCGCTGACAGCGGGGAGCCGGACGGAGTGGTGGCACCCGCTGGCGCGGCAGATGCGCGACGCGGAGACCGACACCGTGAAGAGCAAGGTCGCGATCGCCAAGGACGCGTACGAGGCGTGCAAGGACTCCCACGCGGTGTGCGTCCTCACAGGCACGTACCCAACTGACGCTGTTGATTTGTTTGCGACGACTGCGCAGCCACGCGCGGCTCGAGGGGGCGCAGCTACGCGCGGAACTCGCAGGAATCAGCGCCGCCTGCTTAGCTGCGCGGGTCCCGCGTCGCGTCGTGCCGGCTTCGAGCGCGTGCGGTGCGGCGCAGTGGTGCGACGAAGTACGTGCGGTGCGGCGTGGCTGCAGAGTGGGACGAGTTCAAGGCGCTGGACTGGCAGCGGATCTACGACGGCATGGCGAAGCCCGCTGCGGTGTTCGACGGGCGGCTGGTCCTGGACCACGACCAGCTGCGCAGCATTGGGTTCGTTGTCTACGGCATTGGCAAGCCGCTAGACCCGTACATCGCGCAGGCGATCGGCGCGACGCACTGAGCGGCGTGCGGCTGTGATGTGCTTGCTTGCTGCGGCCGGAGCTGCCCTGGCGCGTCGCGCCGTGCCGTTCATGGACCGCGCGTGCTGTCGTGATTGACGCCCACCACGTTAAATAGCATTTAGTATTTACCTTCGTTGCTCCCGACTCCTCCCACAGCGTCACCAGCTCCGCGCGCTTGTCTCGCGCAGACAGCGTCGCGAGAGGCCTCCGGTGTCAAGGCCTCAGAACCCAGGAGGAGTCTGAGACTGTCTCGTGGACTTTGTCAGCGGGATATAGGCGCCGCTCGCGGTCGGTCGCGGCCAGGATTGCGCGCGTGCGGTCGGTTCCTTCGTCGCTGGCGTGTTGCGGCGTCGACACCCGCCTCATCTGCCGCACACGCGGCCCCAGCAGCACGGAGCGCTGCCCGCCCTGCCCTTTGTTCGAATCTACGGAAGCAGGCGAGCCCCACACCCGCCGACCCGCACTGTCACGCGCATCCACGCACACAAACCTCCCCCCACGCCTGCGCTCAGGTCCGTGGACCCACGTCAGGGGCCGCACGGACGCCCTTTCCCACTCTGATGCCTCACGCGCCATGTTTCCGCCTCCCCCGCAACGTCCGGCCCTGAGCGGCGCCCCCTCCTGCCCGGAACCTCGTCCCCAGTCCCCAGCCTCCCCTCCGGCACAGCCAGCTCGCCGTATAATCCCAGGACCAGCGCGTCCGCCGCATCCCAAGCCCACCGCTGGCCCCTCACGCCCGCCCTCCGCTCCCCCGCGCTCGCAGGGCACCATGAGCGACCTCCAGGTCATCGCGGAGCGCCTCGCGAACCCGCCCTTCGACATCCACCTCTCCATGGTCGACCTCGGGCAGCGCCAGGGCCTCGATATGCTCCAGCTCGTCATGGACGCCTGCAGCCGAGTGCAGCCCAAGCTCACGCGCGCGGACGTGCGCCGCGAGGGCCCCCGCGTCGTCGCGGACCGCGTCGAACTCTTCCTCCGCATGGTGCGCCCCCGCCGCCGCCCCACCGCGCCCCCCCGCGCCCCCACGCCCTCACGCGGCCTCCCCGCCCCCCTCCCACCTGCCGGCCCGCTCCGCGCCGCACCGGCGCCCTCCCGCACCGCACACCCCCGCGCCGCCCTCCCCGCCACCCACCCATCCTCCACGACCGCAGCAGCGCCGCCTACGTCGCGTCGCGGCCCCGCCACGCGCGCACACGTACTCGCCGCCAACGCACCCCACGCGCCGCGCGCGCCGTCCACCGCGCTCCCTCCGCCCCGCACCTCGCCCCCGCAGACCAAGTACCGTCCCCCGGGCGCGTCGATGCTCCAGCCCGGCATGCTCGTCGACGCGCTGGCCAGCGCGCAGAACGACACGCTGGTGCCGGTCCTGCGGTGGCTGGTTGGGCAGGGCGACGCGCTCACGCAGGCTGCGCACGTCGGGTGGTTCCTGACGAACCCCACGCTGCCGGACTCGATCCGCATGGACGCGGAGGCGCAGCAGCTGTTGGCGGACATCAAGAGTCACCAGGAGGACTTCATTGCGCTGCACAAGTCGCTGGCGGAGCAGGAGGCGGCCCGCGCGGACGAGTCCCGGCTGCAGGAGGACATGAAGCAGCTGCAGGAGGACAAGCACCGCCTCGAGACGCGCGTGGAGCGGCTGCGCGAGCGCGTGCAGGAGATCGAGGAGGGGGAGACGATCGCCGCGGCGGCGCAGGCGGTGCGGGAGGCGCGCGAGGCCGGGCAGGTGCTGCGGCGGCAGATCCGGAGCCAGGTGGACGCGCAGGGCGCGATGCAGCGGCAGCTCGAGGAGATGCAGTCGCGCACGCGGCAGCTGCGGTTCGTGATGGAGGGCGGCAGCGCGGAGGAGATCCTGCGCGCGCAGACGGAGGTGGTCGCGGACCTGCGCGTGCTCGTGCAGGAGACGCTGCCGAAGCAGCTCGAGCAGAAGGAGGCGCGGCTGCTGGCGATGCGCCAGGCGCTGGCGTACCCGGCGGCGAGCGAGGAGGACCTGGGCGGCGTGACGCGGGAGCGCGACGAGGCGGCGCGGCGGCTGGCGGAGCTGGTTGCGGAGAAGCAGGGCGTGCAGGCGGCGCTGACGCAGGACAGGGGGTACTTGGCGCTGCGTCAGCAGCAGCAGATGTTCGCGGCGTGCGAGCGGAAGCTGACGGACATGCGCGCGAAGAAGGACCGCGTGGAGGAGAAGCGCCGCGCGCTGCTGCGCGAGCTCGAGGAGAAGACCGGCGCGCCCGGCGCCAACGGGGGGGGTGTTGCGGACTCCCCCCGGCCGGGGTCGTTCGGGGCGGCCGGGGGGGAGGTCACGCCCGAGGCGCTCGCGGCGCGCGAGGCGGCGCTGAACGCGCGCCTCCCGGAGTACCGCCGCGCGAAGGCGGAGCTGGGGGGTGTTGAAGCAGAGTCGTGGGTGCTGGACCGGACGGCGGCGCTGCTCGAGGCGCAGGCGGCGGCGATGCGGGAGCAGGTGCACGAGATCGAGGCGCAGTCCGGCGTGAAGGGGTACAGCGAGGCGTCGGCGCAGCTGGCGCGGGTCGGGCAGGGGGCGGGGGGGTCGGGCGGGTGGGGGGGGGGCGTCGGCGGCATGACGGACGAGGCCGAGCGCACCGCGGTGGTCGGCGAGATGGGCCACGCGGTGAACGAGGTGGGCGCGCGCATCAAGGCGCGCGAGGCCGAGCTGGTGCCGCTGATCAAGGAACGCCGCGCGTTGAAAGAGGAGGAGACGCGACTGCAGTCGATTTTCGACGAGAAGTCTCGCGAGGCGCGGCGCGTGCTCGCGGAGGCCTCGTCGGGGTACCGCGCGCTCGAGGACGACGTCGGGCAGCTCCGCGGCCGCATCGAGGGCGCGCAGCGGCAACACTTCCTGGCGCAGAGCTGCCTCGCGGGCGTCGTCGAGGCTCGGGTGAAGCTCGCGAACATCTCCGAGGAGAACAAGCGCATGCAGATGCGCCTGAAGCGCACGCTCAGCGAGGCCGAGAAGCAGGCGGAGGCGCTGCGCCTGGACGAGAGGGACTCGGCCAAGGTGGCGACGTCGCTGGCGGGGCAGAACAAGGTGCTGGCGGGGCTGAAGGACCTGCTCGACGCCAAGCTGCGGAGCCGCGGCGCGGACGGGACCGGCGGGTTCGGCGACCAGCAGGAGTTTACGACGGCAGCGGGGAACGTGTTTGTGCTGTGAGGAGCGCCGCGTGCGAGGTGTGGGTGCTGGCGTGCCACGCGGGGTGCGCCGGGAGGCTTCGTGCGGCGGGCGGCGTCGCGGGAGTGTAGCGGACGCGGGCGAGGGCGTGGCGGCGGTCGCATGCGGCTCTCGGCCACACCGTTCCGTGGTCAGTGCGAGCTCCAGGTGACGCGCGTCGTCGTGCTGGTAGTTCATGACACGTGGGCGGCGCGCAACGCCCTGCTGCTCAGCGGCAGTCGTCTTTGTCAGTATTACTCATTGACTTGTTTTGCAGTCGAGATGATTGAATGGACATGCAGACCCTGCGCGTGGCTGGATCCTCAAAACAATGCTCGTGTCTCGGCTGTCGCCGAACACCGAATCCTCCGTCGCCGGCCGCCTCTTCCCCAGCGCCAGCAGACCTCCTCTCCACGTGCCTCCGCGACCCGCACGCCCCCAACAGCCCCTCTCACGCCGTCTTCGTCTTGGCCCGTGCGCGCCCCGCGGCCCCCTCCGCCGCCCGCGCCGCCTCCGCCGCCCGTTCCCGCGAGTACAGCAGGAACGACGCAACCGCCACGGCGTACCCGCCCGCCTGCCGCGCCGTGACCACCTCGCCCGTGCAAACGGCGCCAACGATCACGAGGACGTTGCGCAGGCACGCCGACGCCTTGAGCGTGAGCGCGCCCACCTCCCTTACGGCCCACAGCGTCGTCATTTGCACCGCCGTGCCCAGCCACACCCACGTCGCGTACACCATCGGGTGCCGCACCATCAGCCGCCACGCCCCCGCCGCACGCTCCGCACGCCCCCCCGGAACCCACTCGACGGCCACTGCCGCTGCCGCGAGCATCAGCGTGCAGGCCAGCGACACCCGCGCCATCGCCCGCGCCGCCGGCACGCGCTGCGACCGCACCGCGCGCTCCGTCAGCGCCACGCGCGCCGCCTCGCACGCCGCGGAGAGCAGGAACGCGACCACGCCGCGCCACGCGAACCGCCCCCCTCTCGCCTCCTCTCGCGCCGCCCACAGCACGCCAAGCGCGACGCCAGCGACCGGCGCGGCGATCCGCCGCGACCACGCCTCCACGCGCAGGAACAGCAGCGCGCCCAGCGTGATGAGCGGCACGGCGGCCTTGAGTTGCGTTACGAAGCTGAGGCTGAGGTGGCCGTTGGCGACGCAACCGAGGAGCAGGGCGGCGTTCGCGGCCGCGGCGATCGCCGCAGCAGCGCCCCAGCTGAGCTCGGGCCCCGTGTGGCGCAGCGTGAGGTGCTTGGGCGTTCGGCGGGGATAGGGCAGGATGGCGGGACGCAGGCGCGAGGCGAAGCCGGCGAGCGTGGACGTCGCGGAGGCGGCTGCGAGGAGCGTGATGCGCGCCGGGAAGGCCTGCTCGACCATCGTGAGCCTGCGTGGCGGGAGGGGCGCGTGTGCGCTGGGCGTGCAGAGGGCTCGCGTTGCGATTGCGTGCGAGCCGGGGCGAGAGGGGGCTTGCCTGGTGACGAAGATCATCAAGGAGCCTGCCCACATCCAGATGGCCACGATGAACGCCGACCGGATCCCGGCCGCGGCCCGCGCGCGCGCGGTTCCGCTACCGTTGCCGGGCATCGCTCCGCCTGGGGCGACGAGGCGCGCGCGCCGGTGCGTCCTCGGCCTCCGACGAGCCGCAACTACAGCGAGGAGCGAAGGTGGTCAAGCGGAGGGGCGCATGCTGGCAAATAAAGCGGAGTTTTTAACCCCTTGGAGCTTGCTACGGCTCTCTTGCTCCCGAAACGCAGGGACGCGGGCCTCAAAGGAGCCACACGCGATGCCTCACGCACTAGAGAATCAACAAGGACGCGGGAGGGCGACCTCGCGCGGTCAAGCGGCCTCCCCGACGCGGACCTGCGTTGCACGCTGCTGTTTCTAGGTAAGGCAGCCGCAACGTCTTGCGTCCCTGAGTGCGTGGAACCGGAGCGCCAGCGTCACGATACGGACATGCCCTCGCCGCGCCATCGCGCGCACAATCACGTCGGGCTGCATTTCCGCTGCCAGGGGGGGGTAAGTCAGGATGACCCCCCCAGGCAGCACCGCGAACGCTCAGCAGCCGGCTCCCAACCCTCCGTCCTAGCTGGCCGCAACTGGGCTCGAGCGCGCGCGGAGATGCGCGCCCAGCAGCGCGAGCGCGGCACCGCGGCCCGTGGATTCGTCACGTGCCGCAGCGACCGCGTGGAGCTGGGGCTGCCCAAGGTGCTCGACACAGCGATCTACCATGCGGACCGCCGCGCCCTGACCGCCTGCGCGTGGCAGCTACGAGGCCGCGAACCTCCGCGATGGTCATGCCGGACCAGCGCGCAGCCCTGTGTTGCCCTCGTCGCCAGGCAGTGCTGCAGAGTGCGAGCCGGGCGGACGGGCAGCCGCGTTCGCGGGAGAACCCCGCGCCTCCCGCCGCGTTCGCGTCACGGCCGGGCCCTCCGCGGCCCCGTCGCGCAATCGGCCCGCGCAATCGGTACGGATTAGGGCACCAGAACAGGGCAAGCAGCACGACGGCGATCTGGGCGGCCAAAGCACGTGATTCGCGCTCGCCCTCTGTCGTTACAACGATTCTACGGCCAGTTCAACGGTGTCGGCATCTGAGCGGCGGCGAGGCATCCCGGCCAACGCGACGGTGTGCTGCCTGCACACCGCACCTTTGCGACGGGGCCCCGGACGCGGCTTTCGCGGAGAAGGATGTCGCGCGATCCTACGCTCGGTCCCCCGCGGAGCCGCAGGACGGGGACAGGCGCTGTCGGAGCTGGCGGTGTTCCGCGGCTCAGCCCCTGACAGCCGTGGGGCCTATCCATTCGAGGCCGGCGGGCGCAGCACGTAGCGCGGCGGTCGAGGGCTGCGGGGACACTACCGCGCGAGCGCCAACGCGGCCGTCCTCGATCGTCGACGCCGTCCGAGCCGCGACAAGCCCGCCGCCACGATGCAGGTCGCGAACTCCAATGGAGCGCCCGAGAGTGGTTACTCGCGCCCGGTGGGTCGCCCGCGCGCTGGAACGCAGCGTTGGTGCCCTGGGGCGCATGTTGCGATTTCAGGGACCTGTTTCAAGCGCTCTCGGGAGCTCGAAACGGCTCGATCGGCGCGCGACGGCGCTGCGCCCTCTAGAGTGCCCTGCCGGTCCGCGAGAGCGATCCTGCCGCGTGATGCGCTGCGATCGAGCAATGTGGCTCGCGATCGCGTCTATCATGCTCAAAGAGGCCGCATAGACCGTCGGATTGCGTCGAATGCCCCGTGTCGCGCCTGTTTGGCGGCCCGGCTCGTTGCCGACCACCCGATGGCCGAGAGCGTTAGCAGCGGTGCCGCAGGGCCGATCCTGTCCGATTTCGTACCGCCAGCGCCTTTTCTCGCACAAGACATCCGACGGGGGCGAGCACGCGGGCCTGTTGTGCGGTCGAGAGCCCCGGGCGTGGCCCCAGAGCCCAATCTGTGCCGACGCCTCACGACGGTGGCTCACGTTCGACGCTGCGCCTGCGCTCCCGCAGATCCGGGACCACGCGTTCCTGACGCGGCCCAACCACGAGCAGATCGAGGACAGCCGCGACGCGTACGGGAAGCGCATCAAGGCGGCATGGCGCATGAAGGCGGTGCGCAGGACGGTCGAGTGCTGCAAGTTCTGCTGCGACGAGAACGCCGGCATTAAGCCCTACTTCCTGGTGCGCCCCGCGGACGACCTCGCCCGCCGCGACCCGCCGCGCACCGGCGCGTGGCGCCGCCGCCAACACGCCCACGCCCTGCACCCGCCGGAACGGCGCATGCGCGCTTCCGCGTCGCGGCGTCGCCGTGGATCGCGCGCCGCGTCCGCGGCCTGGCCGGACTGGTCGTTTCGAGACGCAGGAACCCCCGATGCGACAACTATTACATTCACATTCAACCATGATCCACTGTCTGCGCGCGGGTTCCAGCGCCGCTGCGTCCTCGCGGTCGCTGCCGCGCTGAGCAGCCCGCTCGCGGTCCCCCGCGCCGGTCCGCGACCTCCCGCTGCACGCCCCCCGCTGCCCAGCGCAGAACGCCCCGACGGCGGAGGAGCTCCCGGTGCCGCCGCTGATGAAGGGCGAAACCGTCACGGACAGGTTCCACGGCGCGTTCTTCCAGCCCGTGCTCGGCGCGTGCTGCTGCGGCCTCCTCCGGAACCCCTGCTGCCCGCTGGACTTCTCTCTCAACGAGACCGTCGACATTCTGGTCACCGACAAGCGCCTCGTCGTCGGGCAGGACGTCCAGGACGACAGGCACCTGCGCGCCTGCTGCTACACCTGCGACCAGGGGACGTCCAACGGCAGCAGCACCATGCGCTCCTTCCTCTGGAGCGACATCATGGAGGTGCGCATGTACATGTTGTTGTGTGTATGCGGCGCCCGCCGCGTGAACCAGGGCCGCGCGTGGCGGGCTCGCGGCGCGCATCCACCGCCAGCCGCAGCTGCCGCCGGCGCAGTGCGCGGCGCCTCGTCGAGCCGCGGACGTCGGCACGTTCAAGCGTCGTTCGTGCACGACACAGGTACATATACGACAATGACACCCCCGACCGCGCGGTGCAGGTCCGGCGCGTGACCGAGCGCAACTACGTGTCGCGGGGCTGCTTCTACGGGTGCACGCGCTGCGTGTCCAAGGACGGCAAGTGCTTCATCGAGCTGCGGCTGCGCAACACCAACACCTTCCGCACCAACGGGGCCGGCATGGCGGCGGGCGCGGCCACGGGCGTCACGGGCTTCCTCAAGGCGTGGTTCGGGTTCCCTGAGTCAGGCGGGTCGGACGAGATCTTCCGCGTGCGCGTGCACCCGCAGGACGCGCCGCGCATCCTCACGTCCATCTTCAACGGCATCGCCGAGGCCAACAAGGACTGACTGGCGCTGTGTGAGGGAGGGAGCGCCGCGGGAGCGACGGGGCCCGCCGCACAGAGCGGCGGGATGTTTGCGCGGTGTGAGGGAGCGGGGCGTCGCGAGTCGTGTGCGAGGTGGGCTGCCGGGGTGGGGTGGCTGCAGGCGGGCTCGATGGGGCGTGTCGGACAGATCCGCGAGGTCGCGAGAGCCGCTGTGAGCGTCGGCGTGCTGCCGTGTGGTGGTGTGGTTGCTGCCGCTCGTGGCGTCGGGGCGCCGCGAACGACGGTGCGGGCCATGACGTCGTCGATCATTGCATGCAGGTCCTGGCGGAAGCGGTCGCGCAGTGCTCGAGCTGCGGCACACGGCGTCGCTCGAAGCAGCAGGCGCGTGGCTGCTCCGCAGCTGGCGCCGCGTGGGTCGCGGACACCGCGCCGCCCAAGACCGCTGCACAGGCGCAGCCAGTGCCGCGACGCGGCGGTCCCGGGCGCATTTTGACGGCCCCTGGCGGGCCGCGGATCGTACGCGCCAGAAACTGGCCGGGCGAGTGTACGCGGGCTACGGGCTGCACGGAGGTCCTTCTGCGTCTGTATCTCACAAGGAGCGCTTCTATAAGCCATGCCGTCGTCTCCGCTCGTCGTTATACCCGTCGCGGGGCCTATTGCGGAGCCAGGAGCCGCGACACACTTGCGTGCTGGCCAACGGCTTCAGTCAACGCGGCGGGCACCGACCTCGAAACGCCTGCTGCTCGGCCCTGAGAGGACAGTGTCCCCGGTGCCGCGCGCCAGCGGCCCCGAAACTGCGCGTCGACCGCAGGGGAGCTGGCATGAGGCCAGTCGGGCCAGGGGGGGAAACGGGCCCCGCAGCTCTGCAGAATGTTGGAACGGCGGGTTCAGGGCCGCGAGCAGATTCCTTGGAGACGGAAGCAGGTCCTGAGCAGAAGGACAGGCGTGTTCACCCTCCCGAGAGCCCCTGCGCACAGGTGCGCAATCATCGTTGGGTAACCGCCTCGCGCTGCGGGCGCGCTGGCGGGCCTGCGCGCGCTGCAATTCATTCGACCGTGGTCCTTCGCTTTTGTTGTCGCCGCGCGTGCATCGCTGGCGCGTTCGTACAGCCCAAGCGCGTCGCGCGAGGCGCCTGCTGAGGTGGCTCGCGTCCGCGTGAGCCCAGCTCCTCGCAAACGTCGCGGAACGGCTTTGTTTGCGCGCTGCTGGCGAGCTCTCACGCCCACGCGGCCGAATGGCGTCGACCGTGTCTCGGGCGCGCCCCGCGCGCGCGCTGCGACGCGCGCCGGGGGGGCAAGGTCGTCTCGAGAAGCATTCCCGTCGCACCCACCTGTACGCGTCGACCCGCGTGCATTCGCAGGTTCGACATGGCCGCTGAGGTTTCTGCCTTTGCCACGGCGCGCCTCGGCAGCGCAAGCGCCCACGCGGACGCCCTCGCGGCGGATTTCGAGGCCGTCGGCCTGGACCTCCTCCCAAACCCGGACGCGAGCGCCTGCAAGGCGCCGCCCAGCGAGACCGCCGTCATCGGCACGACCCCGCATGGAAAGACCACCGGCTGCCTGACCTGCGGCCCTCGGCCCCCGACGACGCACAGCGGCGAGCGCCCCTTGCTCTCCCTGCAAGCCATAAACCACATCAGTAAGGTTTGCCGCGACGTCCGCGCGTCCGCGAACTTCTACAAGCAGCTCCTCGGCTTCCAGGAAGTCAGCCGGCCCTCCTCTTTCGACTTCAACGGCGCCTGGCTCCACGGCTGCGGCATGGGTGCGCCCCCTCGCCCACCGCCTGCATGCACCCAGGCCCCCCCGGCGGCGCCGCGCACACGCCCCGCGCGCGCCCGTGCGCCCCCGCGCCGCCTCGCCCAGTCCACCCCGCCCCGACCTTACCCGCCGCCGCCGCCCACCGCGCCCGCGCCGCCGCCGCCTGCCCCCGGCCTAGCTCCACGTAACCGCCCAACTGCCCCCCTGGCGCCGCCCCCGCAGGCCTGCACCTCATCCAGGGCGAGCCGGACCCGCGGAAGGAGGAGATCGACCCCAAGTCGGACCACATCAGCTTCCAGTCGGACGACTTGGCGGCGGTGGAGAGCACGCTCGAGAGCCTCGGCGTCGGCTACGTCAAGCAACTGGTGCGCGAGGGGCCGTACCTCGTCACGCAGCTCTTCTTCCACGACCCGGACCGCAACATGATTGAGGTCTGCGACTGCCACCAGCTCCCGTTGGAGTTTCTCACGTCGAATGGGTGGCTCGACCAGACCGGTGCGCTCGCGGGCGAGCTCGGCGAGGGCGAGGAGCGCGTCGTGGCGTCGCGGAAGTTCTCGCCGCACGTGCGCGACAGCGGCGCGAACACGTCGGAGCTGCAGACGCGCGCGGCGTCGCCCAAGCCCGCGCTGGTGATTGAGCGCCACGACGGGCAGCGGACGCGCCCGCAGAGCCTGGACTGGGCGTGGCGCGCGACGGGGCAGGCGCCGCCCGCGCCCGCGCCGTCGAGGCTGTACCGGAACTCCCCCGCGATCCGCGAGGCACCAGAGGAGGGGGAGTCGGACACGAAGTCTGACACGAAGGAGTGAGTGAGGCGGCCGAGGAGCGCGGGCGCAGTGCAGAGCCGGGCTCCCCGCCCTGCTCGCGCCGCCCGTGCCGCATTTTTGCGTCTGTTCCCCGCCACACCCCCCCCCTTCCTCTCTAAGACCCCCGCCTCTCTCGCCGTGGCAAGGCGCGCTGGTTTCGCAACGCGCGCCCGTCCCGCCGCGTCGACCGCCCGATGACTCTCCGCCGCGACGGCGCGCCGCCCCCGCTCACCGCCAGTGGACCGGCCGCCTCGCGACCTTTGAACGCGAACACACACCGCCCGCTGGCGCATCCATCTGCGCCCCGCACACGCCTCGCTGGCGTCCCCGGCTCATCGTGCAGTGCGACGGTTTCGCTTTGATCGCATGCACGCGCCGCGAGCGCGCGCCGACCTGCTATGGCAGTGCTCACACACACCAGTGCAGGTACCCTCCCGCCCGCCCGCCCCTGCGGTTGCCTCGGGCAGGTCGCGCGGAACAGTCCGACGTCGTTCTCGGGGTGCTAAGAGACAATGCCTTGTGTCATCCCCCCCTTTGCCACACCCCCCCCCCCACCACACGCGGTATCCCTGCTGCCTGACCGTGAGGACAACTCACGGCTTCTGGCAACATGCGGCTGGCGTTCGCGCCTCGGAGCCACGCGCCGCGGTCCACACCGCGCGCTCCGCGGCCGCCCCAGCGCTTCGTTGCCCGCCTGTCTCGGTCAGGGACGAATGTGGCGCTCCTGCGCCGATGTGACGTCCGTATGGCCGCATACACAGTCGCATCTCGTCGTCACGCGGCCAGCAGGAACCGGCACATGTCGGCCACCACGGCCGCGCTCACGCTGTTCCCGAGCAGGGCGTACCGCTGCCGCAGCGTCACCGACTCCGGAAACGCGAACGCGGGCGGGAAGGAATGCAAGTTCGCGACCTCCTTCGGCGTGAAGTACCGCAGCCGCAGGTCCCTCAGCCACGTCAGGTCCATGGCGTCCACGGACCCGTCCCACTTGAACCGCGCGCGCTCCAACTCCCCCCCTTCACTCCCCCCCTCCCCGGAACCGCCCGCGCCGCCACCCCCCGCGCCGTCAGCCCTGTCCAGGTACAGGAACGGGTCCCCCTGCTGGAACGTCGACCTGACGTCCCCGCCCTCGTAGCACCAGTCCTCAAAGGCGTCTAGACCCCCCCTCTCACGCATCAGCCGCGAGGCGTCGCGCGCCGTCGCGAGCACCGACCCCGCACCCTTCACGTACCGGCTGTACGCCTTCGTGAAGCAGCACGTGCGCCGCGACCCAGGCGTGACGATGTCGAAGCAAATGCCGTGCCTGTCGATCACGCTCTCCGGCACCACGTACGGCGCGAACGGCCCCGGCCACTCCCGCCCAGCGCCGCCGCCGCCGTCGCCGGACGCCTGCTCGCCGCCTCCCCGGGGCGCCGCGACCTGCGCGCCGTAGTTGCCACCCCCCCCCTCGCCGCGCGTGTACCCCCCCGGCGCGAAGCGCAGCGCGGCGGGGGAGTGTTTCGTTGGGTCTGACTCGAGAAACTCGCGGATCGGCGCGATCGGGAGCGCCTCGGGGCGGCCGTCGGCGGGCAGGAGCGACGTGGGGCGCGCCCGGCGCGGTCCAGGGATCCCTGACGACGCCGCCTGGCCGTTGTGGGCGGGAGGGAAGCCGGGGAACGCGCCGAGGGGCTTCAGGCGGGCGAGGAGAAAGTAGCGCGGGCGGGAGTAGGGCACTCCGAGCTGCAGGGGGGTAGTAATGAACTCGGCGTGAAAGTACCCCGCGGAGTCTAATCTGGCGACGAGGTCGTCGCGGGTCGACGACGTTTCGAAGCCGACGACGTTCTCGACGAGGAGGTACCTGCGCGGCGGGGGCGTTCACGGGCGCGTGTGCGTCCCCTGACCCAGGAGCGCGGGAGCAGATGTGAAACGAAGAGTGCGAGCAAGTCGTACTTGGGTGGTCGATTGAGGTGCCGGATTTTGTCGATGAGGCCCATGAAGGACCGGGCGCGCTCGTCATCCGCGCCCTTGCGGTGGCCCTGGCGCGTGTACGGCTGGCACGGCGGGGACATGAGCCAAATGTCCGTCGCACACCCGCCGCTGAGCAGCCGCACGGGGACGCTCTCCAGGTTGACCGTGCGGGGCTTCATGCCGAAATTGTGCTCGTACACGGCGTTCGCCATGTCGTTGATGTCGAACGACAGGATCACGCGCGCGTCCTGGCGTGCCTGCGACCGCAACACAGGACCAGAGCGCTTCCATCGTGTTGCGCCCTCTCACGGCGTCGTGCGGGCGCGACGTATGCGGCAACCCCGCTAAGAATCTTGACTGTGCAGTTCGCGGGCTGCCGCGCCGGTCGTGGCCGGCAGCACCCGCGGCGGCGGCAGCAAATGAGGAGCACGGTGCGTGTCATGTCGCGGGCCGCCATCGCACCGCTTTGAGGCCGTAATGCAGCCCGCCGATGCCGCTGTAGAACTCCGAGGCCGTCAGCTGCGTGCCCCCCTGGTACGGCTCCAGCAGCGCCCCTGCGGCGGTGCGTTCTTCCAGCATCACGCTACATGCACGTTCACGTCCCCATGATGCATCCAGAAGGTCAGCCTCGCGCGGGGCTACATTGCGCCAGCGCACTGCGGCGCCGCGGCGCAGGCGTCGACCCACGACGCGCCGCAGAAGCGCGCCACGAACACCCCGTGGGCCACCGCAAGCGCCGCGCTCAGGCTGGGGACCGCCGGGGCCGTCGCGCAGCCGGCCGCTTCTTCGCCCGGCGGCGCCAGCGCGTCGGCACGCTTCGTTGCGGTCCGGGAGGCTGCGCTGCTGCTTCCACAATGCCGGCGCTGCAGCATACTGGCTGCCTGGCGGCGCCACTGTGGGTCGGGAGGCGGCGCCCCGCGCCTCTTGTCGCCTCGAAACATGCCGCATTTGCGGCCACGCGGCAGCACGTGCTTCGGGCGCCCGCCGGCCGCTGCGTCGGGCCCTGTCGCGCGGCGCCGACGACGTCCCGCGGGCGTGTCTCCCCCGGGTGGGATGCATCGAAGGAGGAACGGGAGATTGCGGAGCGCGGCGCCGAGTCCGTCGACGACGTCCAGATCAGGATCGTTCAGTGGTACCCTGGCCACATCGCCCGCGCCGAACGGCAGCTCAAGGAGCAGGTGCGCCCCGGGACAACACACAGGATGTGTGCTGCCGCTTGCGCGGCGGTGCTGCGTCGTTCTGCGCTCGCGGGGCGCTGAGGAGGCGGCACTGAGTGTCGCGGTGGCTGCAGCTGAAGATGGTGGACGTTGTGCTCGAGGTGCGCGACGCGCGGGTGCCTCTGTCGACGACGCACCCAGCGGTGCCGCAGTGGTGCGGGCGGAAGCCGCGGCTCGTCATCATGAACCGCGCGGACTGCGTATCGGCCGAGGACCGAGCGGCGTGGGACGAATTCCTCCAGAACACGAAGCAACGGTACTTCTGGACCGACGGAACATCTGGCAAAGGTAAACACCTCACGCCCGCCCCGCCGTCACCGCACCAGCCCACTTTCCCGCGCCAGAAGCTCGCGAATAGCCCGCTGGAGCGCCTACACGGGCCCAGCGCTGCATTTGGTGCGTGTTCGCGCTCGTACAGACAAAAAGCAACATGCTTTGGTTCGAAACTGACTCTTCTGCGCGCGTGGCGCTGCGCCGGCCTCCGCCGCGCAGTGCTCGCGATCGCGCAGCTGCTCTGCCGCGCCGCGACGCGCACTGTGTCGCCTGTCCGTCCCGCAGGCGTTCACGCGGTGCAGCGCGCTGCGCAGGCTGCCGGGCGGCGCATGAACGCGACCCGCGAGCGCCGCGGTCTGCGGCCGCGCTCGGTGCGCGCCGTCATGATCGGCTTCCCGAACGTCGGCAAGTCGGCCCTCATCAACCGCCTCGTCGCGCGGAAAATCGTGGCGAGCGAAAACCGGCCCGGCGTGACGCGCGCGCTCCGGTGGGTCACGCTCGGCGAAGGCATCGACCTCCTCGACGCGCCCGGCGTCATCCCGATGCGCCTGGACGATCAGGTCGCCGCGGGGCGCCTCGCCATGGTCAACGACATTGGGGAGGCGTCCTACGTCGACTCAATTGTTGCCAGCGCGCTGCTGGCGCGGATGCGCGGCCTCCCGAGCGCGCGCGAGGTCATGGCGCGCGTGGAGAAGCGCTACGGGATCCCCGCGGGGGGGTCTTGGGGTATGACAACCGAGGACATCACGTGGCACGTGGCCGACTCGCTGTTCCACGGGGACCTGGAGACGGCGGGGGCGCGGATCCTGAGGGACTACCGGAACGGGCGGCTCGGGTGGTTCGCGCTGGAGCAGCCGCCGCCGGCCGACTGGCTGGAGTGAGGAGCGGGGCACTAGGTGTGACGGCGTGGCAGCGACGGGACGTGCGGCGTGTCGCGGGGCGAGCGCGGGAAAACGCCGAGAGTGCTCCGCTCTACGTGGCCTGGCAAGCCCGGTTCCGTTCGCGTCGTGGCCGCGGTCTGAGCGCGTTTATACCACTCGACGTGTCCGCGCACAAGCTGCCGCGCGCCGCTTCCTCCGAGCGTCACACGCGCTCTGCGGCGTCCAGGAGCGCCCTGAGGCTCCCGACCGGGTCGTCGCTCCCCCACACGTGGCCGATCACTGCAGCACCGGCAAAACCCAGGTCCGCCAGCTGCGGCACGCGGTCCGGCGTGACGCCGCCCAGCGCGTACACGGGCCGCGGGCACGCCGCGAGAGTACTCCGCAGCTCCTGTTCGTCGAACCTCGCCGACTTATACCCCACCTTCGACACTGAGTCAAACACTGGACTCAGGAAGGCGTACGTCAGGCCGCCCTGGTCCGCGGCGCGCAGGGGCGCCATGTCGTGGAACCCCGTCGACTGCGTGAGGCCGTCGAGCGCCGGCAGCGGCAGCGCAGGTCGCTCCGCCTCCCTGCGAGCCCTCACACAAACACACAGCATTCGTCCCACCGTGCGGCGCGTTTGAGCGCACCGCGCGCCCGCCGCGCGCGCATCGGCCGCCCCAGGATGTAGGCCGTCGCGCCGGCCCGTCCGGGCGGGGGCCGCGTGCAGCGGGAGGCCCTGGCACCGCATGTCATGCGCAGTAATCTCAGGATCACACACTGCACCTGTAATGGACTCCGCCGAGGCCGAGTTCGCTGGCCAGGTCGTGCGCGGTGTGCAGGACGATCCTGCGGCGGTGCTCCTCCGGCACGGCGTCGACGACGTACTGCCTCAGCGCCGCGCGGCTCCAAGAGGGTTTGCGTACGTGCAGGCGGGACACCCCGGCCTCCAGGACCCGGGGCACCAGGCTGAGCTCGTCCTCCACTCGGTCGGGGTGGGTGAACACGATGACGTCGAAGGCTCGACGGGCCGCGCGCGTGCGGGCGCTGCGCAGCGGCGCTGCCCGCTGGGACGGGGCGCTAGGGGGAAGGGAACGGGCGCCCGCACAGGCTATCGATGGATTGGTTTGGCTGGACATGTGCGCGAGCTGGTAGATACAAATGCGAGAGTTCAACGAGTTATCGATTCGTGGAGGTTCGTTGCCCCAGTCAGACGAGAGCCGCGCCCGAGCTATGGTTTCACCCCTCAGTGGCTCCACGAGGGGTGTTCGCTGCACTGTCTCGCACAAACAAGACGCCACGCATGCACACCGCGGATGGCGCGGCGTCTGGCGGCGCGGGAGCCTCGTGAGCCCGCTGGCGGTCGCGCGCCGGGCTGACCAGAGTGGGGCGTTTGGCGGCCCCGCTCAGCTCGGCGTCCAGCGGGCAGCACATGTGCCCGCGGTGCTCCGCATCGCGCCGCTCGCTCGAGGCACCTCCGTCCGCCCGCAGCACACACCGACATTCCGCGCGCGCTGCTCCTGCGCGTGTCATCAACCACAGGGCGGCGCCAGCGAGAGCCGTCGGAGGCTCCAGAAGCGCGGCCAGCCCATCTGGCGCGAGTTCCGCGGCCTGGCGTCGCGACAGGTGGCCTGAAGAGCGCGGGAAGGGTCGAGGGGCGCCATGGGCAAGCTTCAGAAGGCGGTGCGTGCCGCTGTGCTGCGTGGCGGCCCGGGGCAGGCTGCCGCGGCGCTCGCCGCGTGGGGGCGATTTCGGGCCGCGTCGGCGCGCGCGGCTTGATCTTGTATCCAGTACTAGCCGCCTCCATTGCCCGCGTGCGTCCGCGCGTCGTGCAGGCGCCTGTGGGGCACCTCGGCTGATGAGAACGTCTCGGTTGCGGTTTCGCCGCCCGTGGGGCCTCGGGCGCACCGCGCGTGCTCACGGCTCGGTCTTTCGCTCGCGTTGCGCTCGGTGCAGGGAAAGACGGGCAATGCGGCGCAGTATTTGACGCGCAATCAGGCGTTGAAGAAACTGCAGCTGAAGCTGCATGACTTCCGGCGCCTGTGCATCCTCAAGGGCGTGCACCCGCGCGAGCCGAAGAAGAAACCGCACGGCCGGCACAAGACCTACTACCACGTCAAAGGTCAGCCCCCCCGCCGCACCACTCACGTGTCACACATCATGGTGACGGCAGCGCTCACGCCCAGCACCTGTGCGGTCGCCGCCGCAGACATCAACTTCCTGCTGCACGAGCCCCTCCTCGAGCGCTTCCGCGAGATCCGCGCGTACGAGCGCAAGATTCGGCGCGCCCTGGGGCGGAAGAACCGGGAACTGGCTGACCGACTGAAAACGCGCCGCCCGGGGTACCGCCTGGACCACCTGGTGCGCGAGCGGTACCCGTCGTTCGTCGACGCGGTCCGCGACCTCGACGACCCGCTCTCGATGCTGCACCTCTTCGCGGCGCTGCCCGCGGAGCGTCGGTTCGAGATTCCGCAAAAGCAGGTCGAGGCCGCCCGGCGGCTGGTGCTGGAGTTCCAGGCGTGGGTGGTGAAGACGAACGCGCTGCGGAAGGTCTTCGTGAGCGTCAAGGGCACCTACTACCAGGCCGAGGTCATGGGGGAGTCGGTCACGTGGCTGACGCCGCACGCCCTGAGTCAGGCGCTCCCGTCCGACGTGGACTACCGCGTCATGCTCACCTTCCTCGAGTTCTACATCACGCTCGCCAAGTTCGTCAACTTCAAGCTCTACCACGCCCTCGGCGTGCGCTACCCGCCCATCCTCGACGACAAGCTCGATCGCGCAGCCGCGGGCCTCGAGGCGCTGATGCGCGACATCGCGAGCCGGGCGTCCGGGCGCGCGCCGCCGGAGCGCGACGACGACGACGACGGCGACTCCGACGCGGACGAGGACGCCGGCGCCGCGGACGCGCTGCCGGACCCCGGTATGGAGAAGCGGATGTTGAACCTGGGGGATGTTATGCCTGGCATCGTGGCGGATGCGCAGGAGGGCGACGGCGACGGCGAGGAGGGCGACGGGAGCGACGGGAGCGAGCTGGAGCCGGACAGCGGCAGCGAGGACGGGGACGGTGGGAGCGAGGAGGGGGATGGTGGGGAGGGGGAGGGGGGGGGTGTTGGGCAGGGGAAGAAGCTGGTGGGCGGGTCGGCGAACGCGCAGGCGGATGACGACGCGGAGATCTGCCGGACGCTGTTCCGCGGGCTGGTGTTCTACCTCGGGCGAGAGACCCCCCGGGAGATGCTGACGTTCGTCATCCGCAGCTTCGGGGGCGTCGCGGGGTGGGACGGCGAGGGGTCGCCGGTGACCGAGCGCGACCCGTCCGTGACGCACCACGTCGTGGACCGCCCCCAGCAGGGCCACAGGTACCTATCGCGGGAGTACGTGCAACCTCAGTGGGTGCTCGACTCGGCCAACTTCCGGTGCATGGCTCCGACGGAGCTGTACGCGCCCGGGCGCGTGCCCCCGCCGCACCTGAGTCCGTTCGTGGACGACGAGGAGGAGGGCTACGTGCCGGACCACGCGCGCGTGATGAAGAAGCTGCAGCAGGTGGCGGCGGCGGCGCGGCGGCAGGGGCTGACGGCGGAGGGCGGGTTCGTGGACGACGAGGCCGCGGAGGACGCCGCGGAGGACGCGGCTGCGGCCGGCGCGGCCGGCGGCGGCGACGCCGGCGCGGCGGCCGCGCTCGAGCGCAGGTACAACAGGGAGCTGACGAAGGAGCTAGGGGGGGGTGTTAAGGACGGGGCCCCGGCGGAGGCGATCGACGAGGACGAGGAGGAGGACGACGCGTCCGACGAGGCGGAGTCCGACGAGGCGGGTGGGTCCAGCGACGACGACGACGGCAGCGCGGAGGAGGAGCTGGGGGCGCCGGCGGCAGGCGGGGGCAGGAAGCGCGGGCGCGGGCCGGTGCCGGGGTCGGGTACGGTGGAGCTGCCGGAGGGCGGGGAGGACGAGGGGCTGGAGGCGGGCGCGGCGGCGCGGTCGCTGATGACGTCGAAGCAGCGCAAGTTCTACCACCGCATCAAGGAGGCGCAGCACCACAAGAAGCAGAAAGTCGAGGTGCTGGAGCGGCGGAAGGCGGCGCACGCGGAGGCGGAGGCGCGGCGGAAGGGTCGGCGGGCGCGGGCGTGATGGCCCCCGGGGGTGTGAGGCGGTGTGAGGCGGTGTGCTGTGAGGAAAGCGTGGACGGGGATGGCGCGTGTGTGTGTGTGCGCTGCTGGCTGATTGCGCTTGTGAGCGGGAGAGGCTGCCTTTGTGGGTTCAGGGGGGTTCTGGCACTTGCTCGCTGTCATACTTCGGACCCCCTCCAAGCCGGATGACGGGCCAGGGCTCCGCGACAAGTGGCCGCGGCGCGCGCGTGCGCGTCAGAAGGAGCCCTTGCGGTCATCGTCTGGACGAACCGCAGACATCACCTTGTGTCTCCGCTGGCGCTGTGCTGCGCTGCTAGGGCACCCGCGCAGGCCACGATGTGCGGACCAAGGAGCCTAGGAACCGCGCAAATGGCGCATCCTGCGCCATACAAGCCGCTGTACAGGCCGTCGGCCCCACGCAGACGCTCAGTCTTCCTGCGCACGGTTCGTAGGAGGGTGCAGCTTGCTGCGGAGCCCGAGTCAGCCGCGGCCGGGGGCGCACCCGCGGCGGCGACCCCGCAGAAAGGGCAGGCGGGGGTGTCGCTGGACGAGGCGATCAGGCGGCTGAGCGACGCGCTGAAGCCCGGGAAGGACGAGGCGGAGGTGGAGGCGCGAGCTGTGCAGGTGGCGGAGGAGCTCAAGGGGAGCGGGGGGCTGCGGGCGTACGGCGGGGCGAGGAGCGTGCCGAAGCGCGACTACACGCTTGAGGTAGGCTCCGCGCCGTTTCCACGGCGGCGCGCAGCGCGCGACGCACGCCCTGGTCTCTGCTGGATCGCCGCGTTCCGCGCCGGGCGGCCGCGATGTGGCGCGAACTGGCTGCGAAACGGACGTTCATATCCTCGTCCGTGCTGCAGGAGCTGCGCCTGAACAAGATCGAGGCTGAGAAGTTCCTGGCGCCGGAGGACACGACCCTGGACAAGGTCCGCACGACACTGCAGGTCGCGGCGCTCGCGGGGCTCATGGCGGCGTCGTTCGGGCTGCACTGGAAGGTCGACCAGGTCATCGCCATCCTTGGCGGCACCGCGTTCCTCCTCGTCGCGGACCAGGCGCGTCCCGCCCGCAACTTGAATTATCGCTTGCAATGCAAACACACACGCCCGTCCCCGCTCGCGCCCACCGGCCCGCCGCCCCCGCCGTCGCAGGTGGCGAACATGGGCGGCGTCGAGGCGCTCGTCGTGGACACCGCGGCGCGCTTCGTCGACAAGGACTACGCGAACCGCGTCGCCCTCCACGAAGCAGGGCACTTTCTAACGGCCTACCTGGTGGGCCTGCTGCCGCGCGACTACTGCCTCTCGTCGCTCGACGCGTTCCGGAGGTACCGCGTCCTCAACGTCCAGGCCGGCTGCAAGTTCTGCGACGGCGCCTTCCAGGTGCGCGCCTCCCCTGTCGTGGCACGACGACGTCACGCACGTGCGCGTGCCGGACAGTTGCGTTGTCGACGGCGGCAGGCGCAGCCCGCGGCGCTCGCGTGAGCCGACGCGGCGCGACTCCTTGGGCCCAGCAGACGCGTACTCCTCGCAGTACGACACGACAACTTCGCATGTGTTGTTGTTCTACTAGCGCCGACTCCCCCCAACAATCCGCGGCGCGGACCGGGACCAGCTCGCCACCCGCGGCAAGATCGGAGCCGCGGTCGTCCGAACGCGCGTCCTCCGCGTGTTGTGCAGCGCGAGGTGGCCAGCGGGAAGCTCAAGGCGTCGTCGCTGGAGCGCTTTGCGTGCGTGGCGCTGGCGGGCGTGGCGACGGAGTACATGTACTTCGGGCGCGCGGAGGGCGGCATCGCGGACGTGCAGCAGCTGGACGGCCTGATGCGCGCGCTGGGGTTCTCGCAGAAGAAGGCCGACGGGGAGGTGCGGTGGGCGGTGCTCAACACAGTGGAGCTGCTCCGGCGACACCGCGCGGTGCACGGGCGGCTCGCGGACGCGATGTACCGCGGGGAGCCCGTCGCGGAGTGCGTGCGGATCATCGAGGACGGGCTAAAGGACTGCGAGGACGTGTAGGGTCGTTGACGCAGGTGTAAACACCCCCAGGGCCGGTGCGGGCAATCGCGAGCTCTGGGGCGCGCACGAGAGGCCGGCAAGGCCACACCGGTCAGATTTGATCCAGGCTTCCCAGCGACCCGCTGCGGATGGCGTGCGTGCGCGACGCGCCGCGGTCTGTCCCTTTTGCTGCCGCCTGTCGTGCCGTCGGAGACGAGCAGGTGCGAGCGCGCTGCAAAGCGGCGTGCTGCGCGGTACTGGACGAGAAGAGAGCCGAACGCCGCGCACGATCCCGCGCGTGTGCGTGCAGCGGCGTCAGCGCCCCTTGCGTTGCTTACTGTCTCTGTGTCTGTTCGTTTCCCCTCGGTAGTTGCCTGCCAAGCTGGACCTCACGAGCGCCGCGGCTCATGGTGTCGCTCGTTGCGCACGCGGCGGATCGACAGAACGCTGCGCTTCCGCCGTTCCTGGCGCATTGCGCGCCCCCTCCTAGCGCGTCTCATCGACGACGGCCTCGAATGGGTCCGAACCACCCCGACGTAACGCTTTGTCCCGGCACACAATCGTGCGTACAGGTTCCGACTTTCTGCGCCGGCCAGAGGCAACGACGGACGCAATGACGGAGCCACGAAGCCCTGAACGTGCCAGGGCGCTGGTGGTGCCTGCTCGCGGTACATCGGTCGCTGTCGACGCGCCCCGCGGGGAGAGCCGCGCCCTCGTGCAGGGCGTCGTTGTCGCTCTCGCAGCGATGCGCCACATCCGCACCCTCGAGATCCGTGACGCGGCGATTCTGCAGCGCAGCGGTGCGGCGCTCGCACGCGCGCTGCAAGGTGCCCGCGCGCTCAGGGAGCTGAAGCTGCACGCGTGCGACCTGGTGATCAGTCCGCGCGTCCTCGACAACATGCTGTCTCGGCAGCAGGGTCTTTGCGCGTCGTTGCGTAAGCTCGACCTCAGCTCCAACAACGTCACCGGCACACCCGGCGCGATGAAGGTCGCTACGCTAGTGCAGTGCTGCACGCAGCTCCACGAGTTGCATCTCCGCGACAATAGTCTGCGCGACAGCGGCGCAAGGGTCGTCGCTGGCGCGCTGGTGAAGTGCCAACAGCTTCGAATCCTCGATTTGGACAACAACGGCATTGGCGGTCGGGGCATGGTGGCGGTTGCGCGTGGCCTCCTGAAGGGCCCGGCGCGGCACACCCTCCAGGAGCTGCGCATCTCCGCGCAGCCGGGGAAGCCGCGGGGCCCTCCTCTTACGACGGACGCCGTCGCGGTGTTGGGGGAACTGCTGCGACTCTCGCCGGGCCTCCGCGCGCTACGCATGGACGGCTACCACGAGCTCTGGGACAACGCCGCAACCGCGCTGTGCGGGGCACTAGCTCGGAACAAAACGCTGCGGCAGCTGTCGCTGAGAGGCTGCGGAATATGTGCCGTTACCATCGAGTGGTTGGTGCTGGCGCTGCGGCGGGGCCCCGCGTGCCTCGAGGAGCTGTGCCTGCAGGGCAACGAGATTGGCTTGGCGGAGGCGCAGGCGTTGGAGAGCGCGTGCGGCGGATGCAAGGTTTTTGTCAGCCATGGCAGCTGCAGCAGCAACCAGATGCCCTGGGACGCCGGTTCAGTTCTTTGCGACCCTACGCGTCTGCGGCTGGACACTCCAGCCCCTCCGCACGCGCGCGTCGGGGCGCGCCGCGACGGCGGCGAGACGGCAGCCCGGTCTGGGACTTCCACCGCTGTCCTTGCGATTGGGCTCTCAGCCGTTGCCGCTGGCCTCGCAGCTCTGGCGCTGGCGCCTCGCAGCAGCAAACGCCAGAGACCCCGGAGGACGCGAAGGAATCGCGGAGGCCGACCTGGTGCCCGGAAGGAGAGAGGAAGAACAAGTCACAAGGAGCGACACCCCCCTGAGTCAGGAGCCCTTGTCGAGTCACCAGCAGGGTGCGCCCGCTGACGGGGTCGAGTTCGGACTCGCGTCCTCGGGTGCTCTGTCCGCCGCGGGTCACCGATCCCCCCCCCTCATGCAGCTGTGACCGAGCAAGTTCATGATTTGAAAAACAGGCCCGAGATCGGGCAGTCAGGCGGGCGGTGTGCTGTGCGACGCGGGCAGAAAGCCCACTCTCCACGCCGCAGCGACAATGCTTGCACGCCACGAGCCGCCCGAGCGCCAGGCCGACGGCAGTGTGTGACGGGCGCAGCACACAGCGGTGGTGCGCGACGACGGATTTTTTGGCGTGGTCGGTCGCGAGACGAGGTATGGGTGGTGGAGATCTTGAGTTTCACGCGGAACGCAGAGCGGGGACGTGAGCGGCGAAGGGGATGGGACAGCGACTGCAGTGGGTGCTTGCGGCGCGTGGAGGGCGTCTGGCGGCGTGCGCGGTCGCTTGGGGCTAGTCCTCTTTCCACGCGTGGTGGCACTTGGTGCAGCGGTGGTACCGCGTCGTCGGCTCGTCCGCTGACCGCGTCTGAAATTCCTTCAGGTAGGCCTCGTCGTGGTGGCAGCGCGGACACATCGCTGCAGCGGCGGAGGGACGGTGTGAAATGCGCTGGGCGAGGAGCGTTGCGCGCGTCGAGACGTCGGGCGGTGGAAGGCGCAGAAGCAGCAGGTGGTTGTGCACAGGCTTGCCTTGCGTCTTCGCGGCGGTCGCCCACATCTCCTCGCTCCCGAGCACGTCGTCCACGTCTTTCTTCTCCAGGGGAACATCCTGGAGGCAGAGGATATGGCCGTAGGAGCACAGGACCGCTGGTGAGCAGGGGTGCCGTTGATTGAGCTCTGCGAAGGCGCGTCGAGCCGTCGCACCACACGAAACGGCGCTGAAAAGCTGCGACTGATCCCCAAGTACATGGACAGAGCGCGCATTGTGCCGCAGTACCCGTGTTTCGGCGCGTCGGCGGCGCTGCGTGCCAAGTGCACTCCAGCGCTACCGCCCGCAGTCGGCACATTCGGCGCACCTGCGATATCGTGCGGTCCATTTCGTACTCGTAGTCGCAGGAGCCGCAGTACAGGCGCATGAGCGCCTCGTCCGTTCCTCGGCTCGCCGCCTTCTTCAGCGCTAGCATATTTGCGCACGCCGGGCAGAACATGAGGAACACCATCTCGCTGCTTGGCGCCTACGCACTTCTAAGGACTTCGCCACGCCCTTCCGCCGCCGGCGGCTGCCACGCGCCGCCAGCTAGAGGCCGCTACCGCCCCCAAGGACTCTTCTGCTCTCCTTGCGCACGCCAGCGCTGCTCGCAGAAGCTGGCCGCGGCCGACAGGGCTCCCGTACGTGACACTCAACCTAAGTATCGCAAGACCGCGATCGCGTGTGTCGCCGAAACGCCGAAAGCGTCCAACGTGACCGGCACACAGCAATACCAGCGGCAGCCTGGAGGCGTGCGCGGCGAGTGCTTCTACCGCGATCTCGGAGCGAATCTCCCGGTCGCACTGCACGCGGCCCGCGATCGCTGTCGCACCTGGCTCCCGTGACACCGACGCGGTGTTTGGGAAGAACAAGTCTCGGACCGTCACACCCCCCTTGACATCACCACGCGACCCCGTCCATGACCTCCCTGCACTCCGACACGCCCAGCATCTCCGCCAGCAGCAGCTCGTCCACCACCGTCGCCCCCTTCCGCTCCTCGCGCGCCCGCTGCGATGCGCTGGCCCAGCCCCATCCCGCCAACCGCACCTCCGCCCGGGCCAAGGAGGCCCCCTCGCCCAGGATCGCCTCGACCCTCTCCCGCCCGACCTCGCCGCGCCAGCGCCGCAGCCCCCCCGCGCAGCCCTCGACCACGCGCACGTCAGACGGCAGGTCCGCCCCCGAGTCAGGGCGCGCGTGGTCCGGCTGTGGCGCCATCGCGCCGTCCGCGACGCCCATCCGCCGCAGCAGCGGCGCCGTGACCTCCTCCCACGAGATGCCCGCGTCGCCCGCGCAGTACAGCCGCAGCCGGCACTGCAGGCAGGAGCAGCACACAACGCACGCGACGCAGGTCTCCGAGAAGCGACTCAAGGCGGCGTGAGGCACCTCAAGGGCACGGCGCGCAGTCGGACCCCCTTCCCTCTCCCTGCGCCGCACCTGCGCCTCGTCGCCGCCGCTGTTCAGCCTGCACGCGGCGTTGATCGAGGCCACCACTGGTTGGTGAGGCACGATCTCGGGCACCAGATCCGGCATGTTCTCCGAGTCGAACGAGCGCATCGCGTCCACGTCTGCCTCCTCCGGGTCGCCCGCAGCCGCCATCTCCGCGTACTTGTCCTCCTGGTCCTGCACAACGTCGCCGAGCGCCGCGCACGTTTGCAAGTCCCGAGCACGGGCATGCGTCCGTGGGAAGCCATCGGCGCGCTCGCTGGCCGTAGGACTGTGCTACGCAGGGGGTCGCGGGCTGCTCGGTGCGCAGCGCAGCGCGCGTCAGGGCCAGCGGACCTCGATGCGTCGCAGCCACGCGGCTGTGTGCTGCGAGAACGCGTCTTTCAGGTCCGGCACGGACGCCAGCGCGCCCCAGCGCAGGAGCGACGCCTCGAGCGCCATGTCCCAGTTCTCGACCAGCTCGACCGCCGCCAGCGGTCGCACGCCTGTCCGCCCGCGCTGAAACGCGTCCTGTCGCGAATCCCGCGCCAGGCTCGGGCCGGCCCGACCTGCGCGAATTAGAGACATGGACGAGCGCCACGGTCGGCCCCTGCCCTCGACGACGGACGCCGTGGCGCGCAAAAGACCCCTGCTGAGTCAGCGCGCACCCGACTTGAGCGAACGCCCGCCGACGACGCCCTCGGCGGCGAGGACGCGCAGGAGCACGGTGGCCTCCCAGGGCTCGTTGAGCGCGGCCCAGGCGTCGCGCCCGCGCTGCCGGTACAGCAGCCAAGACGACCCTGGCAACACCTCCTGCCCCCACAGCTCCCGCGCCGTCTCGAACGCCGCTGCGGAGGAGAGCACGTGACCGGCCTCGGTTCCTCCAATCATGACTCAGCGGCGTGCATGCACGCACAGGCGCTCCGTGACGCGCACACGCGGGCGCCGCTCTCAACAGCACCCGCGCAAACGCCTTGCCAAGCCGGGAGGTAGGCAGTGAGGTACCTGCGAGGTAGAGGTCGCGCACGTCGCCCACGACGCCGTTCAGGCCGAGCACGATTGCCTGCGGCCCTCGCGCGCCGCCCCCCGCGCGCGCCCGCACACAGGGCCCCCGTACGCGCCCCACCCGGTGCCACCCCTGCGTCGGCGGCGCCCGCGGCCGGCTACGGGCCTGGGCCGCCCTGCAGCGCCCTGCCTGCGCATCGCAAGCGCTCAGCGGGGAGACGCACGTCCGAGCGACAGGCATGGCGTCTGCCGGGCGCGATCTCGCTGCCCCACCGCGGATACCCTGCCTCGGGAAATCTGCCGGGGTGTCGCACGGTGGACGTGGCGCGCCCCGCAGGCGGCGAGCACGGGCTTTGCGCGGCACGGCGGGGCGTCGTGGCCATGTGCGCGCGGGTGGCGCGGTGCGCCGGGGGGCGTGTCGTGAAGCATGACAGCGACGTAGGGGGGGCATGGTTGCGACGCCCCGGGCTCATGGGGGAGCCGCGACGCGCCACGGGCGCAGAAGCGGTGCTGGTACTGGTTGCGCGGCGCCAGTTCTGGAGTGGGGAAGCCAGCTTGCGCCCCGCAATTCGTTGCGTGCCACGTTCGCCCTAGTGGGGCCATTCTGCGCACCAGCCGGGTGACCGGGACGTAGAATCGACGTCAGCGCGTGGATACAGACTCCAACATGGCGCAGGGCGGATCTGGGGCAGGGGCGGGGCTGTCTGCGGGCGGGGCGAGCATCTGTTTCGACTGCCAGAGCGACCAGGTCATGCTGGACGCTGAGGGGTGCCGGGTGTGCAGGGTCTGCGGCGTAGGTGAGTGACGATATCACTTGATCTGCCGGTGCCGCGGTACGCTTGCGTTGACCCCCGCATCCCACGCGAGAGCGCGTTGATGTGCTGCGCAGTGAACGAGTCCGGTGTGATCGACGAGCGCACGGAATGGCGGAATTTTTCGGAGAAGGACAAGCAGACGGACGACGCTACGCGCGTCGGCCGGGCCGTGGACTTCCTGTACGAGGACGGCGGCCTCGGCGTGCAGGTGGCCGGGCAGGCCAACCGGGGCGCGGACAGCCGCGCGCGTGGCATCGACAAGTGGCTGAGGAGGGAGCGGCCGGTCGTCAAGGCCTACGTCGACCAGCTCAAGCTGCCGACGGAGGTCGCGGACGACGCCATCACGCTCGCGAGGGACGTCAAGAAGCACTGCTTGAAGAACCTCCAGGGCGTGCAGAACAAGGCGCTGGTCGCCGGCTGCGTCATCTACGCCGCGAAAATGAACGGGCACCCCGTCACGCAGAAGGTCATGCGCTACCTCGCCAAGCTCGACACCAAGAAACTCAACAAGGGGCAGAAGGCCATTGAGATCTCCATGAAGGAAGTGCTCGAGAAGGTGCCGAGCTGGAAGCAGAAGTTCGACGCCACGCACCAAGTCTCCCACCCGGCGGACCTCATGTACCAGTTCTGCGGGTGCGCGCCGCCCAGCACGCCCGCCGACGGCCCGCGCAGCGACGCGCCGCAGGGCTGACCCGCCGCGCCGCCGAGCGCGCCTGCGCGACCACGCAGCGCACCGACCGGCCCCGCTGCGTGCGCGCCGCCGCGTGCGTGCAGGCAGCTCGGCATGACGCAGACCCAGGACTGGCATCTGTTCCGGCAGGCGTGCGTGGAGACCGCGAACGCCGCGAAGCCCAAGGACGACTCCAAGGTGCAGAACCGCGTGTCGCAGGCGTGGGACGCCAAGCACCCGCAGACGGTCGCGACGGCGATCATTTACATGCTGTCGCACCTGCCCAAGTGGGTTCGCAAGCGGGCGGCAGGGGAGGTGACGTTCAAGGAGCTGAGCCACTTCAGCGGGCAGGCGGAGTCGACGATCATGCAGGTGCGCGGCGTGCGCGGCGTGCGCGAGCCCGACGTGCTGTGCACGCGAGCCGCCGGGCATGACGCGTGCGCTGTGTGTGCGTGCGAGCTGCAGGCGTACGCCGACCTGTACCCGTTCGTGCGGGAGCTGATCCCGAAATGGTTTGCGACGACCGCGGAAGTGGCGCAGCTGCCGCCGCCGCCCGCTACGGGGCGCAAGTGAAGGTCCTGCTGCGCGCGCGCGGGCCTGCAACGAGGTGGCCGCGGCGGACTCGCGCGTGCGGGCATGCGCGCAGCAGGCGCCATGTGCGCTGGTCCGCCCACAGTATTTCGACATCCCAGCGCGCCTTCGCGACAGGCGGCGCATAAATATAAAGACAATGAGTTCAGCCTGCATGTGAGACACCCGAATCCACATCCCCGGGGAGTGCATGACTCGTCGCGCCAGGCGATTCTCCGGGGCAGCTCTCGTGCCGCACGCGGCCCCCCGCTGCGCCGGCGTCATCTGCGCGCTGCTGCCACCGTGCGTGGTTCCTGCAGCAATCGCTCTCGGCCAGCTCGCTCTGTGGCCGGCGCGACCCGCAGCAGACACACAGATCGCCGCGGACAGCACTTGGCACCGCTTGCATTGTCATCCAGCTATCGGCACTCGCTCATCATCATTGATCATGTCTGCACGCCAACACCAACGTCGTCCCGCCACCCGCCGCCGGCACACGCGGAACGGCGGGATCCCAGGACGGCCCCCCGCAACCTGCCGCACGTCGTGGTCGTCGCCGCTGCGCCGCCTGGGGTCGTTATCGTGCGAGGCAGGCCCCCTCATGACGAGCATCGCGCCCTGCGCCAGTGCGCAGCTCAGTCCATCCTGCGCAACAGCCCCGCCGGACGCGTGATTATCCTACTCCGCGTCAGGCCGGGCAGGCACGCGCCCGCGGCACGGTGGGGGCGGCCAGCAGGCCGGAACTGAGCACAGCGTGGTAAGGCTTCAGGTGGCCGGCTCCTGCGGCCCCCGTCGCGGCTATATTGGGCAGACGAGCGTCGCGTCCGCGACCGGTCGTCGAGAGGGAGCTCCACCATCTCGCGCTGCTGTAACATTCCCACATACATCGCGCTGCGGACCCCTGCTGCTGGCCGTACCGTTGCACCGTGATTTTGTGCTCCATTCCGCGTTGTTCGCGACGGGGATCATGGCCGCGGTCGCTGAGCCCCCTGCGGTGATGGAGAAGTCGACCCACAGCTCGGCGGTCGAGGAGGACGGCGACGAGCCCTCGAGCCTGGTGGGAGGACAGCCCATCATCGACCACAAGAAGTACACCTTCTTCCAGGAGGCCTTCGACCTGGACTCCACCGAGGTCTTCATCGACGACTTCGTCTGCGCGCGCAGGAAGAAGTTCCTCATGCAGGCGAGCCCCGCCGACCGGCAGTGTGTCTTCACGTTTTTCACGCGGCGCTAGTCGTCCGAGCCGCGCTTCGATACAGACGCCCGCGTCCTCGCATGCGCAATGCGTCCGTACCCGTGTCGCGCCGAATCGCGGAGAGCGGCTCGCTGCCCGGGCCGCTGCGGCCGTCGGGGAGCTGCAGTTACCGCAGTGTGCGTTGGGCAGCGGAGCGCGCCGCTGGCCCGCTGACTGCGCGGCGGGGATGCGTGTTGCGCGCAGGGGCGACTGTACCTCTTCAACAAGCACGTGTGCTTCTATTCGAACGTCTTTGGCGCCAACAAGGCGAAGGTTATCCCCCTGCCAGATGTCACCGCGGTCACCAAGGCCCGCACGGTCGGTAAGGCCCCGGCAGCGCACGAACGTGAAGTGCTCCAGGCGGCATGCCGCGCGCGCGGACGGCCGTAGCCCCCGCGCGCGCCGGCGCCAGGTCAACCGCCCGCAGCGGTCACCACGCCCAGCGCCGGCCTCGCCCACGCAGGCATCCCGAATTCCCTCAAGATCTCCGTCGGCGAGAAGCACGAGTTCTTCGCGTCGTTCCTGAACCGCGCGGAGGCCTACGACAAGATCATCGAGGCCTGGATGGCCTGCTCGGGGAACGCAAAGGCCTTCCTGGCGACGCGGGTGCGGCCCCGCCGCGCGCCCTGCCCTGCGAATCGCAGCTTTGAGGACTTTGCCTCGCGTGGAACTCCGTCCATTGGTCGATTCCCGGTTCGACTCGCGCCGCTGTCAACTGCCTGCAGGAGAGCAAAAAGCACCTGTTGGCCAAGTTTGAGGACTCGGACAGCGAGGAGGACGAGAGGAGCGTCGTGTGGGAGCCCATCAAGGGCCCGATCCCGCCGCTCGACGTGCGCCCCCGCCCCGCGTGCTCGCCCCGCGGCCGCCCGCCCGCCAGCGCCTCTCACCCGAACTCCCCCGACGGCGCGCAGGCGGGGAAGGAGAGCCCGCAGCTGGTCCTGGAGACCACGCTGACGACCAGCGCGAGCCGCTTCTTCAACATGCTGCTCGCCGACGACTCGAACTTCCAGGAGGCGTTCTCTTCGCAAGTGCTGGTGCGCGCCCCCCGCCTCGCACGGCCGCCCGCGCACCCGCCGCGGCGCGCACGTCCGCGGCGAGCGTGGCGGGGCCGCACCGCGCGCCTCCGTCGCCCTCGCCGCGCTGCTGCTGCGCTGCCAAGCTGCGGTGATGGGACGCGGCCGTGTTCGTTTGCGCGCGCAGGGCGACTGGGACGTGACGATCAGCAAGTGGGGCGGCGAGCCGGACATCGGCTACGTGCGCGACTTCACGTTCATGAAGAAGATCAAGAACGCGCCGATGGGCCCCCCGAAGACGTTTTGCCACCAGACGCAGCGCCTGCGGGCGTACAGCGCGGACGGCAACGAGGCGATCGTGCTGGACTGCTCGCAAGTGATGAAGGACATCCCGTACGGCGACCGCTTCTCGGTGTGCCAGCGCTGGGAGCTCGTCGAGGGTTCGGGCGGCGAGGCGTCGCTGAAAGTGTGGGTGTGGTGCCCGTTCTCCAAGGGCTGCATGTTCAAGGGCGTCATCGTGAAGCAGTCGACGAGCGAGACGCGCGAGACGCTCGAGTCCTGGGCCAAGTGCGCGGCGGAGCGCCTCGACCCGCGCAACAAGGCGCAGCCCGCAATGGGCGAGATGGACACCATGAAGGCCGCGGCGCACAACGCCGAGGAGGGCGCGCGGCGGAGCACGGGCCTCCTGACGAAGCGGCTGCTGAAGTTCGGCGTCGCGGCGCTGCTCGTGGGGCGCGGCAACTTCAAGAAGGGTCTGCCGATGGCGGGGATGTTCCTGGCGGGGTCGCTGGTGGGGTGAGCCGCGCGGGGGGCGCGTGCGCAGGCGGGCAGGGGCTGGGGCCGCTGGGGGCGGTGTGGTGGGGGCGGCCGGGGTCGCACGCGGCGTGGTGGTGGTCAGGGATGGGCGGGGGTCGATGGTGCGTGCTGCGTGATACACGTGTGAGGCCGTGGAGCGTCGTGCGCTCGGGGGGCGGGCGGCGCGGCGGGCTGTTGGGTCTGCGTCGCGGTTCCCGCTCGTAGGTAGGGTCAGTGTGGACTGCTGTCAATTACTGCATGCTGTGTTCGTCTGCGGGGGGGGGCGTGTTGCCGCGGTCGGCGAGAGAGCTCTGAGGATGATGTAGGCGGCCGCGGTGGCTGCGCGCGGGCGGGCGGTGCGGTGGAGGAGGGACCACGAGTCATACTCTACTCAGCGGGCCGCCCGGGGCGTGCGTGACATCGCCCGAGCCTCGTGAGCGAAGGTGCCATTCGGGAGGAGCCGTGCTCCGCATTGTTCGCAGCGGTGGTGCGTGGCGCACATTCGGCGGGAGGCCGACCTGGCTGAGGTGAGCTGATGTGTCATGCGGCACTTATTCGGGGCGTGATTTCCGACCATTACCGCTGAACTGGTATGTTGTAAGCATGAAGTTCCCAGTGCGACGGTTTCTGGTGCACATAACAAGCCACCGCACTGCTCCTCGCGCATCAAAGCAACAGCACTGGATCAGAAGCCGCGCTCGCCCTCTTGTCGCCGCCGAAGCACTCGACTGTGCGGAATTTTTCGACGCTGCGTCACTGCGGCAGTCTATGTGCACCCTGACGCAGTGCCAGGGAGGTCACGGTGTGCCACGGCCGCACCGTACCACCCACACAAGGCGACCATGCAGCGTGCTCACGCCGCCGTTTCCCGCCGATGCCTTGCAGCGCCACCTGGAGTCTGCGATGAGCGACGACAATGCGCCCACACACGGGCCGAGCAATCACGGAGAGCCGGGCCTTGATGGACGGATGTCCCTCGACTACTTCCGAGGGACCGCCAAGTCCGTGGGCTTGGTGGTCAAGTTCAAGGACGTCAGCTACATCGTCCACGCTGGCAAGAAGTGCGTCCCCGCGACATTCCCTCTCATTTTCCTGGCCTTTTCGCGCCATTTCGCCGTGCATCCTGCATGCACAACAAAAAGCGCCCACGTCGACGTGGGCGACGTCGCAGCCCAGCTCCGGTGGACAGGTTCGCACACAGACCCACCCCACGCGGTCTCTCGCCTCCCTGTCCCCGTCACTGCAGGAACGAGCTCCGCATCCTGAACAACGTCACTGGCATGCTCATGCCCGGGAAGATGACCGCCCTGATGGGCCCGAGCGGGTCCGGCAAGTCGACCCTGCTCGACGTCCTCGCCGGGCGCAAGACCGCCGGCCAGGCCGAGGGCACGATCGAGTTCGGCGGCGAGGAGCCGACCCTGTCCTTTCTCAAGCGCTGGACCGGCTACGTGGAGCAGTTCGACACGCTGCTGGACGCGCTGACGGTCGAGGTGCGCTGAATGATCGAGTGTGTCTCACACTGCCTCGCGGGCGAGTGCGTCTCGTGCTGCTGGAGCCGACCGTTGGCGTGTGCGTCTGTGTGGGGCTCCGCAGGAGATGCTTACGTACATGGCGCACCTGAAGAGAAGCCACAGGGAGAGCGCGGCGTCGAAGAGCGCGGCCGTCGAGGCGATGATCGCGTACCTCAACCTCGGGTCGTGCCGCACGACCATGATCGGCAACCCGCTGCGCCGCGGCATCTCTGGCGGGCAGGCCAAGCGCGTGAACATCGGCATCGCGCTCATCACGGAGCCGCGCGTGCTCTTCCTGGACGAGGTGCGCTCCCGGGGTGCGCGGCCCTCGCGGCGCGAGCTACGCAGCGCGCTCCGCACCTTGGCAGACATGCTGCTTCCTGCCACGCCGGTGCCTGCAGCCGACGAGCGGGCTGGACTCGTACACGGCAGACGAGGTCATGTCCGTGGTGAAGGACCTCACGCGGAGCGGCGTGACGGTGTGTTCTACTATTCACTCCCCCAGCACTTACACCTTTGAGTTGTTCGACGACATCATTCTGCTCTACGCCGGGAACGTGATCTACCGCGGGCAGACGGGCGCCGAGATGACTGCGTACTTCAACGGCCTGCGCATGAAGATGCCGGACCGCCACGCGCACGAGACGGAGGCCGAGTGGATGGTGCGCGCCACAACGGCGCACCGCAGCAAGGGCGGCGCGGAGGCGGTGAACTTCGCCCAGCACTGGGCGGACAGCACGGAGCGCCGGAAGCTCGAGGACGCGATGGACAGCCGCGTGCTCAGCGAGGCGCACACCACCATGCGTGACGTCATCGCCAAGGTACGCGTCCGCGCTGCTCCCACCCCAAGCTCGAGCACCTTCGCGCGGCATGCCTGCTCCCGAGCTGTATCCTCTGCGGGCCTGACTCGCGTGCCCCGCCCGCCCCACGTCCGCCCGGGATCCCACAATGGCCAATCCGATGGGTGTCACCTCGCTGTCCGCAGGACTCCCGCCGCGGCAAGGCGACGGCTGTGCCGTGGTACTACGCGATGCTCACTATGTTCCGGTTCCGCGGTCTGAACAACTTCAAGAACTCGGAGTACATGGGCGCGCGCATCGGCGACAAGCTGCTCGCGAGCCTGGTGGTGATGTCCATCTTCTGGATGCAGGGGGACGACACCGACGGGCCGCAGAAGATCATCAACACGGGCAGGTGCGCAACCCGCGTCGTGCCGAGGCGGGCACCGCGCTGCGCACAGCCGCGTACAGTTCGCGTCACGACGCCTCCCCCCGCCCCGCGTGCAGCATTCTATTCATGGCGGCGGTCCTCCCGAGCTTCGGCGCCGCGGCGTACATCCCATCGATCGTCATGGAGCGCGCGCTGTTCTACCGCGAGCGCGCGGACGGGTGCTACTTCACAGGGACGTACGTGATCTACAAGATGCTCGAGGAGTTCGTCGTGGCCGCGCCGCTCACACTCGTCCTGAGCCTCATCACCTTCTACCCGCTCGCGCTCCTCGGGAACTTCGCGGCGTACTGGCTGTTGTACCTCTTCACCCTGACCACGGGAATCTCGTTCGCGTACGTCGTGGGGTCGATCAGCAGCTCCATGGAGGTCGCCAACGCGCTGCTGCCCGCGGTGGTCGTCGTGCAGCTCTTCGTCGCCGGCATGATCGTCCTGCGGCCCCAGATCCCTGTGTACTATATTTGGTTCCACCACATCGACTGGCTGACCTACTCCTTCCTAGGCGCGCCCCCTGCCGCACCGCTGCGCTCCCACGCCCACCGCCGCGCTCGCAGCACGGTGCCTCGCGTCGCTGTGCTGACGCCAGTGCAAGTGCCCCGCCGTTGTGGCATCATGCAGGATTCATCCAAAACCAATTCAGTGGAGTCGACAACGCCGTCTTCACGTCCCCGGACGGCAACCTGACGCCCGTGCAGTTCTACGACGTGGACGGCAGCTTCCCCCCCAACGAGTGGGGGTGTGTTGGCGTCCTGATCGGCTTCACTGTGGTGTTCACCGCGCTCGCGACGCTCACGCTGTCCAAGGTCAACATGGTGCAGCGCTGAGGACGCTCGCCGTGTAATCATAATAGTGAGAGCCGCGTCATCGGCAGCACTCAACGCAGCTTGCACTACACGCAGCGCGTATGAGCGCCGGCTATCGGCATGGCGCCTGCCCAGGTCCGGAGCCGCGTCCGACGCCCGGCCGGGCGCAGGGCCCGTTGATAATATACCAGTGGGACAAATACTTCTGATCATACCCGGGGGTGACCCCCCCAGGAACACCATGCCTCATCAGGTCCGCGGGAAGCGTCCGTCGTGACTTGGTGCGCGGTCTCGCGTGTCTGTGCGCGACTTGTCCAGCTGCCTGCACCGGCGGTGAGAGCGCTGGAACGCTGCTTTGGTCGGAATGTTGCCCAGGAGCGCGCTTTGCGTCTCGTTCCCGGGATAACCGGCGCCGGCAGCGACATGACGGCCTCGTGCCATCATCGCTTCCCTGTGCTCAGCGCGCCATGGAGTCCGCCTCGGGTGCGAGGGCCTGCGACGACGCGGCCCAACAAGTGCCTGGGAGTGCGCCCCTCTCGTGCGCCGTACCCATGCATTTTCGCGCGGACCTTTCGGAGACTCTGCGTTCATGCGAGCATTGAGATTGACGTCGACGGTAGAGGGATCCCAGAGGATGGCGCGGCGAAACGCGAGAGGGGGGACTGGCACCCGGCAGCCGAGCGGTTCTGGCTGCGGAGAATCGGGGCGAGCCGAGCGAGGGTCGAGTCCGCGATCAAGACGACGAAGTGGGAGTGCTTGTACCGCGAAGAGGGAAAGGTGGCCTCACTCCCCTGCGCTTCGCGCCACGGAACAAAGCCATTACAATTTCACCCCAAATGCGCGCACGCCTGGCGCTGCCGCCGGTCATGACGTCTCCGCGACCTGCGCACGCTGTACCATAGGCCGAACAAGCGCTGGAAGGCCTGCGGCGTGCTGCGCCATGGCTGGGAGAGACCGCCCTGCGCACCGCGCTGCGCAAGAGCCCAGGACTGCTCGCGCGGTCGCCCGCGACGTACGCGGACGTCGCCGCCGTCCTCGAAGAAATGGTCCCGAACGCCGACCTCGAGAAGGTGCGAGAACTCGCCCTCTCGCCCAACCCCGCGAGCGCAGGGCGCACGAACCTTCCCCCCTGCTGCATCGCAGCGTGGACGGGCAGAGAGCCACCGGCTCCGGACTCGAAGCCCGCAAGATCGATTCGCTGACCCTGCCAGTGCGTGCGCGCCCGCAGGTCATGCTGCGGCACCCGGTGGTCTTCCTGGCGTCCCCCGACCGCCTACGTCGCGCCCTCTCCGTTTTTCCCCCGGCCGGCCGCGGCCGCGTCCTGCGCGCGGCGCCCTCGGCCCTGACGCGCTCCGAAGAGACGCTGCGCGCCAAGGTGCGCTCCGTGGGCGAAGTGCTGCGTCTCGACAGCTACAGCGCCGCCATGACAGTAGTGCTCCGGGAGCCGCGCGTCCTGCACTGCGAGCCGACGACGCTGCAGCGCAACGCGCAGCGGCTCACCCAGACCGTGAACGCCCTGTGGGGCGGCAGGGGGGGCTCTCCGGACCGCGTGTGCGCCGCCATCGCTAAATGTCCAAGCCTTTTGTACCAGAACAGCTCCACACTGATCGACGTCAAGCTGCCCTGCCTGTGCAAGACCACGCAGGAGTACCTGGGCCTCAGGTAGCGCCCCCGCTGACTTCGCCGTCCGCCCGCATGCCACCAATCATGTACTTGCAATGCCAGCGCTTACCAACCCCACGACGACGCCTCGGCGGTGCTTTGCAGCGGGGTGGGGGACATGCTGGTCGCGGCGCCGGGTCTGTGGCGCTCCCGCATCCGCGCCACGACGGCCCCGAAGTTCTTGCTGCTGGCCGAGGCGTGCAACGCGCGCGGCATGGTGCGCTGGCGCACGTGGCTGCGCGACCCCGGCAGCGCGGGGTCCATCGGGCGCGTCCTCTCGGGCTCCAAGGCGCGCGTCGCCCGGCTCCTGTTCTGCGCGGAGAACGACAACCCCTCCCTGTGCGCGTGGGCGGCGCGACAGTCGCCGGGGACGCTCGCCGTCAAGTACACCGACGCGCAGTTCTTCGCGGTGCTCGCGAAGCACGGCGTGAGCGAGTCGGACTTCAAGCGGCAGTGGGTCGGGCGGTACCGGGACCGACACAGAGAGCCCCCCGGAGTGCCCGACGACGCAGCGGGGAGGAGGGCCGACGGAGAGCTGAAGAAGCTGTCGCAGGGGCTCAAGCTCGTGCTGGAGGCGCGTGGTCTAGCGGGGGAGGTCGTGCATGGGCTGGATTCACCCGACGAGGTAGACGATGGGCAACAACAGCCGCCGGTTTGAGAGATGGATCACAATGCATCGCGCAGGGCTGTGGCGTTGTGATTGACTGATTAATTGATGGCGCGGGCACGGCGTGAAGGGTAAGCATGCTGCGCAGGGTGTCTGCGGGCACTCCTCTCCGTCACGCGAGGTGTCGATGTTCCGAATCGCGGGCGGCATTCCGCCAGGGCGGCGTCAATGCACTGCCGCAGCCGGTCCGGCGCCGCACGAATGCGTGTGCGTTGCCGTCAGGCCAGCGCGGCAGGACGCGATCCTTGGAACGCCGCAGCACCCATGGATCGCCCTTGCTACGCTGTTTTCGAGCCCAACTACATCACCGCGCAGCAACCGCCGCCGCTGCCACCACCGCCGCCCTCGGCCGCCGCGGGCACGCCCGCCGCCTTGGCCTTCTTCGACTGCACGAGCTTGCGCTTCTGGTGCTCCACGACGTACTTGGCCGCGAGGTCGGACTGGAGAATGCCCTCGAGCTTCTGCGCGCAAGGCAACGCAACAACAGTGCGACGTTGGCATGCAAGCAGCCCCCGCATCAGGCAACACGCCACCTCGCGCCACGACCGCCCCTGACCACGCACCTCGACCACGGTGCTCATGCTCGGGCGGTCCGCGGGGTTGTCTGCCCAGCACTGCTGCACCAGCGCCGCCACCGGCGCGGGCCACTTCTCGGGGATCTTGGGTCGGTAGCCCTCGGCGACGAGCGTCGCGTGGCGCTCGATGTCCTCGGGGGTCCCGCCCGGCACCATGATCACTTGCAGCTGGATGGTTAGAATCTCGTACATGATCATGGCGAAACTGAACACGTCCGCCTTCTCGTTGTACTTCTCCCCGCGCTGCACCTCGGGCGCCATGTACATGAGCGACCCCGTGCCGCCCGTGAGGTCCTGCGGGACGTACACGTCCTTCGTGGACTTGGTGCCCGGAACGATCTGCGCCTGCCGCATCGTCATCGACCGCCGGTAGCTCGCGAGGTCCGTGGGCTTCTTCCTCTCTTGCTCCTCGAACTTGCTCAGGTCCGCCCGGACGCGCTCGTTCCGCTGCTCCACGAGCCGGCTCAGCCCGAAGTCCGCAATCTGCGACTCACGCGAGGGCGGCGCGCGCTGGTTGTTGCCCGCGGTTGCGACACAGGTCGCCGACGTCTGTCCGCGCGGGAACTACGCCGTGTTGCTGCGGGACGCGCGCTCGCACCTTGGCGCGGCACGACGGGTCGCTGTAGTGGTGGTTGGTCAGCAGCACGTTTTCCATCTTCATGTCGCGGTGGATGACCTGCGGGTTGGCGTTGTGCAAGTACTGCAGACCCCGCGCGATGTCGAGGATCCAGCGCAGGCCGGTGTCCCACTTGTACAGCACGCCGTTCAATGTCGACATCTGCTCCCCCAGCACGTCGCGCAGGGCGCCGCCCGCGCAGAACTCCTGCGCAAGAAACACCTCCCCCGCCTCCTTCACGTCGCCCGCGCCTGCAGTCCACGTGAGCCAGGGCGCGCGGGTGGTCGCGTTCCGTCTCATGTGTGCCATGAGTGTGCAGCTCACGAATCGCAAGGAGCTGCAGGTGCGTGTGGCGTTGAGCGGGGCGGCGCACCGGACATGGCGCGCTGTAGCTTCTCCTGCGCGGTCTCCGTGCGCTCGAGCCCGGAGCCGTGCCTGGACGGCTCCTCCTCCACCGTCCCGATGCCACAGAAGGAAACGATGTTGCGGTGGGCCAGCTTCCTCAGGAGCTGCACCTCCGCGATGAAGTCCTTGAACGCGCGGTCCTCGAGGTGGCCGTTCGCGTGGAGGCGCTTCACGGCCAGGTCCTTGGCCACCGCGCCCGGGGGCTCGTACACCATCCACTGCACCACCCCGAAGCCGCCCTCGCCCTGCACGCGGAACAGACGCGTGGGGACGTTGGAGGTCCTTGTACTGAAGCCACAGAGGCGGAGAACAGCGTGGTTGCGGCGTGGCCAGCCGCTGGGGCGGCCACGTGAGGGCAGGAGTGTCTTCAGCGGGCCAGGTGCGGTAGCAGCGCGCGCGCGCCCGGCAGCGGAGCGAGCGAGGTCCTCAGTTCGAGTTCCGTTCGGCTGGGCGCGCGGGGGGGCTTGCCAGCTTCTTGACGGGCCTCAGGTGCTGCCACTGGAGCTCCAGGTCCCCAAACATGTCGCGGAGGGTGGTGAACTTCCCAGAGGCGATGTTCAGCGTCCTGACGCTGTTCACCGCCTTCGTCCAGCGTCCGCTCCCGCCCTTCGAGGACGTCTTGACCAGGATGTCCTCCGCCGTGGCGGGCGACCCGCCTTGCTTTCCGTCTGCATCTGCGGGCGAGTCGCGCTCATGGGCTTTGCTGCGGCCGAACCGAGCACCGCAACGTGGCTTGATCGCGTACAGCATGCCCGTGAACGCTCGGAACGGGGGCATGGCGTGACGGCGTTCAACGCCTCGCGGCACTGTTGTTGCAGCCCTCACCCGTCATCTTGCCGCCGGCGAGCGTCTGTGGTGCACCCGGTAGCGCCGGGGCTGCCTCGCAGAAAGCGAGAGAACCTGCACATGCGCGGCGGGCCGCACAAGTCTGTCACGCGAGAGCGGTGACGCGAGATTGTGGGCAATCGTCCTAAGGGCGCGAGGCACATGATGGTGTCCAGCGGCGCAGGGCCATCCGCCGCCGCACACGCGCGCGCGCGCGGTGGCCCGCTCGGCCGTGAAGGGATCCGTCCATCGCGCGGGCGGGTGGGACGCGGCGCACGGACGGCGGGTGAGCGATGGCGGCGGCCTGTGTACCCTCCCACAGGGGGGGCACGGGCGCGCGGGGGCCCGGCCGGCGTGCGCGAGCGGGGCGACGCAGCGCCTGTGCGGCACGACGATCTGGGCAGCGCGATGCGGGGCTTTGCGGTCCCGGGGGCGCGCACCGTCACGGGTGGCTGCCGCCGACTCTGATGGCGAACTGGTGGTGCACGGGGGGGCGTGGAGCTTGTGCGAACGCGCGGCCGACGGAAGGACCTGGTGCGCTCGGATAGTCGGGGGCGCACGTGCGGGCCGGCGCGCAAGACGGCGGCGCGCCGAGCTCCCTCGCCGCACGTGCGTGTCGCACATGACGCAGCCGAGTCAGGCTATTCCAAATCCGACGGTTGCGCCAGGTCTGACGGTTGCAGCGGGGCATGCGGGCCGATTGCGGCCCGCCCGGGCCGCGCAGAGCACACTGCGCGCCTGGCTCCATCGGGCGACCGAACCTGTCCTTCGACTTGCACTGTAACCCTCTCGGGGCAGGGCGCGGGGCTCCCCGGGCCACCCGTCGCGATGAGTGACGCGAAGGATGTCAAGGTCGAGGTCGACAAGCAGAAGCGGGCCAGGAAGGAGCTGCCGCCCATCAAGCGCAGCGTGGTCCTCTTCTGCTGCGTCCTGGTGCGCCACGCCCGCGCTGGATGGATGCACGCAGCTCGCGGCGAAACCGAGGCCCGCTCGTCCGCGCGTGCCTCCCCTCGCAAACACCACCGCCACGCAGTCTCGGGAGGCCGAAGCGCGTGATCGGTTCGAATCGCGACGGTCGCGGGCGAGTTGGTGGTGGTTGCATGTACTCGTCAGCGGGCACGGAACCCAGTTGAGCCCCCCGGCGTTCCTTGCCCTCGCAGCTCCTCACCGTGATGCTCGGCTGCATGGTGTGGGCGGCGGTCGTGACCGCGAAGTGGGATGCCGAGAAGGACGAGGAGCGAGCCAGGCAAGCACGCGCGCCCCTGCTCGCGAACTCGCCCCAACGACGTCCCACCGACTTGGTCAACGACCGACCAAGTCGAAGTCGTTTCGGAACGTCCGCGAGTCGTCTCGTCTCCTGTACATGCCGCTGGGCGTCGCCCCCGCTGCTGTTGAGCAGCGCGACGCAGTGCCGCCGCGAGGCCACTTCTCCCGCCTGCGCCGGCCCGGCAGCTGCGTCCTGCCCGCTCCTACGTTCGCGGGGTCCGTGCTGTGGGTTGCAGGAACTCGTTCGACCCTTTCACGGTCGACAACTGGCAGTATGGGGATCTGCTGGGGCCCCAGGTGCGCGTCGGGCCCGCCACACCCCGCTGGGGCTCGCGCTGCGCCCTCTGCCTCGCAGACATGCGCGAGAGCTGGCATGATCATGCGCGGCAGCGCCGTGCGCGGCGTGCGCGCCCTCAGCAGCACCGCAACTGAAATGCCGCCAAAAGCACGCGCGGTGGCCCCAATCTTCTTCGTCTCCCCGCTGCAGATCTGGCCGGATGCCTGCGTGACGGGCACTTCACAGTCGCCGATCGACATCCGAGTTGCCGGGCAGGGCGGGTTCACAGCCAGCACGCCCATCACCATCACTTACGCGAACCCCACCAACACAATTTCAGGGAGCGTGACGGATTCCGGCAAGGGAGCCATGCAGGTGAGGGCGGAGGGTCGTGCCGCGCGTGTGCGGCCCCTGCACCGCCCGCTGTGGGCACAGATGCAGGGGCGGACTCGGCGCGCGATTGCGGGCCGCTGAGAGGCCTGGGTGGCCTCTCTCAGCACGCAGCGGCATGATCAGTCCGCTAGGACACCACTGGGTTGCATTTCGGGACCGATGCCTTGAGACGTGCTGTTCGTGTCCGTCCGCGCTGCAGGCCAACGTCTCTCCCGGGCAGACGCTGACCCTGCGTTCGTCGAACGAGGTCTACACGCTCGTCTCCATCACGTGCCACGGCCCGAGCGACCACACGCGGGACGGCCGCGGCGCTGACGCCGAGTGCCAGTTCACGCACGAGGCAACCATCGACGGCGCGAAAAAGACCGCGATCCTCTCCGTCTTCCTCACGGCCACGGACGGTGCGAGGCTCCCGCCACCCCTCCGCACGTCCCCGCAAGCGGCCCGGTCCCCTGCATGGCGGCGACGCGCGCTCCCGAGCCCCACACGCCTCCACACGCCGCCGCCGCTGCGCAGGCATCCCCGCGAACGTCGGCTTCGATCTTCTGCTCAAGAACGCGCCGTCCAAGAGCGCTGCTGGCAACCGTCGCATGCGCAACCTCCTGCAGAACAACGCGTTCAACAACGTCGCCATCAACAGCCTCCTGCCGCAGACCACCTCGTACGCCGTCTACACCGGCTCGCTGACGCAGCCGCCGTGCACCGAGGGCGTCACCTGGTACGCCGTCCCCCGCGCAGCCTTGCGCGCCCACCGCACGTTGCCCGCGGGAGCTGACGACCGCGCGGCGCCCTGTCCCGCTGCCGCGCAGGGTGGTCATGCTTGCCGACGTCCAGGTGACGCCGCTGCAGATCCTCGAGCTGCTGCGCTACGTCGGCAACACCGAGCTGGGCCTCAACAACCGGCCGACGCAGGCCCTCAACGGCCGGACCATCTCCTACTTCAGCGGGGGGCGCTAGCGACCCCACACCTGCGTGACGCCGCATGGCGGGGCCGCGGGAGGGCGAGCATGCACCGAGGGCCCCAACCGGGCCGCCCGCCGTGCCCGTGTGATTCATTGCACGGATTTGCCCGTGGCACCGTGCGAGCGATCGGCGTAGCAGCGCGCGATCACAAAATTTCGTTCCTTGCTGTGGAAGTGCGACGCCCAGCGTGCCCCGGAACGCCGCACCCCGGAGGCCCCGACTCGGCCCCACGTCCGCCACACGGGCCGCGAGCCATTCGGGCGGTCAGCCGCCTCGCCACGCGGACGGCGCCGCTCAGTGCAGCATGATGCCGACGTCGTAGGTGACGATCCCCGTCGCCCCCAGGCGCTTGCACTTCGTCACGAGCTGCCGCGCGACCTCCTCGTCGACGACGACCTCCACGGCGACGTGGCGGTCGCTCAGGAGCGGCGAAACCGTGGGGCTGAGCTCCGAGGGCAGCAGCGCCACGACGTCGTCCAGCCGCGAGCGCTCGAGGTTCATCTTCACGCCCACCTTGCTGCGGCCCTCGACGGCGCCCTGCAACAGCGAGGCGAGGTCCTCGATCTTCGCGCGCTTCACGGGGTCCTCCCACGACTGCCGGTTGGCCACGAGGCGCGTCGTCGACTCCAGGATCGTCGCGATGATGCGCAGCTTGTTCGCGCTGAGCGACGCGCCCGTCTCCGTGATGTCCACGATCGCCGCCACGCCGGGCAAGCGGGCCTGCGCGCAGCGGAGCGAGCCAAGCGTGAGCGCACACGCTACGCAACGCACACAGCCGCGCACGCATGCCAGCACGCTCGCTCCCCGGGCGCCAGGCCCCGCCGACCGGCGGCTCGCGTTCTGGGCCAGATGTCGGGACGCTGTCGGCGCACCTTGACCTCCGTGGCGCCCCAGGAGTACTCTACTTTGCGGATGGGGATGTTGCGTTCACGGAAGAACCGCTCCGTGGTGCCGACGAGCTCCGACGCGATGATGGCGTCCCCGGCGAGGTCCTTGGGCTGCAGGACGGAGGAGTTCTCCGGCACCGCGAGCACCCACCGCGCCGGCGCGCTCGTCGCTTTGGAGTACTTGAGCTCGCACACCTCCACAACGTCCGAGTTGCTCTCGACCACCCAGTCGTGGCCGCAGATGCCGCAGTCCAGGACGCCGTCCTCGACGTACCTTGGGACCTCCTGCGACCGAGGGACCGGCCGAGCAGTGTACAGGAGATGTTGCAGGGCAGCAGGGGGCGCTGGGGGGGCGCCCTGCGCAGGTGCTGTACCTGTGACCTCAGGAGCACGGCCGCGAGTTCGTCGTCGTTGATCTTCGGGAAGTACCCGCGCTCGGAGATCTTCACCTCGAAGCCCGCGCGATTGAACAGCTCCTGAGTGCTCTTCTGCAACCACGGCTCGTACCAACGAACGAACGATGGAATGCCATGCGTGTCAGATCATTGAGAGAGGGGAAAAGCCTGTGCGGACAGCCATCCCGTCCATGCCCGCCAGGTACCGCAAACGCGGCTGCTGCAGGTGCGGCGGGGCTGCCCAGCAAGGGCGCCCGGAACTCGGCGGCCCGCGCCGCAACGCCCGCAACTACGCTCTGAGAGCAGCCTCGGAGCCATGTGCGCGCTGTCGCGCTGATCCACGCCATCCAGAAACATCTGTCGACGTCCCGCGGAGGCCCGCCAACGGCCAGGCAGTTGGCATGGTCACCACGGCCGGCGGCGCACCTGCAGGGAGCCCTTCGGGAATCCGAACTTGAGGGGCAGTGCCCCCTGGCTGTGGGCGCCCGCGAACAGGTCCTCGCGCCCGGGCTTCTGGAAGCGCGTCGCGACCGCGCGGCGCGGTTGGGTGGGCACTGCCGCGCGGACTGGCAACGCGGACTGCAGCATCGTTCCTGTCGGGGACGCGCGCGCTCCTGCGAATGATACGAGTGTGCACGAGCTGCGGAGGCGGCGCGCAGAAGTCGGCGCCGCGCCACGCGGCCCTGGAGGCCCCGTGAGAGAGACTGTCACACAGGCAGCTTCCCAGCCTGGCCATCCCTACGCGGCGGCAGACTGGTATTCACGACTTCCGCTCCCTCGTGACCCCTTGGTCTCCCTGCCGCTAGCAGCACTCGCCGACCGGCTTCGGCACCGCCCCCGCACCATCCACCGCCGCCTCCTCCTTCGACACCAGCCGCGGCATCGCGAGCGGCGCAGGGTGCCGCACCACCGCGCCGCCTCCCCGCACGTGCCGCACGTCCACGCCGCGCCGCGCCAGCTCCGTCGCAATGGCGACCCGCTGCGGACACGACGTGTACTCCGCCTCCGCACACATCAGCGCCCACAGACGCCCGCGCGGCGCACCCGACCCGCCAGCAGGCGCCCGGACCAGCCCCTGCATCCACACAGAGACACACACACTTGATTGATACCGCACTCGCCCCGGGGCCGCTCCTGCAGCCCGCACACGCATGGACTGGTCAGACAGGACGTGCGGGCGCCGCACCATGAGGAGTTCGATGGCCCGGCGGCCGGCGTCTGTCTTGAGCTGCTTCGTAATACCTCCCGGGGTGAGACCCCCCAGCTGCTGCCCGCGCCACTCGTACGCGATGCCGCGGTCCGCGAGCGCGCGCTCCAGCGACGCCTTCTTGAACTGCGGGAACCGCCCGCTCGCTGCGGCCACGAACAGAGGCACAACGGGGACGCCTCAGCACAGACCGACTGGCAGGCAGTCGCCCACCGCGACCAGCACCGACGACCGCTGCGTCCATGCGAGCGCGCACGCAGCAGCGGAGTCGTTCGCGTCTCACCCGGCACGCTGCGCACGTCGATGATGCCCTGCACACCCGCACCCGCCAGCACGTCCAGGAAGCCCGCGAGCGTGCGGTTCGAGTGCCCGACCGTGAGGATCTGCGCGCCGCCGCTGAGCGTCGCCGGCGGCGTGCGGGGCTGCGGCGTCGCCGCCGCGCTCTGGGGCGGCCCCGGCGGCGACACCACACTGGCACCGGCGTGGGGTTGCCGCGCGGCGTGTGGCGGTGGCGGGGCGGTGCCGGGCGCTTGGACGCCCGGGAGGGCGGCTGGCGGCCTCGGTGTTGCGCTTGGTGTCGCGGAGGTTGCGTGTGGCGGGGCGCGCGGGACGGCGTGCGCGACGCCCGGCTGGTGCTGGGGGCGCTGAGGGGGGTGCGCGGGGGGTGGCCGCGAGAGTGCGGGGCCGGGGCGGGGCGCGGGGTGCGACGTCTGGGTCGGCAGACCAGCGTTCATCGGCGTAGAGGGGCTCGAAACTTGCGTGGGCTGCGAGCCGAGCGTCCTGGGTCTCTTCGGGGCGCGTGGCTGAGTTGGTTGCTCTGGCTCGTCGAAGTGGCTGTTGACGTGGCTCGCGATCTGCAGTGCATCGTGACAGTACAGGGCGTGGATTGAGCTTCGGAAATCGTGACTTGAGCGCGGGGGCCGCGCGGCCTGGCGTTGAGGTTCAAGCAGCTACTCGCGGGCAGCGCGCTCTGCCCACACTGAGTCGTCCGCCGCGGCACATTCGCTATGTCAGGCACTGTCGGCAGTGAGATATTTGAAATGCGCGCTAGATTTCGGCTCTGTAGCCTCAAACGAGTCCGCGCGGGGCTTCACCAAAGCAAAGTGGACGTTGCGGCCGCAAACCGGGCACGCTTCCAGCCTGCTCTGCGAGCCCATCCTGTTCTGATCGCGATTGACCCTGCTGCACCTCCAACCTGCAGCGCCCGGCCGCGAACGCGCCCCAACGACGCGCCCCTCCCTCGGACTGCCCCGGGTGCCTCCACACGCACGCAGCGGTCGACGCGACCATCGCCCGCACGCCCCCTCGTCCACAACCGCACCACCCCGGCTCCGACCCACACACCCTCCAGCTTTGCCAGGCCACACAGCACGCCCACGACGTCACTGGAGTTGATGACCAAAGTAGCAATCGATACGCATGAATAACGAGTCTCACAGGCGCCGGCGAGCACCTCACGGCGCCCCCGCCCCCACGGTCCGCGCGGCCCTCTTCGCGGCGCGCGTCGCCTCCTGGATCGCGAGCAGCAGCTCGGGCGCGTGCAGGTCTGCGTGCGCGCGCAGGAACTCGAGCGACCCCATCTCCGTGAGGCGGCTGACGGTGCGGTCGCGCACGAAGCCGAGGTTGTCGTCCACGACGAGGTCGTCCACCACGGCCTGCGCGGTCGGGTCGGACTTGAGTCGCGCTTCCATGTCCTGGTGCGTGACGACGTTGTTGAACAGCTCGAGCGGGGGGCCGTCCGCGGAGAGCACGAGGCGCGTCTTGTGCTCGTACAGGACGTCCACGAGCGTGACGAAGCGGTACGCCTGCGCGCGCGTCGCCGCGGAGAAGCACGGCACGCCCGTGACGCAGATGGTGTGGAACGCGCCCGCCAGCGCGATGTAGTCCGACGCACCGACCGCCTGCACGCGCGGCAGCGGGGCCGGAGCGCGCCGTGAGCTGCGCGCAGACAGCGCACGCGGAGCCGGGGGCGCCGCGGGCGCGCAGGTGCAAGCGAGGCGATGTACCGCCCCAGTTCTTCCCCCACTGCGGCGTCTTGACTGCGGGGGTCGCCCGGGGACCGCGGAGGGCCCCCGGGAGGCGGCTGGATGCTATGATGTCCGGCGCGGCAGTTCGGGCAGCACGCGGACGTTCCAGCGTGGGCCCTCTCGGCTGCCGGCCGCGCACGAGCGGCGACGCGCGGCCGCTGCGCGGGTCGCACCTTCCCGCAGAGCTCCTGGAACGTGAAGAGCGCCGCGGGGTAGTCCAGCCCGCTGCGGGGGATGTCGAGCTTGCGGCCCATCATGACCTCAATGCTGCGGGGCGCGGGGGCCTCCTTTCCGTGGCACATCTCAAGGAAGCGCTTCTCGACGGCCTCGTTGCGCTGCGGGCCCGTGACGTACAGGCCCGTCGTGGGCGACGCGAGCTTGCGGTAGTCGACCGCCGACGCCATGTCGTGCACGACGCAGCGGTCGTTGACGCCGGCGATGAACGGCAGGAACAGCTCGCGCTGCAGCCCCTTCTCGTACAGCTTCTCCGGCACGCGGTTCGACGTGCACACCAGCACGAGCCCACGGTTCCTGCGGAGGTGCGCACGAACACCACGGCACGTCCTGTGAGGAGCGCGCAACGCGGTGGACCCGGGGGCGGCGTGGCGGAGCGCGCTGCGTCGTGTCAGCGTGGCGCGGTGGGCGGTGTGGGCGCGCACCAGAGCTTCTTGAAGAGTCTGTGCAGGATGGAGGCGTCGGCGACGTCGGTGACCATCAACTCGTCGAGGCAGAGCACGCGCGTGCCGCGAGCGACGATGCCGTCCGCGACCGCGCAGAGCGGGTCCTTGTGCGGCCCCTCGAGCTTCGCGAGCGCCGCGTGAATCGACAGCATGAAGTCGTGGAAGTGCGCCCGCCGAACCTGCACGCACGCAGCGGGCAGAAAGTCGGGCATCCCGACATGCCGGACCGCGGCACATGCGGACAGGAGATCTGCGCGGCAGCGGCGGCCGGTGCCGCATCGCGGCGAGTGTTCACGCTGCGCGTTCTCGCAAGCGGTCTGCAGGGGCAGCGCTGTCCGCGCGCCAACGGCTCCGGGCGCTCACCCCCCAGTGCGCGGGCGCGTTCGCGATGAAGAGGTCCATCAGCATCGTCTTCCCGCACCCGACCCCGCCGTACATGTACAGCCCGCGCGGGCCCAGGCGCGGCTGCTCGTCCGGGCTGGCCTCGGCGCCCCCGATCAGATTCCGCCACCAGGAGCCCCCCGTCGACATGTCTTCGGGCATCTCGCCCTCGAGGGAGTCGACCGCGGTGAGCCCCGAGTGCTTGGGCTTTGGTCGCAGCGCCCGCGACAGCTCGTTGTGCAGCTCCTGCAGCTTCCGAACCGTCTCGACCTGCCGGGCGTCCGGACGGTAAATGCCTTCCTCGAGGCCGCGCCTGCAGGCACGCACGGGATCCCGCTCTCGCATTGGCGCGGCGGCCACCCAGGCGCTGTGTCAGCCCGCACGCATTGCGAGCGCAGCTGGCTGGGCCCGTATGTGGGCTGGCTCGCACCTGTACGCCACGGCGGGGCCGTCGGTGGCCGCGCCGATGTCGACGTCCACGTCGCTTTCGCTGTCGTAGTTGGGCCCAGTGTCGTAGTCGTCGTCCCGGGACCGCACCCACGACGAGGCCGCGCGCTCCTGGCTGGTGACGGCCGTGTGCCGCGGGGGGAGGGCGGTGGCTCGCGCTGCGCCGCGTCCGGGACAGCCGGCGAGTGAGGCGTGGATGCTACCGCCAGCGCTGTGGAGCGGAATGCTGACGTCCGTGGTGCGAGTGCGCGATCTTCCCGCGGACCAGGGCACGGTTGGCGGGTTGTTTGCGACGGCGGGCATCCGCCGAGAGTACGAGGGGCGCGTGGGGCGTGTGGAGGTGTGGCGAGGCCGTGGCACCCAGGACAAGAACTGCCTTCGGGAATGCATGAGAGTCTTACCATTGGAAGGGATGCCTGGTTTGCCCGGCCTGAATTTCGGCGATTCGCATCCGAAGGGCAGCGAGGACGACGCGTTGCGCCGCCGTGTCGTTGCAGCGGGGGGCGCATGAGGTGCCTGGGCTGCAAGGCTGCCCGCCTCGCCGCTGGACAGCACCGCGCACGCGCTCTCGCACAGCGAGCGGACGGAAGATTGGACGCCCGTCAGGCTCGAACGCCTGAGGGGGCGCAGCATCGCGCCTGCACGCTGCTAGTCCGCGATGAGGGCACTACACCTAGTCCAACCACCCAGCGCGCAGAGATTCATGCAGCGCTCACGGCGCCGACCGCTGCCAGGTCGATGGACGTCCGCTGCTTTTCACGGAATCAGCTCGCCGGCGCGGCGCCTAGCGAGTCGAGGCCCCCCGTTGACCTTGATGCTTCCTCGCTGTCGCAACGAAGGCCTCCTTTTGGCGGGAGTCTTGCTTCCTCGCACGGTTCGCTCGCCGTGTCAGGCGTGAATGTCACGCGGCATACAAGAGCCGTGCATACGCCCACGCCTGCTTCGCTGCTGCCTTGGTACGTCTGGCCCGACTGGGGCCCCGCGCCGGCTCACATTGCGCTCGACGGAGGCCCTCGTCCCCCCACACGCCCGCACAGCCACAGCTGCGTCGCTGGCGTTGGAACGGAGCACTTGGCAAGCGCACACAGCGCGACGCCGCGTCCTTTGCACCTGCGGCGCTGCTCCGCTCGCGTCCCGCCGCCCCTCTCGATGCCGCGACCGAAGAACCAGCGGTCTGTGGGCGCGGACCGCAAGCGGCTCGCCAGGGAGGAAGCGGATACGGACGCCGCGGAGCTCATGTCGCAGGGCCAGGACGGCGCCGAGCGTGACGGGGCCGACCTCGCCGACGGCCGCGAGGTGAGCGAGCGCAAATCACGCCTCGCTCGGACGTGGGCGATCCCACGTATCACGCGCCCGTGCAGCCTCACCTCATCCGGCCCCCCGTGCGCGACCGCGACCAGCGCCGCCGCCGTCCGCCACCCCGGCCCCGGGAGAGCGCGGATACGGCCCTGACTGCCACGGGAGCTGCCCTGTTTCGCCTCACCAGCTCATAAACTCGCTTTGGAAATGACGCGTGCCCGTTTTCCGCCCCCACAGGCACGAGGGACCCGCCCTGCCCTTGTTGTCCATCTGGCTATGTGGGACCTGGGGCAGTGCGACAAGAAGCGGTGCACGGGGACGCGGCTCGAGCGGCAGGGCGCCGTGTCGGAGCTGCGGCTCGGCCAGGGCTTCCCCGGCGTCGCGCTCACGCCCGTGGGGCGGCAATGTGTGTCGAACGACGACAGGGAGGCCATCGGGCGACACGGGCTGGCCGTCGTGGACTGCTCGTGGAACAAAATCGACACCGTGCCGTTCGGTGAGTGGCCCAGCGCCTCGGACATGACGGTGGCTCGCGGCCTTGTGTCTGCCTCAGTGCCTGAGGCTCTGTGGAGCGTCATGATGCGATGGTGTCGACCCGACGTCGGGCCTGCCAGCGCCGTCAGCGTTTAGCTGGTTGCAACCCCTGCTGAGACGTTGGACCGCGAACCCCTCCGACGTCTCAACGCCTCAGCAGGGCTTCGACCAGCTCAACGCTGACGGCGCCGGCAGGCTGCCACGTGCGACACGCGCTCTGGGCGCCGGCCGCGGGCGTTGCTGCGCTGTCCTTCGACGCTTCCCCGCTGTATCGTCGGCGGGAAATTCAGGAGGGGCTCGCGCAGACGCTGGTGCTGCATGTCACGCTGCACCGTGGGCTCACAGCGACTCCGGCGGGCCGCCCGTGCAGGGAAGTGCAAGGCGCGGATGCCACGGCTACTTCCGTGGCTGGTCGCCGCGAACCCCGTGAACTACGGCAAGCCGTGCAAGCTGTCGTGCGCGGAGGCTCTCGCGGCGGCGCTCTACATCTGCGGCTGGCCGGACGACGCCATCAACCTGATGTCGCGCTTCAAGTGGGGCCACTCCTTCTTCAGCGTCAACGCCGAGCTCCTCGACCGCTACGCCGGCTGCGAACACGGCCACCAAGTCATCGCGGTGCAGGACGCGTTTCTCGCCGCCGCCGCGGAGAACGCCGGCCCGCCGCGGATACCCGGCGCTGCCGAGGGCGACGACGACTGGCTCGGCCGGCCGGGGGAGCTGCCGCCTTCCAGCAGCGACGCCGAGGCGGGGAGTGAGGATGGAGAGACGGGGGGAGTCAGCCCACCCCCCCTCGGCGACGGCGCCGCCGTGGCCACGGAAAGCGTCGCAGCGCTCGCACTGGAATCTACGAAGCCGTGCTGAGTGAGCGAGTCGCAGGCGTCCGCTTGCCGGTCACACGCAACGCCACGCGTGACGCGACACGCAATCAAATACCCTGTGACGATCCCCGCGCCACGTTCGATCACGCCGCCGACGACCGCATGCGTTCCTGCCTCTTCGTTACTCAACGCGCTCCTGCAGCCGCACCTCCACGCGCTCGCGCTTCCCGCTCGGAGCCCGCTTCACGGTCAGCATGGCCACGTCCCCGGCGTCGAACCGCTCCACCGCCGCCTGCAAGTCCTCGAACGTGCGCACGTCCTCGCCGCCGATCGCGAGGATCTCGTCGCCCAGCACGACGCGGCCGTCGCGGCGGGAAAGGCCGCGCAGGCCAGCGTCGGCGGCGCCGCTGCCAGCGATCACGGTGTGCACGACCACGCCCTCGGCGCCGAGCTGGCGCGACTGCTGCTCCGTCAGGCAGTACAGCCCCAGGTTGGCCTTGCGGACGCGGCCGTAGCGGATCAGCTGCACCACCACGCGGCGCACAGTGTCCGACGGGATCGCGAACCCGATGCCGGCGGACGACCCGCTCGTGCTGCAGACAGACACAGTACGACCCGGCTATGAGAAATCCACATCGACACGAAGGCTGCCAAGCGGTGGGAGTCGAAGCGACTGCTGCGCACTGCGCCGTCGGACGCCACGCGGACAGCGGTGCCTCCGCGCGCGAGGCGGAGCGGGCGCACCTGAAGATCATCGTGTTCACGCCAATCAGGCGCCCGTGGCTGTCCAGGAGCGGCCCGCCGGAGTTGCCCGGGTTGATGGCGGCGTCAGTCTGCACGAGCCCGCGGATCGGATTGCCCGCAACGCCCCGGATCTCGCGCCCCAGACCGCTCACGATCCCCTGCGTCAGCGTCTGGTCCAGCCCGAACGGGTTCCCGATCGCCAGCACCTTCTGCCCAACCTGCAGCCCCGACGACGTGCCCACGGAAATCGGGTGCAGCCCGCGCTGGAACTTCCCCGACGCCGGCGACTTCACCCGCAGCACCGCGAGGTCCTTCGCTGGCTCCACGCCGACGACGGCCGCGTCGAGCGCCGTGCCGTCCGCGAGCGTCACGCGCAGCTTCTGCGCCGCCAGCGCTGCGGGGGACGGCGCCGGCGAGGGCTGGCCCGGCGCGGACGGCGGCGCGACGACGTGGTAGTTCGTCACGATGTGGCCCTGCGCGTCCCAGCAGAACCCCGTACCGGACCCGCGCGGGATGCGTTCTACGTCCATGGTGAAGGGGTTGACGCCGGCCTGCAGGGTGGCCACGTGGACCACCGAGGGCGCGCAGCGCTTGAAGAGCGCGACGTTGAGGGACTCCTCGGGGGTCAGCGCCGCGCTCGCGCCCAGCGTGGGGTCGAGAGCCGTGCCGACGGAGCTGTACGGATGAGGCGTGGCGGCACCTGCGTCCTGCGCCGGGGACGGGCCTTCGTCCGTGCCCGGAGTCGCATCGCGGCCGGCCCCTGCGCAATACAGAGAGCCGGGACGAGCGGCTGGAATCACTCACGTCACGTGCCCGCAGACACGTGCTGCCCCGCCGCCGCCGCCGACGACGGCGCGGTGCGCGGAGGTGTGTTCGCGCCGCGCGGGTCTCCGGCGAGCGCGCGTCAGCGTCGCGGGGCGTCACCTTGGGCGTTGCGTGCGGCGATCATGGCCTCCAGGCGGTACTGCACGTGCGCCGGGAGCGTGGGCCGCGCGGCGCGGAGGCGGCTGATGAGGTCGGACTTCTCCAGACAGTCGCGGTAATCCACGCCGGCCTCGTCCAGGAGCCGCTGGATCTCGCTCCCGCTCAGCACGTCCTCTGGTTGAGTAGAAGCCGATCGCTGCGGCGCCAGGCAGCGCGTCGCGGTACGTATCGACCGCGACGACGAGGCGTACTGGTCGAAGAAGCCTCCGGCTTCGGAGAACGTGCGAAATCGGAACGCATTCCGCGCCGCGCACGGCACTACTGCACTGTGCTCAACCGCCGGCAGCAGCGCCCTCGCGACGCCGCTGAGCACAGCCCGTCTCAGCATCGCCGTCTCTCTCTTCGGTGAGCCCGTGCGCTATCAGTGCGTCCAACTTCTCCGCGGCACCCGGTCAGGGTCGAGCCTGCTGCCCCTCGCCCAGTGCACGCGTGCTCCCGCTGTCCGCGTTGCGTCACGTATCCCGCGCGAATCTACCCCGAACCTGCGAGATTCTACGCGACGGGCATGTGCCAGCCCCGCACTGACCGCAGTAGCCGCCGAACAGCGCGGGCTTGCGTCTGTCAGGCTCACTGGCACCGCGTCAGTGGGAGTGTCTCGACGCCAGCGTCGCCGCACGCGCAGCCGCGCCGAGACCGGTGCATGCGCGTCTCAGTCCGCGTCGGCGTGACCGCCTCGATCCAGTTTGGCGTCCGACGGAGACTTGATAGGGTCTCCACAGTACACGACGCGAATCCCGACCGCGCGCGACAACGAACCTCACATGTGCCGTTTCTTCCCGCTGCCCAGCTCCGGGGTATTGTCCCCAGGGTTCGACCCCGCCGGGGGGGGTGTGATCGACAGCGACGCCGACCGCGTCGGCGCTGGCGTCTGAAACGCGGCGCTAGTGGTGCCGCCGGCGCCCCCGAACAGCCCGCCGCCTCCCGCTCCGAACCCTGTCGACGCCGGCTGCGAGGTCGACGCCCCGAACGCCGGCTTCTGCGCCCCAGCAGGCGTGCCTGCCCCGAACAAGAACCCGCCACCGCTGGCCGGCGCCGCTGCGCCGCCCGCGCCCGACTGCAGCATCGGCGTTGTCCCGGGGGTCCCCAGCGCGCCGGGCGACGCAGCCGCATCACCCCCCCCGCCGATCCGGCCGACAGAGGGGGTCCCGCGCAGCGTTGCAGACTGGGCGCGCTCGCGGCGATCCGCCGCCGCGAACGGGTCCGAGGGGTCCCCCATGAGCTTCCTGCGCGGAGCATCGGCAGCGGACGTTCGGGACAGGCCCGCGAGAGGCATGCGCGCGGTGTGGTGTCGGGCAGCGCGTGGTGTGTGGTGGCACCGGGCGTCGGCCCGCGGCGCACCTGTGTTCGAGGAATTGCGCGCGCATCCGCTCGACCTGCGCGTGCGTCCCCTCCACGCGCGCCGCCAGCCGCACCACGAGCTCCATCAGCTGCGACACGACGCGCGGCAGCGACCGCACAGCGCTCCCCGCCGCCGCGCCGCCGCCGCTGCCCGCGCCCTGCGAGGCCGACAGCGCCGTCTCGAGGTGCGAGATCCTGCCCTCGAGCTGCACCGCCCTCCGCTCGAACTGCGTCAGCGTCTCCGACAGCATCGGCGACGGGAGCGGCCGCGCCCCGTGCAGGTCGTAGTACCCCTGCGCAAGCTGCAGGCGGTGCTCCACGGGCCTGCACAGGTACTCCGCGCGCCGCCACGCGTCCGTCGCGTGCGCGTTCGTCAGCAGCACGTGCTCGCGCACCAACCGCACCAGCCCCTCGCCGTTGCGCATCTCCCGCGCCACCGCGGCCACCTCCTGCCGCGCGAGCCGCAGCCGGCGCTCCATGACGTCCGGGGAGTCCGGGGAGCCCGACACGCTGGCCTGCTGGGCCTCAAGGTCCTGCGACGCGGCGGCAGCGAGGGTTGGTGCGTTGGGTGCCACAGCGCGGCTGAGGCGGTTGCAGAGGCGGTGCGGGGCGAGCGGCGGCGTGTTCGGCGAGCGTCGTGCGTGTGCGTCGGTCGGCACCTTGAGATCCCCGCTCGCTTTGACGATTTTCGATTCGAGTTCCAGCAGCCAGGCCTGAGACGGCTCCGTCAGGTCGCTCCACTTCGTCGGGCCCGTGCGGTTGTTGTCCGCCTTCGCCTGTAGGGGCGCGACATTCTGCTGGACCTGCAAGCCGAGAGACCCGGCCGAAGAGTGAGCGCGCAGCACGAGGCGGGCTGCGCAGCTACTTGCCGCCCCGCCCGGTGGCCGCAGCGTGTCTCTCGGCGCGAAGCGACAGGGCGGGAGACATGTACACGCGTGGACGTACCACAGGGGTCCCCACTTGGCCGAACGCGGGCGTCTGCGGCGCTGGCGACCCACCAAACAGCCCGGTGCTGCCGCCTGGCCCCTGGCCGAACGCACCGCCCGCGCCAGCAGATGCCTGACCGAGCCCTCCGAAACTGAACGCCCCGCCCGACGCGGCGGCTGGAGTTTGCCCCCCGAACAACGAGCCCGTTTGGGTCGCCTGCGGAGTCCCGGACCCGCCAAACAGCGAACCGCCCTGCTGCGGGTTCGACGCGCCGCCCGCCTGCCCGAACCCGCCTCCAAACGACAAGCCCGTGGACGCGCCCCCGCCGAAGAGGGGCGACGACGAGGCCGCGGCCCCGAACGCAGGCTTGCTCTGTGCGCCAAACGCAGCCCCCGCCTGGCCCCCCGACGCGCCGAACGCCGCCCCCGTCGACCCGAACGGCGTGGACGTCCCGCCTGCCGCCCCGAACGCAGGCGCCGAGGACGCCGCCCCGAACGTGAACGCCATTCAGCGCCCTGCCCGTCCCCCAATCAAACAAGCGTAGCTAGCGCTCCCGAGCGCCGACAGGAGCCGCCAGGGCGCTCACAGCACCGCACGCCGCCGCTCCAGCCACCGGCGCCCGCGCTCCGAGGCCTGCGCCTGGCCCCGCACAGCTGTGCCGAGGCCCCTCACAAGATGACTGTAGCGCGCTGCTGCGGCGGCGGCGCCACCACGGGCCACCACGAAGCGTGTACGGAGTGCTGCGGGGCGCTGGGGGCCGGGACCAACGAGGCGCGGCTGCGCTGGGCCCGCCCGGGGCGGCCCCGGCCGTTCAGCAGGACTGCCCCGGGGATGTATGTCAGTCGCGCGTCGTTCCGGCTACGGGCGGCCGCGCTCGGGTCCGGCGTGGCTAGGCGGGGACGCGCGTCGCCGGGGACCGTTCTGTGCTGTCGTCCGTCGCTCACAGGACCCCCATGCAGCCCCCAGAGATACCGCGGGGCGGCGGCGAGACGCGCCGCGCCGTCCAGGCGGATGACCTCTCCAGGCCCCTCTCGAGCCTGCGCTGCCGAGCACTGCGAACCCCGCTCTCGACCACGGCGCCGAGGCGCGCAAGCCGTGGGAGCGCGCGCACACACACTGCGGCATAACAGCAGCGGCTCCGGCCGCTCACGCCGCCCGGGGCCCCCGTGCGCGGTGCCGTACCGCACCGGGCCCCTTCCGTCCGCACGGACACCATCGTGCGCGCGCGATCCGTGCCTCCGGCCGGGTGCTTGGCTGGGAAAAGGGCGCCACGGCACGCGTTCACCCTGCCGGGCATCGGGGCGGTTGATGATGACGCCGAGGGCGGCGGCGCTGCCTGCCTGCGGGCCAGGCGGCGTCCCGAAGGCGCGCGACCCCGCGATGCGGGCTGTGACTTCGGTTCGGAACAGTGCCGTGGTCGTTACTGTCCCCTGCTCGGTGCTGGCGCGCGCCGCGTGTGCGTCGCGCAGTCCCGCAGGCAGTCCCGTAGCGCGGCGAATTCGGCCGATCGCATGCATTTCGCGGCGACTGCCGCTCCACTTCTCGCGTCCCCCCGCGCGCCTGGGCGGCAAGCCCCGCGCTCGAGTGGACGCGTTCCCGCGCGACGTCGCTCCACCGCCCAGTGTCGCCCGATGCGCCCAGATTCGCCATGCGACCGGCGCAGCTCGGGCGCGGTTGCGGGCCGGGGCGCTGCGCCGACGACGTGACGAGGCCTCGTTGGTGGTCAGTGCCGTAGAAGAAGGGTGCCGCCGGGTGCCTCACGGGCCCGCGCGCGCCAATGCGGCGGCCGCCCAGCGTCGGCTGCAAACTTTCTGCACGACACCAGGCACATGCGCCGATAACTTTCCGCGATGACAAGCAGATAGTAGCTTCACGCAGCGGCTTGCTCATAGGCGGATTCTGGCGGATTGAACGGCTCCGATGTCGTGCTTCTGCTTCCTCGGCAGGCGCAATGTTCGAAACAACGTCCGCGATGACCTCGAGACAGGTTTGGTCCCGCACGACGCGAGACTCTGGTCGTTGACCGCAACGAGACTTCGTTCAGGGCGCCGCAGGCTCACCGGTCCCCCCTCCGCCCGATATGCAGGCTCGCTGAAGCAATACTCCCGCGGACAGGTCAGTTCCGAGGGCAAGCTGGACCCGTGCGCGTCCGCAGACACCGCGGTGAATCGGCCGCATGAGAGCGAGAGCGACACGACAGCGCATTGCGAGAGCCTCCGCGGCTTCACGCATCTTCAAACCGTCCCTTTCACGTTCTTCAACGCGTCCGGCGAGCGCGATGCCGAGGCGCGCGGGCTCAAGTGGCAGATAGTGAGTCCATGGTGCCCCGAGGAGCTGGCGCGCCCGTCCTGGCACGCCAGCCAGCTGCAGCCCCTGGAGTGCATCGGACGAGGCGCCAGCTCCGGCGTCTGGAAGGCCAGAGACACCGTGTCTGGGCAGATTTTCGCCGTGAAGGTGCGTGCCAACTGTCGCGCGGCACCGCGCCCTGCGGCCGCGGAACCGCAATGTCCTCTCGCCGATCCCGGCACCGTCCGGCGCACAGGCGCACGCGCCCGGCCGCGCTCGCTGCGCCCCCCCTCGCAGGCCGCACGCGCCAGTCGCGCCCACCCGCAACAACCCGCCCCGCCCGCCTCCGCCCCGCAGGCATACAAGCTCTCCAGCATGGCGAGCAACGCGCAGATGCTCCTCCCGAGCGAGGCGGCGATCCACGCGTCCCTCCCGCCGCACAGGAACGTGCTGCAGCTGTACGCCGCCTTCATGGACAGCGTCGCCTGCTACTTCATCCTGGAGTACGCCGAAGCCGACCTGCACCGCATGCACGACCGGCTGCCGTGGCTCCAGGCCCGCGAGGAGCGCCGCCTCGCGCGGGACGTGCTCCTCCCGCTGCTGTCGGGGCTCGCGCACTGCCACTCGCACGGCATCATCCACCGCGACATCAAGCCCGAGAACCTGGTCTTCGGGACCGACGGCCGGCTGAAGCTGTGCGACTTCGGGTTCGCGATCGACCTCGCCCGGCACCGCCCCACGACGCGCCTCGGGACGCTCGAGTTCATGGCCCCGGAGGTGCTGACCAGCGGCAACCGGCGGGACGGCACCGTCGCGCCGCGGCGGCAGCGGCGGCCGTACACGAGCGCCGCGGACGTGTGGTCCGTCGGCGTCCTCGCGTACGAGATGCTCGTCGGGCAGTCGCCGTTCCTGCGGGACGACGTCAGCCAGACGTGCACGGCCATCACGCGCGCGGACTCCATGCCGCACCGCCCGACGGACATCAGCGCGTCGCTCGCCGCGCGGTCCTTCGTCGCGGACTGCCTCCGGCGCGACGCCGCCCGCCGCCCCTCGGTGTCGGACCTCCTCAAGTACGAGTGGCTGACCAAGTCGGCGTCGCGCGGCGGCGGGAAGGCCTGGCTGCCGAGCGCGCTGCTTGGCAGCAGGTCCTCGGACTGGCGCGCCCTCGCGCAGGCGGAGGACGCGCGCGCGGGGAACCGGCGCCCGGAGAGCCGCCGCCAGACGCGCGTGACCTCGCAGATCTGAACTGCCGCCCGCCACGGCGACGCGCGCAGATGCTCCCTCCCTCCCCCCCTCCCTCTCTTTCTCTCTTGGCCGCGTCCAGCTGCGTTGGCGCGCCCAGGAGCACCTGGACGTCTCTTCGGGCCGCATAGCATGCTTGATGCTCCAGAAGGAGTGTCGATCCCACCCTCCCACAGCCCCAGTCCCCGCCCGACCAACGCTGCTGCAAGCGCCCCCATGGCACCGCGCTTCACACACAAGCGAGTGCCACTCTCGCAGCGGTGCGCGACAACCGCTTCCGCACAACGACGCAGGTCGGCCCTACACTGGCGGCGCACGCCTGCGCCGCCCCGTCGTCGTCGAGGGCCGACTCGCGCGCACGCCTGGGGCATGTGCCCCTGCGTGTGCTCATAGCACTTGCCCGCGCTACCTGCCCCCGCCCCCTCGCGCTAGCGCCCACCCTCCCGGCTCCCGCCCCCGCTCTTTCGCTCGGCCGCCGCGCCCCGCAGGTTTCTCGCAAGCTCTCGCTCACAACGGCTCGGCGCGCTCCCCAGCTAGCGGTGCCGTCGCGCGCAGTCGTCATCCCGCGTCAACTCGCTCGAAACACTCTCCTCGCTCTGCCCCCTCGCATGCCGGAGCGATCCTGCGATCGCCCCAGACCCGAGCGCTGGCGGCGCCTGCCGCCCAGCCCGGACGCCGCGGCTGGAACGCGTGACTAGAAACAACCTACCTCTATGTGTGTGTGTGGCGCAGTTTTCCTTTTCGCGCCCACCTGGTGGTGCGCAGCCTTGCAGGTAGCATGCCGACGTCGTCGACTACACGACGGCCGCAAGAAAAGTCCTCATCGCTCAGCTACGAACTCCCCCGGGACCCCCCGACCACTAAATCTAATCCTACCCCCCCCACCCCAACGTCGGGCGGACATTCCCCGCCACTGCAGTGACGCAGCGACCTGTCCGGCTTTCCAGCCCTGGCCCTCCACCACCCAACTCTCCCGTCTGACTCGTGGGCTGTCGGTCGAGCATCTCACCAGAAGCAGCCGACTCGCTGCCCGGACCCATCGTCCCCCGTCGCCCCCTGTTGCCATCTTATGCGGGCCCTCGAGGCGCAACCCATTCCGTTGACACCCTCATGAATCAGTCCTCCGCCCTTGACCACCACCCCCCCCTGTCCACCACTTGGCAACCCAACAACAGATGCTGCAAACGACCCTCCTCGACCGAAGCAAAACGCGGCATCACTTGATGGCTGACTCTTGACCAACTTTCTTCCCCGCTCCCCCAGCCCCCCCACTCCCCTCCCCCGCCCCCGGCACTTCAGCCCACCTTGATTCCACCTGGGTTGACTATTCCCTCCCCCTGCCCCCCCTTGTGCTCCCTGCTACCCTCGCACACTATTTCGCAACAGTGCTTTGCTTTCCTCCTGCCCCCCCCGGGCAGTTGACCGCCACTGACACCGCTGCCTCGTTCGCGGCCGTCGTGCACCAGCACTTGCACTGGGCGGCTGCAGCGACCCTCTCACAAACGACACCCCACCCTCTCACTCGCCGCGATCAGTCCGGCCCCCCCCTCCCCCCGCCACCCCCTCACACCCGAGAGGGTGCTACTGCGCCCTCGGGTTCATGTCAGCAGGGACACGTGTCGAGTTCCCTCCAACTCAACCCCGCGCTCCACGCCGTTGCGATAGCAGCACGGACGTGCCCCGGCCCACACCGCCGGCACCGCACGTCCGCCATGCTCTCTCGGACGTCCACGGCGCACGCGGGCTCCCCGTTCTTGATGAGGTAGAGTGGTGGGTCGCGGTCCACCTCTGGCGCACCTGCTCACCACACTCCACACACCCCCTTGGGATGTTCTGCCTTCTCTGTCCGGCCTCGAGCGAGTGGGTCTCGTGCCGGATAACAATCCCCTAGATTTGCCACCCCCCGTAGTTCTGTTGCGGTTTCGGAGTTCCACTCACATGAGTCATTGACCGCTCACGCGAGCAAGGCATCTCGTCGCGCGTGATGCAGTCGATCATCACTGAACGCCGCACTCAAACTCCGGTCTGGGACCCAACCGATCCCACTTCCCGGTGCAACCACCCTCTTTGTTCCCACAACCCCCCCCCCCCCTTGCCCACCCTCCCCCACTACCACCGCCACACATCTACGTCGCCATCTGAGACCGCACCCGACACCTTCCGTCTACAGCGCCCCACCGATCCCCCGCACAACTGTCACTGCCCTAGCCTCTTGCCTTGTGAGTTCGGGTTCGCCTGCGTGCCGCGCTCGGCCCAGCTGTCACCGCGTCGGGTGCATGCTCGAGGAGAAGCAAGCGACGGCTGCCATGGCGGTTTTACCGGTGGAGGCGGGGAGTCACGCCCGAGTCAGGCAAATCCCCCGACTGACAGCGTGGTGGAGTACCCGCACGCCCGCGGGGCTCGTCGCTCGTCGAAGACTTCACTCAAGCTGCGTGCGCAGGTGCTGGGACCCCGACACCTGTTGCCGCCGCTTGCTCATCTTGCGTGCGGGTACTCCACCACGTCGTTGCTCTCGGCCACCCCTTTCCTTGGTTATTGTGACCTCCGGTTTTGACACATTTGTCAGACTGAAAGTTCATTACACGTGCGCGTCGAGGCCTCATGGGCAGGGCGCGACGTGCGCGTCGGAGAGTGACAGAGAGCTGCTCAGCGACCCCGGACGCCGGCGCACTCCTTCGACCGTGCGACACCCCTACCGCCGCGGCTCGGGAGCATCGCGCGTCCTTCTCGTGGGTTTGCAGCGCATCGGCGCGCCCCCGGCAGACCTCGTCCTGATTCACGCGCACGGACGCCCGAGAACCCTCCACCGAGACCATGAACGCTGCCATCGGCTCCGCGGTGCCCTCCGTGGCGCGACGAGCAAGCCCTGGTGCTGCCCGGGTCGCCACCGCACTGCCTCGAGCGGGCGACAGACCAGCTCCGCGTTCGAAAGTGCTCGCCGCGAACCCTGGTATCGAGGTCCAGGTGCGCACGTCGACTTTCGCCGCCATTGCAGGCTCCATCGCTCCGTGGTGCTCGCCTCGTCTTGCATCACTCGCCCCTCGCCGCGATCCTCGCGAGTTCCGGGTTACTGCTCCGCGAGCGACGTCGCCACGTAGTGATAGACTATCTCCAGGCCGCGCACGTTCTTTTATTCCCCTACGGGGGCCGTGCGTCCCAAGTTCATGGACGCTCTCTCTCACCGCTCACGTCGCACCGCCCGGCAACATGTCCCGTGACTTCTCGCTTGCCTCTGCTTGGCCCCGTCGCTCTTCAAGTGGGGATCGAACTCACCGACGAAACCCGGCGCCCCGCCCCCGGTACCGGCCTCAGACGGGGCGCGGGCGTCCCACGTGGTGCGCGACATCAAGCAGCGCGACCCGGTGCGCCTGTTCGCAGAGTGACGGGTCGGATCCGGGTCTCACGGTCGGCTATGCGGGCAACACGCAGGCGAAGGGCTTGTTCGCGCGATGGGGTGCGAAGCAGGCCCAGATGAAGGCTCGCGTCGCCCAGTATGGTTCGGCGGCAGTTCTGGCCTACGGGCTGATCGACGCCATCACGTACACGTCGTTCTTCTGCTTCGCGCTCATCACGTACCAGGCGAAGATGGGCGCGCCGCCGCAGACGGTCAAGCAGGTGGCCGCGGTGGTGCTGGCCATGTGGGCCGGCAACAACGTCACGCGACCGTTCCGCGTCGCCGGCGCCGCCATCCTCGCGCCCGCCGTCTCCAGGCTCCTCAAGGTGCGCGACCGAAGAACCGCCAGCGCCGTCCGCTGCCCGGCCGCGGCGTTCGCTCCAAGAGTGCGCGTACCGCCCCGTCGCCCCCTGTCAAACACGCAACCGTCCGCCGACGGCTCACCGCTGTCGCACAGCCCGCGTTCCCGCCTCGCGCAGGCCATCACGAAGCGGTTCAACCTGCCGAACACGGGCGTCGCCTTCGCCGGCGTCGTCGCCGCCACGGCCGCGACCAGCATTGCCATCGTCGCTGCACTCTGGCTCTCGCTGGTCGGCGCCTAGGACTGCGACACCCCCGCGGGGGCACGCGCGCGGGGCGACCGCGCTGTCTGTGACCCCGTCTCGCCCACGCGCGACCGGCAACCGCGCTCACATGGCGCAAAACACCCCCCGCGTTGCGCTCTTGGCGGCCGCCGGCGGTTGCGCGGACGCTCGTCGACCCCAGGTCGCAGGAGAGCGAAGCACCGTCAGTCCGTTTTTGGCGCGTCCGTCTGGCCCGTGAGACCGTCGGAAAGGATCATTATCGTTATTATCATTATTATTATTCGCCGACCCGCTGATGAGCCGGAACGAGCTCCCAAGCCCACTGCGCCCGACTCACGACCGCAGCACTACCGCGACCGACGCACAGCGCCGCCCCACCACCTCCAGCCCCTGCACGCCCCCGTGTGCCCGCCACCGCAGTGGCGCGTCCCGACGTCCTCCGGCCCGCCCATCCGCCTCCCCTCGCCGCCCGCCGCCCTCCACCTGCGAGGGTTTCCGTCACTGCCGCGGCCGCTTCGCCCCCGCGGTGCTGCCGTCCCCGAACCCCAGCAGCGCGTCCTCGTTGCGCCGTCGCGCCTCCGCCGCAGCATCCATCTTCGACTTCTCCCGCGCGCGCTTCTCCTGCTTGATCTTCGCCTGCCGCTGCTTGTACACCTTGCTGCTCGGGTCGTACAGCGGATTGCGGCACCGGGCGTACTTCGACATGAGCTGCTTGGCATCCACCGTGGGCCTCGCGTCGGCCCCGCGGCCAAGCACCGCCACCGCTCGCACCACGAGCGCGTCGATCGCGTCTATCGCCGCGCGGAGGCGCTGCGCCGCCGCCGTCACCTGCGCCCACGCCCACGGAGATCGCACGTACGGCTCTGGCAACAGCCAACCTGACTCATCGCGGCGCGAGCGCGCGTGATAGGCGGCGGGCGCACCTCGTCCTCGCTGGCGCGCGGCGTGTCCGAGGCCCCGGGGGGGTCGTTGTGGTCGACGGACATGGGTTGTGGCGGCGGCGCGCTGTTCCGCAGCACGGGCGTCACCTGCATGGGCTGCGCCTCGCCGTGGCGACACCCCCCGCTCTCGACGGACGCGCGCGCGAAGTGCACCTGCGGCGTGCCGGCGACCAAGCGAGCCTCAGTGCTCATCTGCACCCTTGTCGCGCCGTCGCCGCATGTCTCAGCGGGCCGGCGACGTTCAACCCGCCGCAACGGACGCGCTGCACGACGCACGTACATCCAAACGCCAGGAGAGGGGAGTCAAGGACATTGCGACGGGCCGGCACGGAGGGGGGGGGGAGTGTGCCACGGCACGTGCGCTGCGCACCAGGACAGACTCGAACCCGGGGGTCTTGGTGGAGCGGAAGGCCGAGCGGAGCGCGGCGAGCGCGATCGTGCCTGGCGGGTGCAGCAGCGGCGCGTCCGTCACCAGGCACTGCTGCGCGGCGCCCAGCGCGGCCTGTTCCAGCAACTTCCTTAACTCCCCCCCTGACACCTCCTTCCCGTCCGGACCCCGCACCGGCCCCTGCGCGCACAACCAGAGCGACTCCCGGGACGACTCTCGGCGCGGCCTCACGCAAGCGCGACCTGCGCGGCGCCGCCGTCGTCGTCCCGCGCACGCGACAGGGGTGCGGGCGGCGCGGTCACCTTCTGCGCCACGAGCTGCGCGGCCTCGTGCGCGAGCGCCGCGACGGCGTGCGCGGGCGTGTAGACCATGAGCGAGAACCCCACGGCCTCGAGCACTGCGGGCTCCAGTCGCAGCAGCTCCTTTTTCGGTGGGCACTTGACCTTGAGCTCGCCGAGGCGGTCGCCGAAGCGCTCGAGGGAGAAGGGGATCTCGTGGGTGCTGAAGGCCGGGCAGTCCTCGGCCTTGCACGCGACGACCATGCACGTGAAGGCGAGGTCCGGTCCGCGGTAGTCGTACAGGGAGCGGCGGGCGTAGAAGCGGTGGAAGAGGACGCACGCGGACATGGCGACCTTGGGCGGGAGGGCGAGCTGCTGGCAGAACTTCTGCGTGCGGCGCGGGGGGCGGCGGGGGGTTCCGGGGCTGCGAGAGGGGCGCGCTGGCGGGGCAGGGAGGAGGGGGCGGTGGGGGGCGCGCGGCACCTGGATCTGTTTGCTGAGGAGGACGCGCAGGGAGAATTCGTCGTCGTCGGTCAGGAATTGCGGCTCTGGCACCGCGTCGGGCTTCCCGCTGGACGCCGCGAGCTCCCGCTCCTGTTGCACGGCGGCCTGGTACGACTCCTGGGACCGCTGGCGGACGGAGGCGCGCGCGGCCTCCAGAGACTCGCGAGTGAAGATCCAGTCGCGCTTGTGAGTGGAGGATGCGAAGTCCATCGGGCACGCGGCGGGCGCCTCCTCTGGCGCTGGCGGTGCAAGGCCCGCAGAGCCGCCGTGCTGGGACGCTACGCTATGTTGTACCAACGGCCGATCGGCGCTGCAATCGAGCTATCCACGGAGACCTAAAGCTTCACGGACAATGTCCGTTGATGCCCCCCTGCCCGCGTGAATTGGTTGCAACCTCAAAAACGGGCAATGCACAGTGTCGGGCAGCGTTCGGCCCTTCTTGGTGCTGACGCAATCTCCCAATTGCGATTCACCAGGCGCGCGCCCGGCGCACGTGTCCGCCGCGGCCCTGTGGGCGGCAGCACGCGTCGGTGTGCCTGACGGGCCCCTCCCCCGCGGTCAGCCGACGACGACACTTCCGGGGCCCCGCGCGGCGCGCCATGTGCTCGGCCCGCCGCAGGGACCTCGCAGAGTCAAGCCAGCGCTCCTTCCTTGCACGCAGGAGACACCCCGCCCCCCTTCTCCCCAGCGCACCCTAATCATGTTCCGCCTCTCCACGCGCAGCGCCGGCCGGTGCGCCCGCGCGTTCGCAGGTGCGGAACGCCCTCGCGCCCAGCCGCGCTCGGCCGCTTCCCATCCAGCGGGAGCCGCGCCCAAGGCGCCGCGCGCGGCTCTTGCCCTGCGCCGCGATTTGTTGGGTCCCGTAGCTGCCGTCTGGTCGCGCTCGCCCGCTCTCGGCGCCCAGGTTTGCATGCATCTACCTGTTTCGATCGTTTCGCGTTGCAGCGGGCCGCGTCCGCGCTGTATATGCCACCCCCGGGGGCGGCAAGAGGCGCTGCGAGCGCTGCACCGCCTCCCGGGGCCAGCGCCGACAACGCCGACCCGCGGCCCGCCCCGCCCGCCTCCTGCAGCTGCTGCCTTCACCGAGGCGCGCGGCCACGCGAGCCAGGCCGTCGCCAAGGCCGGCGCGACGTCCCAGCAGGCCTCTGGGTGGGGCTTCCGGGCAGCCTTCGCGGCCGCGGCAGCGGCGAGCCTGCCGCTCGCAGCGGCGGCGTCCTCGCACGAGGAGCGCTCGTTCATCATGGTGCGCCTCACCCCGCCGCCCTGCACTGCGACCGTTGCACGCCACCCTCCCTGCGCGGACGCAACCGCCCACGCCGCGCGCACCGCGACGCCCGCGCCGCAGATCAAGCCCGACGGCGTGCACCGCGGCCTGATCGCGGAGATCATCGCGCGGTTCGAGCGCAAGGGGTACAAGCTCGTAGGCATCAAGGTGGTCGTGCCCTCCAAGGCGCTGGCGGAGCAGCACTACGCCGAGCACAAGGGGCGCCCGTTCTTCCCGAAGCTGACCAACTTCCTGTCGTCCGGCGCCGTCGTCGCCATGGTGCGCACCGCGCGGAGCGCGCCGCTCCGCCCTCTGCCCGCACACCCGCGCTGCGTGGTGGAGGCCATGCAGCAAGGGGACGCTGGAGACGGCGACGCCGGTCGACGTTCGGCCGCTCCGCGCGGGCGAGCTGCGGCGGCCTGGCCGTCGCGGGGCAGCGGCGCGCTCTCCGTCGCACGGCACCCTGCTGCAACGTGCTTGCTCGCTACGTCGCATGGCGGCACCGCTTGCGCTGGTCCTGAGCGCTCGCGGCCGGTGCGGCGCGCGCAGGTGTGGGAGGGGCGCGGGGTGATTTCGTTCGGGCGCACGATGATCGGCGCGACGAACCCGCTGTCGAGCGCGCCGGGGACCGTCCGGGGGGACCTCGCGGTCGACGTGGGGCGCAACGTCATCCACGGGTCCGACAGCATCGACTCGGCGCAGAAGGAGATCGCGCTGTGGTTCGGGCCCGACGAGCTCGCGGCGTACGACCTCGTGGGGAAGAACTGGGTGTACGAGCTCTGAGTCAGACCTGGGTCAGACCTGGGTCACAGGATGGACGGGGCGTGGGAAGAGCCGGCGCGTGGGCCTCCGGGCCGCACGGCAGGATCTCTCTCCCTCATCGATCTCTCTGTGACCAGCCACGGCTCGTCGTCGTCGTCGCACCCACCCACCCAAGCGTGTGCGCGCCACGACGTCGACGGCGCCGCGGGTCCCTGGCGCGGCGTGTCGCCTCACTCGCTGGAGCGCGCGGGCCGCGCGAGGACGGGCCGCAGCGGCGCGGGCGCGCCCTCGTCGTCCGAGGAGGACGCGTCGCTGCCCGCCCTGTCGTTGGCGCGCTCGCAGGCGTCCATCCACTTGACGTACACGTCGATCGGCGCCATCAGGCGGTGGATGTCCGTCTCGTACTCGGTGTCGCACCGCGAGCACTTGAGCTTGCCCCTGCTCTCCTTGTGGTTGAGCGTGCACTTCACCGACTTGTCGTGGTTGCAGTACGGACAGCGGTACGGCCCCGAGTCCACCTGGGCGGAGGACGCGCAGGCGGGGAGGTTGGTGCGGGCGCGTGTGGGGCGTCGTCGTCGGTGCAGTGCGGGCCCGTGCGGTCGACGGGTGCGGCGTCGTGGCGGGCTCGGGGCGTCGGGGCGTACCTTTGGCTTCTTCTTGACCGCCACGGGCGCCTTCGTGGACTTTCGCTTCCCCATGGTCCTCCTACGGCGCTGCCTCCTCCTCAGGCGCACAACGCAGCAGCCCGGCGCGCTCCGTGCCCAGCGGCACTGCGGGCTGCCCGACGAGCTCCCCGACACTCCTGTCCCGCACGCCCTCCGCGTCCGACCACGGCCCCGGGCGCGCGCCCCGCGTCTTCAGGCAGCGTGTTGGACCCCAGGGGGTGCCGTCCAGCCGTGCGCGGTGACCTAGATGACTCTCCCTCGATGCGCACGCGTCCTCGACTGGGGCGCTGGCGGCAGCGCGCGGCCAGACGGCGCCCGTCCGGCCGCTGGCGCCGCGGTTGAGCCCCCCCCCCCTCAACGTTTGCACCCCAGGCCGTCTTTGCCGTCGTGCGAGCGGCTGCCGGTCCAGTAACGGGACGCGACGCGGCCCTCCCTGCGCGTGACCCGCTCCGTTGCGTCCGCCGGCGCATTGACGGCCCGCGATCGCCGTCCGTGGCCACCGGCAGCCTCGTCGCGAGAGCCCCTGCAGCTTCGGGAGCCGCGCCCCGGCGCCGCTGCTGGCTTGCCGCCCGCCATGAGTGCGCGGCGGCTGGGTTCCGCCGTCGTACGCGGCGTCCTCGCCGCGAACGGCCCCTTCGCGCCCCCGGGAGCGCAGCAGCGCACGATGTTGGGTCTCCGCCCAGTGATGGAGTACTTCCGCAGCGGGGTGCCGCCGTCGCGCCGGCCCAACCACCTGCAGATGAAGACCCTGCACTACTTCGACAGGTGCGGACATCGCCCGCGCGTCGCCGCGCCTCGATTGCGCTCCGCGGCCGTGAGAACCCGCCCCGGGGGCGCGGGCCGGCGACGGCGGTCTCGCGCGACCGCGATGACGCGCCGCCGCCATCGCGCCCCTCGGCCGGCATGGACAGCGCGCGGCCCGCGTCCTGGCGGCCCGCGCGCGCGGTATCACGCCCGCCAGGCCCGGCGCCCGGCGCGCCCGGGTGGCCCACACACCGCGCGCGCCCGCCCCGCCCCCGCCCGGGCTCGCAGGACGCCGCCGCTCTGGCCGTGGGTCACGAACCTCGAGAAGTCCCGGCAGCTGCGGGCGATGATGCTCGAGCGCGCGCTGCTGGAGGAGGCGCTCGCGCGGCAGGGCGTGCCCGCCCACGTCGCGCTCCCGGCGCACGTCGTGCAGCAGGTGCGCGGCCGCACCCCCGCGCGCACGCACCGGCGGCGCTCGTCCGCCGGCGGTGGCGCCGACGCCGCGCGGCGCACGTCCGCGCGTGTTCTCGCAGGCCAAGGACCGCGTGGACGCCACGTTCCGGGCGATGGTCGAGCACCGCGCGGTGCTCGGCGTGCCACGCAGCAGGAGGCGGGGAGGCGGGGAGGCGGGGTGGCGGAGCAGGAGGGGAGGGCGGGCGGGCGGGGCGGCTGGCGGCGCGGGCGGCGGCGTTCGACGCGAGGATGGGGGAGGTGCGGGGCCGCAACGACGCGGGGGCGGCCGAGGTGCTGCGCGACGTGGGGACGTGGGACTACGGCGGGTGGGAGCAGATGGCGGTGGAGACCACCAACGGGCTGCGGGCGGGCTACGGCGTCGAGACGGAGGTGCGTTGCCGTCGCCAGCGGAGCGTTGCGTGGTCGCCAGCGGAGCGTCGTCGTCGCGCGCCCGACCCGCGCGCGCGTGTGTGTGTGTGTGCGTTGCAGGACCGGACGAAGCTGGAGCTGTCGCGGGCGCTGACGGCGTCGGCGGGGCGCACGGTGTCGCGCATGACGACGATGAACGTGATCATCGCGTTCCGGCAGCTGATGGACGGGCTGCGGCGGTACGCGCTGAGCCTGCAGTGCGAGGAGCGCGTCGCGGGGGAGTCGCCGTTCGGGCAGGGCCCGCCGAAGCGCGGCCGAGGGATGCGCCGCGCGCAGGTGGTGATGAAGTGGCGGGCGCGGCGGCGCGGCGCGCGCGCGCGCGGCGGCAGCGAAGCGCAGGGTGACGACGGCGGCGCGGAGGGCGGCGGCGCGGAGGGCGAGCCCGACGTGGCGGCGGAGATCCTGTCGGCCTACAGGACGGTGGAGGGCGAGGTGGAGGGCGCGGCGAGGGGCCTCGTGGACGCGTCGAACGACCTGCTGCGGAAGAGGTTCGTCAACCGGGACCACATCCTCGGGCAGAGCCTCCCGGGCCCGTGCGTCCGGCGGCTGTGGGGCGTCGACCCGAAGCGCCACACGTTCTGGTGGGAGTACGACTTCACGATGGGGGAGTCGCGCGGCGAGGCGGCGGCGCACCTGTCCGAGGAGACGCGCGACGACATCTTCGTGCTGCACAAGGCCGAGCCGGTGCGGAACGCCGTCGAGGACCTCGCGGACGAGTACCGCGTGCGCCCGCAGCGCGTCGCCGCGGTGGTGGCGCTGCGGGAGGCCGAGCTGCTGGCGGCGCTGTCGGGGCACCGCTGGGACGAGTGGGGCGCGCTGCGCGTGGAGCAGGAGGACCGGCAGCAGGGCATCTCGCCCGTGGGCAAGGTCGACGAGCGGTCGCGGGAGCGCCACGTGGTGCGCCTCAAGGTCTACCCCCACAAGGGGATGCGCGGGGAGACGTGGGACGAGTACCGGGAGCGGTGCGCGCTGGCGGCGGAGGACCAGGAGGCGGTGCTGCTGCGGGACATGCAGGAGAACCTGGCGTGGACGATGCGGCGCGTGGCGCGGGACGTGCGGCGCGGGTGGCGCGACGCGCGGCGGGTGACCCCGCGGCCCGAGGGCGGGTACCCGATCCTCGTGACGCCGCTGGACCGCGGGGGGCCGTTCGGGGAGAAGCCGTACGTGGGCGTGCCGGGGCAGGGCGTGCGGGCGCTCACGGAGGGCGAGGAGGCGCTGGTGCGGCGCCGGCGGCCCAAGGCGCGGCGCAGGCTCTGGATGCGCCCGTACGGCGAGCTGTGACCGGGGAGCGGGAGGGGGCGCAGTGGAGACGAGACCGAGCAACGTGCCTGATTGGGTGGACATGATGTGTGTTGCACTGTAATGTACAAAATCGCTTCCGAGATGGCCGTAAATTCCGCACCTTGCTTCGATTTCGGGGGTGTAGCTCAGGGGTAGAGCGCTCGCTTTGCAATTCGACGTTTCGGGACTGCTGTGCGCCGGTGCATGCCAGTGGCAAGCCCAGCTCCTGTCCATCCCGAGACGCTCGTGCAGACCTGCGAGATGCCAGGGGTTCGAATCCTCTCTCCTCCAAAAAAAAAACGGCTCTTATGCACGTATCGGTGTCCCCCAGAGCGTTTGCGCGACGATCGGCGGCTCGGGGAGCGGCCCAGAGTGGCCAGCAGGCGCCGGCGTGCAGTGACGGGTGCGGGGGTCGGGCGCCGCGTCGGGGGCTTGCATCGACGTGCGCGGCGGCTTCGGAGACCGTCCCGTGGTCTCCGCGGTGCGCGGCGTCGTCGGGCGGCGCGGCAGCGGCTGCCGCGCGGCGTTTTGGACCGCGCCGACGACAACGTGAGACAGCATGGACGCGCGGCTCGACGCCCCGCGCGCACGCCGCGCCGCGCACGGACCTGCGGCGGTCGACCTTCGGAGAACGCGTCGCGACCTGCACGACCCCTCCGTGCGGCGTGGAGACCCCCCGAGGTGTGTGCCACGTGGGCCGCACCCAGGGACCCCGTGACGCCGACGTTCTGGCGCCCCATCGCCCGGCCGCTGCGTCCTGACCCCCAGACCTGCCGCTCGGGCTGTCGAGAGACGCATGTGGCGCACAGCGGGCGAATTCGTCTGCGTGGGCTGCATAGGCACGCCCGGTGGGTCCTTGCGACCGAGCGTTCGCGCCGGCGACTCGCGGCCAGCGACCGCGGAGATGGACGCTGCGCCTGCGTCGTGGGCGGCGCCGCAAAAAAACCGTGGTGTCAGTACCTTGGGTGGCCCGAACCGCGACGCATCCCTTGCAGTGGAGCTCCATCCATGGCCCCAACCCCCTGCTCTGCCCTGGGGAGTGTGATGTCTCTGCCCGTCCATGCCGAGGAGACGACTCTTTCGGATTCCCGTTCGCGACGTCGCGGCGGAAAACACGCCGCGCGCGCCTCACACACGCACGTCGGGCAGCCATGTGGCTGCCATCAGCAGCGCACTGACCGGTCAGTGACCGCCCGGTCGTTTCCGGCCACGAGAGCGCCGCGCGACGAGGCGAGTGCACACACGGCATGACGCCAGCGGGGCCGACGAAGGGCGTCGTGCTCCCGGTGGGCCGCGGCGGGGCTGGAGCCCGAGCTGCGTCTCAGTGCGGAGCTCCCGACGGTGATGCCGGGCCCTGTCGGCGCTCTACGTGCGACGCGCTGCCAAACACGGCAGTACGACGCACGGACAGGGCGCGCTGAGGACCAGGTCTCTGCGACTTTCCAGCCGTCCCATTTGCTCCCCTGCAAGATGGGCGGCCCGGGCGGCGGCCCGCGGCCGCAGTCGACGCGAGCTCGGGGTCCGGTTGGCACACCATGTGTAGGAGATCTCGCGCTTTCGAAGGGGCGGTCCTGGATCCCCCGTGGCGTGCTCCAGGAGGGAGCGAAGACCGCCGCTCCGTCTCTCTCCCGGTGCGCAGACAGGCCCTCTCCGTGCAGGCCTGGGGGCCTCCTCGTGCCAGGTGACTTCGGTCGCACAACATGCCCCTCTTTCGCGCGCTTTGGTGCGCGGAGCTCGCTCGTGTCGTCACGCCCCAGCGCACGCTGCTGGAACGCGCTCCTCCGCACCCCGTGCGCCGCCAAGCTCCGCTATCGGTGGTGCCCGAGCGTGAGAGATGTGTCGTCGTCATCTGAGGTCCTGCGCGATCCGCGGCAGGACTGAAGCGTTCCGCGCCCCCCCTCTGCCTCTGCAGGTGCCCCAACGGCGGAGGCCGCTGCTGGCCGGCCGCCCCAGCGCGGTCGGGCCGGCGCGTGGTCGTGATGACCGGCCTGATCTCCGCGCCGGCGGTCCCGTGTCGGCCGCCCGCACACCGCCCCCACACGCCACGCCTCCCTCTCCCTGGCCAAGTTGAGCAGGCAGGTGCGCTCGGAACCACGCCGCCGGCCGCCCCAGCACCCTCTCGCGGCCAAGTGCTCGTGAGCGCCAGAGCATCGCCCTGGCGCCTTCGCGCCTCCTCTCTCGGCCCCTCCATCTTCCGCCATGATCTCCTCGCCCGCGCCGTCCTCGTCGATGCAGGTGGCGCGCCCCCCGCGGCGCCGTGCTGACCCGCGCCGCGTCTCGTGCGGGCCTCGCGCCGCGCGCCGCGGATCCCCACGTGGTTGGTGGGCCACGTGCTGTCCGCCCTCTGCGGTGCTGCTGCTGGCTGCATCGCGAGGCGGATGTCGCTGGACGGCGGCGTGACGCGTGGCTACCGCGTCCGCGTCCACGACGCCCATCGATCGACGCCGCGCTGACCCGCGGCGGGCCCCTCGCCGCCGGTGAGTGCCGTTCCTGGTCCACGTCCGTCTGGTCTCCTGCCCGGAATCCGTCGTGCTCGCGAGCCACCTCGCCCGCAGCGCCCCTTCCGTCTCTGCCGCGCGTCCGCCTGGCCCTCATAAGGTGCTCCTGCTGCACCGTCATCGTCGTGCCAGAAGCACACGCGTCGTGTCGCAAGACCTCTCGGGTCCCTTCCTCGTGTTCTGGTCCTGTTTGGCGGCGTCGAGCGCGGCGTTTCTGGTGTCTCTGCAGTGCCGGTCCACGACGGCCGGGCCGAGGCGCGCGCGGACCCCGGGATCGACATCTGTCTGCGCCTCGATGCCGCTGCAGCCCGCCCGCAGCCTGCCGGCGCCACCGTCGTGGCCAGGCCGCGGGCGAGACGGCCGTCGCGGCCGCGTGGAGACGGCGCCACGTCTGGGCGAGTGCGGTGGCGCGGTCCGCCGCCGGCGGGCACTGGCACTGGAACGCGACGCGGGTCCGCTGCGGGTCGCGCTTGGCGGGTCGGGCGGCGCCGCGGACTCGCTCGGCGGCCTCCGTCAGTCGAGTCCGAGGCGGCCGCTGGAGGCGGCAGCTAGCGCGCTGTGGGCGGAGGTCTGTCGGCGGAGAAAGCGTGCGCTGGGCCTGTGTGCTTCTCTCTCTCGAGCGTCGACTACCGGCTGCTGGCGGACCGCTCGACCACGCCGTGCAGGGCGACGCGGGAGGCGCGCGTGTCGGCGAGCGCGCGGTCGGCGGCGGCGGGGCGAGTGGCCTTTGTTTGCAGAGGGGCGTCGACGGGCCGGCGCCGGTCTTGGAAGCGGCGCGCTCGTCGTCGCTGGGCAGTGCGCGCGGAGCCGCATGCTGGCCGACCGGCTCCAGCATCGCGCCTGAGCGGCGGGCGTGAGCGCGACGCTGGTCGCGCAGACGACGGGGACGTTTGCTCCGGCAGGGATGATGGCGGCCGGGACGTCCGGTGCGCGACGCTGGCGCGATCTTGGACACGCACGTGCGGTCGGAGGCGTGCGTGGTCGTGGCGGTGGGCCGGGCGCGCGCGGGCCATCCGCAGGGGCGCGGCGGCGCGGCCGCGATGGTGCTGGGTGCGGCGGTGAACCAGGACGGGCGGTCGTCGTCGCTGACGGCGCCGAACGGGCGGCTGCGTGGCTCGGGCGCCTTGTGCGGTCGGCTGCGGTGGCGGCGGCGGGCGCGGTGTCGCTGGTGCCGCGTCCGCGCGTGTCGCTGGACGCGCTTGCTGTGCCGGCGTGCGACGGGCCGCTTGGCGCGGGCGAGGTGGAGGTGGACGTGCGCGCGGTTGGCATCAACTTCCGCGACGTGCTGAACGTGCTGGGCATGCACCCGGGCGCGCCGGGGGGGGGGCGACATGGCAGGTGTGGTTGTGGGGGCTGTCGCGGGGGCGGGGTGTCCGGGCTGTCGGTGGGGTCGCTGGGGACGCGGACGCGTGCGGACGCGCGGCGCGCGGCGGCGATGCCTGGGGCGGTGACGCTGGAGGAGGCGGCGAGCTGTCATACGGTGCTGGTGACGGTGGAGGTGGCGCTGGAGCGGGCGGGGGGCGTGAGGAGCGAGGAGGTGGTGCTGGTGCACGCGGCGGCGGGCGGCGCGGGCGCGGCGGTGCGCGAGTCGCTGGCGGGGCCGGGGGCGGGCTCGTTGGGGACGGTGGGGAGCGCAAGCTGGCGGTGGTCTATGCGCGGGAGGCGGTGGCGCGGTGGCGCGGGCGCGGGATGTCGGGTGCGCCGAGGCGACGGAGATACGCGGGGCGGCGTGCGGCGGCGGGCGCGTGGCGGGCGTGGACGTGGTGCAGACGAGCCTGACGACGGCAGGGTGTGTGGCGGGGAGCGTGGCGGGGGTGGCGGCGGGGGCGGGTGGTCGACATCGGGAAGCGCGGGTGTGGAGCGCGGGGCGCGTGGCGCAGGAGCGGGCGGACGTGCGGTACGGGCTGGTGGCGGGGGACTTTGTACCGGTCGAGGTGGTGGGCTGGCGCGCGTGTCGCGCGCGCTGGGGACGGGGGCGGTGGGGGCGGTGGCGCGGGCGTGGCACGGGATAGGGGCAGCGGCGCTGCGGCAGATGTCGGCGGCGCGGGCTGTGGGAAAGGAGGTGGTGCGCCGGGCGGAGTGTGGGGAGGGGCGTGGGCGCGGGGGCGTGGCGGTGACGGGCAGGACGGGGTACGTGGGGTCGGTGGTGGCGGGGTGGGCGGTGGCGTCGGGGCGCGGCGGAGAGGTGGCGCTGCTGGGGCGTGCGGGCGGCGCCGGCGCTGGGCGGTGTGGTGGGGCTGGGGATCGAGGGCGCGTTGGTGCGCGTGGTGCGGTGCGACGCGTCGGTGCGGAGCGAGGCAGCGTGGGCGGCGGGCGTGTACGGGCGGCGCGTGCGCGTGGGGGCAGCAGTGGTGCACGCGGCGGGCGCGCTGGCCGGGGGCTTGGTGGGGACGCTGGGCGCGGTCGAGGTGCGGGCGTTGATGGGTGCGAAGGCGGGCACGGGCGACGTGGGCGCGGTTGAGTGAGTGCACGGCACGGGGACGGGGGTGTGGGACTCGATCGAGATGGGCACTCGCGCACGTGCACTGCAGCACGTGCCCGGCGCGGTGCGGTGCCGCGGCCTCGGAGTCACACCGGCGGCTGCTCGGGTGGCCCACGCGCGCCTGGGCGCCAGCCGCGCGGGTGGCAGACGTGCGGTCTAGTTTCAAGCGCATGTCGGGCGCGGCGCGCATCAAGGACGTCGAGCAGCTCGACTGTGTCAGCTCGGCCAGGTCGGAACGGCGCTGTGGGCGGCGAGGACGCGTGACGCGTGCTGCAGACGCGCACAGCTGCTTCCTGCGGCCCCTCGAACCTCCCCCTTCCCCGCCCTCTGAGGTGGCAAGCACGGGCTGCTGGAAGGGGTCGCGACGCGCCCTCGGGGCGGCGACGCCGCCCTCCGGAGGTCGCTCGCAGCAGCTCCGTTGGCGCTCCGCGCCGCGCCGCGCGCGCGTGCGCGCTGTCGAGCCGCGCGTGCCACGTCTGCGTCGGCGGCCGGAAACGCCGCGCGGGAGCCGCCGACGCGCCGCTCGACGGCGACGACGCGCCCCCGAGGACGGCGGGACGTGTGACGCGTCCTGAAGCCGCCGCGCACGTCTCCGAAAGCCCCCTAACCGCCTGCTGTTCGACTCGACTCCCCCCGGGGGAGTAACTGTTCTACCCGAGCGGCGACTCGCCCGCGGGTTGGTTCACGACCTCGCGCCGCCGCGTGCGCAGCGGGGCCGGCATGGACCTGGCTCACACGCGCTCCGGGAGCGCTGGCACTCGCTGGTGCCCGGGTTCACTGTGCCTCTCGTGCTGCTCGGCCAGCAGCAGGCTGTGATCTATTAGCGGCCGGGATGTCCCGACCGACTGGCTCAGGTCCGGCCGACTCCTAGTGGATGTCAGCCCGGCATCATCTTCCCCCCCTCCTAGATTTCGTTGCTCGCAAGACACAAGACATGGCAGCGTGCATAGGGACGGGTCGGGAATGCTGTAGTGACGGGCGGGAGGGGTTCGGGTTGGGGTTGGAGGACGCAAGTGCATGTGGATGCAAGGTCGGCAGTGCTCGTGACGGAGGGGGGCATGCGAGGGGTCAAGAGAGAGAGCGGACGAGAGCAGAGGGAGGTTGGGGCGGGAGACGCGAAGGGGCTGGTCGGAAGTTTGCTTCCCGCCGCCGCGCAAGGTGCCATGCAGGTGGAAGAGGGCGGGGTGGGGTGTGGAAGGGGGGGGGAATGGCTGGGGCGCAGGAGAAACAGGGCTGGGCACGGTCGCCGCTGCTGTCAGCACGGGGCCCGAGCGCACGGCCGCGGCCGTGCCTCGTAGGGTCAGTTGTGCATCAGTCCAACCCCGTCAGGTCGACGACCTGCTCCGAAACGTCGCTCGCCGACTCCGTCAGGTCAATCACGTGGTGCACCGGCGCCGTCAGGTCGATCGCCGGCGCCGCCATGTCGACCACACCCTCCCACGCGTGCACTGGGCCCCCGGCCGCACCGCCGCGTCCGCCGAGGCCACGCCCGACAGCACCGCCCTCGCCAGCAGCGCCAGCGGCCACGACACTGGCAGCAGTGACACGATTCCCGCCGCGTCCGCGACCGCCACCGCGACCGCCCCCGCGTCCGCCGCCGCCGCCGCCGCCGCCGCCAGCACCACCACCACGACCACCAGCACCAGTAGCAGCATGCTGCGCAGCACCACCACCACCACCGCCGCCGCCGCCGCCGCCGCCGCCGCCGCCAGCACCACCACCACCGCCGCCGCCGCGGGCAGCATCGCCGCGCCCGCGCCCGCGCCCGCGCCCGCGCCCCGGCCCGCGCCCGCGCCCGCGCCCGCGCCCGCGCCCACGCCCGCGCCCGCCTGCCGCGTTCGCGTCGCCATCGACCGCCCCACCGGCCACGCCGCCGGCCAGGCCGCCCGCAGCGCCGTCGTCGCGCACCTGGCGTCCACGTGCCGGATACCTCTTGCGGTAGCAAGCGCCGCAGAGGCCAGCCTGGTACCAGCCGTCGTGCGCTTCGTCGAAGCACAGGGCGGCCAGCGTGCCGCAGTCGCGGCAGGCCGTGTCGCCGAACACATCGGCGCGCTGCTCGGCCATGTCCGCGTCGGACATCGGGTTCTCGCACCCCGCAGTTGCGCACGTCCTGTTCTTGTGGAAGCCGCCGGGGGCCCACGTCTGGCAGCTTGCCGTCTTCGCGCACCCGCAGTTCTTGCCGGGGCGCTCCTCGTGCGGGCCCAGCTCGTCCTCCAGGTCCGACAGGAGCCTGTCAGCCGCAGCATCCTTCCCTTGTTCCCGCAGCTTGTCGGCCTCCCCTTTGGCCTTGGCGCGCTTGTCTCGCCGCGCGTCGCGCCACCTGGTGCATGCCCCGCACCTCCACGCCTCGACGAGCACCGTCGTGCCGTCAGGCAGGATGACCGTGTCGGTCGTGTGCTTGCCAAACCCCTCGCTGTTAAAAGACCGGTCGCGGAACCCGCCCGGGAAGGCCACGTCGTAGGCGTGCAGCTTGCAGGCCGGGTTCGCGCAGCACACCTCCCGACGCCTCAGCTCCAGGCGCTCCCGCGGCACCAGCGGGAGCAGGTGCAGGCGGCAGATCTTGTGTAGCTTCTTGTGCTCGTAGTCCTCGGGCAGGTCGCAGTGCTCCGTCCTGTGGCACCCGCGCCACACCACCAGCCCCTGGAACGGCGTCAGCCCGTCCCTCGACGCCGACCCGGGGACGGTGGTGTTGTTCTGCTCGGCGGTGTGGAACCGCTGATAGCACACGGCACAGCGAAAAAACCCGCCCCGGAACTTGTTGAGTCCCGGGTAGACCTCGCGGTCCTGCCGGCAGTCCACGCAGATCCCCCACCTAACCCGGACGGCGACGAGCTGGCCGTCCGGGCAGGCGTAGACCGAGATGCACACGCACCTCCCAGGGGCGTGCGCCACCGGTACGACGCAGCGCACGTCGTAGGGGCAGTTGATGGGCCCCGGCCCGATCCACGTGATCCGGGCGCGGAACTCCGTCACGCGCCTCCGGATCTGAACGTCGATGCGGACGAACGCGCTGTCCCAGACGGCCGTGCAGCGGAAGTCGGGCGCCGCGTTCGGGGGCTTCGCATCGACGTGCGCGGCGGCTTCGAAGACCGTCCCACGGTCTCCGGGGGGCGCGGCGTCGTCGAGCGGCGCGGCAGCGGCTCCCGCGCGGCGTTTTGGACCGCGCCGACGACAACGGTCAGCGTGGACGCGCGGCTCGACGGCCCCGCTTGCCTGGCGGCCCGTGCACAGCGATGGCGACGACACCGGCACGGGTGAGCTGCTCGATCGGTGCTCGACGGGAATGCCGGCGCCGCGAGGAGTGTGTCTTCTCCGCGCCGCCTGGCCTGCCTGCTTCTGCGCCGAGCCCTCGGCGCCGAGCGAGTCGACGGCCGTGGTGCGCAGGCTCTTCCCCCGCCCGGAGGCGTCCCACTCGCGGTCGTGCTCTCCGCGGGAACCAGCGCGCCGCAACGGCGCCACAACAGCGCGATGCCGTACGCCGCTCGCCGCCCGTCTGCGCTGCTGGCGTCCGAGCCGGCGGTCCCCGCACGCACACGGCGCGGCCGCGGTGATCTGTGGAGCGAGGGCGCAACCACCGACCCCTGCGAAGGTCGCCACAACATGCGAATTGGAAAACAACGCAAATTGCTAGGCGTGCTCGTGACTGCGGGCGCGGATCGGCGCGGGCATCCGTGCGGCGGTCTCACACAGCCGGCTCGCGTGGGCTGCCCGGCGCGCGCGCGTCGCGCCCCCGCCCTCGACGGAGGCCGCCCCTCGACGTCGTTCCTGCACAGAGCCTTGGTCGGCGCGGGCCTGCGTTCCGATGCAGGTCGCCTCACTTGCCCCGCTTGGTGCCCCCCTGCGCGGCGTGCGCGTGGCGGTCCGCCGCGGCCTGCGCCCTGGCCGGGAAGCTGCCCTTCTGGGTCTGCCCCTGCGGGTCGGCCTTGGCCGCCGCGGCCTGCGTCGCGAGGTCCGTGTTGGACACGAGGATAATCAGACTTGGCAGCTGCACGCGCGCCGCGGGCACCACGGCGCCCCCGCGCCGCGAGAGCGCCCCTCGACAACTTCGAGGTAACGACTTCCTCTCGCGCGCGCGCGCACGCGCGCCGCGTGGCCGGGTCGATCCGCGGGACACGCCGACAGAAAAACGCAGGCGGGGATGCATCGCGCTTCCGCGCGGGCGCTCGCCTGGATGCGCGCGGCATCGGTTTTTCCCATCTCGGCCTTGGGCGCCATTTTCGTGTTCCAGGTGCTTCCGATGTAATGCGACGTCCAGACGTGGTGGGGTGTGTCGCGCAGCCCGGTCCTGCGGGCCCATGAACGCCGTCTTCGCCCAAGGAGATGCCACAAACACACCCCCCTGCACCTCACCGCTGGCGGCCACGTCGGCAGCCGCCCCTCGCGCGATCGGGCAGGCTCCACGCGTCGCACCTCGACGCCAGGCGAGCCACCGCAGCGCTCTCTCGACCCCCGCACCACGCAACCACCAGCGGGCTCACAGCAGCAACACCGCACGCGCGCACCCAGGAACTCGCGTCACCGGCGGGGCTTCTTGCCCATCCGCGGCTTGTACGCCATCGCGCCGCCGTCGTCGTCGCCGTCGTCCACCGCGCCCTTCCGCTTCCCCTTCTTCTCGTCCTTCTCCTGCACGCGCAGACACACGCACGTCCCGTCAGCACGGTGATCGTCGTCGTGGCGCAGCCGAGCGGGCCCGCGCGCGGGTCGTCGACGGCGTCCCCGCGGCGCACCTTGATGGTTCGCGCCGCGATGCGCGAGGCCTCGTTGACCCTCTCCAGGAGCAGGAGCGCCTCGTCCTGCGGCGCGTCGTACTTCTCCATCTTGAGCTTGATCAGCTGCTCGATCTTCTGGAACAGCTCGACGTCGTACTGCGTCACGAGCGTCACCGACCGCCCGGACCGCCCCGCGCGCGCGGTGCGCCCCACGCGGTGCACGTAGTCCTTGGAGTTGGTCGGGACGTCGTAGTTGAGCACGACCTCGACGCTGGGGATGTCGAGGCCGCGCGCGGCCACGTCCGTCGCGACGAGGATGCTGCGGTCCCCGGCCTTGAACTTGTTGAGCGCCGCGAGCCGCTTCGGCTGCGACATCTGCCCGTGGATGGGCACGGCGTCGAGGCCCAGGTTGCGGAGCATGAGCGCGAGGCGGCGCGTGGAGTCGCACGTGCGCGTGAAGACCATCGCGGTGCACCCCGCGAGCTCCGTGAGCACGTGCGCGAGGTAGCACTCCTTGTACTTGGCCGGTACGAACAAAAACTGCTGACGCAGGTTGTCCGCGGTCTGGTACTTGTGCGAGATCTCGACGCGCACGGGGCTCGAGAGGCACGCGCGCTGCAGCTTCGCCACCTTCTGCGTCATCGTCGCGGAGAAGAGCTGCGTGCGTCGCTCCCGCGGCACCACCTTGAGGATCTGGTCGATCTCCGCCTCGAAGTCCATGTTCAGGAGACGGTCCGCCTCGTCCAGCACGAGGTGCTTGAGCGCCCGGAGCGTGAAGCCCTGCGGGGGCGGGCGGGCGGGCTGCGTCGGCGGCGGCGCGTGGCGCGTGGGTGCAGGGGGCGGGCGCGCGGCGCGGCGGCGCGGACCTTGGTGTTGGAGAGGTGGTCGACGACGCGGCCGGGCGTGCCGACGACGACGTGCGGCCGGCGCCCGAGCGCGATGGCCTGCGCCATCATGTCGATGCCGCCCACCAGCACCGCGCACCGCAGGCCGATGCCGGCGCCGAGCGCCTCGAACTGCTCCGAGATCTGGATCGCCAGCTCCCTGCGACGCAACGCGACACCGACGCTCCGCGTCCGGATCCCGCGCAGCGAGGATGCACACACACGCGTGCGTGCGCCGAGGTCGAGGTGCGCGCGCGCGGCCGGCGGTGCGCGGCGCGCGCGCGGCGCGCGGGGGCGGCTCACCGGGTCGGGGAGAGCACGAGGGCGAACAGCGGCTGGGGGTTGTCGAGCAGGTCCTGGATGATGGGGAGTGCGAAGGCGCCCGTCTTTCCGGAGCCCGTCTGCGCGAGGCCGATGATGTCCTTGCCCTCGAGGAGGTACGGCACCGCCTGCTGCTGAATGGGCGTCGGCTTGCGCCAGCCGAGGCCCGCGGCGGCCTCCGCTAGCTGCTCGCAGACACCGAGGGCGCGGAAGGCCGCCACCGCCTCCTTCTTCTCATCGCTGTTCAGCTCCTTGACCATCCTGGCGCGCTCAGGCCCCTAGCCCTGCCGCAAACGGAGCGATATGGCGCAGGCGCGCGGCCGCAGCCAGCCCCGCCCACGGCCGCAACGCAGCAGCCCCGGAAGCCCGCCGCCGCGCCGTATGTACCGCGGCTCCGAGACGCCGGCGCGGGCGAGGGCACAACGCGCGAGCCAGCGTCTCTCCGGGCGGCTCTGAGGACCGAGCGGGAGGCCGGGGCAGCGGCGTTCTATGGGTGCAGGCGCCACTGGAAGCTGCGCCGGCCGCTCACGCGCGCTGGGCGCCGACACTCTGCCGCGTCGCTCGCGCAGCTCGCACGATGCGATGTGCTGCGTGCGCGGGCCGACCCGGCCTCTCGCGCGCCCGCGCACGTCCGGGGGGGTCCCAACACCCCGCGGACTCTCCAGCCGGGCCCCGGCGCCGCACCTGCGCGCCGCGAGAACGGGCGGCGCGCCCAGCGCCGCCAGCGTAGAGCGCGCTGCGTGCTGGACCCCCTGCGCCGCTCTCAGCGTTCCGCGTCCGCCTCAATTGCACCGCGAGGACAACAAGCCTAGTTCCCTATCATCGCATCAACTCGCGAGCCAAGGGCTGCCGCCACGGGCCGTCTGCACCCTGCTCGCCCGCTGTGCGCTAGACGGCACGGCGGGGCTGCCGCGGTGGCGGGGCGCTGAGTATGCCCTCCGCCTGCGGCCCGCACGTCGCTCGCACCGCGCCGCGTCTTCCAGCGGGCTCAGAGCCAGGCCGACCCCGCACCAGGACCCACCGCGCGCTCCCTCACGGCCTCCTCAGACGGCCAGGTGCGTGCCCGCGCCGCTCTCGTCCGTCGCACGCCGCGGGAGGATTCCGCTGCGCGGCCCGAGCGCAGGCTGGCGCTTGCCCTCCGTCCCCTGCCGCACCACGCGCTGCTTCTGCCGCCCAGGGCGTCGCGCGCGGATACGTATGGCACGCTGAAGGAAGCGGGCCGGGTCGCGCTGCCTCGCGCCGCTCGCATGAGGGACACCGGCCGGTCTCCCCAGCGCTGGTGACCGCCCTGGCCCGGCGGCCTCGACGGTCCGCGGCACCGCCTCGATCGCCCGCTCGGCCACGACAGCGCACGGGATTCCCTCGGGTGCGCCGCAGGAGGCCGCGGGTCGCGCAGCATGCACCGGAAGTCCACGCCCCAGGAAAACGGGCCTAGCACCACCACCACTGGCCAGCCGCCGCGGGTCGACGTCTCCAGCGACGTCGAGGCCAGCGGAGGTGAGCAGCACGCCCCCAAGCTGCCGCGCGAGGGCGCTGCCCCCCCCCTCCGCGAGCCTCTCTCTCTGTCCGCCCGCACAACGTAGCGGTGTGTCCCGTCCCGTCCGTTCGCAGCTGGGAGCGGGAAGCCGGCGGCCGCGAAGCGCCCGCCACGAGCGAAGCGGGAGTCCCCCGGCGGCAGGCTGACCGAGCGGGAGCCCCAGGTGCGACGTTCATTCAACGGACCCCCCCTGCACTGACGACGACGCAGCACGTGCCGGCGCTCACCTCCCGGCGCACCCCGCGCGCGGTCGCGCAGGGCTTCAGCCTGTTCGAGGAGGACACGTTGGCGGAGGCGTGGTCGCGCGGGCGGTGGCTGCTGGGCCTGCTGGTGCTCCAGAGCTCGTCGTCCTTCGTCCTGGAGAGCTACGAGGGGCTCGTGCGGGAGCACCTCGTCGTGACGCTCTTCCTAACGATGCTCGTCGGCGCCGGCGGCAACGCCGGGAACCAGGCGCGCGCAAGCACACGCACACGCACACGCACGTCATCATGCAGACGTGCGTCAATCACACGCGAGCTGCGTCGTTCCGGGGCTCACGCCGCGCCGCTCCGCGTCCCCGCAGAGCGCGATCCAGGTGATCCGGCAGCTCGCGACGCGGGAGATCCGTCCGACGATGCGCAGCGCGGTGGCGACCATCCTGAAGCAGGTGCGCGTGGGGCTGCTCCTGGGAGCGGGGCTGTCGGCGGGGGGGTTCGTGCGCGTGTTCGTGACGCAGGGCTCCGTGGTCGACGCGGCGGCGATCTCGTCGTCGCTGTTCCTGATCGTGCTGGCCAGCGTCGTGCTCGGGTCCACGCTCCCCTTCGCGCTGGCCAAGGCCGGGCTGGACCCGATCCACGCGGGCTCGACGATCCAGGTGATCATGGACGTGCTGGGCGTCGTGATCACGTGCGTGATGTGCAGCGCGGTGCTCGGGCAGACCGCGGCGGCGCTCGGGGTGTGACGCCAGGACACCGCCAGCGTGCCGACGTGTGGGAGGGCGTGCCCGCCACCTGCACGCCCGCGCACCCGGCGGGGGCCGCCCGCGCACCAGCCTCCAGGTTCCGTGCGGTCCGCGTGCAGCGCACGGTTCGGTGGGAGTTCGACCTGACTCAGTCAACTATGACTGAGCTCAACTCACTGAGACTCAGGAAACAGCTTGGCCGGGCTTGTTGCTGCGCCGTGGGTGGCGCCGCGGCAGGAGCGAACGCCGCGCCGACGTGCACGCGCGGTCGTGCTGGTGTCGCACCTGCGTGCCGGGCGTGTGTGTGCTGGTGGTTGGGGCGAGCTCGCAGCGGGCGTGCGCGGCCCCCGACGTCCGCCTGCGGGTAGAGGCAGAACCATGTCGTTCAGCGCGGCGCCCGCGGGCGGAAACGGCGCGTCGGTCGGCGACACGGCGGCGGAGCGCGTGCTGCACGACCCCATGTTGCTCTCCGCCGTCCTGCGGCACATCCACGGCATCTCGGTCGGGACGGAGAGCGACCTCTTCCGCAACATCGACGTCAGCTGCCTCGCTCTGTGCTCGAAGCGGATGTGCGCGACGGTGCTGGCGTGCGCCAGCGAGGCCTGCCTGGTCTCGCTGTGCGAGGAGTTGCTGCGCGCGTGCTGGCTGGTCAAGCTGCCCGTCCCGGACCCCATGCCGCGGGCCGTTCGGCTACGGATGTACCTCGAGTCCGCGGACGCCGCGCTCATCAACACGGCCGGGCCGTGCATGAATCCCCAGGGCAAGTGCCAGCCCGCGCAACAACAGACAGTCGCACCTCCCTCGCTCGCAGCTCGCGCGCCCAGACGGCCGCGCAGGGGTCGCGAAAGGTTCAACGCCACTCATAGATCCCGGAAAACGGTCCTTCGCGCCAAATACGCACTCACACCCAGATCCGCGCACCGTTCCCTGCGTGTGCAGTCATCGAGCGGGTCAAGGTGCTCCAGATGTACGCCACGGACTTCGAGGGGGACGCGCAGCCCCTGCCGCGCCTCCTCGCCTCCCTGCGCGCGGCCAGGTGCGCCCACAACGCCCCCGCAGGCGCCCCCCCGTGCCCTCAACCCCACACCGTCATCGCACCCGCTCGCCCCCGCCGCGCCCGCGCAGGTTCGACTTCGCCGCCACACGCGAGCTGTTCCTGTCGTGCAACCTCAACAAGGACCTCCTCAGGTTCCTGCAACCCTTCACCGGCGCGGAGCTGGAGGAGCTGCAACTCTACACCTTTTACGGACGCGGCGACGTGACGGCCACGTGCGGGTACACGAGCGGCATCCAGCGCATCGAGGCGGCGGTGCTGAACCTGATCGCGTCCTGCGGCGCGACGCTGCGGCGCCTGAAGGTGTCGATTGCGCGCCCCAACGAGACGGCGGGCGCGTTCGTGACGGCCGAGGCGCAGGCGCCCGCCTCGCAGCTGTACGCGCGGCTGCAGGCGGGGATCCTCACCACCGTCGCGATGCTCCCGCGCATCTCCCGGCTGATGCTCTCCAACGACATGACCGAGTGCGCCGCCCGACACTCACACGAATCAGATTCGCATGCCGCGGGTCACGTTCGCGCGGTACGCAGAGGCCAGCATGAATCCACTCCCGAGCGGGTCGCTGGCCTTCGCTGCGGCCGCTCGGAGCGCCCCCGCGTGCTGCGGCGGCGCGCAGCTACGCGACAGACCAGGCCGCCTGGCGTGCGTGCGCCCGCCGTGCAGGGTCGCCGAGGACGTGCTTCCGATGCTCGCCCCGCTCGACACGCTGCGGGAGCTCAACCTGTGCGACTCGCACCTCGCCGTCGGCGCCGACATCGGCCTCATGACTCAGCTGACGGCGCTCAAGCTCTGCGACATGGCGCCGCCCGACCACGACGACGCGCCGCCGGGAGACGCCGGGTGAGTGCTATGGCACGCCCCCCGCACGCGCGGAGCTGCTTCGTGGCCCCGCAGCGGCGCCAACCGCGCAGCGCCGCACCGTTGCGTGGCTGCAGGCAGGTGCACGTGCCGGCGGCGGCGGCGCTGCCGCCCGAGGGGGGCCTCGCGAACCTCAGGGGCCTGCAGCGGCTCGAGATGACCTCGGACGTGCTCCCGCCGCAGTTCCGGTCCGCCATCGCGCACCTGACGGGCCTGACCCGGCTGCAGCTGCGCTTCGCCTCGCGCCCGCTCCTGCAGCCCATCGCCGCGCTCACGGGCCTGCGGGACCTCCGCCTCGCATTCACGGAGCCCTCGGGCGTCCCGGTCACCGCGCTGCGGCCCCTCACGGCCATCGCGGGGCTGCAGTGTCTCTGCGTGGGAAAGGTCACCCTCGGGACGGAGGCTGAATGCGCGACGGTGCTGCGCGGGCTGCCCGCGCTGCGGACGCTCGAGCTGCGCAACATGTCGGACAGCGTCCCGCTCGGCGCCGTCGCGGTCCTGCCCCGGCTGCGCCACCTCAGCGTGGGCTACGAGGCCCACCAGGTCATGGCCGCGGTCCACGGCATCGAGAAGCTCGCGGAGTGCCCGCGGCTGCGCGTGCTGCGGCTGGCGAGCGTGGCGCTGGGCCGCGAGGAGGTGGGCGCGCTGCTTGAGCTGCAGGGGCTGCGGGCGCTGGCGCTGCAAAACCTGGAGGTCGACAGCCCGACGACGCTGGCGGCGATGCGGGGGTTCACGTTCTTGCGCGCGGTGGAGGTGGAGGTGACGCGGATCGCGGACCGGTCGATGACGACGTGGCGCGGCGCGCACGAGCGCGTGCAGGCCTACCTGGAGGCCGCGGGCGTGCGGCACGACATCCGCGAGGCGCTCTCGGCCTTCCACGTGGCCTCCTGGCCGTGGTAGGAACGCGCCAGTGCCAGCGCCGCGCACGCCGCCCCCCGTTGTCGTGGCCCATGTGAACACGCAATTGGCAGGTGGCAGCGGCGTCGGGCGTGAGACCGGGGGACGCGGCGTGCGCGCTGAGCGTGTCACTCACTCCTCCATCGCCGCCTCCTTCGCCTCCTGCTCGCGCGCCAGGATCTCCTCCACCTCCTTGCGCGTCGCGGCGTCCACAATCTTGATGCCGCGCACCACCGCGCCCTTCCGCAGCCGCGGGCCCCGGCGCTTGAACTTCGCCACGTTGAAGTTCGGCTTCTGCACCCCCGCCGCCGCCCCCGCGCCGCTCTTCGCCGCCGCCCCCTTCGCCGCCGCCTTGTCCTGCGTCGCGCGCTTCTTTGCCTCCGTCCGCTCCTTGCTCAGGTCGAACTCCTTGAGCAGCTCATTCACCTCGATGTTGACCTCGTCCTTCACCACCTTCTTCACCTGCTTCCGCTTCGCCTTCTTCGCGGCCTGGGCCTCCTCTGCGCGGCGCACAAGGCCAGGAGCACTGCTGGTCCGCCGTGCACGGTTCACGAGCGGGCAGCGTGGCGGCGCCCCGGCGGCCGCCGCGGCTCCGTCTGTGCACTGGCTGCGCTGCGCGATCGATCCGGCGGCTGCGGGGGGGTCGTCCAGGCACGTACGCTTCAGGGAGTACTGGTGAAGCCGGCGCCGGGTCTTGAGGTTGTTTTTCTTCGACATGGCCCGGTCGGACGGGGCGAGCGCCCGCGCTCCGCCTAGGACAGCGCAGTGCCAGCGGGCGCAGCGGGCGAAACGGTGTCTGATGACCGACAGAGGTGGCAGTCGGACACTCGAACACTCGCTGCTGCGGGACGGTTGCCTGGCCTCGCCACGGGGCGCGCAGTTCAGAGTTCGACTGGAAAGTGGGAGCAACGGATCACCACTGCGGGGAACGTGCCGGCGTCGCCGCTACAGGGGCCCCGCGAGCGCCCCGGGCGGCGTGACGGCGTGCGCAGTAGGACAGCAGACTACCTCCCCCCCGTCAGCACCTCGCCACCTCGCCGGGACCGCCGCGAAGGGCGCCCCGGGCGCCGCCACGCACAGAGTCGTTGCGGGTGCGGCACATCTTGGCGGAACTTCGACTGAACGCGCTGACACAGGGACAGTTGTCTGCACTCAGCCGGCAGTGCGCTCCGCCCGCCCAGGCGCGCAGGAGAGACACACTGCACCGCAGATCCTTCGGCGAGACGACGAACTCCGTCAAGCGAGCACTGACGCGTGGTATCTCGCGCGCGGAAGCCCAGGCACGGCTCGCAAGAGCAGCAGTGCGGAGCCCCCCGCCTGGCTTCCGAGCCCGCGTCGCTCCGGGTCCCAAGCACCTCAACCACCATGTCAGAGGCCAAGCCCGACGACGCGCCCGCCGAACCGCGCTGCGTCCTCCTCCCGTCGCCACAGCCAGGTCCGCCCCCCCTGTTTCACCTCCTCGGCGCCGCGCGACCGCGCACGCCTCACCCGCCTCTCGCCAAACGACAAGCCCGCGACACGCCCGCGCCCCCCGTGCACGCAGGCCCGCCGTCCCCCCCCGCAGGCTCCCTCATCCAGGCGAACGACCTCGTTGTGGTGTACGAGTCGTACTCGTCGATGAAGTACGTCTACGTCGACCCGTCCCGGCAGTTCCAGAACAAGTTCGGCGCGTTCGCCATGTCGGCGTGGGTCGGCCTCCCCTTCGGCACCAAGGTGCACTCGACCAACGCCAAGGTCGGCAAAGGGTGGGTCTACCTCCTGCGGCCGACGCCCGAGCTGTGGACGCAGACGCTCTCGCACCGCACGCAGATCCTGTACGCGGCGGACATCGCGCTGGTGTGCGCGTGGCTCGAGCTCTCGCCCGGGGCGGTGGTGCTCGAGTCAGGGACCGGCAGCGGGTCGCTCACGACGTCGCTGGCGCGCGCGGTCGCGCCGACGGGCAGGGTGTACACGTACGAGTTCCACGAGGAGCGCGCGAAGAAGGCCGAGGCGGAGTTCGCGCGGCACGGGCTGTCCGGCGTTGAGGTGGCATGCCGCGACATCGAGGGCCTGGGGTTCCCGGACGCGCACGCCGGGGGCGCGGACGCGGTGTTTCTTGATCTTCCGCGGCCGTACGTGGTCGTCAAGTCGGCCGCGGCGTGCCTGCGGCGCGACGGGGTGTTTTGCAGCTTCTCGCCGTGCATCGAGCAGGTGCAGCGCACGTGCCTGGAGCTCGCGAACGAGGGGTTCGGGGAGATCCGGACGTTCGAGATCCTGCTGCGGATATACGACGTGTGGCGGGAGCGGCCCGTGGAGGACCTGGACAAGTGGGTGGAGGACCTGAACGCGTCGTACGAGCGGGAGGTGAGACGGACGGGCCGCGGGGCACGGGCGCCTGCGCCGCCGCGCAAGAGCCGTGCTCTGGCTCCGTACCGGCGTTGGCGCATAGTCAGCGGCGCTGTCGCGCGAGGGTGGGGTAGTTGTGCAATGGTTGCGTGCGTGTGTGGTGCTCGTGCAGTTCGAGAAGCGGCGGGCGAAGCGCGCGAGGACGGAGGACGGGGGCGGGGCGGCGGAGGGCGCGTCGCAGGGCGCTGGGGCGGCGGAGCCGGGGCCGACGGCGACGGAGGTGGTGCCCGAGAGGGTTGTGCGCACAAAGCCGCAGAACGGCGCACGCGGGCACACGGGGTACCTGACGTTCGCGCGCAAGCTTGTGTGCTTCGTGGACGAGGAGAAGGAGACGCCGGCGCCCGCGGGCGACGGCGCAGAACAAGATGGCGGAGAGTAGCACCTTGGAGGCGGTCGGTGGGGGCGGCTGGCGTGCGTGAGAGGATCCGGCTTGCTCGCGAAGCTAGCGCGCGGAGTACTGCGCGCGTTGTGGCGTCCGGTCCGGGTCACAATGTGAACACGAGGCGCACGAGGCCTTTCAAGTATGCAACCACCTCGGCGCCGCCCAACTTGGACTCGCCGTACAGCCGGTCGACGAACACGATCGGCACCTCCACGACCTTGAACCCGTACGCCTTCGCCCGCACGATCGTCTCCATCTGCGTCGCAGTCCGACCAACACGAACAATAATAAGTTCTACCATGACGGCGGTGCTCGGACCCTGAGGGACGCACGCGTTCGCACGCGGCCAGCACGCGGCCCCCGCGGCGCCCGACGCACCTGGAAGGCGTATCCCTCGCTCTTCGTCTCCTCCATCAGCAGCCGCAGGACGTCCGCGCGGTACAACCGGAAGGCCCCTGTCAGGTCGGTCACGCCGGGCCAGAGCAGCGTGGACGCCAGGATGTTGGCCCCGAGCGATGTGATCTTCCGCACCACGTCCCACCCGTACACCCCCGCGGCGTACCGCGTCCCCACCACGATGTCGCTCCCCGTCTCTCGCTGCCGCTCCACGAAACGCACGATGTCCCGCGGGTCGTGCGACAGGTCCGCGTCCATCAGCACCACCCAGCTCCCTGCGCGCGACCGGGACGGGGCAGGCTGGGACGGCCGCTCGTTGACACGCACATTCGGGGTGTGTGCGTGGAGGGGGGGGGGGAGTTCGCACCCGTGACGACAGTGAGGCCGTCCTTGTACGCCGTCCCGAGCCCAAGCTTCCCGGGCCGCTCCCGGAGCTTGACCACGTCGCTGCCGTACTCCCGCTGCAGCTTGCGCACTACGTCCCTCGTACCGTCAGGACTGTTGTCGTCCACGACGACCACCTCCAGCCGCTCGGGGCGGTCCCGGAAGACGTCGACGAGCATCCACACGATGAGCGGGATGTTCTCGCGCTCGTTGTACGTCGGGACCACGACGGAGTACACGTCGGGCGCGCTGTGTGTGCCGCGGGGGGTGGCGGGCAGCGGCCGGACCGGTGCGCTCCCCGGAAGGAGCGTGGACATCACATCCTGCGCGTGCAGCGGTGGGAGGCCCTCGGGGATTGCTTTGTCTGCGTCAGGGCCAGCACACCCCCTCGTGCCCGTGGTTCGTCCATGCGGTGTGTCTGCCGCTGGCGCCGGGCAGGCCTGGCGGGGACCGGGCCCGAGAAGTCTCGAGCGCGTGCCTTAGATGGTCAGAAAGGACGCAGCGTGCGAGACACGGACGTTCGTTCGTGGTGCGCGCGGCTCTGTGCGCCCCGTGCTGCTTCGCGCAGACTTGCTGCGCGGCGTGGCGGATTCGCGCTGGCATCCACCGGTTGGACGGCGCGCCGAGATTCCGTAGCCGATGACCTACCTTGACATGGTCTGTGAAGGCCCCCCGCTTCGAGGACGGCAGCGCGTGGTGCTCCAGGACCAGCACGCCCAGGTTGCCGAGGACCTGGACGGCGACAATGGCTATCAGGAGGACGCTCAGCCGCCCCGACAACGCCGACCGCGTCTCCCCCCTTCCCGCCTGCATGCCGCCCTCGCCCCGACCCGCTCGCGCACACCTACCAGCGGCCCCACGCTACGAGGTCGCGCCAGCGGTTCTGTCGCGAACTACGCGAACGTCAGACCCTCCTACGCCCACGCCGGCATCTCCACCTCCTCTGCGCTGCTCCTCGCGGCCCCGCGGCCTTGTTGCGGCCAGACAGACCGGGCGCGGGGATGTTGGCCAGCAGCTGTCGGGCACGCAGCCAGTTTGGCCCCGCGGCGCGCCTGGGCGCAACGGCGCGCGGGTGCGCGCGCCGGCGGCACATGATTGACCGCTGCCACGCGCATCGCAGGCTGTTGCGCCGCGCAGGTCGGCAGGCAGACGCAACCTGATCGCTCGTTTGCCCTCAGGACCAGCTTTTGTGCGCGCCACGGGCCTCCCGGCGCGGTTGCTCGTGAAGGACACGTTGTGGCGCACGCTGCGCTGCCAGCATAGTGCGCCGACGTCCCTGGGCAGCGCTATTAGTGTCTGTGGGTCGCGTGGGAGCGCCTTAGTTTGTCTCTTTCACTGACCAGCCTCCAGCGACCACCATGGCGATCAAACAGATCGACAGGGCGGCCACGACGGCCTTCTGCCCAAATGCGCCGTACATCGCGACGGGATCCATGTCCGGGGCGATCGACATGAGCTTCTCCACGAACTCGACGCTCGAGGTTCGTACACGCAACACCTGCCCCAGCCGTCCGCAGGCGATCCCGCGCGCACGGCCACGACATTTCTCACAGGCCATTCTCCGCAGCCGGCCACGCCGCCCGCGCCCCCACCGCGCGGCGCCCAGACCCGACCTATGGTGCAAGTGGACCGCGCGCCCTCACAGGACGCGTAAACGCGCATTACGCGCGCCCCCGTCCGCTGCAGATCTTCAACCTCGATCTCGACCAGGCAACCGGGGAGTGCTCGCTCGCAGGCGGCGCCGTCCCCGCCCCCGAGCGCTTCCACCGCCTGGCGTGGGGCGGGTGCTCGTCCCCCAGCTCGCGCGGGCTGCTCGCCGGCGGGCTGGCCGACGGCGTCGTGTGCGTCTGGGACCCCTCGAAGATCATCGGCACCCAGAGCCCCAGCAAGGCCTCCTGCCAGGTCGCCACCCTCCAGAAGCACAAGGGCGCTGTCCGCGGCCTCGAGTTCTGCCCGAGCAGCACGTCGCCGTGGCTCCTCGCGTCCGGCGGGGACGACGGCGAGCTCTGCATCTGGGACCTCAACAACCCCGCCAGCCCCTCCCTCCTCCCGGCCCTCGGCACCGACGGCCAGAGCCCCAAGGCAAGCCCACACACACACGCACCTCCCGCGTGCCCGGCCCACCCACCGCGCGCCCACCGCCACGCACACACACACGCACGCAGCTCCCGCGACGCCGCGTGCCACCCACACCCGCCGCGCGCCCACCCTCCGCCGCACCCGCAGGGCGACATCGCGCACCTCTCGTGGCACCGCAAGGTTCAGCACATCCTCGCCTCCACCAGCAACACGGGCACCACCGTGGTGTGGGACCTCCGGCGGCAGAAGCCCGTCATCTCGTTCCGCGACCCGGCGTCCGCGCGGCGGTGCAGCGCGCTGCAGTGGCACCCCGAGGTGGGCACGCAGCTCATCGTGGCGTCCGTCGAGGACGCGTGCCCGACGCTGCAGCTGTGGGACCTGCGGAACTCGCAGTCGCCGGTGCGGGAGATCGCGGGGCACCACAAGGGCGTGCTGGCGGCGTCGTGGTCGCCGCACGACCCCTCGCTGCTGCTGACGTGCGCGAAGGACAACCGCACGGTCTGCTGGGACGTCCCCACGGGGTCGACGGTGTGCGAGGTGGCCGGGCGGCCCGGCAGCGGGTCGAACTACAACTTCTGCGTGGCGTGGTGCCCGACGGAGCCCGGGGTGTTTGCGACGTCGTCGTTCGACGGCCGCGTGACGCTGTCGTCGCTGCTCGCGTGCACCGCGCCCGAGATGCGCGAGGAGGTCCGCGAGGACTTCTCGACGGTGCTCGTGCCGTCGGGGCCCTCGCGCCCGCTGGCCAAGCCGCCCAACTGGATGCAGCGGCCGGCCGCGGCGTCGTTCGCGTTCGGGACGCGGCTGGTGTCGGTCGCGAACAGCCGCGCGCCCGGGCCGGACCCCGCGCAGCCCGCGCGCACGTCGGGGCGCGTGACGGTGAGCCAAGTGCAGACTGAGACCGACCTGGTCAGCCTGTGCGAGGCCTTCGGGCAGGCGGTCGGCGCGCGGGACCCCTCCGCGCTGCTGCAGCTGTGCCAGCGCCGGCAGGGCGAGGCCGACGCGCAGGGGTCGCCGGAGGGCGCGGTCTGGCGGCTGTTGGCGGGGCAGTTCGACGCCGACGCCCGCGGGCGCCTGCTCGACTTCCTGGGCTTCGAGCGGCCGCCGGAGCGCCGGCAGGAGGTCGCGGATCTCGGGCAGGCCGAGCAGTCGCTCGCCGCCGCGCAGGCGTCGGCGAACGGCGACGCGCACGCGCCTCCGCCGGCGGACGGCGCGGACCCGTCGTCCTTCTTTGATGACCTCGCCGCGATGTCGCTGCAGCCCCCCGCGGGCGGCGCGGCGCCGGAGGCCGCCGTCAAGGAGGAGGCGTCCGCGGACGCGGCGTGGGAGTCCACGGACGAGACGGACAAGGCGGTGCAGGGTGCGCTGCTCACCGGGGACTTCGAGGGGGCTGTGGGCGCCGCGATCTCCGCGGGGCGCATGGCTGACGCGCTGCTGCTCGCGTCCCTCGGCGGGCCCGCGCTGCTGGCGGCCGCGCAGCAGGTGTTCACGGCGCGGGCCGCGGCCAGCCGGCCGTACGTGGCGACAGCGGCGGCCATCGCGTCCGGCGACCTCACGGGCCTCGTGAAGACGCGCCCCGTCGCGCTCTGGCGCGAGACGCTCGCGCTGCTGTGCACCTACGCGCCCACCGACGCCTGGCGCGACCTGTGCGCGCTCCTCGGGCACCGCCTCTCCAAGGCCGCGCGCGTCCACGAGGCCACGCTGGTCTTCGTGTGCGGCGGGAACGTCGACCAGGCCGTCTCGGCGTGGTGCCGCGGCCTCGGAGGGTCGCCGTCCCCCACCGACCTGCACGCCGCGCTCGAGAAGGGCCTGGTGCTGGCGGCGGCGTCGGGCGGCGCCGAGGCCCCCGAGCGGCTCGGCAAGCTCGTGTCGGACTACGCGGGCATCCTGGTGTCGCAGGGCCGCATGGACCTCGCGCTGCAGTTCCTCGACATGGTTCCGGGGGAGGAGGCGGGCCCGACGGCGGTGCTGCGGGACCGCATTGCACGGTCGTGGTGGGACAACGCGGCGGCGGTCCCGCAGCCGCCGTTCCCGTTCGTCGGGGAGGAGGTCTACCCCGTGGTCCAGGAGGAGCCCGCCGCGCCGTCGCCGACCGCGCACGGCGGGCAGGGCGCGGGCTACGACGGGTGGGGCGCGCAGTCCACGCACTCGCAGCAGCAGGCCGCGCAGGGCTGGGGGCAGCAGGCCGCGCCGCAGACGTCGTACCAGCAGCCCCAGGCGTCCTATCAGCAGCCCCAGGCGTCGTACCAGCAGCCCCAGGCGCAGCAACAGACGGCCTACCGGCCAGCGCAGCCCGCGCCGCAGCAGCAGCCGGTCTGGAAGCAGACCTCCGTGTCGCAGCCGCAGCAGCCGCAGACGCAGCCGCAGCAGCAACAGCAACAGCAGCCTGCGGCGTACAACGCCCCGCGCCAGCAGCCCGCAGCGTACAACCCTCCCCCGCAGCAGGAGCCGGGGTACAGCGCGCAGACCCCCGCCGCGTACGGCGCCTCGGCCGCGCCGGCCGCGTACGCGAAGCCCGCGGGCTCGCCGTACGCGGGGACGTCGACCCCCGCGGGCGCCGCGGCGACGCAGTACATGCCCGCGCCGCGCGCCCCGCAGGCGCCGGCGTCGTCGGGCTACTCGGGCCACGCCGCGCAGCCGCAGCCCGGCATGATGGTGCCGCAGCCCGCCGCGCACGCGGCCAGCGGCGGCGCGTACGGCGGGGACCCGCGCACGTCCGGCGGGTATGGCCAGCAGCAGCAGGCGCCACAGGCGCAGCAGCCGGGCATGTTCGTGCCGCAGCCCGCCCCGGCGCCGAACACGCCGGCGTCGGGCCCGACTCCCCCGAAAAGCCAGGGCCCGTACGGCGGCGGCATGCCCGGGTACAACGCGCCGGCGCCGAAGCCGGCGCCGCCTGCGCAGCCGCCGGCGGACATCTCCATCGCGACGTTCGACGCGTCGTCGCTGGACGCGCAGGGCCGCGCGATCGTCGCGTCGTTCGGGCGCGTGTGGAAGCACTGCAGCGGCATGCAGCTGAGCCCGCAGCACCGCAAGGCCGTTGACGACGCGGGCAAGAAGTTCGGGGTGCTGGCGTGGCAGCTGAGTCAGGGGGGGGTCAAGGAGCGCGTGCTGCAGAAGCTGGTCGGACTGAGCCAGGCGCTCGACCGGCAGGACGCGGCCGCCGTCGGCCAGGCGGTGACGACGATCGTCAAGGAGGAGTTCGACTCGTGCAGCCAGTGGGCCACGGCACTCAAGAGGCTCCTGCGCCTCATGGGCGTCCTGCACTAGGCGGGCGCGCGGGGACGTACGCGTGCGTGTGACTGCGATTGCTTGAGGCAGAAGTATTCACAGTTGCGTCAGCGCTGGTAGAGCCGGGCGAGGGCGCGGGGGACGTCTTCGGGCGGCGGGGCTTGGCCGGCGCGGGAGGTCGCGCGCTCCGCGGCGACGCCCTGCTGCCGCATCTTCCCCTTGATCTCGTCCTTGCGCTCGCGGATGACGTTGTCCTGCTTCTTCCGATGCCTGCGAGACCCCCGGACAAATGGCAAAGATTGTGAGGGACGAATGGAACGTCATAGCCAATGGAGCAGAGGAAAGATAGAATTTAACGTGGAATGAAAGAAGAATGGTAGCATATATGGAGATGTTCAGTCGATGATTCAACATGCGGGAGTCACCACAGGTAGGAATCAGCGCCGGCTCGCGCCCCGCCACTCACTTGCGCGTCGGCTTGTTCTTCCCCTTCATCTTCGTCCGCGCCTCGTTCTTCTCCCGCTGCGCCGCCGCCTTGTCCGCGTTCGCCCGCCGCGCCGCCTCCGCCCGCTCCCTCTGCACCTCCGCCGGCTCCTTCCGCACGCGCCCAACCGATCCCGGGTCCAGCACGATCATCTCCGGCTGCAGCTTGTCCAGCAGCTGCCGCACCTCCATCTCCTGCCGCGCCTTCCTCCCCTGGAACGGGTCCGCCACCCAACTGTCGAAGTTCGGCTCCCCCGCGCCCGGCACGAGCATCGTCGACAGCCCCCCGCCGTGCCCGCACGCGAGCACGTCCTCGTACGGGCAGAACCGCAGCCCGCTCAGCCCCCCCGCCGGCAGCTCGTGCACCATGTAGGGCGCCTTTGCTTTCGTCGCCAGCGCGTCCCGCCACACCTGGACCTTCCGCCCCCACCCGATCGCGAGCATTCCGCGCTGCGACACGTCCACGCAGTCCACCGGCGCGTGGCTGAAGTACGAGTGCACCTCCCGGTACGTTCGCACGTCCCACACCTTCACCAGCGAGTCCGCGCCCGCCGTGACCATGTACCGGCCCGAGCCGTCGACCGCGACGTCGCGCACGGGGCCGCGGTGGCACAGCATCGACACCGCGGGCGTCGTCAGGTTGGGCGTCCACATGGTCACCGTGCCGTTGGAGTGCCCCAGGCACACCACCGCGTTCCACGGGTTCTGCCGCATCGCCGCGCACGGGCCGCGGCGCGTGCGGTGGTGCGCCACGACGCGCCCCGTGGACGTGTCCTGGTACGCGAGCACGCCCGCCTTGCCCACGGAGCACAGCAGGAAGTGGTGGGGCAGGAACTCGAGGCGCGCGACGTCCGTGTGGTCCTGCGGCGCACCGCGCGGGCTGGCAGGCGGTGGGGGGCGCGGACGCACAGGGCTGCGCCGTGCGGTGCGGGCAGGGAGTGTGATGGTGAGGGGTGTTGCTCACGTCGAGGCGGTGGATCTCGATCCCGCGCTTGTCGTATATGTATGTGAAGCGCTTCTGCGCGGCCGCGAAGAACTGGTCGTTGTGCAGCACCACCACGTCCCGCACCGTCTCCCGCACCTGCACCTCGGTGTTCAACCTGCCCTCCTTCCACCGCATCGACGCCAGGTGGCCCTTCCGCCCCCCGAGCACCATCTGCACGCCCCGCACGTACCGCACACGGCGCTGTCAGGCACGGCGCTGCGACTGGACTGTGCACAGTCTAGTGTGCACACTTCCACGACAACAGCGCTGCGATGACGCCGCCGGGGCCTCGCTGCGGCCCGGGACGGCGCTCGCGGACGAGGCCGGTGCCAGGGACGGAGCGGGCGGGCGGCGGCGTGCGCGCACCGTGGTCCCATCCCGCGTGAACGCGCAGCGGTAGGGGCCCAGCTGCGGGAGCGAGATGTCCAGGGCGAGTTTCGCGGCTCCCGCGCCCACCTCCGGGACGATGTCGCGCTGTTTGAACTGGTACGTGCGCTCAACGCCCTCGGCCTCGAGGGAGCCGGCGTCGGACGGCAACAGCCACTGCTCCACCTTGGCGGCTTGGTGGGCCGCCTCGCGATACACCCTCTCCCTGCGGGCGCGACGGACCGCGCAGGAGCGCTGGAACCATATCTCTCTGTCGCGCGTGGGCCGGCGTGCCCGCATGGAACGAAAGGCGCGAGCGCCCGCGGAGAGACGGGCTGCGGCCGGTGCGCACGAGCGTCCGACGTACGCGCATTGACGCCGACGGTGGCGCGGCATTCGCCGCCGGGGCGCGCAGGTGGATCGTTCCCGGCAGCCTCAGCACAGCACGCGCGGCGGCGGTGCGGTGTCGCCACCGCTGCGGGCGACTCACTTGTACTTCAGCTGGCCGCGCAGCTTCTTGTCCTCGATGCCCTTCGTGTCCACGCCCGACCCTCGCGAGAACTTCTTCATGCGCTTCTCGTGCGTCTCCGCCTCTCCCGACCCTCCCCGCTTCCGTCCTGCCCCCTTGCGCGCGCCATCACTGCTCGCGGGAGCCTCTGCCGCCATGGTGGCGGTGTGTCTCTGCGCTCCCTCACCGTGTCACTTCCACCCGAGCATGTGCATGTGTTGCGCGGCTGGCCGGCGCGGGGTATTCGGCGTCCGGCGTGACGCCTCGCGCTGAGCGGCCCCTGGGGTTGTTGACGGGTGTGTGCCCGTCCCAGTCAGACGCGGGACATGTCGGCGAAATTGAGCCATTCGGCTGCACCGGCCGGGCAAGACGTCGCACGTCGCCGGGAGGGCGGCGACCAGTAAGCGACAAGGCAGTGACAGTGCATCAACGACCCTCACAGAGGTGGACCCACACGCTGCGGATGTTCGCGAACGCCCCGCGGCACCCAATTCGCACGACACGAATCCCAACAAAACACCGCGCAGCCAGAACAACGGAGAACATTTTGTCCTGCCCGTAGGTGTTGAGTTGAGCGCCGTGTCGTGCGCCTTGGGGCGCCGGACGATGAGCACCCAAAGCGTATATAGGCCCATCGCCGCGCAGATCCTCGCCCGCGGGTCCCGCCCCTCACGCCTTGACCTTGGTCGCGGTGGCCTTGTTCATCGCGCCGTGCATCCAGAACGCCGCGAGCATGGCCCCGAAGAAGGCCGCGATCTGCGGCGACGGCACGAGCAAGTTGACCATGGCGGGGCCTGGACACACCCCGCCGACGCCCCAGCCGGCGCCGAAGATCGCCGCGCCCGCGACCAGCTCCGGCGTGATGTCGGACCGGCGCGGCACCGACACGTTGCTGCAGTACGCTGGGCCGCACGTCATGCCCGTGCTCGGCTGGGTGCGCTTGAGGAACGTCAGCGTGACGGGCATGGAGATGGCGAGCGCCGCGCCCATCACGAGCGCGAGCGAGGGGTCCCACGCGGGGTGCAGCACCGACAGGAAGCCGGCAACCTTCGCGGGGCGCGTCATGCCGGAGACCGCGAGGCCGAACGCGAACATCGCGCCCGCGACGATCTCGACGCCCTGGGAGAGGAGCTCCGAGCGCGGGGGCTTCGCCGCGCCGCTGCGGAACGCGCGGACGGCCGTGATGACGGTGGTCACGGTGGCGACGCCGAGCATCGACAGCGCGGGGAGGATCGACGAGACGCTGCAGAGGGGGCGGGAAGGAGGATATAGGGCTGGTGAGACGCGGGCGCGCAGCCTCGAGGTTCGTCACGGCGGGCGACACGCCACAGTGGCGCGTGGCGGGGCGTGCCGCTGTGCTGCGGCTCGCGGCGCACCTGGGCAGTGCCATGTTGGCGATGGCCGACTCCCTCGCGAGGCCGAGGGCGTCGGGGGTGTTGGCGATCGCGGCGGTGGCGGCGCCGGACACCATCATCACCACAGTGAACAGCATGGAGCGCGGCGAGAGTCGCGCGTTGCCGCACAGGCCGTGGCCGGACGTGCAGCCGTTGCCCATGGCCGACCCGAGGCCGACGAGCGATCCGGCGAGCACGGCTCTCTGCGCGCACGCGGGCAGCGGCGGCGCGGTGTGAGCGGCTGCGCACATCTGATCTGATGCACACCCAATCCGTGCGCGCGGGCGCTGTTCGCACCTCGATCGTGAACGAGGCTGGCAGCGCGTCGATGAAGCTCGCGGGTCCGAGCAACTTGATCGCCAGGAGGCCCCCGAGGGCCATCCCTGCGACGTAGTCGAGCCTCCACCTGTCCTTGCGGCCCTCCGCGCTGAGAAGCCCCTTGAACGTGCCGCTCAGTCCCGTGACGCGACCGTTGCCCAGCAACTTGATGAGAGTACTCATGCCGAGGATGCCACCGCCAATTGCAGCCTGCAGACGCCGCGTTTCGAGAAACAGTCGCAATCTGTTGATGCTTCACGCAAGGGTGACAGCAGCGTTCCATCGTGCGGACGCAGCGACAGCCCGTACGGCGCGCTCTTGAAGGAAGCGTTCGTGGTCGCTCTGTGCAGGTAGACGCACCTCGACCGGAGAAAAGGCGAGCGGAGTCATGGCCAGTGGCACGGCGCGCGGCACCGCGATCCGCGAATGCGCCGGAGAACTACGCCCGCGAGCGAGTGAAGGAGGACGGCTCTGGGTCAGACTCGAACCGACGGCAGCCCGCATCACCGGGGGTGCGGTTGGGACCCTAGCGAACTCTCTGTGGTGGTATCTCTCTCGCGATGCGCACTTCCTCGCGGATTTATCAGCTATATCTCTTCAAACAGGATGTGAGTCGACAGAGTGATGCGCACACGTCGCCCGATGGCCCCTCAAGCGCCTGGCGGCCGCGCACGGAGGTAGGAACCAGCAGACAGTGCGCTTCACGTAAGGGGTCGCGTGAGCAGCAGAGCTGGGGCCGCGGAGCGCAAAAACCAGCGGACCGCAGCGCCGTGTCAAGCGTGAGAACCATCCCGCAGCGCCCCGCGCCAGGACGTGTCTCGGCTGGTCACGGCGGCAGCCCCGTGTGATGCCACTGGACACGGCACTTGCAATGTGCGAGCGAACCAGCGAATGCCATCACGCCAAACCGACGCAGATGCGGCGACAGCAATCACCGAATGCTTGCCCACTGCAACGTACGTCTCTGCGGGGTCCCGCGCTCGACGGGTTGGTTGGACGGACTGAGCGCGCCTCGACACGGCCCAGTCGCGCGAAAACGCCCCCCGGCGCCCCTGGCCTCGAGGGCCGACGGTGGCGCGCCGCGCCATGCTTCTAGTCTAGGTCGGACGCGTGCAAGGCTTGCTGCGCACCGTCGCGCGCACCGTTGGTTGTGTGTAGGGCAGGCTGGGTTGTGCGAGGCACGGAGGTATCGCGCCACGGGTGTTTTGGGAGACGATGAAGAGGCCGCTCTAGAGACCCTGTTCCGCGGGCCACGTCGGTTCCACCGTGCCGGAGCGCCAGCGCCCGGGTCTGGGGTTGTTGAGCCTACCGCCACCGCGCGCGCGCTCGTGGCGCGTACCTGGCCGCCGCCGACGCCCCCATGGCGACGTACACGACGACCTTCGCGTACGCGCTGAAGCACTGCCGCAACGCAGTGCGCGGCAGGCTGCACGGGCATGGAGGAGGGCTGCGCACCGAGGGGGAGGCGCCGCAGGTGAGCAGCGACGCACGCGTTCGCGCACCCGGGGCCGGACACGAACCGGATGTGCATGCAGCACGTCGGCGTGGTACCGCTGTGCACCGCGCGCCGCCGCGGCACCAACCCACCGCGTCCTGAGTGCGCGTGAAGGCGCAGGGATCCGGGGGCGCGTTCCCCTCGGCCTCTGCGGTCGAGCGGTCGGACTTCCTGAGGCTGATGCGGTGGAGGGCGGAGTCGTGGGACCCGTGGCGGGCCCGCGACCGCGTGCGGGAGGCGGTCGCTGCCATGGGCCCAGAACTGTCGGGGCTCCGGGCGAGCCTGAGGGCGCTGCGCGCGGACGTTCGCAATGACGTGCGCCGGCGCAAGGAGAACGTCAAGGAGAAGGTACGCACCGGGGCCGCCCATCGCGTCGGGGCTCGTCGCGTCCGCACTGCTCGCCCCGCCGGCCAGCGCGGTTGGCCGCGGCGCCCGCGCGCGCCGGCACGCGCCGCCCGCCTCACGGTGCCGGCGCCCGCCCCGCCACTTCGTGCGCAGATATCAGCGCGCCTGAGGAGGCGGAGGCCCACGTACGCGGTCGGAATGCCGCTGTCGGAGCTCACGAACGCCAGCCCGGTGCTCCGCGCGCTCGGCATCGGCGCCCTCGGCCTCCTCAGCCGCGCGTGGATGACGCTCCTGAACACCACGAGGGTGTACGGCCGCGAGAACATCGAGGCGGCGCTGCACCGCGACCAGCGCCGCGCCCTCATCACCGTGTCGAACCACGCCGCGGCGCTGGACGACCCCCTCGTCACCGCCGCCGTCCTGCCGCTCGACAAGCTCCTCCGCGCCGACGACGTGCGCTGGACGCTCTGCGCCACGGACCGCTGCTTCAAAACATCCCTCATGGCCCGTATGTTCAGGTGCGCGACACACCCCCCTCCCCGCCCGCGCACCGTGCCAGCCCGCGCCTGCCGCACCGCTCCGACGCTCACGCCGCGGCGGCGCGCGCCCCGCTGCCGTGCAGGGCGGTCAAGGTGCTGCCCGTGGAGCGCGGGGTGGGGCTGCACCAGCCGGGGATGGAGGCGGCGCAGAAGCTGCTCGCGGACGGCGAGTGGGTCCACATCTTCCCCGAGGGCACGCGCCAGCCCCGGGGGCGCATCGGCCCCATCCGAGCGGGCGTGGGCAAGCTGGCGGTGTCGTGCATGCAGGCGCGGGCCGGCGACGGGACGGACGGCGCCGCCGCGGCGCTGCCACCGCTGCTGGTCCCCATAGCGCACCGCGGCATGGACGTGCGCGCCCCTGCCCCCCCCGCCGCCCGTATGCCCGCCCAACGACACATCTCACCCGTGCATCGCGCCGACACTGCGTGGCTGAATGGACTGCACGGCCGTTCGTGTCTCTGGCGCGCAGGAGGTGATGCCGCGGGGCTCGGTGGCGCCGCGCGTGGGGCGCGACGTGACGGTGGTGGTGGGCGCGCCCGTCGACATGAGTGACCTGGCCGCGGCGCTCTCTGCGGGCACGCTGACCGCGGACGACGTGCAGGCGGAGGTGGCACGGCGCGTGGGGCGCAGCCTGGCGCAGCTGAACGCGGCGCTGGACGCCGACGAGGCCGGGGACGTGCTGGCGTTGCCCGCAGCGGCAGCGGCGCGGGGGGTCGGCGCGGGGGACGAGGCGGCGCCGGCGGGGCGCGGGGGCGGCGAGCGCGTCGAGCTGGACTTCGGGACGGACTTCTTCGCGCCGCTGGAGGGCGCGCGCGGCGTCGGCGAGGGCCCGCTGCGGCGGTGGTGGGGCGTGCTGCGACGGGAGGTGACGAAGCCCGTGGCGCCGTGGGGGGCCTTCGCCGCGTAGTGGCGCGCTCAGGGAGCACGCGGCGGCGCCCGGGCCGCCCGCAGGTCGCCGGTTGGCAGCGCAGGACGCTCTATGTGTGTAACAACAACAACAGCCCCGGACGTGGCGTGCGGGCGGTGCGCGGCGCGGTGACGAAGCCACGCCGGAGGCGCTGGTAGAGGCGCGACGGCGCGCACCGCGGGGCGGCGCGTCGTCTCGTTTCTCCGTGTGTCGCCGGCCCAACAACTTCCGATTGCGGGCCACGCGCACGGCGCGGAAGCAGCCCGCGAAGTGCCCTCGATCAGCGCGCAGATCGAAGCCCAGCTGCCACAGGCACAGGAGGGCCGACGCCCGGGCAGGGTCGGCGCGCCGCACGCCCGGAACCGGGGCGGTCAAGAAGTGCGCACCGAGGGGGGGTCCTGGCGGGACGCAACCGCGGCCGGGAGCGCGCCGGCGCACGATGCCGATGCCGCGGGCGCGTGCTGCGCAGACTAACGAGGCGCCATGGACGACAGCGACGGCGAGCTGGAGGTGTTCGACGCCCCAGCACCAGCGCCGCTGGCTGCGCAGAGACCGGGGGGCGGTTCGCGGCCTCGCACCGCAGGGGCGGTGACGGGCTCCCTGCACGCGAAGGTCGTCGATGACGGTGAGTGGGCGCGGGTCGGAGCGGGTCGGACGGGGGCGCGCGGGCGCCCCCGGCCCGCGCTGCCTTCGTTGGCTGCTAGAGGCCGGGTGGCTCGCCCCGCCGCGGCGCGAGGTGACGGTGGAGTGCCCCGTGCGTGCCGGTGCAGAGTCGAGCGAAGATGAGGTACCGTTGGGGCTGCCTTCGAGCGGGAAACTCGCGCCCACGATCCCAATAGGCGGCTCGAGTGGCCTGGGCTCCACGCCAACAGCCTCTGAAGGGTCCGGGCACGGCCACGCCGGGCGGTCGGGGCCGCGGGGCAGCCGGAGCCCCTCGCCCACGAGCTCCTCAGGGTTCAGGAGATCGAAATCCAGCGGAGTGAACCGGCGAAACACGCCGCAGGTGCGCGTCGCGCCGGGCCTGCAGAGCACCCACAGGGAGGGCGTGCCGTGCGCGGGCCGCCCCGCCTGGCACGCGTTTTGCGACGGCGCCGCGTGCACCGTCCTCGACGCGGCCGACGAGGCCCGTTCAAGGGCAATTTGTCGCGCGTGGGAGCCGCCGGGCGCAGGCGCTCGCTGCGACCTGGCACGCACGGCGCGGCTCACGCGCACAGCGCGACCGTCTGCGCGCCCGTTCCGCCGGCCGCGTGCAGGTCCACGATCTGGTCTACACGGTGCGCGCGACCAAGACGCAGCCGGACCTCGCGGTCGTCCCGGAGGCGCTGCACACCGAGGCTTTTCCTCCCTCGATGCCAGCGGCCCTGTCGCGCGCGCGGTCGTCGAAGGGCTCGTATTCGCGGCTCTCCTCGCTCCACTCGATCGGAGAAGACCCCATCATGGAAACGATGGACGAACCCATCCCGTTCGCAGGCGAGTCAAGCGCCCAGCTGCCCGGCAACAGCTTCGAGCCGCGCCGCCCGCCGCGCCGCCGCGCCGCGCCCGCGCTCGCGCCGGCGCTCACGTTCTCCCCTCCGCGCCCGCACCTCCCCGCAGACAGGAAGACGCGGCGGTCCGTGTCGCCGCGGATGCAGAACCGGCACCGCTCGTCGGCCTCGGGATCCGACCGGCCCCCGTCGCCGCCGCCGCCCGTCGTGCTCGCCAGCCTCCCGCGCGGGCACGCGCCGGACCTGGGCCGCATCGACGAGGGCATCACGCCGTCCCTCCCCGAGCGCCGGCCCTCGCCCCCGCCCTCGGACCTCCTCCCCGCGGCACTCTCGACCCGCAGCGTCGCGTCCTCCGTCGAGCACCTCGGCGGGATCCGCGAGGCCGACGAGGAGGACCATCAGGGCCGGAAGCGCGCGCGCAAGGCCCGCTCGGGCCGCCGCAGGAGCGCGCCGCTGAACGCCGCCAAGCCCCGCCACGGCAGCGCGCCGGGCGACCCGCCCCTGCCCGGGGGCCGCGCGGAGGTGGCGAGCGCCGGCACGCTGCCGGCGATGCCCGCCGGCGACGACGAGTTCGGGTACGTGTTCGACGGCGAGGCGCGCAAGGGGAGCCACTACGCGCCGACGTTCCGCGCGGAGGCGGTGCCGGCGCACCTGCTGCTGAAGCCCAAGGTGGACGGCCCGCTGGAGGCGCTCGAGGAGGACGAGGAGATCGAGGACGAGGAGGAGGACGTGGGCGCGGCCGCGGAGCCGCCCGCGTCGCCGGTGCTGCGCAGTCCGTCGCCGACGGAGGCCGCGGGCAGCGACGCGGTCGTCGCGCGGCTGCGGAGGATCGCCGCGCAGGACAACAGCCGGCAGCGCAGGCAGCAGGCGGGCGCGGCGTCGGCGGTGCCCGCCGAGACGGGCTTCGCGCTCGGGGCCCGCCGCCCCGTCGCCACCGCGGCCGGGCAGGCGTCCGCGCAGATGGAGGGGCAGCGGGCGGCGGCGGCGGACATCGCCGCGCGCAGCCACGTGCCGCAGGCCCCCGCGGCCCCGGCGCCGCAGGGCGGCAGGAAGCAGCTCCCGCCCATTCGGTACGGCCGCAAGGTCACGTCGCGGACCAAGGACGGGCCCGAGGCGGCGCCGGCGCGGCAGGCGTCGGGCGCGACGGTCGACGTCAAGGGCAGCGACCTGGCGGCGTTCCTCAGCGACACGGCGGCGCCGCAGGGCGACGAGGGGGGCGTTGCCTTCGACCTGGACATTGACATCACGATGGAGCCCGAGGACGACGCGCGGGCGGCGACGCGGGCCGCCGTGGAGGCGCAAGTGCAGGCGCAGGCGCAGGCGCAGGCGCAGGCGGCAGCGGAGGAGGCGGCGCAGGCGCAAGCGCAGGCGCGGGCGCAGGCACAGGAGGAGGCGGCGCGGGCGCGGGCGCAGGCGCAGGCCGCCGCACTGGCGCAGGCGCAGGCCGCGAGCCAGGCTGCGAGCGCGAGCGCGGTGCGGGGCGCGCCCGAGCTCACGGTGGCGGAGGAGGCGGCCGCGAACCGTGCGGTGGGTGCGGGGCTCGTGATGGCGCCGGGGGGGCTGGACGCCGCGGCGCAGGCGCGTGGGGAGGATGTCGACGTTCCCCCGCGCGCCGCGGCGGCCCGGCAGGCGTCGGGCGCGCAGGCGGTGGCCGCGGCGCAGGAGGCCACCACGCAGGCAGTGATCATGGACCTGGACGGCGGGGCGCGGGCGGCCACGCCGGCGGGGCCGCCCCCGATCTCGTACGTGGAGGCCCGCGACCGGGCGATGGCGCTCGACCTGTCGCGGCACGCCGGGTCGGTGGTGGTGTCGAGTCCCGACGACACCCCCCGGCAGAAGGGGGGGTTCTTCGGGTTCCTGCGGCGCATGTTCGGCGGGCGCGGCCCCGCGGCGCTGCAGTCCGACCTGCACATGTCGCGGCTGCAGACGTACTGCCTGGCGAAGGTGGCGATGGACGACGGCGACGAGCTGCACGCGCGGCTGCTGCGCGGGGTGTGGAACAAGTTCACGCACGGCAAGGCGTTCCTGCGGTACGGCGCGCACTGGGAGGAGCTGGGGTTCCAGGGCACGGACCCGGCGACGGACCTGCGCGGCGGGGGCGTGTTGGCGCTGGTGCACCTGCTGCACCTGCACGACATCAACCCGGGCCTGGCCGACGAGGTGCTGACGCTGAGCCGCGGGGCGCAGGAGTTCCCGCTCGCGCCCGTGTCGATCAACGTCACGCGCTGGGCGCTCGAGGCCGGGCGGCGCGGGCGGCTCGACGCGGCGGCCAACAAGCTCGGGTCGTTCTTCGACGCGGCGGCGCTGTACCACGCGGGGTGCATGTTCGAGTTCATTGCGGAGTGGAAGAAGTCCGGGGCGACGATCGAGCAGTCCGGGCACGTGATGAGGCGCGTCGAGGAGCTCTGCCGGGACAAGGGGTCGCGCGTCGTGGACCAGGCGCTGCTGGTGCGGGGCGGGAAGTACCGCCTCACGTGAGCGCTGGGAGGGGCTGTTGAGCGGGCCAGCGCCCGCGTGTGAGACGGCGCGACGACGCTGAGAGGACGCGCACCTGGAGACAAGACAAGGCAACGTTGGAAGTGCAACTGCGCCGCTGTTCGAGGTGATTTGTCGACGCGTTGATGCTATGTGGGCGCCGCTCCTCCTCACCGCCTCCGGCGTGTTGCTCGACTGATTCAGTCAGACTCGCCCTGTCAGCAGCCCCCGCGTTCGCCGGTACGCCGTACCGAGCGACGACCGCCGCGCCAAGTGCACCACGCGCGCTTCCGCTCGACCAGGTCCCTCGCATCGCAGCTCCTTCATCTGCGAAAGAGCGAGCGCCTCGCGCGGACTGCGACTGAAGGTATGCCCTCTGCCCCCCGTGAACACGACGACAACGCGACACGCTTGCGCACACCAACGCGCTGACAGGTCAACGTATGTGTCTCGGTTCGATCCCACAGGTTTGACTGAGCGGACGCGGCCGCGTCTCGGACGGAGGGCCGCTGGAAGATCTACAGGCAAAGCAGCAGAGCGGCCGCGGCGCGGGCTTGCGGAGGCCTTGCGAGTGAACGAGGCGACCTCCGCGGCATAATAAACCCGCGTGTCGTCGGCGAGCAGCGTTCGGAGCAGGTGTTGCGCTGAACCCAAGGCCCACCGACCCGAGCCCAGCTTTTCACGTCAAGCAGTCACGCGCTGCGTGTTTGGGCCTGTATTTGACGTCGACGGTGCGCTCACGCCCATACGCCTCACGAAAGCTGTATATCGTGAATACTGTATCTTGCCGTGCGGGCGAGCTCGATCCCCTCCGCTGCTTGATCGATATTCCGGCGGTTGACGTGCCGTCGCGGCCTGGAATTATTGCAATCGACACGTTCCGCCCCGGTGCGCTGTCGCAGGAGCACCACGCAGCGATGTCGGCCTTCGAGAGCCTGCTGTACAAAGTGCCAGCAGTGCTGGCCGCCATGCCGGAGGCGTCGCAGTACGACGTGGCGGCGACGTCGTGGAGCGCGCTGCTCAGCGCGCTGCAGTACTCACCGATCGTGCTGGAGGTGGGCCGCGGGGCAGGAGGGGTGCTGGAGGGCATTGCGAAGCGCATTGAGCGCGGAGCATCGTCGCCGATGGCAGCGGGCACGTTGCGCGTGCGGCTCGACGCTGAGCAGCGTCAGCTTGCGGTGGGCGTACCAGCGGACGAGGCTGGCGTGCTGTCGGCGGTGTTGTCGAGGTGTGCGTCGGTGCTGGCGCCGTTCGAGCTGGATTCAGAGCTGGATTCCAGCTCATCAGATGATGCGTGGGCGCTGGAGCCGATCGCGCTGGATGCTGCGTGGGCGCTGGATGCGGTCGTGCGGGCGTCGGAGGAGCGCGGCACGCCGCTGCGGCTGCGGGTCGTAGACGGATGCCGTGGGTACGTCAATCAAGAGAACAAGGTGGAGAGGCTTGACGCAGTGCTGCAGCGACCGGCCGTGCAGCGGCACCTGCACGAGCTGAGGTGGTTCGACTGGAACAGGGACGACAACCCGTTCGGCGCCAATGCGCGCTGGGTGTGGGCGCTGGGCAACCTCCAGGTGCTGCACGTGGACACTGGGGCAACCCATTCGCTGCGCACTGGGGCAGCCGATGCGCTGCGCAGTGGGGTGCTGGCTCTGGCGGCTGCGATCCGGGACCGTACATGCAAACTTCGGGAGCTGAAGGTGTCGGTCGGCGACCGGTTCCTCCTGGAGGACCTGTGCGACGCACTCGGACGCAACAGGACACTAGAGTCTCTCTCGCTGGACGGCTTCTCGCCCACTGGAGTGATTGACCCCGACTCCATCTACGCCTACCACGGCGACACAGATGACAGCGCAAGCGACTCCGGCGACGCCCCAGCTATCGAAGAGCACCCACTGCAAACTCTGCTGAGAACAACCACGACGCTGCGCAAACTCCACCTCCGCGACTGGCACAACACAAGCAGCTTGTACAACTTCTCCGAGGATGAGCAGATTGAGCTGAAAGACGGCTACAGGGAATTGTTCTCGGCACTTGGCGCGGGGCTTGCATGCAACACGTCGCTCCAGGAACTCAAGCTCGGGCTCTCGCACTGGGACGACATTCTTCTATACGACGATCCCAGCTGCATTCGGGGTCTCTTCGACGGGCTGTCGCAGAACACGTCGCTGCGGGTGCTGGACATTTTGCCCCCAATTGAAGGGGCGTATACTCATAATCACGAGTTTCCGCCAGACATGCTCGGTGAGCTAGCAAGGGCACTGAAAACGTGCGGGTTGGAGCAGGTGCGCATGCAGGTGAACTACCATGACGGCACGTTTGGGGTTGTTGCTGACATGCTCGCGTCGACGTCATGCATACAAGAGCTGCACCTGTCCTGGAGCGGAGGCGGCCCAGTGCCTGGTGCTGAAATGAACGACGATGGATCCCACAAGCTCGCACGCGCCATCCGCGAGGGGGCGCTTGGGCGGACTCTGCGTATGCTGAAGTTGTCCCATAGTGACGACTTTCCCGGGGAGTCGCTTTTCGAAGCACTGAGTGGGAGCACGACGCTGCAGAGCTTGGAGATCGACGTACCCGGTGGCGCAGGAGCCCTGACAGTGCATCTTGGCAGGCTGCTGGAGAGGAGCCAGTCGCTTCGGCGACTCCGTGTCTGGCGTGCCTGCTCGAGTCTTGAGCCACGAAGTGCGGATTTGATTGCTGCGGGGTTGTTAAAGAACACGGTCTTGGAGCACCTTGAGCTGCACGACATCTACACGGAGGGGTGGGCAATCCCATTAGCTCATGCACTGGGGCCGGAGTCGGCACTGCGATGTCTGCGCATCGTAGAGCCTTATCGTGCTTTGGCTCGCTCGGGCCCGTCGAGGACAGAAGCGACGCCACAACAGAAAGAGGAGGCCATCGGCATCGCGACCGCCTTCGCTGGAGCGTTCGACCGCGGCGCAGCGCTGCGACTCCTTGACGTGGGCTCGGTGGCTGCGTTCACCGCCGACGCCGGCAAGATACTGCTCGCGGCAGCATCGCGGAGGACGAGCCCGGAGGTCTGCGAGATCCGCGTCAGCATGAACGCACAAGAAGGGCAGGCGCTGGCGGCGTGGTGCAAGACAGAGGTGGACGCGAGGCGGGTGCGCTTCAAGCCTCGCCTGTCGTCCGGCGCGACTGCATGAGGAACTGTGTGAGCGCCGTCTCACAGCGTGTGAGCGTTGTGCGCCCCGATGGTTCAGCGTCATGAACACCCTTGCGCTGCGTAGCACTTCGAGGGTCGGTCGTCACCGCGGCCGTCTCACAGCTCGTCTTTCCCGCCCTTGCCCGTCTTCCGGAAGATGCGTTGGCATCGCCTCCCGCCCCTGAAATCCGTGATGAACATGTCCAGCGACGCGGCGGACATGTCGCCCTTGTGCGCCACCCGCAGCTTCTCCTCCCCGTAGCAGAACGCCACCAAACTCGGCACCTGGCCCTCCCCCACCTCGGCGGCGATCTTCCGCGCCTCGGCGCCCGTCGCCGCCGCGAAGTGCACCAGGTTCCGGTACTTGTACGCCAGCGCGCGGTACAGGTGCGGCGCGTCGCTCTTCTCCGTGAGCAGCACCATCGACACGAACCACTCCGCGCTCCGCTGCCCCACCGCAGGCCGCCCCGACATCAGCGCCGCGTCCAGCGTCTTCCGGTCCGTGACGCGCAGCACCACGTTCGGAATCAGTCCCAGGATCCACGGCTTGATCGCCTTGGCCTCCAGCGCGCCCGCGTAGCTCTCCAGCTTGGTGGCGCTCGACCGCCGCACCGCCCCGCCGGCGGGGCGCTGCGGGCCGATGAACCCCTTCACGGCCGGCAGGCTGCGCAGCGCGACATTGTGCCGCCGGCACAGCGCCTTGTGCTTCTCGCAGTTCACCGCACCGGCCTTGACCCCGAACGGCACCAGGTGCGTCGCCAGCTTGCTGAACGTCGACACGAACGCCACGCTCTCCTCCTCCGCGGGCGAGTAGAACGCGAACATCCAGGGGGACTGCTCGCGCGCCCCGTCCGGGAACGTCTCCATCTTCAGCTCCGTCACGTCGCCCTCGGTGAACAGGTCGGCCGTCTCGCGCTGCCGCTGCCGCCCGCCGCCCGCCCCGCCGCCGAACCCGCCCATCCCGCCCGGCCTCCTCCGCCGCCCGCCCATGTTCCCGAAAAACGAGTCCCCGCCCCCGAAGTCGAACCCGCTGTCACCCCCGCCCCCCCAAAATGAAACTTGAAACCCGACCCAGCCCCGCCCGCACCCCCTGCGCACAAACAGACAACCGCGGCCCGTCGGACCGCTGCGGCAGGCCCGGTCGCGCGCAGCACGCGCAGCACGTCCGCGGCGCTCACCGCCCCCCGCGTCCGCCCCGAAGTGCTCCGCAAACATGTCCTCGAACATCTTGAAATAGTCCTTCCCGCCGCCCCGCCCGAAGTTGGCCCGGAACCCGCCGGGGCCCCCGCCGCCCCCGCCCATGCCGCGCCCGCTCTCGTCCCCGGTCTGGTCGTACATCCGCCGCTTCTGCGGGTCTGCGCGCACCACACAAACAGAGCACGACGCGTGGGGGCGGCGCGCCCGCGACCGGCTGCGGCGGCGCGGCGCGTGCGCGCGGACCGCGTCGTACCTGACAGCACGTCGTACGCGTGCGAGATCTCCTGGAACTTGCGCTCCGCGGCGTCCCTGTTGTCCGGGTTCTTGTCCGGGTGCCACTTGAGGGCCATCTTGCGGTAGGCCTTCTTCAGCGCCGCATCGTCTGCAAGCAGCACGTGCGCGGGTGGCCGGACGCGTCCCGGGCCGGCCGTGCGCGGGCGTTGTCGGGCGCATCGCCGGTGCCTAGCAGCGGGTGGGGGAGCGGGCCCCCGTGCGACGAGCTCCCATGGGCAGGAGACGCAATGAAGGTGGCGGAGGGCGTGGAGCACGCGAACAGAGGGCCGCGGCTGCGCGCTCGCTGCGCCACGCGCGCGTTGGCGCCCAGCGCTCGCCAGACGTGTGCGTAGGGCACTGGGGACCGCACCCACGCCGGGCTCGACGCCCAACAAGCTATACAACTTCCTATCCCGGACGGCTGCAGCTAGACCCAGGATCGCGGCCCCTACGACGACACAGAGCAGGAGGCCCGCGCGGCAGAGCCTCGCGAGTCGTGCCATGATGGTGTCCGGACACTGCAACGTCTCGGTGGCCCCTGGGCGCCGCCGTCCACGCCTGCTCCCGCCGGCCACGCGCTCCCTGCGATAGGTGTGCGCGGCGGACGTCCGCGGCTCGCGCCCTTCGATCCCCAGTGCCCGCGTGGGGTGTATTCGTTGGCGAGGGGGGGCGTCAAGCGAGCCCGCGAGCGCCGGACGGGCGCCCCCGACGTCGGCACCGCGCCCCGCTGGTGGCTGGCACTTGCGTGCTAGCGGTGAGCGTGCTTCTGCCATCGGATCGGCTTTGGTGCGCGTGCGGGCATAGGTTGCAACGATGGCGGAGGGTGGCAAGCACAACCTGGAGCGGGCGTGGACGCTGTGGTTCGACGACCAGAACCAGGGGGGCAGGAAGGGCGCGAACGAGTGGGGGAGCACGCTGAAGCCGGTCTACAGCTTCCGCACGGTGGAGGACTTTTGGTGGTGCGCTGCCCGGCAACGGAACGGCCTCTGGCGGCGCGTGGGCCGCAGCGCAGCAGCGGCCGCGCACCCTCGCGGGCCCCCGCCGTGCGTGGATCGCCTCCCGGGCGGCAGCGTCGCGATATACCCCGTGGACGCGGCGCATCAGGAGGCTGCGCTTCGGCACAGAACTTTGCGTTTGCGCGCTCGTGCGGCCCGGTCCAGGCACACAAGCGCCCACGATCCCTGCCTGCGCGAAATGCGCCACGCGTTGCGCGCGCGATCCGAGGGTCGCACGCAACGCACAGTGCGCACGGGGCGCCATTGCCGCTTGCGCCGCAGCAAGCGCCTTCCGGGACGCGCCACAGCCCGTCTCGCGTGTCGCGGACGGTCCGGGGCGGAAGCTCCTTTTCATTCGCGCCTGCCAGCGGCGCCTCGCCCCGCCGCGACGCCTGTCGTCGGCGCTGGCCCGACTCGATGCTGCTTTCGACCTCCTTTTCGCAGCCTGTACAACAACATCGTGCAGCCGAGCCAGCTCGGCGGCCGTGCGGACATCCACCTTTTCAAGGAAGGTATTCAGCCGAAGTGGGAGGACCCGGAGTTCAAGAACGGCGACGAGCAGCATGGCGGGAAGTGGACGTTCGTGGTGAAGAGCAAGACCATGCTCGACGAGCACTGGCTCAACACCGTGCTTGCTCTAATTGGCGAGCAGTTCAACGACACGGAGGAGATCGCGGGCGCGGTGGTTTCGATCCGTCCGAAGCAGTGCAAGGTGACGGCTCCCCCTGGTGGCCCCCACAACGGCGTGCTTCGCCCGCCCGCGGCCCAACATTCGACAGGGCGTGCACCGCGGCCCAGGCGGGACGCCGGACCGCCGCCGCGGCGCCGTCCCCGGCGCGGCACCACGCGGGACGCCCGGTGCCACACTCTCATGCGCCTCCCACCGCGGCGCCCCGGCCTATGCGGGCGCCCCGCCGCTCGCGCACGATGTTTCGCTCGGTGGCCGCACACCGCGATATCCGGGGCGCCCAGAGCACTGCCTGCCAGCTCTCCGGCACCGCTGCTAGCAGCCAAGGTGGCTCGCCCCGCTGGCCGCGGCCGGTCCCGGCTCGCCGCCGCCGCCACGGGCGCGCGGACGCGAGCCGCTACCACCCTCTCACGTCTCGTGTGCGCGGCGCGCGCGTGTTGCGCTGACGGCCGCACCTCGGGCCCCTGCTGCTGTGCAGCTCTGCTTGTGGACCAAGCTGGAGACGAACGAGGAGGTGCAGACGAAGATCGGCATGCAGTTCAAGGAGACGCTGCAGCTGGGCGACAACGACCGCGTCACCTACCAGTTCTTCGCGGACGAGATGAACAACATGCGCCGGTGCGCCCCACACCAACACAGCAACACCGCGCACACGTGCCGCTCGCAACGCTCCCCCGCGCGCGCAGCGTCGCCCGACTGCAGCCCGCGCCGCCGGCCCCCCCGCCCCGCTCCGCTGCTTCCGTGCGACACGCGAGCAGGCGCCCTCGGCACTGTGCAAACCGCTCTTCCTGAGCGCGTGTTTGGCCGCGTCGCTGCAGGGACGTGTACATGACTTGATCGTGCGGCATGGCATATTTCTGCGGACCTTCGGCGGCGCTGGGCGGTCAAGCGCCGGGGGATATCGGCGGAGGCGTCTCCGTCTATGACCAGGGGGCCGGGGTGGCACGTGCCGCCGCGCACGCGGGCACATAGTGGGACCAGCCGCAGCTGTGACCCACGCGCAACGCAGCCGCCGCTCGCGCCCGTGCGGCGGCGCCCCCGTGTCAATTAATACTTTGTGTGCCAGCCTGTCGGGCGGTTCGCGCCACGCGATGAGCGCCGCGCCAGCCCCCGAAGCGGCAGCGAGCGCGGGGGGGGCCGGGACCCCGCGGCAGTCCTTCCGACCGTCGAGCCGCATGGGCGCGGGGGGACTTGTGGGGGGGTGTTGCGACGACATGTGTTGCAGGGGCCGCCGGTGCGAAGGGTTGCGTGCGCGCGTCAGCGCGAGCACTGCGCGTGTGGGTAGCTCAGCAGGGATCGTCGTGTTGAGGTAGACGTGTGCAGCGGCGTGGCCCACGAGCGTGAACATGAGAACTGGAGGGTAGGCCTAGCACGACTCGGTAGTGGAGACTTGGAGCTCCATGGCACGGCGTGCTGACTCCTCGTAGGAAGGACATCGCAGTCCGTCGTAGTGGTGCAGCGTGGCGTGCGGCAGGGCCGGGGTGGAGCGATGTTGCTCCTGGGACATCGTCTCGGCGGCTGGCTCGCGCTGTTGTTGCTGATATTCGCGCGTCAAGCTGGCGGCCAGGTACCTTCAGTTACCACGCAATCGTTCGTGCAAAGACCGCCGGAAGAGTCAACCGGCTCGCATCACTGGGGGCATCGGATGCCCAGTTGGGCAACCAGCTGCTCTTGCGCACCGAGTGTTCCTGCAGATATCGAAGCCGATTGCCGCGGATAGCAATGTTGATACATCACGAAACAAGTTCCTTCAGCGGGACGCGGATGCGGGCGCTCGACCAAGGTGCGACCGGAGCTCAGCCACCTTGCCGGAGCTCTCGCGCCCTCTGGAGCACGGCCAAGCGCGGCGCTCGCAGAAACAGCTGCTCGACGTTGACCACCTACATTCGTTCAGTGATACAGCGTGCAGCCCCCCTGGATCATGGCTCCTGCAGTTCGTGCGCGACCAGCCCAATGCCGCCCACTCAGAGCCGCCCACACAACACCCAACGTCGAGCCCCCTCCTCCTTTCGGCCCCGCAGCGCGTCCAAGCTGATGTCGGACCGCTGCGACAACCCGCAGCTGCAGCTCAAGTGGATGACGGAGCTGTCGTCCTCGGTGTACACCACGCCGCTCATCACCGACCTGTTCGGCGACGGAACGAAGGACGTCGTCGCCAACACGTTCGTCAAATACGTCGAGGTCGTGGACGGCCGGGACGGGTCGCGACCACCAGGTGTGCGCACATCCAACGTGCACGCGCGCCCGCCGCCAGTTGCCCACAAACAACACGTGCAGCGGGCGACACAGAGGCAACGGCACGCGCTCCCGGGCCAAAAATGCACGCTGCGCGCACCCCTCACCGTCGCCTGTTCGGGCCGTCCGCAGGGTTCCCGGCCAAGTACGAGTGGCAGACCGGGACCTCTCACTCCTCCCCCCTGCTGTTCGACATCGACTTCGACGGCGTGAAAGACATCCTGATCGGAACGTACGACGGCGAGATCAGCTTCGTCAAGGTGCGCGGCGCACAGCGCCCGGCCCCCACCGCCGCGAGACGCACACCTGCGCGGTGCGTGTCCACCCGCCTGCAAGCGGTCCTGCACCGGCCCAGAAGGCGCGTCGTGGCTCCCTGCGCGCAGGACACCGGGGACCGGATGTACGGGTACACGATCTACCTGCCCCGGCTCAAGGTCGACCGCCTGTGGTGGCAGGATCTCGCGCCGGACCCTGTGCGCGGCGCCACGCTCGCCCCGGCCGCGCGTGCGCCTCCACCAGCGGGCCGGCCGCCCGGCCGCGGGCGCAGGCTGCAGGAGGTCGTGGAGGAGCCGCTTGACGCGATGGACGTCGAGGACGGCGAGGTGCGGGGCGAGGAGGAGGAGGAGGTGGCGGGCGGCGTGCTCATCGACGACCACGACGGGTCGACGAAAGAGGGGCTCAAGCACTACGAGGATGCAGACGAGGATGACGATGGATGCGCTCTCGATGGCTCGGGCTGTGGGGACGAGACGGAAGCCGCAGCGGCGGCAACAACAAACGTGGCACCAACTGCGCAGCAAGTGCCGCAGGGGGTCACGGCGACGCCTCGGCCGCCGCAGGGCGCGCAGCCAACGCAGCGGGCGCCGCAGGCAGCGCAGCCAACGCGACAGATGCCGCAGGGAGCGCAGCCAACGCAGCAGGCTCCGAAGGGAGCGCAGCCAACGCGACAGGTGCCGCAGGGAGCGCAGCCAACGCAGCAGACGCCGCAGGGAGCGCAGCCAACGCGACAGATGCCGCAGGGAGCGCAGCCAACGCAGCAGGCGCAGCAAGCAGTGACGCAGGCCGCCAAACCTGCGGCGGCCACGCCAGCGCCGGCGAGGACAGCAGCAGCGGCCGCCGATGCGGGAGTAAGGGCCGCGGCGGCGCCAACCACTGCGCCCGAGCCCACTCCCGCGGCTAGGGTCCTGGGGCGCCAGGATGCGATGAAGCGGTCGGCAGGCGCCGCGGCTGCCGCGGGTGTGCAGGCCGACGAGTTTGCGCGGGAGGAAGAGGAGGCCGCGGCTGCTGAGAAGCGTCAGGAGATGGGCGTCGCGGACAGAATGGCCGGTGCGTACCCCAGTACTTCGCTCAACGCGCGACACACCACATGCCCGTGCGCGCCGCCCACGCGTCTGCGCACGCGACGACGCAGTCTGGCCATCGTTTCGTGTTCCCGGCGACGTCGACGCAGCCGCCGGCGAGGGAGACATTCCGGTGCACCCCGCGATCAAAGCCGCGATGGATGACTGGGACATGGTGGACAGGGGGCCGCGGCGCGGGGACGACGAGGACGCTGACCTCGCAGCCGAGCGCGCGCACGAGGACCTGGGGATGCGGCAGGACGGGGCACCAACGCCCGCACCGTCGCCGTTTGTCAACGTCGACTCGCACGTCCTGGCGACCCCCGCGCTGCACGACCTGAACGGGGACGGCATCGAGGAGCTGATTGTGCCGGTGCGCTGGTTGTCCTGCCGCCCTGTCGCGACGCCGCGAGCGTGTGCGGTGCGTGGATGGCATTCACTTGCTCGGTAGCCGCACGTGAGCCAGCGCCTGGCGTGGAATGTTCGCAGGTGTCGCACTTCTTCGACAGGGACTACTATTCCAAGCAGCGAAACAAGTGGAGGATACCTGCGGGGACCGACATCAGCAAGTACATCGCGTCCGCAGTAGTGGCCATCAGCATGCGCACGCGCCACACCCTGTGGCACGCCCACCTGGACCTGACCACCGAGGACACCAAGTACGCGTCGTACGTCTACGCGACGCCCGTCGTCGCTGATGTGGACGGCGACGGCGCCCCGGAGGTCGTCCTCGGGACGGGCAGCGGCCACGTGCACGTCCTGGACCGCAACGGCGAATCGAAGGCGGGGTGGCCGCAGCTGATCGGGCAGGTGCAGGGGCAGGCGCTGGTGGCCGACTTGAACGGCGACGGCGCGCTCGAGATCCTCGTTGCCGACGCGCAGGGCAGCGTGGTGTGTTTCGCTGCCAGTGGGGCGGTGCTGTGGGACCGGCACTTCGGCACGGCGTTCATGCAGGGTGCCGTCGGCGGGGACGTCGACGGCGACGGACAGCTGGACGTCGTGCTCGGGAGTGCGTCCGGGCGCCTGTTTGCGCTGCGCGGAAAGGACGGCTCAGGTGGGTGGTGCCGCACGCGTCGCCCCTGGTCTGCCAGTTTGCATGGCTTCCGCGGACCCCTTTGATTCCCTCCTGCTGCAGATCTGGACGGATTCCCGTACGCCGCGGGGGACCGCATCATGGCGGTACCGCTGCTGATGCGCATGGCCGACACAAGGCTGCCGGGCCTGGGGAGCGTGGTGACGGAGCGAAGCACCGAGCGCGCGCTGCGTGCGTCACATCGAAAGGCCACGATGAGCGTCATTTTCCCGTCCTTCGACGGCTACCTGCACGTCGTCAACCCAGGCGAGCCTCACCTCAACAGTGCGTGACCTGCTGCCCGCTGCACGCGCAGGCCCCCTCAACCACGTCTCTCTCCACGATGGCTACGCAGCGAGCGAGTGCGTGGAGTTGGTCGACATAGGTGAGGCGTCGTATTCGATGGTGCTGGCGGACGACGTGGACAACGACGGCATGATGGACCTGATCGTGTCCACGATGAACGGGAACCTGTACTGCTTCGGCACGCGCACGCCGTTCCGCCCCCTCCGCTCCTGGACGAGCCAGACTCTGGCCAGCAACGGCCTGGTGGCCCGTGAGGGTTGGGTGGGGGTGTCCGCCACGCAGGGCTCGCGCACGTTCCGCGACGTGCGGGGGCAGGACTTCCGCGTCGAGATCGAGATCCGCGACGACCGGCCGGCGGGCGGCAAGGCGCGCGGTCCGTACTCGGTCACGGTGATGCTGGAGGGCGTGAGCATGGTGGAGATGAACATGGGCGCGTCGCCGATCGTGGGCGTCACGGAGACGTTCAGCGCGCCCGGGACGTACAGCCTGTCGCTGCTGACGCCGCGGAGCCGGTCGACCGCCGTCGTCGCGGTCACGATGACGGACGAGGCGGGCATGACGTACCGCGACGAGTTCAGCGTGTCCTTCCACGTGCACTTCTACCGCCTCCTGAAGTGGGCCGTGGCGCTGCCGCTCATCGCGAGCTCCGTCGCGCTGCTCCTCCTCGGCCGGCAGGAGGAGAGCGGCGCGCAGATCCCCGAGTACCAAATGCGCAAGCTGGACTAGGGGCGGGGTCGTTGGCGAGGTCCCGCGCGGACGATAGCTGTGAGCCCCTGGCGGTCAGCACCGTCGCTTCACAGCACGTTCGTTTGAACGAAGCGGCGGGGCAGGAGGTCCCGCAACGTTCGCGAGAGCTGAATTGCTTGACAGCACCTCCTGGCACGTTGCGGGCGAGCCTTGCTTCGCTAAGCTAGCTTTCTCCGCGTCCCTGGCTCCGTCCACGAGCACGCGCGGACCGTCACTGCTTCCCCTGGGCTTCCAAGGCCTCGATGCGCCGCGCGCGCGACAGCGTCTTGCGCTTCTTCGCCACCGCCTCGAGCTTCTTGCGTTTCTTCGCTTGCTCCTTCGTCAGAGACTGCCCGACCAACGTCGGGTTGTCCTGCGTCGCAATCGGGGGTCGCCACCTCGATCAGATTCTCAGCAACGTCATGTGCCACAGGCGCAGGGTTGCAGCGCGTCGCCATTTGCGGCGGGGGGGACGCGCCGCACCTTCAAGCCGAACGAGTGAGCGACGTGGCCCAGGTGGAGGTGCTTGACGTGGAAGATGTGGCGGACGCTCGCGGGATGGACTGCGTATGCTTTGACGTAGCTGCGGAAGGCCGCCTGCGCCAGGCGGTGCAGGTCGTGGTCCTTCGCGATCTCGTCTGTGATGTGTGACATCAAGAGTGCAGCCGCCATGTACTGGTCCTGCGGCACACCCCCGCCTTTGGTGCTTCCCTTGACCTGCAGGAGGGCGTGTCTGGGCAGGGTGAGCGACGCGGCGCAGACGCAGCTGTGCAAGGTGAGCGCCGATGTGTGTGACCGCGGACCTTCTTCCGGGCACGCATCCGGTCGTCGAGGAGTTCTTTGGGGAGGTGTTTGAGGATCGAAGACACTGACTGCCGCTGCAACGTGACCCCGCGCTCCTCCAGGAGTGACGTGTAGTCCAGCTCGCTCGGCTGGAGTATCATGAACGCCTCCCCGGCTTGGCCCATTCTGCAGCACGGGGGGGACGCTGGTCGGCAAACGGGAAATGATTGCTGTTGCGACGCGCCGCACGAAAGCGTCTCTGCCGCGTACCTCGCTGTTCGTCCGACCCGGTGGACATACTCTTGTGGTTCGCCGGGCGGGTCGTACTGCACGATGCCTGAGACCGCTGGGAAGTCCAGGCCGCGCGCAGCCACGTCCGTGCAGATCAACACCCCGAACGGGGCGCGGACGAATTTGAAAAACACGTTCGTCCGCTGCCCCTGCGGCATGTTGCCGTGGAGCTTCAGGAGGGGCACGTTGGGCGGCAGGAGCGTCGGCACGTTGCCTGCTGCTTTGGAGGAGTCCTGATCACGCTTCCGTTTCTTTCCCCGCTGCAGCATGGCCTTGACGTGGTCGCGGTTCTCGTCGTCGACATCGAAGTCATCGATGCCCATCTCCTCGGCTTCATCGTCGTCGTCCTGCGCGCCCCCCGTCCGTTTCCTCTGCACGGCTTGCACAGCGGCCCCGTACACTCGCGCGAGCACCGCGTGCAGGAACTCCACCCCGTCGCAGCTCGACACGAACACCACGATCTTCTTCTTCGACTGCCCGCCGGACCACTGCGACCGCAGCAGACCCACGAGCGCCGGCATGCGCAGCTTGGACGGCACCTCCAGGAACTTCTGCTGCAGCTGCTTCGGAATGCGGTACTCCTGCCCCCCGCCATCGTCCCTCTGCTTGCGCTGCTTAGACGGGGTCTCCACGTCGGCCTGGGGAGCCGCGGCTGGAGGCTCTCCGCCGGGGGCTGCTTCTGTTGTAGCGCCCACTTGCATGAACAAGCTCGTGCTGTCGAGGCCGCGACGCTCGCCCCGGGGCTGCACCTCGGCTCGCCCCTGCTCGTCCTCGAGTTTCCGCGGCTCCGTCGCTGCCACTACTTTCAGCGCCCCGCCACTGGAACCCTCGAGTTTGAACCCGACCGCGACAGGCTTGTGCAGCGACATGTCCGCGAGGGAAGACAAGTGCTCGTGCAGTGTGGCCGAGAGCAGCACGCGCTGGTACCTGCGGCGCGGTGCCGACACGTCGGACGTTTGCACGTGACGCAAACCGCAATCGTTGGCAGACGGTGCGGAATAGAGAGCGCCAGGCAAGCGACGCACAGCCGGCTCCCCTATGGCGATCGTCACGCACCGGCTGCCCTCCTTTTTCGCCACCCGCTCGTCCAGCAGCACCACGATCCGCCGGAGTTTCTCCGCAAACCCAAGGTCGAGCAGCCGGTCGCCCTCGTCCAGCACCAACCAGCGCAGCTCGTCCGTGAGCATGCTCGACGTGAGTTCGAGGTGGTCCAGCAGGCGTCCTGGAGATGCCACGAGGATCGTGACGCCCTTCCTGCGACAAACACAACACCAGCCTCATGCATGTCAGACCCGGCGCGCGCGCCACCTCGAGACGCCTTACGACGTCTACACGAATGCGACACGCATCCGCGGGCGTGCGGGACCGCCGGAGCGCGGCGGGGAGGGGTGTCCGGGCACCTGAGGCGCGCCTTCTCCCTGTTGCGGTTCTCGCCGCCCAACACGCAGCCGCCCACGAGCCAGTGGAAGCGGCGCAAGAGCATGGCGAGCACGTCGTGGATCTGCATCACCAGCTCCCGTGTCGGCGCGATGCAGATCGCGTGCGTCCCCTCCCGTCTCGAAATGCGCGGCTCTTGCATCTGCGCGCCGTTCGGGGGGCGGGAGTGAGCCGCGTGCGTGCTGCGGGCGGAACAGGCACCGTGGCAGCGAGCGAGGGACGCCGACGCACCGACAGTTCGTGGACGATGGGCAGCAGGAAGGCCATCGTCTTCCCGGAGCCAGTGGGCGCGTTGACCAGGACGTCCCTCCCGGCAAGGATCGGCGGAATCGCAGACTGCTGCACCGAGGTCGGCTTCTCAAAACCCAGGCTCTCCACGTGCTTGCACAGCGCGCCGGACAGCCCGAGTCGCGCCCAGGGCCCTGACGCGCCAGCAGCGGGGGCGTGCCCCTCGTCGCCAAACATGCCCGCGGCGTTGGCCAGCCCGACGTCGCCCGCCCGCATGAGCTCGCCAGGTCGCCGCAGCGCTGCACACAGACGCGTGGGGCCGGGGGAGGGCGTTGATCCCGAATCATGAGTCAACCTCAACCGCCACACAACGCACCGCTCGAGTTCGCGCCGCTCACCTGGCTCCCCGTCCTGTTTGTCCTTCTTCTTCGCCTTCGCCCGCGCGTCCTTCTTCTCGCCCCCGCCCCGCGCCCCCCCGCGTTCCGCCCGCCCCACCGGCACCGCAAGCTCCTCCTCCTCCGCCACCTCCCTCTCCAGCCGCGCCTGCACCCGCGTCTCGTCGTCGTCGCTCTCGCTCTCGCTGTGGTACGCGCGCTGCGCACCGGCACCGCGCGGGCGACCAGCGGGCCGGCTGTCGTCGAAGGTCACCACGCCCGCAGGCGCCTCCTCCGAGTCACTGGCATCGTCATCGTGCGAGGATGGCCCGTCGAGCGGCCCCGCGCGGTTCGCGGCCTGCTCCAGCGCGGCGTCGCGCGCCTGCGTGGATGTGACCATGGCGGCGATCGACGCGGCTGCGTCCCCGTCGAGCACGAACTTGTCCAACTCGTCCTCGCTCTCTGCAACAACAGGGGGACGGCGCCGCGCGACGCTGAGGTGCGGAGCCGTGCGCCGCGCGTGGCTGCGGATCTCGTTCGGGGAGTGAGCGCGCCTTCGTTGCTGACGGGCGCCACGACCGGCTGCTTTTTCCTCTTTGAGGGTTTCGGCACAGCGGCGCGCACGCTAGCTCCGCCCGGCGTGACGCCGTCGTGCGCGGCCGCGCGTCTCGGGCCCGTCTTTCCGTCGCTCCGAGGGCCGTGCTGCGGAGTCGCCGGGCCTGGCTGTGGCGCCCCTGTGCTGCCAGGATGCCGGGCAGCCGCGCCGCCCAGACCATTGTTCTTCGTCGATTTGTGCCCCATTGCATCGTTCATCCTCCCCTCCCTCCGTTCTCGATCAGCGCGCTTTTCATGCCCGCGTCGTTTCTCCGCGGACCCCGCCTGCACCTTGCGCAGTGAGTCGCCGCGGCCGTGCCGCTGCGGCAAGTCCCCTGACTTGTCCGAGCGCCGCGCGTCGTTGCTGCCTTTCTTGAGCTTCGCCTTCTTGCGCTGCCAATGGCCCAATTTGTCGACCGCATCCTTCCTAGGGGCGTGTGCCGAACCGTGACTGCCGCCACCGCCCAGGTTCAGCACCAGCTCCTCGTCATCCGACATCCTCGCCGGAGAACGTCACAAACACACGCTTGCAAGCAGTGGATCACCCAACGCGACTCGCCGCGCCCGCCCCCGCCCCGAATGCCCAGTGCTAGGAATCTGTTGCCCCTCACCAGTATCGCCGGTCAGCCGAGGTCGGTGCACGTCCTCTTCAGCCAACAAACATGCTATGCCAACAAGAAGCGACCCGGTCACTTTGCGCACGTGAGAGCCAGCGACGACCCATGACGGCGCGCCGAGGTGGGTGCCGTATGACGCCAACTCAGTGACCGACTGACCACACGCACGCACGCAGAAGTGCGCCTCGCCGTCACAGGCCGCATCTCGCTCGCTGCACGTCGGGTGCGCGTCCCGCTCGCAGCTCCGTCCCCGCCCACGTCCGCACGCCACCAGGCACACGCGCACGGCCTCACTTGCTCTTCGGCTTCGCGGAGAAGAACGACGTGATGCTCTTGTGCTCCCGCGCGACCTTGGCCGCCTCCTGCCGCTTCTTCTCCTCCCGGTCCGCCTTGGCCTTGGCCTTCTGCGCCTCCTTCTGCATCTCCTTCCGCGACTTGCCCCCCTCGCGGTCCACGGACGCGTGCAACGCACCTGCGACGCAGAGACGAGGGCGCGGGACGTGGAACCGCGCGCCGGGCCGCGGCCGAGGAGCGACGCGACCACCACGCGCGCGAGAGGGTTGGCGGCGCAGCGTCAGCACTCGGGCCGCTGCGTCGCGAAACGCGGCGCCCGCTCGCCCCGGCGTGTCCGCGCGGGCCGCCGGCGCGCGTGCGCGGCTCGTGCCGTGCGCGCGGTGTCGCACCGTAGATGCTGTCGCCGTTCTCGCCCGACGCCGCAGCCTGCACGCCCAGGATCCGCAGCAGGTCCGCCGCGCGCCGCTCGCTGAGGCTCTCCCCGACGATGCCCGCCGCGTACGTCCTCAGCGTGGCGTCGTCCATCGCCTTGCTCACCTCCGCGTCGAGGCTCGCCCGCAGCGCCCGCTCCGCCGCGCGCACCTTGCACGTCAGCCACGCGGCCACGCGGTCCTCGCTCAGCCGGAACACGTCCTCCTCGCCGACGCCCTTCTTGTCGCACAGGTAGTGCGCCTGCGGCAGCACGAGCGGCAGCAGCGCCGCGTGTCCGCCCCCCGCGCCCTGCTCCAGCAGCTGGTCCAGTGGCGCAAAGAGAGCGGGGCCGCCTCCCCGCGCCGCCGCCGCCCGGTCCAGCGCCTGCAGCGCCTGCGCGGTGAGGGAAACGCGTGCAAGCCGCCGTGTGCGGGCGCGCGCGCGTGCCGACGTCCCGCCAGAGCCGCTGCGCGCCGCCCGCGCTGCGTAGCACGCACAGCACTTCGAGCGCGCCCGCCGCCCGGGGCCGCGGGCGCCGCGCGGTGGCCTGCGCGTCGCGCGGGCACACGCGCTCCACCGGCGCGTGGCCCGGCCCGGCCCGTCGCGTGGCGCGTCCGCCGCGGGCGCGCGAGGGTACGCGCACCAGGAAAAGTGGGTCCATCGGGGTCCCGAGCAGGAGCGGCTTGCGGGCGAGGACCTCGTTGCCCGCGAACCAGGACGCGAACTGCTGATCGACGTGGCTGACGTCGACGGCTCGGGCGTCGGAGAGCAGGCAGATCCCGCCCCGGGGTGCGGCGTCGCAGCTCACGGCGCCGAGGGTCTCCGTGACGGGGTGCGGGCCGCACGGCAGCACGGCGATACGTGCCATGGCTGGCGGGGGGTCACGGCGCGCGCGCCGAGCGGCCGCTGCGCGGGCCTGCGCGGAGCGTGTCGCGGCGTTGGACCTGGGGCAGAATGAGCGGCGCCACGGCTGGGGAGCGAGCCTGCTGCACGGGCATTCGCTGCCTGCGCGTTCCGGGTGCGAGCTGCGACGCGGCCGGCGCGCCGCCGGGCAATGGTGCCCCCTCCCCGCGCCGCTGAGACGGTGGTTGGGGGGCAAATTGAGCACTAATTGCACCCCTCCGCGGTCACGCGGGGCGGCGCGGCCGGGGCGTACGTGGGGCGCGAGCGCCGCGCGACACGGGCAGTGTGTTGCCCGACGACCCGTGCGATCGTGCGCGTGCGGCCAGGCTAGTGTGCGGGCTCACCGCTCTAGCTTCTTCCTCCCGTGCGCAGCTCTGCGTCGCGATCGGCTGTCCCGGCGTTGCGGCGGCGCGACAGGGTCGCTGTCCCTTGATAGTGCTCAGAAGGGCGGCGAGCGCCCCGGGCAGGGCTTCGGGATAGCCTCCCGTCCGAGACTCGGGGATAGGAGGCCGACTAGACCATGGCGGTGCGCCTCCCGCGCATCCGCGCGTTTCAGCTCCGTTTCGCGCGTCATTGCATGAGCGTGCCGGCGCCGAACCCCCCGGAGCGCGGTCGTGCCCCCCGCGGAGCGGCACCTCTGCGGGTCAACCCGTTCCGTTCGCTCCGCGGCAGGGATAGCGCCTGTCTCCGCCGCTCCGCACGCAGCACGCCCCTGTTCGCCCACGCGTCCGCGCGCCCCGCCATCTTCTCCCCCCTCATCAGCCGGCTGTTCGCGCTGCTCCGCGCAGGTCTCCATGCCCGCTGAGGCCTCGCGGCTGACGAAAGTTCTGGCCAACCTAAAGCACACGTTCGTCGTCAGCGATGCGACTCTGCCGGACATGCCGCTCGTCTTCGCGAGCGAGAGGTGCGGGGCCCACCAGCATGATATCGTGCAGGCCGGGCAGGCGCCTCCCCGGGTGTCGCCTGCCGCCCTCCGACGCGATGTTCGCGCGTGGTATATCATCGGCCTTCCCTCCCAGGCGTCCCACCGCGCCCGGACGCGTGCACGAGCGGCGACGGGTGCTATCTTGATCGGAGGCCTGCTGCCGCGCACTCCCCGCTGCCGAGATACCAGCGACCGCCATGGACGGCCTGATCATGAATGGTCCTGCCTGCCGGGGGCGCGCTCGAGGCAGCCTCGCCCCGGTCCAGCATGCCGCCCGTCAACCGACCGGATTGCACGACATCTGTGCGACCGTCACTCGCAGTTTCTACGACATGACCGGTTACACTGCGGAGGAGATCCTCGGTCGGAACTGCCGCTTCCTCCAGGGAGAGGGCACGGACCCCAAGGACCGGCAGAAGATCCGCGCAGCAATCAATGCTGGTGAGAGCTGTGCCTCCGCCCCGCCCCCGCCGTGCCGGGCCCCGCTGCCCCTCGCGCGCCCAGTCCCCGGCGCACGTCATCGCCCCCGGGCGCGACGGGGGCGACCGCCCGCCCTTCGCGCGCCCCCCCGGCCGCGCACCGCCGCGCATCCCACTTGTGGCACCCCGCGCCTCGACCCCGCCCGCCGTTGCGCCCGGCGGGCGCCCCGTCCGGCCGCGCGGGCCGACGGGCGCGCCGCGGTGCGCGTCCTCAGCCTCGCCCCCCGCCCCGTCCGTGCGTCGCGCAGGCAAGGGCGTGTCGGTGCGGTTGCTGAACTACCGCAAGGACGGCACGCCGTTCTGGAACCTGCTGACGATCACGCCGATCAAGACGGCGGACGGCAAGGTCTCCAAGTTCGTCGGGGTGCAGGTCGACGTGACGAACAAGACGGAGGGCCGCGCGGAGAACACCGCGTCGCTGGTCAACTACGACGACCGGCTGCGGCACAACGTCGCGGAGGGCATCGTCAGCGAGGTGACCAACCAGGTGCAGGAGGCCGAGTTCGAGAAGGACGGCAAGACGTGCGCCCACCGCCCCCGCGCTCGCCCCGCCCACGCCCCCTGCGTCGCGCCTCGCCCCCCCGACATGTCGGCGCCCCCCCCTTCCCGGCCCGCAGGCCGAAGCCCAAGGCGTTTCCGCGCGTGGCGATCGACCTGGCGTCGACGGTGGAGCGCGTGCAGCAGAACTTCGTCATCGCGGACCCGAACCTGCCGGACTGCCCGATTGTGTTTGCGTCGGACGCCTTCCTGGAGCTGACGGGGTACGCGCGCGAGGAGGTGCTCGGGCGCAACTGCCGCTTCCTGCAGGGCCCCGAGACGGACCCGGCGAGCATCGACGCGATCCGCAAGGCGCTGGCGACGAACGAGGAGGTGACGGTGAAGATCCTGAACTACACCAAGCAGGGGCGGCCGTTCTGGAACATGTTTACGCTGGCGCCGATCAAGGACGTGGACGGCACGGTGCGGTTCTACGTGGGCGTCCAGGTGGACGTGACGGACCCGGCGCACGCCAAGGCGTACCAGATGGAGCAGATGGAGCAGCAGGCGCTCAAGGGCGCCGTGCAGGACCTGGGGATGGGGTACGGCGGCGCGAACGACCCGTTCCGCTCGCTCGCGGACGAGAAGATCCGGTTCAAGCCGCACCGGTCGGCGGACCCGGCGTTCCAGGCGCTGCTCAAGGCGCAGGAGGGCGGCCCGCTGACGCTGGCCAACTTCTCGCGCGTGACGCAGCTGGGCGCGGGCGACGTGGGGCTGGTGGAGCTCGTGCAGCTCAAGGGGACGGACCAGCTGTTCGCGATGAAGACGCTGTCCAAGTCGGAGATGATTGAGCGCAACAAGGTGGCGCGCGTGATGACGGAGGCGCGCATCCTGGGGCAGGTCGACCACCCCTTCCTGGCCAACCTGTACCACACGATGCAGACCGACACGCACCTGCACTTCATCATGGAGGTGTGCGACGGCGGCGAGCTCTACGCGCTGCTCAACGCGCAGCCCTCGAAGCGCCTCCAGGAGAAGCACGTGCGCTTCTACGGCTCGGAGGTGCTCATAGCGCTGCAGTACCTGCACCTCCTCGGCCACATCTACCGCGACCTGAAGCCCGAGAACATCCTCGTGCACGGGTCGGGCCACGTCATGCTCACCGACTTCGACCTGTCCTACTCCAAGGGCGTGTGCGAGCCCCGCATCGTCAAGGTCGGCGGGTCGCGCGCCAAGAAGGGCGCCGCGCTCCCCAACTACTTCCTCGTCGCGGAGCCCTACGCCAAGGCCAACTCGTTCGTCGGCACGGAGGAGTACCTCCCGCCAGAGATCATCGCGGGCACGGGCCACAGCGCGACCGCGGACTGGTGGTCGTACGGCATCCTCCTCTACGAGCTCCTCTACGGCTTCACGCCCTTCCGCGGCGCCCGGCGCGACGACACCTTCGAGAACATCCTCAAGCGGCCCCTGGTCTTCCCCGCCAAGCCCGTCGTCTCCAAGGAGTGCCAGAGCCTCATCCAGGCGCTCCTGCAGCGGGACCCCTCCAAACGGCTCGGCGCCAAGCGCGGCGCGGACGAGATCAAGGCGCACGAGTGGTTCCGCGGCATCAACTGGGGGCTCCTCCGGCAGGACCCCCCGCCCTTCATCCCACGATCCAAGCAGGCCCCGCAGCCCGCCGAACAGTTCAAGGAGTACTAGGCCGGAAACAACAGCAGCCCCCGCCGAACGCCACGCGCGTGCGCCGCGCCACGTTGCCGTGCCCGCGTGAGATGAGACCCACACGGGCAGGGGGGCGCGCCGAACGCTGCCGTATTTCGCCGGCCAACATAGGTCCGCCGTCACCCTCACCCATCAGCCGTTTCGACACAACCCCGCGCGGCGAAGCGTGTAAGAACTATCAGCATGACGCGGCGTGTCATGTATGATCCCTTTTCGCATGACAGGCCACGCGCGGGGGACGGCGATGACGAGGAGAGCTGAGTAGCCGTCGGCGCGTCGCCACACAACGCGGACAATGCCGCAGACTCAGTCACCGCTGTCACCCAGCCGGCTGCCGACACCCCCTGGTACAAGCAGCCTAGGACGTGGACCAGCACTTCGGCGCGTCGGCTGGCGGGCGTCGTCCAGTACTCGCGCGGCTCGCCGCGTTGTTGCTGACGACGCCCGCCACTCACTCTAACTGATTGCAGGTCAGAGCCTTCCCTTGGCACATGATGGCACGCTCACATGGCATTTCGCGCGAGTACTCCTAGCACGCTGCCGCCTTGATCAGGACGATAGCACACCCGCATTTCGTTTCGTGCGCGGGTGGTCAATTACTACTCTGTGTGTCGTGTTGTGCTGCGCCGGGCCTCGAACATGGGGCTTTGGCGCAGTGCCAGCTGAGAGCTACCTCCCTACTCCGGCCTTCAACCGTCGGCGTAGACGAGCCTGCCTCCGGCTAACTGACTCCGCCGTCTCACGTCCGTGGCTCACCGCCCGGCGTGCTAGGAACGCGCAACTTAGGTAGAGCTCTCCCCGTCATCGTCGCCCTCCCGTCGTGGCTTGATTACTGCATCCTCGGTCTAGTTCCGCACACCACCCTCTTTTCACCCCCAAAACCTCTCACCATGCGCACTCCAATCGGTCGCCGACGGAGGAAACGGCTCCAAGCAGCGTTGCGTCTCAGCGACCAGGCCGGCACCGCCGAGGCGCGCACGCTGCGTGGCCACCTTTCGAATGGCACCCTGTTCCACCATGTCGCAAATCTAAATGACCACGACCCGAACTTTCGACCCAGCATCACGCACGCACGCCGCATCGCGGCCGCTATTGCTCCGCAGGCATCTCCCCGTGCCTGGCCCCCTCCTAGCCCCCACCACACACCCTCCCACCCCGCCTCCGCACTAGCCCCTCGACCCTACTGGGACTACGTGCCCCGCGACGAACGGGCGCCCGCATACCCGCACCCGTGCCCCCCACCGAGCGCTCCTTTCCCACCGCCCCCGCCGGCGCTCTCGGACCTCGCCGCGCTACCATCGGTCACGGCAAACCCCCCGCTTGCGGCGCGCGGGGTTGTCTATGTCCTCTTGTGCCGGAAATACCCCTTCTTTTACTATGTCGGGGAGACATACCGCACAGCGATCGAACGACTGCAGGAGCACTTTGATGCAGCATTCACGCACCATCCGAACGCCGTGCACACCCCGCTTTACGAGTTTATGCGACGAGTGTGGGCGCAGTCGCCGAACGGCCATGTCCCGTGGCGCGACTTCACCATCGTGCCCCTCTTTCGCATCAATTTCGCACGCCAGGTGCCCATCCCGCCGGCGACTAGCCCGGACGCTTTGAAGGCCTGGTTCCACAAGTTCCGCACCTACTCCCTGGCCTGGGAGCAGACCATGATACGCTGTCTGGGCTCCACATACCCCGGCGGCCTCAATTACTGCAAGGGCATGTGGAATTTCGGCTACGGAGCTGGCCACTCTGATGCTGCCCCATGGCCTCTATCCCCCCTGGCGTTCCAAATCGCCGCTGACCCCCACCCCGTAGCGATCCCCCACAACGACTTCCCCGTCCCGCCCGGCCCGAGTGGGCTCCCAGCGCTGGCGACCCTCTTCCAGCCAACGTTTGCCATCTCCTCCACGCATCAACGTACCATCCACCTCGACGCTGACAACTGCCTCACAACTACGGCACCAGCGTTGTCCCTGCCCCCCGCTATCGCAGGCATGTCTCCGCGCCTCGGTACACGCGAGTATATCTACCAGACTCGCCTCCTTCTTGACGTTGTTTTGTTCCGCCGCGCCGGCGACACAGAGCACGATCATTGGAGACGCGCGGTGAACCATTGCACGGCAGCGAACATCGGAAAATACCTCTTCTCCCTCCATCACTGCGTGTCGCACATGCATCCCGATGCGCTTAACCTGGGTCTCGACGAGCCCTTTTACACACAGCAGATGTTGGACAGTGCCCGCACCGTTTTGCAGGCCGCCATCAACCACCACTACCCTCCCGTCGCAGACATCGACCTCGGGAGCCGTACCCTCATGATCCACGACTTCCCTACCCCCCTGGCTAGCCTCGCCCCCCTCGAAACCCTCGTCAATAATGATGACTTTCTCAACCTCTTACCTGAGCGTATCCGCGAAGGTATGGATGGCTTGTTTCTGGTGGCCCCGCGCTATTCGGTCAGGTTTCCACCGCTGTCGCGCTCGGTGTGCACGCACAGCGGAGTTGCCAAGTTTGCACGCAGTCGCCTGTACGACATCATGGCGACGCAGTGCGACTGTGCGCAACACCAAGGACCGGACCTACGACGCCACTTCACGCTCGAGGACCCCTACTGGCAGATCGACGGCGAGCCTGTGCGGCACCTCTGCACGCTGGACCCTGCTGCGGCGGGCATCCAGAGCACCGCGTACCGCCGTTTGTTCGCCGTCGGCGGTGCCAAGCACCGACACGTCCCGGAGCTGCACCAAGCCACGAGCGCGACCGTAGCTAGCATCGTTGAAGCCTACCAGAAGCCGCTGCTCGGGTGGACGAAACGCGTCAGCAAGGCCGCCGACATGGACGCGGCAGCGTGCATGCCGTACATTGATGCTATACTTGCTGCTACGCAAACGGCACTCCAACCCGCTCTTCAACCCGGGTTCCGCCTTCCATGTCCCCCGCCGCTGGCGGACATTCAGCCCGACGATCGCGTGGCTCTGCGGCGAGACGCGACACGCCTCACCATCACGACCATGGACAAGAACGCCGGGAATTTGGTTTTCGTGTGTCGGCGCGCCTACATCGAGGTCCTCCTGCACGACCTGCACAGCAACGACGCTTTCGCTGTCAACGAGCCGGCAAATGCCAACATCACGCATGCCAGGCACGTGGTGAACGTCGCTAACACGACGGAGGCTATGTTGGACAACCTGCAGCTACCAGGAATACGCACCGAACGCGAGTGCGGTGGTCTACCGCACTACTACGGGACGATGAAGCTTCACAAGGCCAAGGTGGACGTGCGGTACATCTCGGACTGCTCGAGCGACATCACGCGCCCCGCAGCGCAGCTGCTGACGAAGGCCCTCGGCGCGCTCATGTGCCACGCCACCCTCGTGGAGGTCTGGAGCTCCATCTTCGACGGCGTCCCGGAGGACCTCTGCAGCAGCTTCGCGCCCTTCTTGGTGGACTCCAGCCGCGGCATGCGTGACATGGTGACCGCGTATCTACATGACAACCCACCACGCTCAGCGATACATGCTCAACAACCACCTCTGCTGCTGGGCGCCGACATCAAGCGGCTCTACACGCACATCCGGCACGAGACGAGCGCGGACCACGGGACCGGCCTCATCGACTGCGTCATCGAACACATCGACGCTGTTTTTGCACTGCATCCAGGGCAACACCTCCTGATCGACTTGCAACCCGCGTTTGACGCGAGGGAGACGTGGTGGTGGGTGGCGCAGCTGCCGGACGCGGACGGCATGGTTGGGAAATGGGCACCGAGCATCGAGCAACTTCATGGTCTCGTGCACATCCTCGTCAAACGCGCCTACGTGGTGTTCGGGGGCGTCGTATATCACCAGACCTGCGGTGTGCCCATGGGGCTCTCGGCCTCCCCCCACCTCGCGAACTGCTACATGTTCCGGCATGAGCTCGCGTTCCTCTGCCAGTTTCGCGACCGCTGGTTGAGCACTGGCGACGTCGCTTGGCTGAAGGTCTTGGGGTCTTTCCGTTATTCCAGGCGCTACATCGACGACAATTTCACTCTCGCGAACGCACTGTACCGCTACTTCAACACCCACCCCCGCCCCCCCACCCCGCCCCCCGAAACCCCGTCGTCGATCGTAGATCTCATCTCTGGTATACATAACATGTACCCCCCCTGTCTTGAGGTCGAATTTGACGCCCCAGCGAACCCGCTCGACGGTGTCTCCTTCCTAGACCTCCGCGTGCGTCCGCATCCCGAATATCAGGGCTTCCTCCTGATCTCGCACTATGACAAACGCGGTCTGTTTCCTGAGAACATTCACCTCATACAGTACCCCCACGCTTCGTGTGCGCTGCTGCGACGACACCTTTACAACATCGTCCGCACCGAACACATCCGCGTGTCCAGCGAGGTGACTGACCGCGACAGCTACGTAGCCAAGATGTCGGCCATGATGCGCTACATGCGTACGCATCGAGGTTACTGCATGCGACAGGTCCTGGCGATCCACCGCGCCGCCTGCCGGACGCACCCGAGCCCGCATTTTGGCCCTGCCACGCCGGCGGGCCTGGCTGACCTCGTGCGTCGCCACGTGCAGTTTGCAGACCATACTGGCCAACCTGCTGACAGGGCGTGCCCGGCGCCCTGCAACTCGTCACCCTCATACATGATCCCGGCGCTGCGAAGCTGGCTCGGAACTATCCAGCCATGCCCGCACACATGACGCACTCTGTTACCCCCCCGATGTTGACATGTTGGCCATGCGCGTATTCCGTGGCCGCTAGACCGAGGTATGATCCCTTTTCGCATGACAGGCCACGCGCGGGGGACGGCGATGACGAGGAGAGCTGAGTAGCCGTCGGCGCGTCGCCACACAACGCGGACAATGCCGCAGACTCAGTCACCGCTGTCACCCAGCCGGCTGCCGACACCCCCTGGTACAAGCAGCCTAGGACGTGGACCAGCACTTCGGCGCGTCGGCTGGCGGGCGTCGTCCAGTACTCGCGCGGCTCGCCGCGTTGTTGCTGACGACGCCCGCCACTCACTCTAACTGATTGCAGGTCAGAGCCTTCCCTTGGCACATGATGGCACGCTCACATGGCATTTCGCGCGAGTACTCCTAGCACGCTGCCGCCTTGATCAGGACGATAGCACACCCGCATTTCGTTTCGTGCGCGGGTGGTCAATTACTACTCTGTGTCAATTACTACTTTGTGTCATGGAGGCGAAGCTTGTCGCATCGACCTAGGAAAGGGGTGGCCGAGAGCAACGACGCGGTGGAGTACCCGCACGCAGTACCTTCATGCACGTTGCCGCCTTGATCAGGACGATGGTACTGCTTTGGATGAGCAAGCTGCAGCGGCACATGTCGGGGTCCCAGCGAACCTGCGCACTGAGATCGCCTGGCCCTGGGCCGCCGCACGCCGCATCCGCCACGGCCCGCCCCTCGCACGAGGGACTGCGGCAGTTCCTCGCCTTGGACAGACCACGTCACGAAGGCGGTCGGCCGACCGGGGCGCAACATGCGCAGGCGGTCGGCCGGCGACGCCGTGTTGTCAGTGCCAGTCGGGGTGCGATAGGGACTTTTTTCGCGCCTCCGCAGCTGACGGCGGTGGAGCCATTGGCTGGTGACGCTGCAGGGGCTGGGCCTCGCTGCAGTGCTGGTGCTGCCGCGCCATCAACGGGAACGCTCAGACAGGGTCTGCTGAATGCTCACATTTGAGACGCCTCACCTCTGCTGCCCGGGCAGCCAATGGGCCTGCTCTATTCGTGATGGCTTGCCAGCAGCGTCAGAGGTGCAAGGACGCTCGCTTTGCTCGTGTCGCAGATCGCCCCGTTGGCCAGCATCTCGTCCAGGATCATGTGCACCTGCGTGAGAAAGACATGTCGTGGGCACACTCTCAGATGCCTTGTTGTCATCGTCGTCGTCAATGGTGGTTGTTGCGTCGACCTGGCGCGCAAGCCCAGCAGCGCACGGACGAGGTGCGTACCGAGCTGAGGTAGAACATGATATCGAGTTCGCAGACGTTGCGGAAGAACTTGTCCAGTGCCTCGACCAGGGCATGTGCAAACTCCATCACCACCAGCTCGTTCTGCGCGGCGTCGTGGCAGACCGAGCCATGCGGTTCGGAACGTCGTCGAACAGCAGCCTGGCAGCGCCGAATCGCCTGCCTCGGAGGCGCTTTGGAGCCGGGGCAGGGCGGACAGCATGGGCTCACCTCGTCCGCATCGACCCCCATGAGGAAAAACAGCGACGCGTATCGGCGGTACACGACCTTCATTCCACGGTGGTCGATGACGTTGCTCTGCTGCTCGCCTCTCGCCAGGCATTTCCGCACGATTTCTCCCTCGAGCGTGCGCTTCTCCTCCGTCGTCATGCTCGTGTCCGTGTACCTGCGAGAGCAGGTTGTCTCGGCGCTGCTTCGATCAGACCAGGCGTGTCGATCCCCGCAGCGGCGAACGGCAAGCTGAGGCGACGGAGCGAGGTAGGAAACGGGCGTTCCGTCTCACGGTGTGCTCAGAGGTCGTCGCGCGAGCCCCACAGAACGTCGTCTGGGACCACATCGACCGAGAGGCGTCGCTGGCGAACAGGAGCGCGCGATGCGTGCCACGTCAGAGGCAGCGGGCCGGGCGCGCGGCCTCGTCTCCGGCGCGAGACAACGACCCGCGAAAACCCGTGCGCACCTCGCCAACCGCGTCTGTCCTTGCTTGTTCACCATGAGCACGAACTTGACCGTCATGGTGGCCCTTCCAACGCCCTCCCCGGGGAGCCGTCCGCCGGGCACGGACCGGGCCAGCAGCAGAGAGTCGCGCCCCCGTCCCGTGTGACGCCGGGAGGGCCGAACAGAGCGACTCCGGGGCGCTGCGGAGCGCTGGCACCAAGGGCACCCGCCCTCGCAGCCGGGGACGCTTGCCAAGGGCTTGCACCGCGCGGACACGGGGCCACCAGTTGTGCGCGGCAGTGGCCAGTCACAGCCCCGCGTGCTGCGCTCGAGAAGCGCCGCAGCCGAAGTGACGCCCCGCGTGTGAGCGCCGCATGGCGGCCCGCGCGGGCCCATGTCGCGCGTGCGCCCGCCCCCGGGCTTCCGCGGCCCTGCGGAGATCTCCAATGCTGAGTCGCACTGCTGCGTCACAACGCCGGGGGCGGCGCCCACAAGGCACGCGAGGCGCCTCGACGGCCGTTACTCGTGGGGGAATAGCGTAAGAGGTGGCCGAGACATCGCTCGCTGCTTTGAACGTGGCCTGCCCGACCGCGCCGGCGACCGAAACATGAGGAGCGCAGTGGTCGCGCGGCCATGCGCCGCACGTCCTCGTGCCGGCCAGGTCTCCACGCCCGCGCGTCAAGGTACGATTCCCGCGCAAACGCGCCCATTTGCGAACGCGCCAGACCGCTGCGCGAGGTCGACCGGGCCGCTCTGACGAGGGCTCGCGACTCCGAACGCGCCGTGTGCTGACGCCGTGATGACGCGACGCGCGCGAGACAAATAGTCTACCGGCACTGACACGTTATTGTGCGACCAAGAGCGGCCCCATGCCCCCTTGGAGCTCCCCGATCGACCGCCTTTGTCCAGCGTGGACACAACGCACCACCGCGCGTCACTGCTCTGGATTTTCGCATCTGTGGATTGCCACCTCGATCGTCAGATGCTCGTGAGCGTCCCCGAGCGCGCTGGACCCGACGCCTCGCTCGGGGGCGCCGCGCACCCGCGGGGCCATGAGCAGCCCAAGAACTTTTGCTGCCGGCGCCCCCCGCGCTCCTTGCGGGCGGGACGCGCCGCTCGGCCTATGCACCAGCGAGTGACGTGTGCGATCGCCCCGCATCGAGGGCGTTCCCGGCCCTGATCGCCCGCTTCTCCGCCCCCCTGGTGCAGTCTGTGCCCAGGCGCAGCGACCGCGCGGCACGTCGCGCGCGGTGCGCAACCGCTCCCAGAGCCCGAACCGGAAAGAAGGCGTCACCTCTAGCCAGGTCGTGGAGGCGCCCACGTCGTCCCGGATGCACTCCCTGCGCGAGCGGCTCCGGGAGGTGCAGGAGGACCTCTCCAAGGAGATCGAGGAGCGGCGCACGCTGCAGGCGAACCTCCTCAAGCGCATGGAGGTGCGCGCCCGCGCAGATCTGCCCCGCCTGCGCCGGCCGCGGGCGGCGCGGCGCCCGGCGCTCGTTCGCGGCCCGGCGATGCGCGGAAAGCGTCCCGGTGCCGGGCCCGGGGTGTCCTCGGCTGCGGGGGCGCGGCCGGGCCCCGCGCGCGCGCCCGCGTGCGAAGCGACGATCCTCACTCCGCTGTGCGCTGCAGGCTGCCGGCGTGAACGCCAGGCCGTCCGCGACGCGCGCGCGCCAGCCGGTCGTGCCACCACCGCCCCGGCCAGAGCCGACGACCACCCGCCCCGGGGACGGGGAGAGCATGCAGCGGCCGAGCGACATCATGCGCGCGACGAAGGAACTGCTGAACTCCGAGACGGTCACGTCCGTGCTGGGCGCGGCCGCCCGGAAGCCCTCCAAGGCGCCCCCCGGCCGGGCCGGCATGCGCGTGCGCCTCGCCCCCGCGCGGCCGACGAAGGCGCCCGAGAAGACGGGCGACGCCGCGATCACCGCGTTCAAGGCGATCTCGATCTCCAAGGCGCCGCCGAAGGCACCGCGCTCGCCGCCGCCCGCCCCCCGGCCGACGCCCAAGGAGAGGATAACGCCCGAGGCCTTCCTCGAGCCGCTCCCGGACCTCACGGAGCGCAAGGAGAAGAAGGACAGGGAGCCGAAGAAGGAGCCCAAGGACGACCCGCCGCCGGAGCCCGAGCCCGCGCCCAGGCCCGCGCCGAAGAACGTCGTCGCGCCGGTCGAGCGCAAGAAGCCCGCCGCGACGCTCACGTTCCAGCCCGCGCCGCCCGCGCCGCCCCCGCCGCCCAAGGTGGTCGAGCCCGTCGTGGTCGAGCCCGCGCAGGTGCGACGCCGCCGCCGCCGCGCCCGCCCCGCACGCACCCGCACGCGCCGCGCGCTGACCGCCGACCTCGCCCGTCCGCAGGTGGAGCCCGCGCCGCCCCCGCCCCCGCCGCCGCCGGTTGCGCGCGAGGTGCTCAACCTGGTGTTCGTGGGGTCGGAGTGCGCGCCGTGGAGCAAGACGGGCGGCCTGGGCGACGTGATGGGCGCGCTGCCCAAGGCGATGGCCCGGCGCGGGCACCGCGTGATGGTGGTGGTCCCCAAGTATGACTCGGACAAGTACCAGGGCCTCAAGTACACGGGCGTCAACCACACCTACCGCGTCTTCAACAACCAGCACACGGTGCGCCGCCCGCACGCAGGGTCACGCCCGCCCGCCCGCCGCCGCTCGTGCGCCCCGCTGACGGTTCACCCCCCCCTGCTGCAGGTGGGGTACCACACACTGCACAAGGACGGCGTGGACTACGTGTTCGTGGACCACTACGCGTACCAGGGGCTGGGCAACAACATCTACCAGGGGTCGCGGGAGGACCTGCAGTTCCGCTGCGCGCTGATGGTCAAGGCCGCGCTCGAGGCGCCGTGGCACGTGCCGCTGGGGCCCGACATGCGCACCTACGGGGAGGAGAACCTCGTCTACGTGGCCAACGACTGGCACACGGGCCTCCTGCCCTTCTACCTCCAGGTGCGCGCGCAGATCGCCGCCCGGGCCCCGCCGACGCCCGCACGCGCCCCCCCCCTTGGCACGACCTCAACCGCGCGCTCGGGCCGTCCCTGCAGGCGCACTACCGCGACCACGGCAAGCTGCAAGGCGCGCGGTCGATGTTCGTCATCCACAACATCGCGCACCAGGGGCGCGGCCCGATGGCGGACTTGGAGCGGCTGGACACCCCCGAGCACTACAACCACGTGTTCTGCCTGTACGCCGCCCCGCCGCCGCGCATGCGCCGCCCGCGACGTACGCCCCCTCCTGGCCGTCGCCTCACGTCTGTCTCCGCCCGCCGCGCGCAGGGACGACCCGATCGGCGGCATCCACATGAACATCATGAAGGCGGGGCTGGAGTTCTCCAACCAGGTGGTGGCGGTGAGCGGCGGGTACGCGTGGGAGATCCAGACGCAGGAGGGCGGCTGGGGGCTGGACAGCATCCTCCGGAACCAGCAGCACAAGCTCAGCGGGATCGTCAACGGTGAGTCGCGCGTCTGCACTACCCCTGCGAGCGTCCGGGGCGTGCGCGGGCCCTGACGCGGTGTGCCGCGCGTGGTTCCCGCAGGTATTGACCAGATGGAGTGGTCCCCTGAGAACGACGTGCACCTGGACGGCGACGGCTACACGCGCTACTCGTTCGACACGCTGGAGACGGGCAAGGCCAAGTGCAAGGCGGCGCTGCAGCGGCAGATGGGGCTGCCGGTCGACCCGAACGCGCCGCTCCTGGGCTTCATCGGCCGCCTGGACTACCAGAAGGGCGTCGACCTCATCCGCGACAACTACGACTGGATCATGAGCCAGGTGAGCGACGCACACTGCACACGCGCCGAGCGCCCTCTCCAGCGCCGCGCTCTGCGCAGGGCGGCCCAGCGTCCACCCACCGCGCACGCGCTCCCCCGTCGCGCGGTGCAGGGCTGTCAGCTGATCATGCTGGGCAGCGGCCGGGAGGACCTCGAGCAGGACCTGCGCAACATGGAGGAGCGCAACAAGAACCAGTGCCGCGCGTGGGTCGGGTTCTCGGTCGAGATGGCGCACCGCATCACCGCGGGCTGCGACATCCTGCTCATGCCCTCGCGCTTCGAGCCGTGCGGCCTCAACCAGCTGTACGCCATGAGGTGAGACTCCACCGCCCCCGTCGCCCGCCGCGCGACGCGCTGCCCGGTGCTGCGAGCGGCCGTCTGACTACGCCGGCTCCCGCGCGCCGCAGGTACGGCACGGTCCCGCTGGTGCACGCCGTGGGCGGCCTCCGCGACACGGTGGAGCCGTTTAACCCGTTCGAGAACAAGGGCACGGGGTGGGCGTTCGAGCGCGCGGAGACGGAGCCGTTCAAGACCGCGATGGACCACGCGCTCGTCACGTACCGGGAGTACCGGGACTCGTTCTGGGGCATCCAGAAGCGCGGCATGCAGCAGGACCTGTCCTGGGACAACGCCGCGGAGCAGTACGAGGACACGCTCATCAAGTGCAAGTACTCCTGAGACCCTTGGACGGCGGCCGGCACGTGTCCGTGCAGCCCAGACGAACGAGTTGATTCTATATAGCCTTCATTCCATTCTGGGCTAGAAACCGCCGCATAGCGCTCTTTTCATTCGCAGCCGCTGCATTTTTGTCATCGAACCCAGTCACTGCGAGCGGTCTGTGAGTATGCTGAACACGAGGCCTTGCGCCCGTCGGGCGCACTGCGCCGCAGGATCTGGCAGATCCTAGACACTACAGCCCATGGCACCCACCCCGGCCTTGATCGGTTCAGGTGGCAGTGCCCGCCAACCACAAGCGCTTGCTTTCATCCCTCGTCGGGCCAAATGGAAGGTCGGCATCGCCACCGTAATGCCGTTTCGCGGACCTCCTACTTGTTGATGTCTGCAACAGATTTGTGGCGTAATGTGTTCGTGTGCGCTGCGCGCGACCGCCTGCTTGTCTCGCGGATCAGGTGCCTGGGAGTACAGCGCGTGGCGACCGAGTTGCGTGCAGCTCACCTTGCTGGAGGAACTGGATGATGTCGTAAGCCTTGGTGCGCCAGTTGTCATAGCTGTCCTTGACAGTCGCGAGCATGTGGTCGGCGGCCTCCCTGTCGGTGAGCTCGAGCTTGAAGCGGCGCATGAGGTTGGGCAGCGGCTTCCCGTACCCGAAGCAGGGCAGGCCCGAGTGCTCCATGAGGCCCACCACCGACATGATCTCGCGCGCCAGGGAGCGCGCGACGAGGAACCCCTTGATGACCAGCTCCTGGAACTGCAGGAACTCGGGTGACTTCATCTTGCCTCCCGGGTCGATCAGCTGCGTCATCTCGTGCGAGAGCTTGAAGTCCGCGCTCTCAAACCTCATGTTGCCGCCCGGAGAGATCTCGAGGATGAAACCGAAGTCGATGTGGATCAGGTTGCCGTCCTTGTCGATCAGGATGTTGCCGTTGTGGCGGTCCTTCGACTGCAGGTGGGGGGAGAACAAGCCGCCGAAGATGTGAGCAAGCAGCGCATTTGAGTGCCTCAGTGCAGCGAAGATGTCGCGACGGGCTTGCCTGAAGGAGGTACGACGCGACGGCGTATCCGGCCGACGAGCGAATGAAGTTCATCCTGGCCTGCTCGAAGCGCGGCGAGTGCGGGCTGCCAAACTCACGACGGAAGATGTCCAGCAGGCCGCCATCCGAGGTGTTGCCCAGCGCGTCTCGAGACTTCGTGTTCGGCACAACCTCGATGATGCCACGCTCGTACCCGGTGGGGATGCATCCATACGGGAAAAGGCTGAGGTGCAGACCGGCGCGCGTGAAGGCATCCTGCACACAGGTCGAACAGAACATCGTTCGAAGCGGGCGCTGGCGAAGACGACGTGCCGCCCGCTGTCGTCGCTGCACGCGCGAGCCCGCGCTGCACGCGCCCCTCACCTTGAGCAGATGGATGACCTGCAGGGCCAGCACGTCCTGCCGCACATCGTCCCCGACCTTGAAGATGTACGAGACCACGGACGTCGCATCCTGGCGTGCCATCGTCGAAGACCGGATGCGCGTGAGCTTGCGGCGATGCGTCGACCGCTGTGTCACCGCATGATCCTGCAAAGGATAAGGCAGCTCCCTGATTTGTTGAGCACACCGTCCGTGCAAGAGAAGTACAACGGCAGGTTCGCTGACCTTCGGCTCCGCATCGCCACGTACCTCCTGCTCATCTTGCTTCATCTCGCGCGCTTCGAAGGCCACGAGAATGGGGAACTTGGCCGCACTCTGCATGGGGCAGCCACTCTCAGGGATGCCGCGGACGACCCTGTGGTACGTGTACGTCGGCAAGTACACCTGGCCCCTGTCCAGACGCTCCTGCTGGCCGACGTTGACCTCCTCGATCATGTCCGCGATCGCCGCCCTGCGAGAAGGGACATGACGCGCCGGGGTGAGCCTTTCCCAAGTTCCAGGCGGCACGCCGGACAGTCGCGCGTCCGCAGCTCCAACCTCACCTCCTGTTCTCCGCCGGAATCGGCTTCATCTTCCCGGAGATGTCGGTGATGGCGTCGAAGTACTCGAACTCGTCGTCCATCAAGTCCTTCTGCTTCTTCGGGAGACCCGCGATGATGATCTCCCGCATCTCGTCGCAAACGTCCCACAGCCCCGTGTCCTCGGGCGGCTCCCAGCCCGACCGCTTGATCTCGGGGTTGAACGCCTCCTCCGGCGGGCGCCCCTCGCTTTGCAGCGTCCAGATGAGACGGTGGCAGAAGCGCGACGAGGCCTTGGCGGTCTCGAGGAGGAACAGGTGCACCGGGGCCTGCGGAAGCGCGGCAACGAGCGGCGCCAACATCAGGCGCGCGAGACGAACGGGCGCTTCCAACGTCGCCAGCGGGACAGAGCACAACTCCACCGCACCTGGTCCGGGCCGCTGTCGGACGTGCGCTCGTAGCGCAGACTCTGGACAAGCTGCGGCATGTAGAATACGACGGAGTCCGGGTTGGATGACTGGAGGGAGCGGCACACGTACTGCCTGACGTTGAGCGTCTCCCCGGCGAGGTTCATCAGCTGCATGCTCTCCTCGGGGGTTGCGGGGGCCATGGAGGCGAGCAGCTGCGCCATCATGTTCTTGTCGACAGAGTGCTCGTCTGCGTTCTGGTACAGCAGCACGGCGGCGGTGGGCAGGTGCTGCACGACGCCCATGTTGCCCGACCGCAGCGTCCGCTCCAGGATCTTCAGCACGGGGGCCTCCAGCGGGCGCGTCGACGGCTTCGACGCGAGCGCCACCGCCAGGTTCGGACTGACCGCCCACGCCGTCTCCGCCATGGTCCGGAGCTCCTTCGACGAGAGCTTCCCGAGTGCGACGCGCACACCAATGCCACGGCTCAAGTTCAGGACCGCGCCGTGGTCCTTCACCTTCGACGCAAGCGACTGCGGATCGGGACACAAGGCGCCGCGGGAGCGTCAGCCCGGGCTCCCTGTCGGTCAGGTGCGTGCGGCGAAGGCACGTCATGTTGCGCATGTGGGGCAGCGCTTGTGCGCAGTCGATCTTGCCTGCAGCGGGTCGGCCCACACACGCAGACGATCCGCCTCGACCTGGAGGAGGATGGTGAACAGGTCGCGGTTCTTCTGGATCGTCGCGAGCGTCTTCGCGCTTACGTCGACAGGTCCGGACGCATCCTTGGGTAGATAGTCGGGCAGGGTGGCCAGCGCATCTGCGAGCTGCAGGGCCACCATCGACTGCGCGAACGCCTCGGCCTTGCTCCACACGCCACACCACGACGTCGGCTCAGAAAAGGTCAGCAGCCCAGTCCTCAGAATCTGCATGTGCAACCCCCAGGCAAGAAAGAAGCTTCAGCTTCAGCCATCGGCCGCCCGGCGACGACGTGACCGTGCATTCGCGCAGTCGTGAGCGAGCAGCACGCACCTTGGCGGTGGCCATGACGAGGGGGGCCCGTTCCGACGGCGCGTCGTTGTTGGCGTAAAACAGCTTGCCCTTCACCGTCTCGACGGCAAGGTACAGGAACTGGAACCGCGCCACCTGTGCTGCGGGCGGTCGGGCCTCAAAGTCCTCCGTGCCAACTTGCATCACCGTCATCACGTCCCTGCGTCGCGCCATGATGCCAGGAGGTGTTGTTGGTTCAAGCGCGGTAAAAATGTGCCCGGTTCTGAAGACCGCGGTCTCGATTTCAGTGCCTACCTGAGGAGAATGTCAAGGTACGCGCGCGCGTCGGGGCTGGGCGAGCGGTAGCGCGCGTTGAGGTGCTCCAGCAGGAAGGACAGCACCGCCTGCTGCCCGCGCACTTCCTGCGTGCTCTCCTCCGGGTCGCCGGCGCCGAGCGAGAAGATCCCGACGTGGTGCTTCTGCATCCACACCAGGCTCCCAGAGACTTCGGACAGGATCATGAGGGACAGGCTGTCGGTCTGACTGGACGCCACCGCCCAGTGCCAGGCCATGGAGGCCAGCCGGATGGTGTCCACGTCGCCGCTTCGGATCGGCTCCATCACGAGCGACTCGATCTGCACGCACCGCGGAGGGAGCATTGACGGGCGCGTCAGTCCTCTGTGAAGTGCGCAGCTGCCGTGGGCCGTGCAGTGCACCTCGCCGCAGGGAACGATGGTGGTGAGGTGCACACCATCTTCTTGAAGGTGCTCAGACCGGTGCTGATCGTGCGAGCGGACGCCGACAGCTCCGCGAGCAGTGCTGCAGCGAGCATCGTGTTGTCGCGCAGCTTCGCCAGGGCGTCTTGGCGTGCTCGCAGGCGCGCTGCGGGCGTCTGCGGGCTCTTGCTGATGTCGAGGAGCGCGAGCGACTTCTTGCCCAGGTCACGCATCTCCGCAGCGAGCTTCGTCATGAGCTGGTCGTATGCGCCCTGATTGCCCTCTCCTGCTTTGACCAGAGCGAGCATGCCCTGCAGGACACAAGGGACGTGTCTGTCGTTTCGGACCCTGGGCTGGACACGTGTGCGACAGCGACCGTCCTGCATGCGGCCTGGCACGCTGACCTGCATCCTGCCCACGTAGGCCGACTTCAGGTTGAGCGCCGCGACGGAGTTGGCCAGCGCGGTGTCCTCGGCGTAGTACTCGCGGGAGCCGGGATCCAGGGACGCCGCGACGGCCTTGGCGCGCGAGCAGGACCCGAGCACCTCCGTCACGTGCTTCATGCGCTCAGGGTGCGACATGAGCAGCGCGCCAGAGCGCTGCTGCACGCGGAGGAGGATGTGCTGGATGGCAGACTCCATGACGGACGGAGAGAACCTGCGAGGGCGCTCGGATCGACGCACCGGTCATGTACGTGGACAAACCGAGCGTGTGCGCAACGGCCATGGCGTACGGTGGCCGGCCGCTCACCTCGCCGACCGGTCGACCCACTTTCGGAGCCACTCCAGCGACATCTGTGCGATGTGGTTCTCGGGCTCCACGGCGACGTCGGTGTCCCCCTCGGTGTACTCCAGGCCGAGGTTGGCAAGGATGCCCCGCAGACAGGTCTTGCTGTAGAGGGCGCTGGGGTACGCTCTCAGGGCCTGCGACAGGCACTCGTCCGCGAGCAGCTGCGACGGACACGTCGCGCTGGACACGACACCTGCAGAGGACACCACCGTTCGGAGAGCGAGCGGCGTGAGAGCGACGCCACGGGCAGTCGGGGGCATCTGCGTCCTGGTTGCGCGGTCAAGTCCTCCGACGCACCTGCGCGCATGGCACTCCCAAAGATGCTTGCGGCGTACGTCGTGCCGTCGTCCTCGCCCTCCTGCGGGGCCACGAGGTTGCGGACCAGCACGAGGACCGCGCTCTCCACGCGGTTCCACTTGGCGGCGGGAATGACGCCGCCCGGCGTCTCGACGGCCGGGTGCATGCCCTCCACGCGCTTGAGCCACACCGGGAAGCTGCGCTCGCCGAGCTTGGCGACGACCGGCGTGTCCAGGTGGCCCGCGCCCTGGAAGTACGCGAATATCGCGTGCACCGACTCGAAACCGCCCGCGCAGAGAGGGGCGTGCTTGGTGCGGCAGGTCTCCAGGTGGACCTGCACGTGGCGCGGGAGCACCGGCCCGTGAGGGGGCGCGCGCGGCCGCGAGGGAGGGGCACGTTGCAGGGGTGGGTCGCGGCGCGCACCATGATCAAGATGTGGGCGAGGGTGCCCGCGTGCAGCCCCAGAGCCTTGAAGGCGACCTTGCGCACACCCAGCGTCTGGGCCATGTGCGTCGCCAGGTGGGCGGCCAGCTGGTAGCTCTGAGCGTCATTGACCATCGTCAGGTGCTCGATGCGTTCCTGCAGCGACACGTCAGCAGCGCGGGGCGTGCCTCAGCACGTCGCCATACCGATTGAACTCCTCAGCGGCCGGAGCGAGGATCGACGGGCGGCCGTCGCACCTGAACGTCGACTTCGGATTCAAGCCGCTTGTATGCCGTACCCATGAGGAGGGGCGGCGTGTACGCGGCGATCTTCGGCAAGCCGAGGTCGTCCACCGTGGCGTCCGCCTCGCCCAGGTCCAGCCGCAGCGCAGCGATGTACAGCCACGCCGTGCGGTACGCCCTCATCCCGGCCTGCACACGGGGGCCGGAGCGTGCCTGTTGATGGGGCGAGCGTCGCAGCCGGCGTGCGGGCGCGTGGCCGCGTGAGCTGTTGCGCACCTGCACGTAGTCCTGCCCGAGCAGCTCCGACTGCCGGCCCGCCGGCAACGTGCCATTCGCAACGGCGTGGAGCTCCGAGACAGCGTGCATGAACGTCCCGGGGCTGGCCTTGCTGCACGCGAGCGGGGAGCACATCGCGCGGGCGAGGGCTGGCATCAGGAGAGAGACGTCGCGGCGGCGCAGGTAGCGCGTTGACTTGCCACCTGCGTCGCCGCCCGCGCGGAGGTCGCCTGAGAAGATCTGCGTCAGCGCGGACAGCCGCACGTGGCGTCCGGCCTCCGCGACGAGGGACAGCAGGCCCTCCACCAGCACCTGGCGCCAGGCGAGCTTCGTGTCCTCGAACACCGTCGCTAGGTGCACGAGGGCGCCCGCGACCGCGCTGCGACACGGGAAGGACGGGTCCGTGTACAGGCGCGACAGGAGCTCCAGCGTGCGCGTCACGACCTTGGACGCGTCCCACCCGCCCGAGTCCCCATTGGCAGCGGGGCCGGCCTGCGCGCAGCGGAGGAGCAGAGGAAGCGCTTGCGGTACGGCACCTGCACCTGGCACCTCCATGCACGCGCAGCGACATGCGCGCGGCCGCGAGATGGGGACCGGGGCCAACTCACCGCGACGGTGGACATGGGGGACGCGATGTGCTCCGGGCTGTCGGACAAGCTCGCCGTGGCGGCCGCGGCGGTCGCCAGCGCCATGGTCGCGCAGGCTCCGATGTTGGGGTGCAGGCCGTCGAGGTGGCTGGAGATCACGTCGAGCAGCGTGGGCAGCACGATGTACGGAATGGTCTGGTGGGAATCGAGCAAAAAGTGCGCACAGATCTCGCCCATCGCCAAACACAGCGCCTGCATCTCCGCAGACACCGCCGCCGCGTCGGAGCCGTCCTCGTCGCGGCTGGGCGACGTCGCCGGCGTCGACAGCAGCAGGGTGCCGATCGACACGGCCAGGCCCTCCACCTCCTGCAGTCGGTGTGTGGGCAGGGGTGGTCGCGGGACGGAGGGCGTCCGGAGGGCCGTCGCGGGGCGCGGCAGCTGTGTGGCGCACCTTGGAGCGCGAGAACCGCCACGACGACTTGAGGACCCTGGAGATGGCGGCGCTGAGGCTCTTCAGCACCCGCCCCGCACAGCGCGCCTCGGCCGTGAGGTACGACAGCTCTTCGGGGTCCTGCTTGCACCACCCGAAGAACACGCCCAAGAACCCGGGCTGCACGGAGACGGCGCGCGTCGGCGGGGACCGTGAGCACCGGCCGCCGCCGCAGCGACGCGCTTTTCGATGCATGCGAAGCACCGCATGCGGTGCTTCGCGCGGCCTCACCTCGGAGTAGAACAGCTTCAGCGTGCGGTACGCCTCCGACTCCTTCGCGGCCGCCTGCTGCTCTGCGATCAGGAGCTCGTTGTGGCACAGGCGGGCCGCGTCGAGCAGCAGCACGCGGAGCTGCGCGGCGGCATCGCTCACGACGTGCTGCCCGTGCTGCGCCTGGATCTCGATGGACTCCCCGACGCACTCCACCGCAGTGTTGCAGACCTCAAGGGCTGTCTGCGTGGAGACGCCCTCCGCCTGCATCGCCTGCTCGTGCTGCGCCAGCACCAGCAGCTTGCGCGTCACCACGAGCAGGAGGTCTGCGGGCGGGTCGACGGGAGCCACTCGGTGAGGCGCCCGGCGCGAAACACGGCGTCGCGGAGGCGTGCACGTGCGCATCTGTGCCTCAGGGTTGCCGGGTGCGCGCGTGCGGGGCTGTGCGTGGGCGGTCGCGCACCTGAAACGCTCCGCAGCTGTGGCAGCGCGGAGCCGATGGCTTTCGAGTGCGCCTGGGCAGCTGTCACCGCAGACTTCATGGCCCAGGGCAGCGCGACCTGGATTTGTTCCTTCGCCGCACGCGCGGAGCCTTCCTGGTTGCCGAGGAGTGCGTCCAGAGCCGAGGACGCGAGGTCCATCACGCGGACCGCGAGGGAAGCAGCGGCGCTGATCGCATCCGCAAGAACAATGGCCGTCTCTCCCTTGGCCTGTCCCTGGAGGACTCGCGGCCCGCTCCTCTGAGGGTACAGGCTGTCGAGGAGGGCACACATGACCTGGCCAAGCACGCGCTTGTCGTGGGCGGCGGAAGGCCCGTCCCGTGAGATCCGGGCGCAGAGGGCCTGGATCATCTCGGCGGTGTGCTCGGGCGAGAGGGGCAGCCCGCTCGAGGCCGGGAGCTGGGCGAGGCTCCTGGCCATGATGGATGCCGAGCTCGCCTGGGCGCCCCTGCCCCCAGCATTGCTAGCTTTCGCAGGGGAAGACAGGCATGAAGCCTGCAGGAGCTCCTTGAATTTCGCGCTGATCGTCGCCCTGAGCTCGTCCTGCACGTCGTGCGAGTGCAACAGACTGGCCAGCGTCCCAAAGAGCTCCTCGAGCAGTGGCTCCGTGGCAGCGGAAACCGGCAGGTGCGGGAGACCATTGACGAGTCCGAGCAGGTTTTCGGACCCGCCCGCCGGGCCAACGCCGGCGAGCAGGAGTCGCCCAGCCGTAATGAGCTTCACGACGGAAATCCTGGACAGCGTGGGCTCCACAGGCATCGAGCCATTCTGCTGGACTGCCACGGAGCAAAGCTTAGAGATCAACTCATCCGTCTTCGCGTCACGAGGCAGGGTCCCGTCCTCGCCTGCACCGTTGAGGGGTGCAAGCGACAGGAGGGCGGACTGCATGGTTCCTAGCTGGCCTGGCTCATTCCGGAGACGGTACAGAGCGAGTGTCGCGCCCGCCCTCGCGCGCCGCGAACATCACGGGTCCGGGCGAGGCCCGTCCGCGAGCTGGTGGACCCTGGTGGCGTGTCCTCAAGCACCCCCAGCGCGTGGCGGGATCGACCTGATGAGACCTCGCGCCGGCACGCACGCACCACTCGCCGATAGAGCGGTGGGCCGAGTACTTCTTGGTGCGAATCGGTGGGGCAGGCCTGGCCGCCAAGGGGGAGCACACCGCGCTGGAGCAAGTGATCAGGGGCGCAAGCCCGGTGGACGCACGGTAGGCAAGTCGGGCAGTCGCCGACCCGACTGTCAATGCAGTTGGATAGATCGAGCGCCGCAACTCCATGGCTCGCCACAGCGCCTGCTCGCGCACACGCACAGTCTGAGGCTCGTCCTAGCACCGGGGCTCGCAGCACAATTAGACGCGCGGTCTCCCTTGGCCTCGCGCGTGTATCAATATTGGAGCGGAAACGCCTGTGTGCGTGAAAAATCTCGGCCGTTCCACGACGCAGCGCCGCGGAAGCGCCGCGTGCTCTCTGCCTGTGCTTTTGGTCACGGCGTCGTCCTTTCGCGGCATGCAGTGCGCGCAGAAGGTGTCAAGATGGAGCAGTGTTGCATTATCTGTGCCGAGCCGTTGGAATGGGTGGCGATCGGCGCCTGCAAGCACAAGGAGGCGTGCTCCAAGTGCTGCGTCAAGTATCGTTTTGCGATGAAGAACAGGCAGTGTTTCATCTGCAAACAGGAGCAGCCGGAGCTGTATATCACGCGCTTCAACGAGGAGTACACGGCGACGTTCGAGGCCCTCCACAAGGCCAGGGACGCCGACGAGCTCAAGTACAACGAACTGCTGGACGCGTACTTCGACGACGCCCAGGTGCGCCCGGGCGCGCCGCCGCAGCCACACTGCCCGCGGTGGCCAACAGCGCGGCTGCCGCGACGGCGTCGTCCCCCGGTGACGGTCCGCCCCCTTCCCTCCTCTCTGCAGCACTTTGCGGCCATCGAGCGCCTGACGTCGCTGCACTGCCCCAAGTGCTCGGAGACGCTCGGGGAGGACGCGGCGCCGGAGTTCCGGCAGATGGCTCCGTTCAAGCGGCACCTGCGGGAGGCGCACCACCTGTTCCTGTGCGACCTGTGCCTCGAGCACCGCAAGGTCTTCGTCGGGGAGCAGGTGCTGTACTCGAAGCAGGACCTCGACCGGCACATGCGGTCCGGCGACAAGGAGGGCCCCCTCGCGGACAGCAGCTTCCAGGGGCACCCCTCGTGCAAGTACTGCCGCAAGCGCTTCTACGACGAGAACGAGCTCTTCGTGCACATGGAGCGCAAGCACGAGCACTGCTTCATCTGCCGCAAGCGCGACCCGGAGAAGTTCGTCTACTACCGCGACTACAACGAGCTCGAACAGCACTTCGGCGCCCGGCACTACATGTGCGACCATCCCCGCTGCCTCGAGCAGCGCTTCGTCGTGTTCGAGTCGTACGACGCGCTCAGGTGGGACGCACACACCCCCGCACGCAAGCCCACACGCCCCGTCCGCGGCGTTCGGCCCGCGCGCACAGAGCGCGGTCCCTCGCCCACGTCGGTGTCGCGCCTCGTTGCAGGCACCACCAGGGCAAGGAGCACGGCGACGGCATGTCGCGAGCGCAGAGGAAGCAGCACCTTGCGATCAACGTTGCGGTGAACTACCGCGACTCGAGTCGCCAGCAGATGGAGCCGGACGCGGACTCTCAGACTATTGAAGCCTCGCACCTCCGCGGGGGGCGCGGGGGGCGCGCCGGAGGCCTCGCGGGGTCGTCGAGCCAGAACGGGTCGACCACCGACCTGTCCGGCGCCGGTCGGAGAGCGCAGCCCACTTCGGCGCGCGAGGAGCAGGGCGGGGCCAGGGAGCCTGCCGCCCCCACCTACCAGGACATGTTCCCCACCCTGGGAGCGCCCGACTCGGGCCACGCAGCGGCCGCGCCCAGCTCGAGCCAGTGGGCCGCCGCGGCGGGAGGCAGTCGCGCGCAGTCGTCGGGAGCGCTGGACGCGTCCGCGTTCCCAGCTCTGCCCGTGACGCAAGGCAAGAAGAAGAAGAAGGGCAAGACCGGGCCCAGCCAGCCAGGTGAGCAGCTGCGCCTCGTGCAGCCCCATGCACGGCCGCACGGCCTTCCCCTCGGCGGCCGAGCGCGAGCGGGCGTGTCATCGAGCCCCCACCGTGCCCCGCGTTGCAGCACGGCCGCCCGCGCCCGACCCGGCGAACAACGCGCTCGACGCGTCGCGTCCCGTCCGCACAATTCGTCGGGAGCCCGCGGGGCCGGCGCCGGTCGAAGCCCCGGAGATCCCCGCTGGCCCCTCGATGGCCTCCCGCATCACCACCAGCGCCCCCGCCCCTGCCCCCGCGATGCCCGCGTCTGCCGGGTGGGCCAGTGCCGCATCCGGCACGTCCCTGGGATCGCCTGCGCCGAGCAGGGCGGCGCCCAGCCTGCAGGACCAGCAGGACTTCCCCTCCCTGTCGGGGGGGCCTGGGGGAGGTGGCTCGGTGCGCGTTCAGTCGCGCGGACGATGGGGCGCGGTGCCGAGTGCGGTGCCACCCGCGAGCAGCGGTCCGGGCGGCGACGACACGGCGGGGTTCCGGCAGGGCGGGGGCACGCGGAAGGTGATGGAGCGCATCAGGGCGTTGTTGACCGAGGACCGGGACCTGAAGGAGTTCAAGCAGGCGTCCAAGTCCTTCGCGACTGGCGAGCTCCCCGCGGAGTGGTACTACGCTACCATCACACAGGTACCGTGCCCAGCGAGATGATGATGCGCACATGCCATGTGCATGCCCACGCCGCCAGTGTACTCAGCCATGGCGTCGCCGACAACGCTCGCAGCTCGGGCTGGTTGAGCTTGTTCCTCAGCTGGCGGGGTGCTGTCCGTCCGTAAAGGGGCGGGCGGATCTCATGAAGGTGCATGAGCAGGCCCAGGAGGCGCAGCAGGGCCGCGGCAAGGGGAAGAAGCGCGGCAAGGCCAAGGGCGACGGCGCGCAAGACAGCGCGGCGACGGACCTGGCGAGCAGCGTGGCGGCCGAGGCTACGGGGAGGGCGCAGCCGGTCGTCGAGAGCAGCACCGAGGGCACGTCCTCCTCGCACTGGTAAGCCAACGCGCCCGCGCTTAGCCCGCGTACCGGGGCCGCTGAGCGACAACATGGTGCATCTCACGCTGTGCTGTCTGCTGCGCCCCCTGCAGGACCTGCCCGGCGTGCACCCTCCACAACCCCCTGGGCAAGCACACGTGTGATGCGTGCGGCAGCCGGCAGCCCGGGACTGGCGGCGGCGCCAAGGCAGGAAAGGGCGGCAAGGGCGGCAAGGGCAAGAAAGGCACCAAGATTAGCCTGACAGGCGACGTGCCCGCGGCCCAGGCCCTGATCAACTCGACTGCGCCCAACAGGAACGCTTGGGGCACGTGAGCGTGGCAACGCCGCCGCGCGCTGTGAGCCGTACACAACGCGTGTCGGGGGAGCGGCGCTGTGGTCGCGCGACTTGGGTGGCAGGCAGGGGTGCAAACAGAAAGGAGAGAACCTCGCAGCTGCGAACGCGAGCCCGGTTCGTGCGCGGCCCGTTCACAGTATCAGTGGGGCTTGGGGACGTAGCCGTCGACCGCCATGTTTCGCGTCGCCGCCGGTATCCGCACCCGCAGCCCGTCGATGTCCTTGGTGGCGATGATCTGACAACCCAGGCGGGACGTCTCCGTGAGCCCGAACGCGAGGTCGAGCATGTCGTTCTCGTCGTCGTCCGGCTCGGGGAGCGTGTCGTACAGTTCCTGCGCGAAAAAGGATGCTGTGTTCGGATGCAGCAGGTCGCACGTGCCCGAACGCTGCCTGCCCACAAGGGCCCGTCCTCACCTGCTGCTCCACGACCACGTGGCAGGTCGAGCACGCCAGCGACCCTTCGCAGGCACCCTCGAGCTCAATGTCATTAGCGTGGGCCACCTCCAGCAGGTTCTCGCCGATCGGAGCCTGAACCGTCTCCTCCGTGCCGTCCCTGCGGAAATTCGTTGCTAGAGCTTGCAGCCATGGCGCGCTGGAACTGACGGAATGATGCGCACGCCCGGCGGGCCCCGCGTAGGGCAAGGTGCCGCTGCCTGGGGCTGCACCCGCCGGCGCTCGTCACGCAGCGGGGCGTTTCGCAGATGGCGATGCGCGGGGAGGGCGTCGAGGGCGGTTGTTGACTCGCCTTGTGATGAACGTGACCGAAATCGTCTCCCTATCCTCAGCGCCCTCGTCGTCTTTGCTGCCATGGAACACGCTAGGGGACGCCTGGTAACAGCGCCTCGATGCCTCCCATCGCGACCGTGTGAGACCTGCTGCGGAGTGCCGCATCAGGATGCCCGACGGGGTCGCCTCCCGCGCCGCTGCTGCCAGCGTGGACGCACCCCGGCTGGCTGCCACCGCCCGCAGGAACAGCTGTCTGCAGCGCTCGCGCAAGGGCGACATGCTCCTACAGACAAGTGATGGCTCGCAAAGACGGCAGTGGGGCCGGCGAAGCTGTCTGCGAGGCCCGGTGACGACGGCTGCCGCGGGATTCGACCGGGTCTGAGCACTGGTGTTTTGCTCTGCGAAGCAATCGCTCTCTTCCTTCTTCGTTCTCTCGCCCGGAAGACACAGGCTGCTCGTGACGCGATGGCGTGTTCCTGTGGGCCCGATGCCCAACAAGTGGCCGGGGGGGCTGCTCCTCAACGAGAGGACTCCGCGGCGAGGACGCCGTGTCACACCGCCGTGCCCGACCGGGAGAATGTCGGCGTCGTGCGTGGACCACGGGCGACAGATTGCTGGTCTCGACACCGCTTCATGCGTCGCTGCCAAGTGCGAGCGTGGATTACATTTGAGAGGCGCGAGCCACTGCCTGGACGCACTTGTTTGTGAGAGAAGCACGGGACGCAGGAACCAGTCGGCCCCCACGGGCAAAGGGAACGTGCGCAGTGACTCGACGACAGCAGGCGGTCGTCTGGCGGGGTCTGCAATGACCGCGAGCACGCACTAAGGTGGTCAGCAGGGAGTTGCAAGCGGGCCGAGGGCGCGCAAGCCGTCGCAGCGCATGGGGCTCGCCAAACCCGCCCCCAAATCACCCGATAGTGGTGCGGGCGCCCAGAGAAGGGACGGGGAGCCAAGCCGGAAGCGGCCTGCCTCCTGCTGTGGCCTGTTTGCCTCTGCAAAGTGAGCCCACCCCACCGTCTGCGCATTCATGCCAGCGCACGAGCCACTCCTGCTTGTGCGCTTTCGTTGTCGCGGGATCGCATCCGCTGCAAGGGAGCGCGGCGCTGCGGGAACCTCGCATGGTGGAGCCAGTCGTTGCGCTCGGTCTGCGTCTCCAGCGCATCCCTGGGCGCCTTTGTTTCGGCCCCCGCCGCCGACTCACATCAACGCGCGCCGCGCACGATGTGCAGGGCGACGCCGACGGGCCGCGTAACACCGGAGCCTGTGAGTGAGAAGGGGGATGGCCTGGCAGTCTCCACGCGGACAATACAATCAGGCGCACTGGGGGAATTCACCGCCGAGCAGCCACAGTGAGTGACCCAAGGCCAGCCAACCAGACCTGTCCGCAGCGTTCCGGAGCCTCATTCTCAACGCACCGGGCCCTGCCAAGGATGCTCTGCCCTTGGTAATCGACGGGCGCCTCATCTTTGGCCGTGCGCCGGGAGCTTGGTGCGAAGCAGTGGTCTCAGTACAATGCGTGCTCGCTCCGAACGACGTTGCAGTGGACGCGGGGCCCGGGGGAGCATCGAGAAGGCGCGCAGGCAAACAGCAGCTACAGCCGTCGCGCAAGAGCCTGGGAACAGCGACACTGGCTACGCGCCCATGGATGTAGACATCAACGCGGCGTCCTCCCGAGGTCAGCTTCCCCGCCGCACGATTCCGCGCGTCCACGGGCCCACGTTGCTCTGTGCGCAGCCTGTCTGCAAAGCGCCCCGTGTCTCACGTGCGCTAGCCCGCAGCGGCGCGGGCTGCGGCAGCGGACGCAGCTGCGGCCGTCGGCCCGCGCGGCCCGCCCTCGCTCGCACCGCGTGCGCCTTGTGTCACAGTTCGACGACCGTTGCTGCGCGCAGGCACCCCAACTCCGAGTCGGTTCGCGCGCCAGGCGAGCGGCGCGCAGGACCGGGAGTCCGAGGAGGAGCCGCGGATGGCTCCTCCGTGGTCGGAGGAGGTGCTGCAGGAGAGCGGCGCGGACTGGTGGGCGGAGGTGATGTCGGAGGGCAACGTGGAGGACGACTACGACCTGGGGCGCGTGATCGGGCGCGGGGCGTACAGCACGGTGCTGGAGGGCGTGTGCCGGCGGACGAAGGAGCGGTTCGCGGTCAAGACGGTGAAGCTGAAGCCGCGGAAGAAGCACATCGGCAACGCCGCGAAGACGGAGCGGGACCTGCGCAAGCAGCGGCGCAAGGTGCTCTCCGAGGTGTACCTCACGGGCACGTCCAACCAGCCCAACATCATCAAGCTGCAGGCGTTCTACATGAAGGAAACCGAGGTCCGCCCGCGCGCCGCGCACGCCGCCGGGTTGCCTTGCGCCACAGCAGAGAGCAAGTTGCCCACGAGCGAACCTGCGGCACCTGCCACGCAGATCGTGATGGTCCTGGAGCTGATGCGCGGGGGCTCGATCTTCGACGGGGTGCTGGAGCACGGCGGGATGGGGGAGGACGACGCGCGCACCGTGATGCGGCAGCTGCTGGGGGCCCTGGCCCACTTCCACTCGCGCAACATCCTGCACCGAGACATCAAGCCCGAGAACATGCTGGTGCGCACACCGTGCAGCGATGTGCGCGCCGGAACCCCGCCGTGCCTGCCCCTGGACCGCTCCGAACCCCCCCGCTTCCCGTGGGTGCAGTTGAAGTGGCCGGGCGACCTCGGCTCGCTGCGGATTGCCGACCTCGGGTTCGCGATCCAGCTCGCTGGTGGGCCGGCGTCGCGCATGACGATGGCGGGCACACCGGCGTACCTCGCACCGGAGTTGATCATCGCCATGCAGGTGTGTGCTGAAGGCAACGCGGCTGACGCCCCCGCGCCGTCCGCGGCACGAGCGGGCCCCTCATCCTCCCCGCGCTGCTCGGCACGTTGTTCACAGGACGGGATGGAGCTGGAGGACGCGCTGACGCCGGCGATCGACGTGTGGGCGGCGGGTGCGGCGATGTTCATCATCCTCGGCGGGTACCCGCCGTTCGAGGGCACCACCACGCGCGAGCTGTTCCGCAGCATCCTCGACGACGATCTGTCGTTCGACCAGCCGTGCTGGGAGGACGTCAGCGAGGACGCGCGCGATCTGATTCGCAAGCTCCTGACCAAGGACCCCGAACAGCGGATCACCGCGCCCCAGGCGCTGGAGCACAAGTGGATGCGGCCGACGCAGGCGCCCCCGCATATGCGGCAGACGTCCACGCGGACCCGCAACTGGGGCTCGCGCCTCATCCCGCTGGAGGGCAACAAGGACCCCACGTCCGCCTACATCCGGCCCTCGTACTTCCTGAAGCTGCAGGTCCGACGCAGCGACGTGCGCGGCACTGCCAAATGGAAACTTCCGCGCCCCGCAACGTCGCCGCGAAACGCCTCCCTCGTGCCGCGCCGTGCAGGAGCAACTGCGCGGGGCCGCGGGCAAAGCCCTCGACGCCTCGCTGCGGGAAATCTTCGAGGAGAACAAGAAGCGCGGGACGAGGGACTCCACGTGGAGCAGGTCGCGGCTGGTCTCGGAGCACGTGGGGGACGGTGGCGACTTCACGGCCATGACCGCACCGACTGCCAGGCACGCCGTGCCGCCCTCCATCTGAGCGAAAGTAGTACTTGGCGCACCCGCGCACCACGGAGGGCTCGCTCCGACAAAAGAGGGGCTGATTGCGTCACGGACTCGGCCGTTGTCAGCCGACGGCGGTGGGACGCACAACAGTGTGCCAGTTGCGACATGCCGCACCCCCTGCCGGGCCAGCGTGGATGTGAGAGTGGTATGCACAGTTGTTGGACAGCGCCGCCGCTTCGCTCTCAACCGCCGGGTACGCCAGCACCTCGAGGACCTGCACGGCGCTGCAACACTCGACTCGGAAGCCGCTGCCAACGCTGCTGTGCGTCATCTTCTGAACCTGCCGAATCAGCAAGGCATGGCGATCTTCGCTCGTGGCATTGAGGATCTGCTCCAGGCTGACTCCGTCACAGCTGCCGAACCTGTTGCTACCATAACGGTGGGGGGTTAGCATGACTCGCCACCTAGTCGAATGATCTTTTTCAGGTCCCGAAGCCTCATGGCTGACGACGCGAAGAATGTGACACCTCAGTCTCGCGCCTGGCGGCGTCCACCGCATGATTAAGTTTCACAGGAACAAGGGACCCGGACGAGGAGTCTCCTCCGAGGTGTCATGGTCGTGGCTCGAATCAACCCTGGTCCGACGCAGGGGCGTGCGCAGCGTCCGCCTGCGCCCGGCGTAGCTCTGCGTCGGTCCCGGCTCGTTCAGTTCAGCAGCAGGGCGCTGTCGGCCTTGGCGTCGAGGGGCGGCGCGACGCGCCCCAGCAGGGAGCCAGTGATGCTGGCCGCCTGGGGCGCCGGGGCGCGCGTCCTGGCGTGGGCGGCCTTGGGCGCGCTGATCTCGGCCACCTTGGCCTGCTGCTTGGCGGCGGCGACGCGCTGCTTGAAGGTGCGCGACAGGGCCTCGAAGAAGCAGAAGAAGATGGCGCTGTTCATGCCCTGCGAGAGGGCGCGCGCCTGGACGCCGCCGAAGAACGCCGCCATGCCGCCCTGGCGCCACACGCGCAGCGCGGCGGAAGCCATGCTGGGCCGCGAGGACGCCGAGACCATCATGTTGGTCTTGACCACGTCCAGGGGCGTGGTCGCCGCGGCCGCGAACGCGCCGGCGAGCAGGCCCATGGCGAAGTCCTCCTGCGGCGTCGCCGCGCGCTCGGGGCGCACGCGGCGCGCGAGGGAGCGCAGGGACTCGTAGGCCGCGAACTTGAAGGCCATGTCGGGCACGTCCTCCAGCACCGTGGGGAGGTAGCCGGTGAACAGGCCGCGCACGCCCGCCGCGCGCACGATCGACCCGGCCGCCTCGAAGACGTTGGTGTACACGCCCGCCTGGACGGAGCGGATGCACACCGCGAGCGGCACCTTGACGACCGACGACCCGGCCGCGGCCAGGGCGCCCGCGCTGAAGGCCACCGCCGTGGGCTTCAGCTGCGTCTTCGTCGAGATGATGTTGTGCGCCACGCCGTAGCACGCGAAGTACGCGCCGATCGCGATGCCCGCGCCCGAGGCCGCGCCGAGCACGCCCTTGTAGAGCGACAGCACGCCGGGCACGGCCTGCGTGACGGCGTCCTTGGCACGCGCCACCGCGCCCGCCGGCGGGATCAGGCGCGACGTCTTCGACAGGCCGGCGGCCACGGCGAGCTGCTTGGTCGGGCTGCCGGCCTGGATGCGGACCTTGATGGTGTCGAGCGGGTGGATGGTCGACTGCGACGCGGCGCGCGCCAGCGCCCCCGCCAGCACGTCCGAGGCCGGCTTGGTCGACGCGGGCGGCGGCGGAGGCGCGTGCGTCGGCACCACGGGCTTGGAGAGCGCCGTCTCGGCCGTGAGCGACGCCGGCGCCGAGTCGAGCGAGCGGCGCCCGCCGCGGCGCAGCAGGAAGTCGAGCGGGCCGCGGCCCTGCCTCTTGGTGGTGGTCCTGTTGGGGTCCATTGTTGCTTGTGGTGGGCTCAGGTGAGAGTCTGAGCGGAAGGAGATGTACAGAGATGCGATGCGAGGGAAATGCGGCTACAGAAAGAGGGTCCTAGGAAAACGGCCGAGTCCTACAGCTGCTGAGAGAGCAACCGCGGGCGATCGGGGTCCGAGGACTGGCTCAGTCGATGGCGTTGATCCCCGCGTACGGTGCGGGGGTTCCCTTCGAGACCTGCGTCGGGGGCGGGGGCGGTGCGCGTCGTCGGCGGCGCGGCCCCGCGGAAGGTGTGCCGGCATGGCGCCGCGTCAAAAAGAAGCGGCCTTTGCGGGGCGCCGGGTCGGCGGGGCCTCTCACCGGGAGGAGCGCTAGCTCAAGACCCTGTCTGTACTCTTCGTCCGCTGCTGTTCCCTGATGGGCTTCAGCGATGCGCTTCCACGCGCGGTGCTCGAGCTGAGTGTGGAGGTCGAAGCCGCGGAAGTTGACGTCGACCGGGAGCGAGACCTTGAGGAGACCGGTGTAGCCTGCCTTGAGGTTAACCTGCGATCGGGAGGCGGGGGCGTCCGCGAGGTTGGCGCCGAGACGCGGGAGCCCGCGCAGCGCGCGCATGGCGCAACATCTTTGCTGATGGCTGATGCGCCGCCTGGGGGGCTTGCGGCGCGGTAGTGGGCGCGGAAACGGGGAGCGCACGCGCGGTACTTCGAGGGAAGGGCGGTCGGCGCCAGCCTCACCGCGCGGGTGCGCGCAGCGGGGCGAAACATCGACAGCAACGACACGGCGGCGAAAACCGACGCCCGCGCGTCGCCAGCCGGCCAGCGTAGGCGGTAAGCGCCATGTGTGGAAAGTGGCGAGGAAATTTCGCCACGAACTAGCGCATGTCGCGCGCCAGGGAGGGCGAGGGCGGTCTGCCGCGACAGGTGCGCCGCTTCCCGACGCCGTGGGGCGGCGATGGCGCGCTTGCTGCGCGGCAACTCTTCGCTCTCGAAACTGATGTGGGACATGCGCGGCGGCCGGGGGCGCCGCCGAGCGGGGCGGGAGGGGGAGCGGCAAGGGTTTCTGTCCAGGGCTTGCGGCCGGGTTCGTCGCTGTCCGCACCGTTTCACGCTGCAGGTATCCGAAGTCCTCCGCAGATCCAGGGGCCCCCTGGTTGACGCAGCTGGACAGGAGGCAAGTGGTCCAGAGCACAACCTGGAAGCACGGGAGGGACAGGGTGGCGGTGGGCAGGAGAGCCGCGTGGCTGGGCGGGCGCGCGCGGGGCGCCTGCACCGCCGATCGCGGGCCGCCGGCGCCCGTCCGTGGCGGCAGGCAGTCCCTGCGGCGGCTGCGGCACCGGGCGCGCCGCGGAACGCACCTCGAGGTAAGCAATGAACGTCAAGCCCCAGTACAACTTGCAACTACGAGCCTTGGTTTTCATCGAGTCATGAATGCGGTGGTTCCCTGGCACCGCGATGCCCGCGCCGCACGCCGCAGCGGCCCCAAGAGGGCCGCGGGGCGCCGGCGATTGTGAGGCACAGCCCAGCACTCCTCCCTCAGGACACCCCCGGCCCGGCCGGACCGGCGCGCTCTGTGGGCGCGCGACCGCCGCGCGCCGGCACAACAAGTCGACGAGGTCCGGCTCCGGTGGCCTGTCGTCGCGATCACGCCCGCGATCTCCCAGCGCACCCCGCTGAGACACCTGCCGGCTCCTGCCTGAACGCGGCGCCCCCCAGGCCCCGGAGCCGACCGAAGTCGCCATGAGCGCCTTCCTCGCCTACAATGCCAGCCAGAAGGCGGACGCGCCGGCCCCGAGCCCCATGCTCAAGTTCGCGCGGGACGTAGTAGCGGGCACCTGCGGTGCGTGCCTCCAACAGTGGCTGCCAACGCTCGCCGCCAGTCGGGCTCCCCGAATCCTGATGCCGACGGCCTTCCTGCTCTAGTGCCATCCTCCCGGGCCCCCTGGGCGGGGCGAAACATTCCTCTTCCCGGGCCCCGTGCCGAGACATCCATCCAGTAAGGTTGCACGGCGGAGCGTGCAGCGCACCAGTCGCCTCGCTCGCCCCTGGCCTGCCCGGAAGCATGGTCCGACAGACGTTCGAGGGCACGACTCCGTGCCGGGACTGCGGAGTGCGAGATTCGCCAGCCGGCGTGTCGCTTCCTTCACCCCGAGCACCTACAGCTGCCCGTGCAGCTTCGCGGGGGGTCCATTGCACTGCCTATCGCAAGCACCCAGCTCCTTGTACCCTTGTCACCGGGGTGGCCCGTTCGAAGGGTCGACCGAGCGGCCCGCTCTGTGGGGGGGCCGTTGCTCTCCACGCACATGAGACCCTGTGCCCCGGCCGCTGCCGCCGGACGTCGAAACACCGCGGGCCGTTGCACCCGTCACCTGCGTACACTCCAGCCCAGCACGGCGTGCACGCGCGGCGCCCACCGACCTCCCTGTTGTTTCGCTGCACGCAGGTGGGGTCGTCGTGACCCTGGTTGGCCACCCGTTCGACACGCTGAAAGTTCGGCTGCAGACCCAGCCGGCGGACAAGCCCATCTACAGTGGCGTCGTTGACTGCGCGAAGAAGACGGTGCAGTGGGTGGGTCGCCCGCCACGCGCGCGCGCCACTGCTGGCACCCCTTGCTCGTGTCGGGCTGCAGGTGGTGTGCTGCCGAACCCCACTGACGCGGACCTGGGCGACCCCTGTCCGGTGTGCTTGCAGGAGGGTTTCGGGGGGCTGTACAAGGGCGTGGCGTCTCCGCTGGCCGGGCAGATGTTCTTCCGCGCGTCGATGTTCTCCGCGTACGGGTACACGAAGCGCTGGCTCATCACCGACTCGAACGGTGTCGCGAGGCCGATCACCCTCAAGGACGGCTACCTCGCGGGCGCGATCACCGGCGCCGTGGCGTCCCTGACGGAGAGCCCGATCGACTTTTTCAAGTCGCAGATGCAGGTCCAGATCATCCGGGCCAGGTGCGAGCTCCCCGCGGCCAGCGCACGCCCCGCGCCGCGCACCCTGGGCGCCGACCGCAGGGGCGCCACATCAACCCCCCCCTCCCCCCCCCTCCGGTGTGCGCAGGATGGACTCCTCCTACAACCCCCCCTTCACGACGGTGTTCGGCGCCGTGCGCGCGGCGTTCGCCGCCAACGGGATGCTCGCGCCGTTCCAGGGCTGGTCGGCGACGTTCATCCGCAACGTCCCCGCGAACTGCGTGTACCTCGGCTCGTTCGAGGCTGCAAAGAACTACGAGGCCGCCCGCCGCGGGTGCACCGTCCCGGAGCTGCCCGCGCCGTTCGTGCTGACGTCCGCCGGTATCGGTGAGACCCCTGGGTCCAGGACCAGAGTCACTGCACGGGCTGCGCGAGCACCAGCGCCCCCTGGCTGACCCTGCTCACACACCACCCTCTGCCACGCGCGCAGGCGGTCTGCTGTACTGGGTCACGGTGTACCCGATCGACGTGATCAAGTCGGCGATGATGACGGACGCGCTCGCGAAGACCGAGCGCCGGTACCCGTCGTTCCTGGCCACGGCCTCGAGCCTGATGAAGGAGGGGGGCGTGAAGCGGTTCTACAAGGGGTTCGCGCCCTGCCTCATCCGCGCGATGCCGGCGAACGCCGCGATGCTCTTCACCGTCGACAAGGTCACCGAGGCGTTGAGCATGTGACGGAGTGCTGCCGGCGGGGGGAAGGTGTTCTCACACGAGTGCTCTACTGCTTGCCGTCCTCCTCCGACGCGAAGCGACTTGCGAGCTGCGAATGGCGTAGGCGGAGCACGCAGCGTGAGGTAGGCGGGGGCTGCATAGCGCGGGAGCACGCGCCACGGCGTTGCATCTCCGTAGCATGGGCAACGCATTGACACAACGCACCTGCAGCCGCGACAGGGCTTGGCTCGTGAAGGAGTTCATCTGCGCGCAGTACGCCGCGAGCTGGTTGGTGATCAGCAGGTTGTCCAGCTGCGAGGGCTGCTCGACGGGCTTGAATGCCGTCGGGTCCTCCTCCGGCAGGGGCTCCTCCCCGCGCGCCTTCCGCTCCAGGTTCTCCTGCGGTCATGAACGCGAGGCAGAAGGGTCGGGCGACGTGGCCCGTGTGACGCCGCGAACAGCCCGGCACCGAACGCAGCACGCAGCAACCAGAGCGCTGTGCAAGCCGCACCTGTCGCCGCCGCTGCCTGAACGTGTCCATGTGGATCTGCTGCCGCGCCACGAGGCGGTGGTAGTTCTGCGTCTTCTGCTGCTCCACGAGCAGGTCGTCCATCAGCTCCCCGAGGTGGGCCACATTGCGCCCCAAAAAGTGCCCCACACCCACTTGCAGGCGGTTCTCGTCCAGCTGGGAGACGGACCCGTTCGCCTCCTGCGCAACAACAGACGTGGGCGAACGGCGGCAGATGGGCGGCCGTGCGCGACCCCGCGCAGAGCTCGGGGCATGCACCGTCTGCAGAGGCGACGCTGCACGTGCCCGCGGGAGGCCACCGCGCCGCGCGCGACTCACCAGCTCGGCCATGAGAGCGACGGCGAGGGGGGAGTTGTGGATGCGGATCGGAACCTCCTGGAAGACCTCGCTCCACGACAGCTGCGTCTCCGCCAGCTTCTCCAGCGTGAACACGCCCTCCTGGAACACCTGCAAACACCACGCGAGCGGCCGCGCGCTCAGCGACCGCGCGCCCAAGCACCCCGTCCGTCCGTCCGTCCGGGCGCTGCTCCCGCGCGGCTCACCTTGAGGAACTTGTCGGTGAGCTTCACCGCGCGGATGGGGAGCTGGCCGAGCTCCTGCAGCTGCGGCTCGTACACGACGCAGATGCAGCGCTTGATGGACGCCTGGAAGTCGACGAAAGTGCGGATGAGCTCCACGGTCTGGAACGAACCCTCGCCCGTGCTCTGGTACCTGCACGCACGCCACGCGCGCAGCACGGACCCGTTGGCGACCACGGCCCCGCAGGCAGCGTCGCGCGATCGCACGCTCGCGGGACCTCGCAGCGGGTCCGGGGCGCGCACCAGCCCACGGTGTTGTTGTCGATGTTGATCTCCCGCAGACAGCGCATCATCTCCAGCTGGTAGTTCGCGCCCTCCTCCTCGGCCCCTCCGTCCTCGCCCGTGCCCTGCGCAGCATTCGACCACCTCCGCTCGTCGGCCGGCAACCCCCCCACAGCGACCATGCGCACGTCGTGCAGTTGCCATTCAGTTCGCAGCACACGCGGGGAGCGCCGCGCACCGGGAACGGGAAGCAGTCCGTGATCTCGAGGGTCTGTCCGACATCGAGCCCCAGGAGCTGCCCGGTGACGGACGCCGGCACGCTCGAGGAGCAGTGCTTGATGATCTTCAGCAGCGCCAACCCCTCAATCTGCACCTCCTTGATCGGCTTCTCCTCCTTCTTCGCACCGCCGGGACCCTGTGCAGCCGCAGCCGCGAAGTTCGGCGCGTCTGGCGCCGCCATGTCGCCCTGCACACGCATCGCGAGGGGGCAGCTTGGTCCCAGGTCTGAGGCGGCCGGGAACGGTGCCGCCCGCGCGAGCCCCCGGCGCCCGGGCCCCACGCGAACGCCGCGGATCAGACTCGCATGCGGGCGCGGCGCCAGCTCCGTATCTACACGGGCAGCGGCAGCGCGGCGAGCAGACGTGCTCGGCAGACAGAAGCGAGCCGCTGGCCCGGGCACCAATGCCAGGCTCCCGTGTTCCGCCGGGGGGGGGCTGAGTGTGGCGCATGGGCGCAGAGGGCGGGCGGCGTTCGGGCGCGAGCGCGAGCGCAGGCGCGGTGGCCGGCCTGGCCGCCGCTCGGCCGTGCACGCGGGGCCGCGCCTGGGCCTGTCGCCACGATCACGCGCAGTGGGCGCGGCGGAGACGGTGCAGATAGGTTTGGGCTGCGGGGCCGCGCACCGGTCGCAAGTCCTGCGATCCTCTCCTGGAACCTCCCGGTGCGAGAGGGGCTCGTGTACAGGCTCAGAGGGTGCCCCGCGCGCCAGTGCGGTGCGGCAACGAACGATCTCTAAGCGCTGCGACCGCGACACGGAGTTGTCGCAGGACGCCGCGGCGCCCCCGCAAAGCGCCGGGGCCGGGCAGGACGGTGCCGGGGCGGCCGGGGTGTTGCCCGGGCAGCTCCCCCAGCTCCCCTCCCTGCCCGCGGCGGCCGTGCAGGCCTTGGGAGGCCGGCGCGCACCCCCGCGGCCAGTTGCACGAGGCCTCCCCCACACAGCAATACTGCGCGGAGACCGGATCTCCGTCACGGTGCGGCTTGGCACGTCTCACGGTCTGCAGGGACCTGCTCGTGCGCGGGCGTTGGTGGCTGCGCGCTCTCGTGCGCCGGTGCTACGGCCAGAACCTTGTCGGGTCTTGCAAACCTCGCGCTCGCTAGGGCCGCTTGACCCCTTCGGTCGGCCTAGGAGGATTCTCCTCCGTTGAGAAGAGACTGGGCACCATGTCGATGCCCGACATCCGTATCGCTGGTACGTCTGCCACGCTTCGCAAACCATCCAGATCGCGCGTCCCTTGACGGCTGCGCGCCCCGCGCGGTCGCGGCGGTTGCCGTGCCTCGTCATGGTTGGGGACAAGGCGGGCCGCCTGTCCTCGCCTGAATCCCGCGCACCCGCCGCTCTCACTCGCAGGGAAGTACCGTCTGGGGAGGAAGATCGGCTCGGGCTCGTTTGGAGACCTGTACTTGGGTGAGTGGGCCGTGCCGGGCGCGGCATTGACCCAAGGAGTTGCCTGCGGCCCGCACCCGCGTCCGCTGATGGTCCGCCCGCGTCTCGACGCCCGCAGGTACCCACATTCAGACTGGTGAAGAAGTCGCCATCAAGCTGGTGCGCTCCCGGCCGCTCGACTGCGCGAGTCGTCGCGGTGGCCTCGCTCCCACGACAGCGCGCGTTCTGGCGCAATGCGGCCAGCACGGGCCCGTAACCGCGCTGTTTCCGATCACATACATTCGCAGGAGTCTATCAAGACGCGTCACCCGCAGCTGCTGTACGAGTCCAAGCTGTACAAGATCCTCCAGGGCGGACGTGCGTGCCCTCTATCGAGATCGTGCCGCGCCGCCGCACCGTGTGCGCGCGCATTCCGGCAGCAACTGATTCCCTCTCTCCTGTTTCCCGCCCCGCAGCCGGCGTTCCGAACATCCGGTGGTATGGCGTGGAGGGCGACTACAACGTCATGGTGCTGGACCTGCTCGGGCCGTCCCTCGAGGACCTCTTCAACTTCTGCAACCGCCGGTTCAGCCTGAAGACGGTGCTCATGCTCGGGGACCAGATGGTGAGCTCCCGGCTGCCCCTGAAGGCCGCCCAGCAGCGCTGGCAGGCCCGTCCGGCCTTGCGTTCTGGCCCCTCGCCCCATCGGGGCCTGGCCAACGCTTCCAACACTCTCGCCGCCGCCCACGTCTTCCTCTCACGCGTGTCGCTCGCGCGGATCGTGGCCGCCGCCCCGGGGCTCGCTGCCACCGGGCTCGACGACCAGGGCTGCCCTTGCTCGGACGGGGCCCGCCGGGCGGCGCGTCCCCGCGCCCGAACGAGCGCCGCCGCAGACCCCCGTGCGCGCCACGACCTCGCCGCCGCCTGGACGGCGCGCGCACCGCCCGGCCCGCGCCGACCGCTGGGCGCGCCCTGACTGTGTGGGCTGCAGGTGTCGCGAATCGAGTACGTGCACAGCAAATCGTTCATCCACCGCGACATCAAGCCCGACAACTTCCTGATGGGGCTGGGCAAGCGCGCGAACGTGGTCAACATCATCGACTTCGGGCTGGCGAAGAAGTACCGGGACCCCAAGACGCACATCCACATCCCCTACAGGTGGGGCCGCAGCACGCGCGACCGCACGCGCAGCGCCAGCCGCCGCCGGCACGCGACCCCGCGCCCACGTCGTCGACCCCCGCTGCAGGGAGAACAAGAACCTGACGGGCACGGCGCGCTACGCCTCGATCAACACGCACCTGGGGATCGAGCAGTCGCGCCGCGACGACCTGGAGTCGCTCGGGTACGTGCTGATGTACTTCCTCCGCGGGTGCCTCCCGTGGCAGGGCCTCAAGGCGGTGACCAAGAAGATGAAGTACGAGAAGATCAGCGAGAAGAAGATCTCGACGCCCATCGAGATCCTCTGCAAGTCCTACCCGGGCGAGTTCGTCACGTACTTCCAGTACTGCCGCTCCCTGCGGTTCGACGACAAGCCGGACTACGCGTTCCTGCGCAAGATCCTGCGCGAGCTGTTTGCGCGCGAGGGCTACGCGTGGGACTACGTCTTCGACTGGACCATCCTCAAGTACCAGAAGCAGCAGGCCGCGCAGCAGCCCGTGCCGCGGAACATCGAGGTGCGCCCGCCGCCGCCACCGCCCGCTTGCCACAGCTCCTTGCCACAACAAGGGAGGTGGGACACAACTGCCGACGGTGCTGTGCTGCGGTGCCCGCAGGCTCCTGCGGAGGACGCGGACGGTGCTAGGAACCGGGCGGTGGCCGGGGAGGCCGGCGGGGCGGGGCGCGAGGAGGGCATGTAGGCCGTGTGCAGGGTTGGACGCATCCCTCACATCACGAACGTGGCTGAACCCCGCAACACTTCTGCATACTAGTCCCTGAATCGCGGGCCCCGGCCCACAGAATGCATAGACGAGCTACGACGTGTGAGGCCACGAGCGAAAGTGAAGGTGCGCGCGCAGTGCGCGTGCGACCGGCCGGGCAGCCCTCGGCGCGGCACCATCTCTGATTCAAGAGTGAGCGACTGGGCGGCGTGCTGCACGTGGCACGAGTCGTCCCAGGTGACCGCGTGGGCAGCAACAGGTGTCGCTCTTCGTCACAGACCGCACGCGCGGGAAAATCAGGCCAGCGCGAGGTCCTCGTCGTTCTCGCGGCTGCCGCCCTTGAGGGCGTTGTAGAACTTGTGGGTCTCCTCGATGACGCCCAGCGTGAACTCCTTGTTCATGGGCTTGGCGTCGTACCCGTACTCGTTCGCCGGCTTGCCGTCGGGCATCTTGTAGTCCCGGAACCACACCATGATCTTCTCCAGCTCGCCGGGGAACTCGCGCTCCACGTCCTCGACGTCGTTCACCGCGGCCGCCTTCGGGTCGTCCACGTTGATGGCAATCACCTTCCAGTCCAGCTCGCCGTCGTCGATCATCGCGTACACCGCAACCGGCTTCACCTTGTACACGCCGCCCATCTGCAAGCGACGGAGGGCGCCGAGCCTCGGGTTCGGACCTGCCCCGAGCGGCTGCGTCAGGGCCACGCGCCGCCGTCACCTCGGGCCGCACCTTGAGGGCCGACGATCCGATCTCGACCACGTCGACCGGGTCGTTGTCGCCGAACACGCCGCCGCACTCGTCGTTCTTGTGCTTGGGGTCCTCCCAGGTCTGCGGCAGGAGGCCGTAGTTCCAGTTGATGTTGTAGGGGTAGTCCCTCAGCTTGCCCTTCTTGGTGTCCTGCTTGATCGGGTTGCTCGCCTCGTCCGTCGCGACCTCCATCTTCGCCTTCGACTCCTTGGGGATCTCGCACACGAAGTTGAACGTCCCGTCGCCGTTCTTCAGCGGGATGTCGTGCCACGGGGAGATGGTCTTGTCGCCGTCCTGCAAGGCCGCGCCGCACCGAGAACCGCGAACGCTGGGCGCCGCTGCCGCCACAACGAAGCGCGCCGTGCGCGCGCTGCGATCGTTCAAGGGCGCTGCAGAGCGCGGGGCCGGTCACCTTGAAGAAGATGCGGAAGTCCATCGAGCCAAGGGCCTCCTTCTCCGACGTCGAGATCGACGCACGCACCGCGACCGACGCCCGGAACGTCACAGAGCGACGCACCTGAGCCTTGGCGACCGGCCGGCAGGCGACGGCCTGCAGGCGAGGGTGGTAGCACAGAGAGTGGGTCAAGGCTCTCTGGGACTTGCGCCGGACTGGCGGATTGGTCCCAGCACCGGACGTGCGACCGCCTGCCCGGAAGTCCTCCGCGGCCTCGACAGCGCAGTCGCGGAGGGGCACTGCAGGCAGGTGCGACCGCGTCCTGTCCCAGCAGCGCTCGGCGCCGCAGAAGACGCGCACATGCGATGAAAGCAAGCGATCTCAGCGCCGATGTGGGAGTCACATATTTCGTGAGCGAGCGATTCCGTGCAACCGCGGTCGGGAGGCGTTGGACTGCGGGCGCGAGCCCTAGCCACTGGCCTTGCCTTGCGGGCGGAGAGCTTGGCGGCGTTGGCGGCCGGCGCCACCGGCAGACGCATCATCGTGGACATCATGGTCGTGACAAAGATCAAGGTAGTGCCCGCGTCACGGACATCGGGCACGCGAAAGAAAGCTTCGCCGGCGCTACCTGAGAGGTCTCCACTGGATGTGGCACGAGCGGCGCACGTACAGCCCCCCTCGGCGGCGGGTGCCGCGGGGTGCTCACTGGTCCGCCGGAGCTGGATGGGTAGGAAGTCATGCGCCTCTGACGAGCGTCGGAGATTGGGCTGACACTCTGCAAACGCGTACAGAGGACCTGCCGTTGCGAGGTGCAAAGCTCCACAGCAGGTCACTGCTTGAAGGGCTGGAACGTGTTCCGTGCCGTAGGCATAGAAGCAGGAATATACTCGTCACTGGGGTGCCGTCTGCTTAGCTGCTTGCGTCGCGACATGCGACAAAAGCGGCGCGGAGGATGAGCTGCGTCACCATGTTCGCGGCCGTGGCCTCGCGGCTCCGGACGAACTGTGGTGGCAAGCTTCGCACACTCACCCTGACTCCGCGCACGTCTCGTGGCAGCCACGTGTATCGTGCGCCGTCGCGGGCACCGCTGGGTGTCAGAACGTGCGCTACGCAGGATGCTTCCCCAGCCAAGGTGACCGCCACGAAGCGCGCATGACATCGCGAGGAAGATGCTGAATCAAATTCACGCTTTTCTTGCTCAATGGGCCAGTTGGGTGCCTGATGCGAATGCAGGCAATGCGCAAAGGCAGCAAGAGGAGGCTTGATGAAATGTGCATGGAGCTGCGGCCGGAACACGCGAGAAACGTGTTACAGTCGTGGATTCGACAGGGAAAGGTGTTGGTCGACGGAGCAGTGGTCGACAAGCCCGGGTGAGCACTGCCGCGACTGTGTGTGTTGTTTGCATGTGCGTCACTGTGCGGCATTCGTGCACGCTCGGCTGCCCGCCTGGACGCCTTGCTGCTCCCGCCTGGATGGAGCAGGGCGCTCGCACGGCAGCGCTTCGGCGTGGCTCGGCTTTCGACATGCAGGGCGCGCAGAGAAGAACACCATCAACCATCCTGTCAGCTGCGTTGTCCACCTGCAGGGCCCAAGTGAGGCCCACAAGCGCGATTGAGATCCGTGCCGAGACGCCGAAGTTCGTGTGTCGGTGAGCAGCGCGTTCGGACAGCCTCGGTGCGCATCGCTGCTCCCACTCGTGGGGTGGGAGATGACGGCACGCGATCACTGCTGTGCTCTTTTCCCGCAGGGGCGGGCTGAAGCTGGAGCATGCCCTGGACCACTGGAGTATCGATGTACAGGGCAAGGTGGCACTCGATTCCGGCCTGAGCACGGGAGGTTTCACAGATTGTCTGTTGCAGCGCGGTGCGAGGCGAGTCTACGGAGTGGATGTCGGGCGGGGCCAGGTGGCCGAGAAAATTCGCCAGGATGCTCGGGTCGTGGTGATGGAGCGCACAAACCTGCGGTATCTGACTCAGGGGGATCTGCCGGAGGAGGTCGACATCGTGTCGCTCGACCTCTCCTTCATCTCCGTCCTGAAGGTCATGCCAGCAGTCGTCGACCTCATGAGCGACAACGCAGAACTCATCGTTCTAATCAAACCACAGTTCGAAGCTGGCAAAGATCAGGTACACGGCTGACCGGGTCACCTTGCCAAAAAAATAGGTGCCCTTCGATGCAGCCCACGATTGCAACCACGCTCACACGTGCATACGACTTCCGGGCCCACGTGCAGGTCGGCGACGGGGGCGTCGTTCGTGACCCCGCGGTCCACCAGCAGGTCCTGAGCCAAGTCATCACTGGCATCGAGACGCATGGGTTCGACTGCCGTGGGTGGACGGATTCACCGATCCGGGGTGCGTCGAAGGGCAACAAGGAATTCCTCGCTTACCTGGTCAGGCGGCAATAGATGAGTCCGGGGCAGGACCATGTAGTGCACTGCCGCTGTGCACTAGAACCTCCCCAGGCATGGTGCGCTGTATTCGCGGGATGTCGCGCGAGCATCTCAGCATGAGACCGCCCCTCCGTGAGGCGTGATCGAGCGTGCTTCTCCTGTTCTTCCTCGGCCTTCTTCAATGTGCATGCGATGTCCATGCAGCGACCCGATTGTTTTTTCGCGCCCCGGCGTGGGCAACGCTTGTGACGCGTGTCGAGGCAAACCGTCGCCGTGTGGCAGGCACACCAGCTTTGTTCCTGACTGTGCCACATGGCTGCCAGTTCTGAGCCTGTGTGATGCCTGAGCGGAAATGGGCATGTCGGTCGGGGACGAGAGCTATTTGCGGTAAGAGCTGCGAGATGCTGGTCTTCAATCGCCCCGTCGCGTGGTCAGCGCGGCAAGCAAACACTCGCGGAGGGTCGGAGTGATCATGCAGCATGTCCTCGCTTGGCGCAGACACCCACTGCTCCCGATGATGTTCTCCGAAACCGCCAGCCGCCCGCACAGCTGCTGACGAGACACCGTGACCAAACTAGGGCTAAGGCGAAGAATCATGCCGATCACGCCAGCTTATATCCGAGAGGCGTCGCACAGAGGTCAGGTGACCTGAGCATCCCCCCACCCCGCGCCGTCCTCGTCGCCTCGGGACATCTGCGGCCTATATTTTCATGCGCCCGCCCGCAGTGCATACAGAGCCTGTCTCTGAACGTCATTCGGGACGCGGAGGGCAGCAGGAGGCCCAGTTGGAAGCAGCGCGCCGCCCGCCTGCAAGTGTTGTCGCGAGTTCCTCACAATGCCGAGCGATCGCAAGAAGAAAGATGCGAAACGCAAGGCCTTGAAAAAGAAGGAGAAGCTCGGAACGACGGCAGGTACCGTCCCGTGCGCCACGCGGGTGCTTTTCCGCAAAACCCAGTGCTATCAATGGCGGCAGAAATCTAGCGCAATCCTGCTGCATTGATGCGGTCTCGCATGTTCGGCACGTCTGATAAGCATGGCCCGGTGGTTCATCATGATCCGATGGGGCCATTTTGCGCCGTCACAGAGGTGGCGGAGACCGTCCCAGACATTCTTTGCTTCTGGCCGCTGTTTAGGCGTGGATGGAGCTCTTGGCTGCGCTGTCGCGATATACTGCCCTCCCGGTGATCGTCATGATGCCCCTGACCACGCGGTTGCATTGCGGTGTGGAAGTCTTGTAGCGCGGCGCGTCCGTCAGCACACCTCTCATGAACCTGGCGCGCCGGCGACCCTCCGCGCACAGGGGACCTGTCGCAAGCCAATGACAAGACAGAGGAGGAGCTCGAACAGCTGGCCGCTCAGGTGGAAGCTACGGTCCTGAACCCCATCGTCACCACGGGTGTCCTGTCGTCTCATCCAGACTCGCGAGACCTCCACATCGACCAGGTTCGAGCACGCCCCCCCTGCCTCACATCGGCGCGCACTGTTGCAACGCGATTCCTCGTGAATCTCATCGAGCTCGTGTGTGGAGCCTGCTTTCGGGGCATGCGAGCATGGGTCGGCGACTTGTGTGCTCAGGCGGCAGGAAGTCCGAGTAAACATCTGGCGCCAGATGCGGCCCAGCCGCAGAATTGCGCCGCCGAGTCGCTGGCGGACGGTGCATCCACGACGCAGCGAAATTTTCACCCAAGAGCAGTTCAGTTCAGGAGCGCAACCACCACACGCCCTTTGTTGTTGCAGGTCACAATTTTGTTTCACGGGCACCAACTCCTGGAAGACGCCAGACTCGAGTTCAACTATGGGCGTCGGTACGGCTTGATCGGCCCGAATGGGTGCGGCAAGTCAACCTTGCTCAAGGCTCTTGGAGGAAAGGACTTGCCGATCCCCGAACACATCGACATTCACGTCCTCGACAAGGAGATCGAAGCCAGCTCGATGACGGCGCTGCAGGCCGTGATGGAGGTGAACAAAGAGAAGAAAGCGCTTGAACACGAGGCCGAGAGGTGCGTTCAGGTTTTCAAATCCAGACAGAAGGACCTCTGGGGCACCCGGATGATGTGCAAACGAAGCGCCTTGAACGCTTGCTATCCTGCATACTTTCGAACGGCCGCTGGTCCGAAGATCAGCAGCCCCGTGGCCTATGCCCGACGAGGAAAAGCACTCCGGGTGGAGGGTGCTTTCCCACGAAGGCTATTGTGCCTCCCCCGGCACAACAGTAACCGCAGGCCGCTGCGCGACGAAATGAATCAGCTTGTCGTCGCATTCCCGACCGTCGCGGCGCAGGCTGTCAACTATGGAGCTTACACCCGAGCTGGAGCTGCGCATCAATGACATTTTCGAGCGGCTCGACGCATTGGACTCGGACACAGCGGAGGCTCGTGCGGCGTCACTTCTGCACGGGCTGGGCTTCACGAAGGAGATGCAGGTGCGCTGCAGAGATGCAGATTTCGATCCGCGATGCACGCATCGCAGTTGCGCCGACGTCCACTGCTACGCGCGCCATGTCCGCTGAACCTCGGGGCGGTCACTGCCTGCAGGCCAAGGCGACGAGCGACTTCAGCGGCGGGTGGCGAATGCGCATCTCTCTTGCCCGCGCATTGTTCGTGAACCCGACTTTCTTGATCCTCGACGAACCGACCAACCACCTGGACCTGGAGGCATGCGTGTGGCTGGAGGAGACGTTGGCGAAGTTCAATAGCATTCTCCTGCTGGTATCTCACTCTCAGGCGAGCCTCAACAATGCCCGTCCATCCGCAGGCCCTACCCTGCTGTGCTAAGTGCTCCAGCGAGCGGGCGCGCTTGTAGAGAGAGCAAATCTTCCGGCACATGACGAGACTTCAAATCGGATTCCCCTGCGGGTTGCTGCAACAGTGCATACCCGAAGATACGATTTCCGATGCCGCGACTTCTCTGCCTGTCAAGGAGGTTTGTGGGCAGGACGAGTGCTGAGAGCTTTCTCAAACGGTCAAATATGGTTGTGCTCGCAGGATTTCCTGAACACGGTTTGCACGAACATCATCGTCATGAAGCAGAAAAAGTTGCAGTACTTCTCGGGCAACTTCGATCAGTACTGCATCACTCGTGCGGAACAGGAGGAAAACCAGATGAAGCAGTACAAGTGGGAGCAGAACCAGATCTCGCACATGAAGGTATGGCATGTTCGCACGCTCGCTCGCATGCCAGAAGCGCAAAAGCACTCTCAGAGGCATGTCGAGATCAGCCCGATGACTTTTCTTCATTCATCGCACACTCGCCTTGTGCAGGAGTACATTGCGCGCTTCGGGCATGGGAGTGCCAAGCTTGCGAGGCAAGCACAGTCGAAGGAGAAGACATTGCAGAAGATGGTGGACAGCGGGCTCACGGAAGCCGTGGAGAAGGAACATGTCGTGAAACTGAAATTCGAGCCCGCTGGGAAGTTGCCGCCCCCAGTGCTGCAGGTGCGAATCGAATCGGGTGAAGGGATGTTGCAGCGCAGGCTACTTGTTCGCACGCATTCTCTGCTGCCTTGATGCAGTCAGCATCGTGTTTCTCCTTCGCTGCAGTTCACCAACGTGTCTTTCGGATATTCGCCGGACAAGATGCTGTACGAGGGGCTCGAGCTCGGAGTCGACATGGACTCGCGTGTTGCCCTGGTCGGACCGAACGGCGCCGGAAAGTCAACGCTCCTGAAGCTGATGGTGGGGGACTTGGAGCCGACGGACGGTATGGTGAAGAAACACAACAAGCTGAATATTGGAAAGTATCATCAGCACTTGGCCGAGGAGCTCCCTCTGGATAAGAGCGCGTTGGAGTTCATGATGGAGGAATTCAACGCGCCGATTGAAGCCATGCGGCCTGCTGTTGGTCGCTTCGGTATCACGGGTAAGGATCCCGATTTGTAGAAAGACCCACGCGCGACGCCTGCATGCCGCCCTGCTCTTCGCTGATCTTGGCTCCTGGTCTTGCGCTGCAGGACGTAATCAGACCATGCCTATGCGGCAGCTCTCCGATGGACTGCGTTGTCGCGTCGCCTTCTCGTGGCTTGCGCACAAGAAGCCCAACATGCTCTTGCTCGATGAGCCTACAAACCATCTCGACATCGAGACAATCGACTCCCTTGCGCAAGCACTGGTCGAGTGGGATGGTGGGGTCGTGTTGGTGTCGCACGACTTCCGACTCATCTCTCAGGTCGGTTGCACTCATGTCGCTTTCGCTGACGCAGCGGTTCTCGATGATGGAAGTGCCACCTTGTACAGGGAGGTGTCACGCACTTTGAAGCGAGATCTGAACTAGCGGTGTGCCTTCCCGCAGGTGGCGGAAAAGATCTGGGTCTGCAACAGAGGGGTCACTGAATGGGATGGGGACATCCTGTCCTTCAAAGCGCACCTCAAGGCGACGCATGAGGCGCTCGCTGCCCGAGACGACTTGCGCTGAAGCGCCCTGCAACGCCGGGCCAGAAGAAAAACGCAGCTTGTCCGCCTGCCGGAGCTCAGAGAGCACAAGGTCGAGACGCGTCAGCCATGCTGTTGGGGAGGGAGTCCTGTTCGTGCATTGGAGGCTGTTGTGGCGGCCCCGAGTCTCTCCCTCGCGGTTTGTGATACATGGCTTCGCGCTTGGGTGACGACGCACATCCGCTGTTGTGCTCTCACGGAGCGAAACCTGTCGCGTCTCGCCCACGTGGTCGCCCCGTGGGAGTGTGTGTTTCTTCTTCCTACACCCGCGTGCAGCTGTGCGCGACCGCTGTTGCTGTTCAGGCACTACAACGTCACCCACGCGCATGAATGCTTCCTGCATTTCACCCATCTGCTCGTGCATGCAAATGCTCGAAAACGTTTATGCCTCACCGAACTTGCAACGTCGTTGTTGTTGCTATATGGCATCTCACTACTTGTCTCCATACGCGAGCTCGTACATGCCAGAAGCACTGCACCATCTGAACTGCATGTTCTGAAGGCTGTGCTCGTGCACAGCGGGGCGATAACGAGAGCGGGTGAGATGATCGACGACTCGTCGACGCGTACCGATGTTTTGCTTGTCTGCTGCGAAGTACACCACACGCGAATGACAGTACATTTCGATGGATGCAGTCCGAATCAACTCAGCCGGAATCCCAAGTTACTGGTGGATTGGGCATCAAGCCGAGCTGCTTGCTCTGCTTGAAAGCAGTTGCAAGGTACCAGAGCAGAGTGGTACCAGGTTGCAGGTTGCAGGTAGCAGGCAGCAGGTACTCAGCCCTGACTACGACTGCTGAGCAATGTAACAATTCCTACTTTGCAGAGCGGCACACACAGTGAGAAGCGAAACACAAGATGACGCGCCCTCGATGATGTGCCGCAATCGGCATCGGGCCCGAGTCGACGCGACCTTACCCGAACAACCGTCTCGAACGAGAGTTGCGAGCATGCATGCATCCTGAGCTGAGGGAAGATCAAAGTTTCGTGACCGCTCCTCGAACCTGCCAGCGACGCAGCGCGAGCTGATTAGGATGCGATAGCCTGGAACGTTCCGAGGAAGGCGGCACTTTGATGCGCAGATCGCCCTACGTCTACCGTTGTTCCTCACGATGCATCGGGCAGGGAGGGAGTTCCATGGGCGTGCCACATCGAAGGCTGAGTGGCTGCATCTCTACGAAATCTGTGCTCCTAGTCAGGCTTCATAATTCGATTGCAGCAAAAACGCACGCGTATGTCGACGAGCACGAAAGTCGAGGTGCTTGGATGACACCTGCACTGTCACAAGTCATTCAAAGCATCGCCGCCAAGCTTGATGGGCTCCCCGGGAGTAAAGGCAGGCATTCCCTTGTACGGGCAGCCCGCACACCTGCAGGAAACGAGAAGATCGTCAAATGGCGGTGAACACGGTGCACGTATGCTTCGCAACGCGCCGAACGAGGCTTTACGTCAGGGATTGCGAAACGGCGATCCGACAGATGAACTGACGACTCTAGTGGCACTCATTCGCGTGCTCTGAGCGTGCAACGAGCTAGTGACAAAATATACATGAACGCGCCTGAAAGCGTCGCCCAGGGCGCAATTGCCGCAGCCACCCTGGTTCTGTGGATTCTCGAGCATGTCGGGAGTGAGCTTGACTTTCTCTGCAAAGGAAGGTGATGCGATCCATCGTTCTGAGTGAAAAGGGTGCTGCGAATGGTTCTGCGAATGGTTCTTGCAATCAACGCGTAGCCGCATGTGCGTCCGGTCGTGCGCACCTGGAGCTTCCTGTTCGGCGCGTCCGCACGTGCAGTTCTTGCACGCACGCTTGGAAGTGGCGCATCCATCCGCATCCGGCAGGGATGGTTTCTGGAGGTCGGACTCCTTCAAGAGTGCATCGCCGTCGATCAGCTCGTTGCCAGGTCCGCCCGCGGGCTCCACCGTAGCCCAGAGTTTCGCTACATCAGCTGCCCTCTTCGAGTCCTGCAGACCAACGGGATGGTCGATGGTGTTGCCCGACTTAAGTATTGCGCGCCTGTCGAGGACATCCTAACATTTGAGCGCTGCCGGCTGCCTCGACGCAACTCTTGCGCTGCTCTCGCAGACCTGCGCAAGCAGCGCTGCAGTTGCATCGATATTGTATTGTGCAGATATGCACACGCATTCGGCACACTCGCCTTGACTGGCAGTGCGTCGGCAGCACCATCCTCCCATGTCGGCCTTGTCGCTGTAGCGGCACCAAGCTTGGCACCAGCGACAGTCACTTCCTCCTTTGCGGAGCAGTCCAGGAGCCCAGCCAACGTGAGATCTTTCGACAGCTTCGCACCGTCCTGCGTGGCCAACAGGTCGAGATCACTGTGTGTGCGGGCCAGCGCCGCGGAGAGGCAGTCCGAGTGCCTGGCTGGCGGGCTGTCGCGGGTCAAGCATACTGGTGGTTATGCGGGGAGGCCGGTGGTCCCCAGGCGCGCCACACGGCCCGAGCAGGAAGCACAGCGCCCGAGATGATGGTGGATGTGGTGCGGAGCCTGTGCGGAGGCGCGTCGAAACAGCATAGTGCGTCGCAGCCCGCGAACGTCGTGAGGTGTGCCTGTTCACAGGAACAGCTCTAGACGCTTTCCGCCAACGCCCGCTGGCTGCGCGCACGGCCGGTGCCGCTGGCAGCAGCGGCTGTATTGATTCGTCTCTCACCTTCCCCAAGCCGAAGGCGGTCACTTGGCACCCCGGCTGGCCGTGGGACGCGGCCTGGGCGTAGTCCTGCGCGCTGGCCCGCTCGCCGAGGAGGATCAGCGTCGAGTACTTCTGCGTGGGCGCCTGCGCACACGAGATGACACTGACACTGCGACTGTGCGGGAGGACTTGCGTGTCGAGGAACTCCCTCAACAGGCCAGCGTCGACTGCGCCCAGAAGGGCCACTGCCGTGGACATCCCGACGACCACACTGTCCGCTTCCGCAGTGTATCGATCCGGTGACTCTCTCGACGACCTCGGTGGGTTGCACTCTGCGCGACTCCCGCGCCCCGCGTCCACGCGACGGCCTTCTCGCCCCGCAAGGCCGGCTGCAAATGCATCCCCCGGAGGCGGACCGTCCGCCCTGAGCCGGGTGGTGCCTCACGAGCCCCGGGTCGTGAAGGGAAGCTGCGTTCGGAGCACGTCGACAGATCTGCACAACACCAGAACTCGCACAGTCCACGCCCGTGAGACCGGAGGCGCGTTCGTACGGTGCAGTGTTCATCGCCTGCGCAGACTCTCTCCGTGGCAGCTGCGCCTCAATCGCAAGCCGCGCCGGCATCTCGGAACGAAGGCAGGGCGCGCACGCGTGCAGGGCAGCCCGCCGGCACCGCAGCCATGTATCTCATGTACGCGCTTGACGAGAAGGGGGAGCGGGTCTACACGCTCAAGGCAAGTGACCCGCTCGCCGCGCCGACCTGCGCCGCACCGTGGCCCGCCACTTCGGTGTGTCTCGCGCTCGAAGCGGGGGATGTGATCAGGAACTCCCGAGCTCTCCCGGCGAGTGTGCCGCGCGTACAGCCGGGGCCGAAAGAGCGCAGCAGCCGCTTGCAGTGCTTGCTCCTGCGCACCACCTGCAGGGGCTGAGCGCCCGCGACCCGCGGTGCAATGATCCTGTCTCATCAAGATCGTTGCGTCTTGACCTCCCGCAGAAAGTGGCTCCTGACGGCAGCCCAACGGCTTCGGCACACCCGGCGCGGTTCTCTCCAGACGACAAGTTCAGCAGGGAGCGGATAACGACGAAGAAGAGGTTCGGGCTGCTCCCCACGCAGCAGGCCCCGCTCCAGCTGTGATCCTCAGATAGTCGCGTCGCGGGAGCTGCAGTCGCATGCCAAGACACTGCAGCTCTAGCAACCGCGCCCCTGACGCGTCCACGCACCGCGCCGGCACTGCTGACGAAGCTACCAGACGCTCGGGTTCTGAAACATTCAGTGCGGTAGGGCAGTCGAGCGTTCCGCGCCTTGACGCGCGTGCGGCCGTGGCACCCCAGCCTCCGTCGCACTGGGCCGACCGCGTATCCGAAGCCTTGATCCCCAGCACACACACACGGCGCCCGCGGCACGCATGTCCACGCCGCGCTGTGTTCCGCCAGCCGAGTTGCACCGCTCCGCAGACGCCCGCTGCCCGGAAAGTCCCCGAGTGCTCCGGGCAGTGGTTGCCAGGGCGCCCTCGAGGGATCACGGGCCCTGCCGCCAGGGCCAGTGACCTGCCCCTGCCTGCAGCCGCGCAGCTGGCCGTCTGCTCCACCTGACACTCTCTTCAGTGGCGGCGCTCAGGCACGGGACATTGACCAGGAGCAGTGGTGCTGTAGGTCGCCCTCATGCAGGCCCTGACGCCTGCAGGGTGCAAGCGGGCGCCGAGTATCCAGCCCTTGCCGACGTCCAGGACTGGCCGCTGCGGGTCCAGGATGAGTGACTCGGCCGGACGGACTCGCGTGGGCGCAGCAGCAAGCGACAGCCCGCCGTCGACCAGCGCCACGCGCTTCCTTCGCCCGCACATCCTGAAGATGGCGCCTTACACCCCCATTGAGCCTTTCGAGGTCTTGTCCAAGTGAGCGATTCAGCGCATGCCACGACCTCGCACTCGCGACGATGATGCGCCTCGACACGCTGCAAGTGGATTGTCCCTCACCCCCGTAATTCACCCTCAGCGCTGCGGCCTGCGACCCGCTCACAGCGCACGACCCATCACTGTACACTCCGTTTCCAGCAAGCTCCAGTTTCCCTCGCTGGGGCGTCGACGCGGGCGCCGAGCCGCCGCAATTCCCTGCCCGCGAACTGTGGCTCGCCGGCCAGCAGTGGCGACTCAACGCGACACGCCTCGACCGGCGCGGTGCAGGAAGCTTGGGCGGGCTCCCGAGGACATAGTGAAGTTGGACGCGAACGAAAACCCCTACGGCCCTCCCCCGCGGGTCCTCGAGGCGCTGGGGAGCATGCCTTTCCCGATGATCTACCCGGACCCCGAGTGCCGGTGAGTCGCCGCAGAGCTGTCGATCGACGCCAGCCCCAGCAGCGCGCCCAGGCCGCACTGCCAGCTCCTGCGTCTCGGCGGTTCTTGTGCACATCACTTCTGAACACAACCACCTCCACACGCCGCCGCCCCGCAGGTTCCTGCGCGCGAAACTTGCGGAGCGCGAGGGCATCCCCATAGAGAACATCATGGTTGGATGCGGCGCCGACGAGCTCATCGACCTGCTCATGCGCTGCTGCCTCTCTCCAGGTGAGGCTTGAACGCAACGCTGCGTCCTGCGGCCGCACATGTTGCATGCGAGGGCAGTCACGCGCGGACCAGGCATGACATGGACGTCCTTCGCTTCGTCGCAGGGGACAAGATCGTCGACTCGCCACCAACGTTCACCATGTACGCGTTTGATGCCGACGTCAACGACGCCCAAGTGATCTCCGTGCCGCGGTTGGACGGCTTCAGGTGCGTGGCTCATACTCTGCGGCTGAGCATGACGGCACGGTTCCCTCCAGCTGCGGGCCGACACGTGTCTTCCTGGCCTGTGTGCACTGTCTGCAGAATCAACGTCGATGAGATTGTGCGGGTCGTGAACGAGGAGAACCCGAAGGTCGTGTTTCTCACGTCTCCGAACAACCCCGACGGCAGCCTGGTGTCCGAGGAAGACCTGCTGCGCATCCTGGCCCTGGACGTCTTGGTGGTGCTTGACGAGGCGTACATCGAGTTTGCTGGTGGGACGCCCGCGCCAGCCCGGGAAGTGCGACGTGCCGATCGTGACTGACGCGCGATTCGATGCGACCTTTCGCGTGCGTTGCGTGGGCGAGTGCAGGCGAGGAGTCGAGGATGCCGTGGGTGCTCAAGTACGACAACCTGGTCGTGCTGCGGACGTTCTCGAAGAGTGCCGCCCTTGCCGGCCTTCGGGTCGGGTACGGCGCCGTCCCTGTGGCCCTGGCGGAGTACTTCTGGCGAGCACGGCAGCCGTACAACGTTTCCGTGGCCGCGGAGACAGCAGGTAGGGCACATACGCAACGCTTGCCTCGGCCCGCCTTGGACGTGGCCGCAGCGCTCATCTGAGGGCGATGTTCCGCGATGACGTACGTCGCAGCGCTGGCCGCCCTGGAGGACCCCGGCTACCTGGACAAGGTGCGCGACCTCCTGATCCAGGAGAGGGACAAGATGATGCAGCAGCTCGAGGAGGTGCCGTTCCTGGAGCCGTACCCGTCGAACGCAAACTTCATCCTGTGCAAGGTCGTCGGGACCATGGCGGCGAAGGAGGTCAAGGACAGGTGGGCATGCACCACCGCCCCCTCGTTGCGTGTTGCAATGTGCGCGCGGCGAGTTCCCTCGACGACCGTCGCGCGCCCCGTTCTCCGCAGGCTGGCCATGGAGCACGGCGTGATGGTGCGCCACTACCAGAAGAAGCTGCTGGACGGGTACATTCGCATCTCTGTAGGGACCCCTGCGCAGACGCAGCGGCTGATGCAGGCCCTGCGCGAGCTGTGACCCGCGATCCTGCCAGGGGACTCACAGTCGCACGCGGTACCGCCCACATGATTCCAGCAGACCCCGGCGCCCCACGCGCAGCCCGTGGGGCTTTGCCCGCATGCTCAGCAAGCCGACAAGGTCGCGGACAAAGGTCGGCGGCGGGCGCGACGGCGGCTTGCTGCCCGGCCACGCGGTGACGAAGTCCGCGTGGCCCACTTTGTTGTAGCAGAGGAGCTCCGCGGGGACGTTTTTGCTTCTCAGCTGCATGTGCATGTCGATCGTCTCGTACATCGGCACCACGTCGTCCGCGAAGCTGCTCGCCAAGTACACGGGCGGCATGTACTGCAGCCAGTCGTGCTCGTCGGGCTTCAGATCCGACAGGATTGCTGCCGGGGACTGGCTGTGGTGCTTCTCACGCGTCGCCTCGCTCCACACTGACGGGTCTTCGATGACGCCTCCCACCGCGCGATGCATCGTGCTGAGTGTCTCGACCCCACGCGCCTCTTCGTAAATGTAGTGCCTGCACGCGCGCGTAGCGACGCAACGGATGTGTGTGCGCCCTTCGAACGTGGGGGCCCAGCAGCATCGCCGGCGAGGTTCATTCGACGGTGCCATGCGCTAGGATTTCGTTCGCGGCGCGGAGAAGGGGCGTCGCTTGCTCGTACCTGCCGATGTCGAACACGCCGCAGAGCGACACAAGCTGTGCTGGCATGGGGGCGTCCCTCTTGGTCTTCGCGCGCTGCCGGGCCCTCGAGATGAGCGCCATCGTGCAGAGCTGCGCCCCCGCGGAGTGTCCGACGAGCGAGACCCGGCCTCTGTCGGCGCCATACTTCTCCGCGTGGTCCATTACGTAGTCCAGCGCGCGCTCCACCTCCCGCACCATTTCGGGCACTAGCGCCTCTGGATACAGTGTGTAGGTCATCACGCACGTCACGATGCCCGCGTCCGCGAGCTGTTTCGCCATCGGTGCGTAGTGCCACGCCTCGCCTGCCGAGAAAATACACACCAGCGAGGGTTGTCAACACGAGTGTCCCATCGGCGCGGCACGCCCCGCGAGGGCCGGGCATGTGTGCCGACGATGCGCACGGTGCGGGGCGCTCACCCGTGGACCAGACGCCTCCGTGCACGAACAGCGCGATGCCGTGTGGCTTGCCCTGGCCTTCACCGCCACGCGGGACGTAAATGTCCATTCGGTTCCGTGGGCGATCGCCGTACGACACATCCCGGTCGAGCGAGACCTCGTCTGGAAGCCCGCCCTCTCGTGGGGCGTCGGGGATGCGCCGGTGGAGCGAGAGAGCGCGGGCTCCATACGGGATGCTGCGCGCAATCCCCACCAGCTCCTGCAGCAGCACCCTGCGACCGGTCGCGGGAGGGCACTCAAGTGCATAAACATGCCTGTCAGCGCCTCAAAACGCACTCCAAGCCGTGCGTCGCGCGGCCCCGCCCTCATGAACGAGGGCGGGACGACGACTGCGCGCGGGGCACCTGCGCCGGTGATCAGGGTCGATGGGTGCGTGCCGCGCACCACGCTAGTCGGCAGAAGCGCCTCAGTCGGTCGGTTGGCTCACTCAGCCTCCGGAGGTCGGCCGCGGCACCGGCAAGGGCCTGAACCACCGACATGAGCAGGCGCCGCGCGGCGTCGGTCGGCGCCGGGCGGCGTCGGTCGGCGCCCCGCGAGAGCTGCCCGGGCGCGCGGCGCTGCCTCCTGGTGCGACTGCGGTGTTCTCCCCCCGCTTCAGTCGCCCTGGTCGCGGCGCTGGTCCACGCCTCGCACACACAGCGCCCTTGCAGCGGGCCTCGGACGTGCGCCTGTGGTCCCGCGGCCGTGTGCTGTGAGGCCCGCGCAGCCGGCTGCGGCTATCCCTTCAAATCAGCGGCGCGTGAAGCGGAATGCCGCGCCCTGCTCGCGGCGGGTGCGCTTGCGGATCAAGCAGTTAGATCACCTGGCTCCGGGGGCTGCGTTGCGGCCACCTGGTGATCATTCGGGGTCCTACGCGAACGGACGGCGAGAGCGAGGCTGAGAGACCAGCAGCGCGGCACCAGCAACCGCCAGGGACCTCCCCGACGTCGCCTGACGTTGGTTCTAGGGGGCACTCCTCCCAGGGCGCCCTGGCAGCAACACAAGGGCCGCTCGGGGCCGAGCACGCGGACACTTCAACTCTCGGGTAACAGAAGCAACAAGGAAAGATGATCGCTGCTCGTGTCATGACCTACAAGCCGGCCGCCGTGGCCATGGCCCAGCGTCGCCAGCGCAGGGCCGTCGCGGCCCGCGCCAACCGGCCCGAGGTGCGTCCCGATTCGACACCCCGATGCGGCAGATCGATGCCGAGTCGTCTACGGCGCGGATCGCACAGCCCGCGCCCCGCACGCGCGGCGCCGGACGTCTGCGAGGGCCGAAGCTGTTGGCCGAGGGCACGGCCGCCGGGGGCCCTCGCCCCCCGCAGCGGCGTCCATTCGCCTCATTTACTTGCAACTTACACGAAACTGCGGAGCACCCTGCGTGCAGGCCAAGGACCAGATCGAGGCCGCTGTGGAGGAGGCTAAGGCCGCCTGCTCGACCGACAACCCGGCTGCGTGCGCCGCCGCCTGGTACGTACGCCTTCCTCTGATATGTGGAACGCCTCGCGCGCGCAGAAGTACGCTGTTTCGCGCCTGGCGGGGCGCATTTCGCTCTGCCCTAAATGCAAGTCGTAGACCGCGGCCCGGGGCGCGCCAGGCGCTCTGCGGGGCCGCAACCACCACGGGCGGCGGGTCTTTGCGCTAGAGAAGCGTAGTATCGCGTTACATCGCTGCTTCACGCGTGCCCTGCTCCCCCGAGCGGTGGGCATCGGTTAGGTCGTCGGTTGCGCTCGGGCCGCGCTCCCCGTCCCCGACAGCGCCTCTTTTGCCGTGCCGCGGCCATCTCAATTCACGTTCATTCGGCCTCGGCGGTTGATTTCGCAGGGACGTCGTGGAGGAGCTCAGCGCCGAGGCTTCCCACAAGAAGTCCAAGGAGGCTGCCAAGGACATCGTGGACCCCATCGACGAGTTCTGCAAGGACGAGGCCAACGTCAGCGAGGGCGAGTGCCGCGTGTACGAGGTGAGCGCCGAGCGGCCCTGCTGCGCCCCGTCGGTGCTGCCAGGGAGCGCTTGCCACAAGCCCTTGGTCGCCGACCCACCGTCGCACGCCCCTGCTCCGCCTCCCGCAGGACTGAAAAGGTCGCGTATTCTGAAGGCAAATTCGTCGCGGGCACGTGGTGATGGGGACGTGCCCGCATGGTGACGGCAAGGACGCATGCCTCCTGAACCATCTTGCTGTGAGGGAACTATGAGCGCGCCGCGCACCCCTCACCGCCCCCCGCCCCCCGCGTCTAATCTAGCATCCTGCGCTGACCACCGCCATTGGCGGGCAGCGCAATCGTCCCGTGACTTGCGTCGCTCGCGCGTTCTGGGGACGCCCTAGCTGCGCCCACTGTGGCGCCAGCGCCCTCTTCCCTCGACTGCCCCCGCGTGCGGAGCCGTCGCTGCGTGCTCCGGAACGGCCCTGGCATGGCGTTTCACCTGTCAGCACGGCGGGGGGGCCGGGCGCGTCTCTCTCACCCGGACGGCCCCTGTTCGCCCCCAGCTCCAATGCAAATGCAGCAAAGTAGTGCGCAAGCAACCAATGCAGCCACACGTGCAACGACGTCATCACATCGCCGCGCCGGGCGTCTGTCTCGCTTCGGTCGCGGCTAGAGCTGCTGATTCCACCATCAGAGGGGTCGCGGCGACCTTCCCGCCTCACTGCTCCACAGGCCCGTTGCCCTTCGCCGACCCCTTGTCGTCGTCCGGGTCCACGGGGGGGGGAGGCGCTTCCGCCAGAATCCGCATCCTGCACCAGCCAAGCTTGAGGGCGATCCCGTCTTCAGACGCGAACGACTTCCAGCGCGAATACGAGACGCTTGCAGGGTGCGCAAGTTTGGCATGCTAATGCCAATGGGCGCGTCGCCGCGATGCCGCGGTCGCGCGCAGCAGGCGCGTATGCTCCGGGACTCGGGCGCGGGTGGTGGGCGGACGGTTCGTTTGTGTTTGTTTCCCGCGGCTGCGTGCGCACCTGTACCCCCTGACGCCGCACAGCACCACCTCCGGGAGCTCCTCAGTCGAGTTCCCCTGGACGACGAACCCCATGTCGAACACCGCCGAGGCGAAGCGCTCCATGAACCCGTGGAAGACCTTCCGCGCGAGGAACGCCCACTCGTGCACGTTGAGCTCCACGTCCATGAGGCCCTTGGACGGGTCGAAGTGGAACGCGTGCTGCGGGCGCGTCAGGATGGGCTTCCCGTTGTACGACTTGATCAGCTTCGTCTCCGTCTTCGAAATGTTCGCCTGCGCGTGCCGTGGGGGTTGTGCACACCATGTGGGTGTGCTGGTCGCCGGCAAGCCACTCGTGCAATACCCGGGGAAGAGGACCGAGCACGGCGACGCAGGGGCCCGCACCGATGCGCAGAACTCGTCGATGTTGACCAGCTTGGGTATGAGCTTCAGTCGGTCGCGGACCGGCTTCCCGTCGGGGTCCTTCTCATCTGCAAGCACCGGGGGGGGGGAGGGCGTGAGGGGGGCACGCGGCGGTCGGGCTCGCCGACGCGAGCGCGCGTCATCCTCGGGACGTGACCGCGCACCTTGGAAGAACTGCCGCATGAGGTGCATGGCCTTTTGGTTGGGGTGCGCTGCTGGGTCGAAGCCGTCGGGGAGCCTGAACCAGAACACCAACGAAGCGCCCACGCCGTCGGCACCAGTGCTGAAGAAGGGCGGGTTGTAGAACGGAAACTGCAGCGGCGCAGCGAGTCGAGCAAGGGGGGGTTTCAGGGTCCTTGGTCGCTCGGTGAGAGGTGAGGGCACGCTCCGGTGACGTCCCGCGCGTGTGGGATCTGCGGGCGCACCTGAACGTGCAGCACGACCCACTTCGGGAACCCGTCGACCATGTTGGGTCCGCCTCCCGCCGGCATGTTAAAGCGCTGCGACATGTGGTACTGCTTGCAGGGGGTGTGGAAGAAGTCGGCGTGCTCGAGGACGTACACGCCCCCCTCGGACGGCTCCTTGACCTTGGTCTTCATGTACCGCTCCGAGCGCACGTTGAACTCCGACCCGTGGCAGTCCGACCAGCAGTGCGTGAAGCCGTCGTTCTCCGTCGCCTTGTCCCGCGTGTAGTGCGCCGCGACCGTCTCCATGGACGCGCCCGGGTTCGGCAGCACCTCCCCGGGCTCCCGCGCGTGCTCCAGCAGGGCCTCTTCCAGGATGCGGTCGTTGTCCACCTTCTTGAAACTGAAGCACCCAAACGGCGGAGGGTGGTCCTTGATCGCCTGCGCAACGGCGAGCGGGAGCGCGCGTCTCCGGCGGGCCGCGAACCGGGGCGCCACGGGCGGCGCGAGGCCTTGCACGTCCCTCGCGCGTGTTGCGCAGCACCGATGACGTCGAGCCGTGAAATTGAGCACATGACAGGTCTGCGCGCAGCTTGAGTCGCCAACGGTGGCCCCGTGTGCCCCATGAACTGGCTGCAGGTCGCTCACCTCGTGCGCGGGATCCCCGTGCTCGCGTGTCGCCACAGGCTGTGCGCGCTCCTTCCCACTCGGAGCATGGGACAGCTGAACGGGTCTGGCGGCCGTCCTTCCTCGCGATTTCGAGCTCGTCAGATGTGCTGCATTCGGAGCGAGGATCGCGAGACGGGAGATGCGTTGCGATTCGCGCAGATCCAGATCCAGCGAACGGCAGTCTGTGGCAAGCCTCGGAAGCTCGACTGGCGCGCGGTCGCCCTCTCCGATGACGTGCGCGCAGGCAAACGTACCCAGAGTGGGAGTGCCGGAGTCCCTCGGGCTCCCCATATTGTTGTCGTGCGCGTCATAGAAAGTCTCCTCATTGCCCTTCACTGAGCACCGCCGTACGAGCGGGTCGCGCGCGGCCAGACCAGAGATGTGGACAGCCTCCGGTGCCCTTGTGACGTCTCCTCGCGCATCGGAGGGTTCCTGGGCGCTCAAGTGCGGTTGGCTGCGGCCTGCAGGGGCAGTCAAGGGCACACAGGGAACCTCGGTCGGGTCTGCGAGCGCGCCCCGGCCGAGGGACCCGCCCGGGGCGCCCGTCATCGCGGATGCCGATGTGCTGCTTTCGGGGGTGCTGGAGACTGCGCATGCGGTGGGAATCAGGGCGCCGCGAGTGCGTTCCCCTGCTGAACGCATCCTCGCTTGCACGCCCCGCACACGCGTCGGATTCCCGCATGCGCCGGGCGCATGTGCTCCACAGATAGCGTGCGAACGTCCCACGTGCTGTTGCGGCGGTCATGCCAGCATCGAGGTGGCAGGTGGATGGTGCAGCAGATGGGAGACTTCGCACAAGCGCCACGCAGGACGTGCCGGGGGCAGGGCCGCGAAGGAGCCGCACAAGCTGGAGATCCAGGAAGTCAGTCGATCCGAGGCTCAAGGTCGACGGCAACGGCGTCTGCACGGGACGCTGCAGCAGCTCATGTGATCGTGGGCAGCAGGCGTGCCTGAACTAGCCGCCCGAGGCCCCCCTCCTCCCCCGCAACAACACCCTCCCATTCGATCGGTGGACGCGACCCTGACGCGAGGCGTCACCCGACGGACCGCAGGCCCAGCTCAAGCTACCTGCTTCTCCCTGCAAAGTGATTGGCGGCGGCCCCACCAGCTTACCAGCCTCAGCTACGTGCAGGAGGCGGCCTGCTATTCAGAGCACACGTGGTGCCACGCGCTGGGGCGGCTGAAACAACGCCTAGTGCAGAGGTGAGGCTCGAGGTGGCTCTAGGACAGGAAATCGTCGCGATCCGGTCGTCCGTGCCGCATGAGGCCGGCCGACAGGATGCAGCTGCATGCATCAAAGTTGACGGACCGCGTCGCGCGGTTTTCCAACAAGGGCGGGCTGGCCCCGGCTTGGACTGACGACGGGCAGAGCTGACTGTAGCGGCAGTCGACACACTCCCCGCCGTCGCCAGCCCGGTAGCACAAGGACACCGCGGCGATGTCCCAGGTGTGTTTCTGCGGCGGCTGCGCTTCCGGCTGGACGGGCTGCGCGTGCGGCTGGGTCCGTTTGCGCGTTCTCACGTGTCTGACCACCAGCTGTTTCTTTGCATGTCGCAGCGAGCGCGTCACACGGCACGGCCGGCAGCATGCTACCGTGAACTAATCACGCGAGGCCGCATTGACCGAAGTACTTGCACGTCGCGTTGCGCAGCAGCCACACCGATGTCGTGAGCGCCACACCAAGCGCCCACGCAACGCCCTCGGCGGGAATGGCCCGCTGCCTCCGCGAGAACCTCCTCTTGCCCGGGTAAGCCGCAGGCTGGGCGCCTTCGTTCAGGGCCGCGGCAACGAGACCTGCAACACAACGCCAGCAAGTGCGGCCTTGAGCATGGCGCCAAACAGCTCGCGCGCATCCCTCGCACTCGTGGGCCCGCTGCGCTCACCCGATCCGAGTACCATGCCCCCGACCACTGCCTTCGCCCAGCCGATCAGGGTCGCGCGCGACACCGCGGGAGAGTCGCCGCTGGCAAACGCGTTTGCTGCTCCCTGCACCGCCCAGCATGCCGCCAGTCCCGGCGCGAGGGCGACGATCGACGCGCCGACGACCGACACGACGACAACCATGCCTCGCCTCGCGCCCGTCGGTGTCCGTTCGAAGATGTGCACCAGAAGGCCGCATGCCGCCACTGTTTTGGGCAGGGACATGAGCACGCAAGGCAGCAGGACGCCCGCGGGGTGCGACGTCGCGAGCAAAGCGCCCTCCGCGAGCAACAGACCCTCCGGGTAGGCGAGAAGTGCGATCGATCCCAGCAGGATTCCACTCGACGTGCCGTCCGGGCAGGAAAAAGCGGATGCTACGAAACTCCTCATCTTGCTCGGGCGGTCCGCGGGGACTTGCGAACGCACAGGACGGTCGAGCCGCGCGACGTCGTGGACGCCGCCGTGGGAGCCCGCTGCCACGTTGCGCCTCGCCGTCGTCGTCGTGTGCCGCAAGCGCAACAAGCTGGACGCAACGTCGGTGCCGATGTCGGGCTGGTCCGAGAGCAGAGGCGCCTGCAAACGTTCGATGAAGCGCCATAAATGAAGGCTTCTGCGTGGCAGGGCCAAGAACAACGTGCTCCTCGGCGGATGCGCAGCGCACCTGCTGTTCCTCGGCCCCATGCTGGTTGGTCTCCCTCGCGCCGTCTGCCGGCGGCGGACCGCACAGCCGCGCCACGCGAGCTGCCAGCCTGACCCTGCCCCAGAACATCGCGGCGCCCCCCGCCACCACGCCGGCGACCCCCGCCGGGACGGCGTACTCGAGCAGCAGGAAGCGCCGCGAGTGCAGAACAACGTCGATCACGCTCAGCGCGCCCAGACTGACCAGCACGGCGTGGCTGGCGTGCAGCATGTGGTGCGCGGCGAAGTACCTGCGGGCCATGCTGACCGTCACGCGCCCGACGACCACGGCCACGGCGCCCACCAACATGGTGGCCAGAAGCAGCTGAACGACGTACGGCAGCACGCGCACCGGTGCCATCTCCCCGGCGGGCCCGTCCGGATCGAACACGCCTTTCGGTCCGAGGGAGGCTAGGAAGATCTGCACGATGCGGAAGAAGCAGGAGGCGCAGCAGGCAACAATCGCGAAGGACTGCCCTGCGCCCGCCATCGCGTCGGGGGCGACCTGGTCCAGCGCGGCGTACAGGAGCACTCCGGCGCCGAACCCGCGCATCGGCGAGAGGTACTCCTCCGGGGCGAGGAACGCAGCCGTGGCGATCAACGCCTGAGGTGAAAAAACCAGCGCTGCCCAGCGCATCGCCCGGGCGGGATTGGCTCCTCTGCCTGCACGCAGTGAGCAATCCAAGTGTTCGGGCGCGCCGTCGACTGCTGCGTGGCAGCCCTGCGACTACGTCCGCGCACACGATGCAGGGACTCACTTGTGTGCGACTCGCTGAGCCCGTAACCGGCGATCATGTTGTGGAGCCCCACGCAAATAACCACGGAAATCCCCCGCGAATACCCCTCGCTACCGCGGAACGAGGCGCCCATCGCCACGCCCTCTCCTAGCGCGTACAGGATGCACAGCAGGGCAGTGCCCAGCATCCTGCTAACACCGCCAGTGGCGAACTTCGGCAGCGTCGAATAATCTGGTCGTGACGCGAGGGCCCTGATCGTGGGGAGAAACACGGAGCCTGCGACGGCCAACGGGCACGTGGCGCGGGTGCTGCATCACTGAGAGGGCACGCGGCCCTCCGTGGTCCTTCCAGCGAACGCACACACCGCACCTGCGACGACTCCGATAGCGGCCGGTATGGACCCCGCCAGGGACTGCTCGTGGATCAGTCCGCCGACCGTGATGACGATGACACCAAAGGACACAGACGAAAACAAGCCCTGGACTTCGACCGCGACCCCCTCCCTCGTCAGCACGTGCGGCAGGCCACCCAGGGCGGCGGCGATGCATGCCGTGACGGAGAGCAAGGCCACCTCGCCCGGCTCCACCAGGGCAACTTCGGGCCTCGTGTCCATTGTGTCGTCCTGGCCGCGACACACACGTCAGCAGCGCCAGCCTCCTCCTACGATTGTGCCTCCCGGAGGTCGTGCAGCGCTCAATCCTCACCGACTCGCAAGCGCTCCCTGAAATCACGCTCCGCGACGGCGGGAGGGAGCGAACGAACTAGAGCTGCTTTCAGGCTCGTCGTCTCAGCTGGTTCAGGATAGAGTGTGACCTTCGTGGGCACGTCGGCCGCTACTTGAAGTGAGCATTCACCGGCGCGTCGCCTAGACGGCGCTCCACGCAGGCGCGCTGTGGCCGCCAGGTGAGTGCGCTCTGAGAAATCAAGCCGCCCCAAAGGTCGCCTGGCAGCCGCGGGTGGGCTCCGGCTGCTGCAGTGCACGACGCGCGACGCCAGCGGAGGTGAAGGGGCGCGGCGCGCTGGGCATGCGTTCCAGTCGCACTCCACCGTGCCGGTATGAGTTCGTTGAAAGAAAGACTGCAGTCGGGCACCGCACACCGGTCTGGCGAGGGCGCCACCGTGCGCATCGAGTGGCCACCTGGGACAGCGATGCCTACACTCTCGCGCAGCAGCCGCAGCGCGCTGGCTCGAGCGGCGTCTTAAGCCACTGCAGCATTCTAGCCAAACCACTTGGCCAGGGAATGCTGCCGGCAGCTGCCGCGAGGATCGTGCTGCGGACCACACCGCTCCTGCTTCGGGCGTCCACCGCTCGCATCCATCGCGTCGCGCCGCCGATCCGTCACCGGAATTGGCCCCCACACGTCAAGCCCGGGCTCGTGCACACCGGCAAGTGCCTCGGCGCCCGCGCACGCCGCCACGGGTTCCTGCCACACGCGCGTGCGTCGCCACATTCAAAGCACTACTTCGGCAGCTGCTCGCGCTCGCCAGATGGCCCGTGTCGGCGGCCCGGCGGGGCGCGTAGGGCGAGAGTGACAGTTCGCGCTGTGCACGCTCCTGCTGGCGGGCCCGCCAACACGTTCGCTCCGTGGCACCTCCTGCGAACGCGTGGTCCGCACGCGACGTCTCGTGCAGGGATGAAGCAGTCGAACCTCTCCAAGTTCTTCGGCGGCGCCGCGGCAGCTCGCAAGGGCTCGGACGAGCCTGCAAGTGCCCAAGTCGAGAAAGAGAACGTGGGCGCGACGAACCGCAAAGCTAAGCGCGACGGCGAAGACCCCGAGGTGGCGAAACGACAGAAGGTGGTGGCGTCGCGCGACGGCGCCGATGCGAGGGCGTCTCCGATAGCGGAGCGCCCCGCCACGCTGGCACCGGCCCTGGTACGCTCTGGCATCCGCGGCGAAGCGCGTATTCCGATGCCTTGACAGACCCTCTGCGATGCGACACGATCGAAGCGTGCGCCGCCGGCTCACCTCGTCGCAGGAGGACAAGGATGAGGCGCGGGGTGCGGGTCCAAGTGCTCGGAGCAAAAAGCAGGCGGTGGTTGAGTCCGACTCGGACTCTGAGCCCGCCATGGACTCGAGCGACGAGTCGGAGGACGGCATCGAGTTCACAGGTCAGGGGACGCACGTCGCGCAACCCGGTTGACCGCGATGTCGCGGTTGCATCCATGTGCCGCACGGCGTTGCGTCGCGCCTCGAAACGACGAGCGCCTGGACACGTGGCGCTGCAGATGACGACAGCGACGTGGAGCAGGTCGACCTCACGGGCCCGAAGGCGCCCGCCCTGGCGGCGGGGTCCAAGAAGTCAAAGGCCAAGAAGGGGTCCAAGTCGGGGCCCGCGGGGGGGCCCGCGACGCTCGCGGCCGCCTACCTCGGGGTCAAGGCCGGCGACGAGGTGACCTGGACGCGGGGGAAGCCCGTGCCGTACTCGGTGCTGACGAACGCGTTCGAGGACATCGGCGAGACCACCAAGCGCATCGAGATCACGCAGGTGCGAGCGGCGGCGCGAGCGACGCCGGCGCGGCGGTGCGCGGGGCCGCCCTGACAGCCCCCGCCGCCCTCTCCGTCGGCTGCAGATACTGACCAAGGTCATGCGCGTCATCGCGGCGGGCAGCCCCGGCGACCTCCTGCCCGCAGCGTACCTCTGCACCAACCGGGTCGCCCCGGCGTACGAGGGCGTGGAGCTCGGCCTCGGGGACGCCACTCTGATCAAGGCGCTGGCGGCCTGCACGGGCCGGAAGGAGGACAAGGTGGGAAGCCACCCTGGCTGCACGCAACCCAGTTGGTGTGCCCCAACCCCGCACCCGCCCACACGACCGCGGCGCGACCCCCTGTCGGCGCTGCAGGTCAAGGCGGAGTACGGGGAGGTGGGGGACCTCGGCAGGATGGCCGTCCAGGCGCGCGCGAAGCAGCGCGTCATGTTCAAGCAGGCGTGCCTGACGGTGCCGGGGGTGTTCAAGGCGTTCAAAGACATCGCCCTGATCTCGGGGCAAGGGTCGCAGAAGCGCAAGGAGGCGGCGATCAACAAGCTCCTCGCGGCGTCGGAGGGCGCCGAGGCCGGGTACATCATGCGCTCCCTGCAGGTGAGGCGCCTCTCGACGTGCGCATCAATGGGCTGTGGCGCCCCGTGCGCGCGAGGCTCACGCTGGCCGGTTGAGATCACGTGCGCGCTGCAGGGAAAGCTTCGCATCGGCCTCGCGGAGCAGACCGTCCTGGTGGCGCTCGCGCACGCGGCCACCATGCACCACCTGGAGGCAGGGGGCAAGAAACTCAGGTGCGCGACCCGCTTGCCGCACGGGCGCGGACCCCCCGCGGCGCCGGACGCATGGCCCGGTTGACGCGAGTGATTCGTTGCCCCCTGTGCGCAGCGTGGAGGAGCTGGCGGAGCGGTTGGTGGCGGCGGAGGAGCAGGTCAAGCGGTCGTACTCGGACTGCCCGTCGTACGACGTGCTGGTGCCGGCGCTGCTCGAGGGCGGCGTGGAGTGTCTGGCGGAGAAGGTGGCGTTCACGCCGGGGATGCCGATCAAGCCGATGCTGGCCAAGGGCACCAACGGCGTGCAGCAGGTGCTGGACAAGTTCGAGGGGCGCGCGTTCACGTGCGAGTACAAGTACGACGGGGAGCGGGCGCAGGTCCACATCATGGTGAGTGGGCGCACACGCACGGCGCGCGCTGCTCGCCCGCGAGCGCGGCGGCCGACCTCGGCGTGTTGCATGCGGCGCGCGTGTGCAGGAGGGGGGCAAGAAGATCAAGATATTCTCGCGCAACGCCGAGGACGTCACGCAGCGCTACCCGGACGTCGTGGCGCGCGTGACGAAGGCGCTGGCGGAGGGCGTGCAGGACGTGGTGCTGGACTGCGAGGCGGTGGCGTACGACGTGGAGCAGCAGCGGATCCTGCCGTTCCAGGTGCTGTCCACGCGCGGGCGGAAGGAGGTCAAGGTGGAGGACATCAAGGTCCAGGTCTGCCTGTACGCGTTCGACTGCCTGTACCTCAACGGCAAATCGCTCCTCCGCCAGCCTCTCAGCGAGCGGCGCGAGGCGCTGTACAAGGCGGTGGTCGAGGTGGAGAACGAGATGAAGTGGGCGTCGTACAAGACGTCCACGGACGTCGAGGAGCTGGTGAGACCGCGGGGCCCGCGCCATGTGCGAGCGGGGACGGGCGCGCGTGCCAACCACCTCCTGCGCGATGACGTCGTGATGTGCGCGTGCCCGCGCCGCTCGGTCGCAGGGGCGCTTCCTGGACGAGTCCATCGAGGCGTGCACGGAGGGTTTGATCGTGAAGACGCTGGACGACCCGTACGAGCCGAGCAAGCGGTCGAACAACTGGCTGAAGCTGAAGAAGGACTACCTGGACACGGGGGGGGACACGTACGACGTGGTGCCCGTGGGGGCGTGGTTCGGGAAGGGGAAGCGCACGGGCGTGTACGGCTCGTACCTGCTGGCGATCTACGACCCGGACTCGGAGCGGTTCCAGACCATTTGCAAGATCGGCACGGGGTTCAGCGAGCAGCAGCTGGAGGACCTCGCCAACACGCTGAACGAGCACCTCATCGACAAGCCGCGCCCGTTCTTCACGTACGGCGAGACGCTCGTCCCGGACGTGTGGTTCGACGCCAAGGTCGTGTGGGAGGTCAAGGCCGCCGACCTCTCCATCTCCCCCGTGCACAAGGCCGCCATCGGCCTCGAGGATCCCGAGAAGGGCATCTCCATCAGGTGAGGCGCGCGACGGGGGCGCGGTGGGACGCCGCTGTTGGCTGACGCACCGCATCTCGCTCTCTGCGCGCATCGCCGACGCTTGCGCCCGCTCGGCGTTGCGCAGGTTCCCGCGCCTGCTTCGCGTCCGGGACGACAAGGGGCCGGAGGACTCGACGAGTCCCGAGCAGATCGTGGAGATGTACAGGCAGCAGGCGACCCTCAAGGCTGGCAAGGCCCCGGAAGGCGGGGGCGACGACTACTAGGCCTCGACAGTGGCAGACTCGGATGAAGCTAGCGCGATGCTGGACGGATCGCCTCGCGGACGGAGCGCCCGGCGCGTGCGACGGCACCAACAGCAATGTGCACCGACACACGTGTGACACCGTCGACGGGATCGAGGGCGCGTGCACCGCAGCTCATCCCTGGCCGCGCAGTCGAGGCGACGCCGATGTCACTTCGCGGGGAGCGTGGCGGTCACAGTGGTCCCCGACGCTGCCGAACTGAGACGGACTCGGCGCCCGCTGCGGGGCAGGGATGTTTCGTCAAATCACGCTGTGCATGCGCTGGACGCTTTTGGTCGCGCGGCGTGATCGATGGCCGCGATTCAGCGGCAGTGGATGGCCTGTGCCGACTCCGGGCCCACACACACATCGGCCGGCGTGTGCGACCTCCCAGCTCAGCCCACTTCCTATTTCGTGTCAAGCGAGGCGGCATGATCGATTGTTTTGCGATTATTTCGCGGGGAGGTGCTGTTCTGTGGCAGCAGCAGGGGTCGGCGTTGAAGGGCGATCCAGTCGGTGCGCTGATAAGGCAGCACCTCGCCGAGGAGCGGCTCGATGAAGCTTTCGACTACTCGCCGTCTCCCGGCGTGTCTTACGGCGTCAAGTGGCTCAGTTCCAACGTGAGACCTTCTACCGACGATCATTCGCACGCTGGTCGCAAGCCGCATCGCTGATGGCCCGTCCTCTGGACAGGCCAGCGCGCGCTGCCGGCAACATGGCAGGAGCGCGCCCACAGGCGCAACGACACGTCAAACCGCATCCCAACAATGCCTGCAGCAAAACGGTTTACTGTTCGTCGCTGTTCACGACCGCTCGTCTTCGAGTCTGTTCGTGGCTGACCTGCTGAAAGCCATCAAGCGTGACTTCTCCAAGGTTTACCAGCCGGGGATCTTCTCCTACCCTGAGTACGACGCAAACTTCAAGGTGCGCTGACACTAGACCATGTACCGATCCGAGGCCCCGACGGGGCGACCTCGCGTTGTCTCTGGCTGCGGCCGAGCACAGTGGTGCGCCACCTTGCGCTCGAGGGCCTTGCGCGTCAACAGCGACAATACGGCAACATCGCGATGCCCTGGCCTGCTTCTCGATGTGTGTTCACAGGCGATACACGCACGGGCGGAGGCCCAAGTCGACGAGAGGCGAGCGGCGGCGAAGGGCCCTAGTGACGCGCATGCAGAGCCGGACGCACGGGGCGCAGCGCAGGCGGTCGAGGCACGCCTGAGCGCCGAGGACACCAACGAAGGCGCAGCGGAGGGCGGCGCGGAGGCCAATGACGCAGTTGACATCAGCAAGCTGAAGGGAAAGGTCAAGGGCAAGGTGCGCAGGCAACGCGCAGCTGCGTCCCTCGGCGATGCCGCCCGTGGCCACGTCCCGCGCAGCGCGGTGCGGGCTGACCGCGGGCGGCCGGCCCTTTCGCAGGCGAAGAAGAGGAGCGAGCAGGACCTGTTTGCCGCAATGCGCAGCAACAGCAAAAAGAAGGACAGGCCGAAGGGGAAGGAGATGCGGCGGTGGGATGGCAGTAAGGACGACTACAAGGGGCCGCTGGACCTCAGCACCGACAAGCCCGCGAAGGAGGAGGCCGAGGGGACGATGGATGTGTCCAGGTGGGCCGCGGTGCCGCCCCCGCGCGGCCAGGCATGCTCCCGCCCGCGTCGCATCAGTCTCACGGCTGTGCCCCGAGGTGCCACTGCAGGGCGGCCGCGAGCCGCATGGACGCGGAGGGGGAGTCGGAGGAGTCTGACGAGGAGGAGGTGGAAGTGGCCAGCAAGGGGCTGCTGGGGGGGTTCATGCAGACGCTGCGCACTAACATCACCGGGAAGGAGTCGCTGACGAGGCAGGACCTGCAGCCGGCGCTCGACGCCATGCGGAGGCAGCTGTTGGAGAGGAACGTCGCGGAGGAAATCAGTTCCAAGCTGTGCGAGACCGTCGCCGCGAAGCTCAGCGGAACCAGCCTGTCGAGCTTCACGAGGTAAGGCCCGCGCTGACGACGGAATCGCTGCGTGCTCGTTTTTACTCGTCGATGCGGTGGTGGCCAAGTTGAGGCGCTCCCCTCAACGTCCCTCGCAGGGTGTCGACGGTCGTCAAGCGCGCGTTCGAGGAAGCTCTGGTGCGCGTGTTGACTCCGAAGAGGTCGATTGACGTTCTGGCGGAGATCCGCGCGGCGCAAGCGCGGAACACCCCCTACACGATGGTGTTTGTGGGCGTCAACGGGGTGGGCAAGTCGACGAACCTGGCCAAGGTGGCATACTGGCTGTTGCAGAATAAGGTCAAGGTGAGGCGCCGGCGGAGCAACGGAACGATGCTTGACGAGCAGTCGGGCTGACGCACGGTGCACCAACCATGCAAAACCTGTTCGTTGACGGTCCCGACTGCGTCGTGCCACGTCTCTCACGCAGGTCATGATCGCTGCGTGCGACACGTTCCGTTCCGGCGCCGTCGAGCAGCTGCGCACCCACTGCCACCGGCTGGACGTGCCTCTGTTTGAGCGCGGCTACGAGAAGGACCCCGCGCAGGTGGCGCAGGAGGCGATCAAGCAGGCGAAGCGGATGGGCGTCGACGTGCTGCTGATCGACACCGCGGGCCGCATGCAGGACAACGAGCCGCTGATGCGCGCCCTGGCCAACCTCATCAACCTGAACCAGCCCGACCTGACGCTGTTCGTCGGGGAGGCGCTCGTGGGGAACGACGCCGTCGACCAGCTCACCAAGTTCAACCGCCGCCTCAGCGATCTCGCGTCAGGGACGAAGCGCCACCTGATCGACGGCATCGTGCTGACCAAGTTCGACACCATTGACACCAAGGTGAGACGCCGCGCGACAGTCGCGCCCGACGCAACGAAGCGCTTCCCTGGACCTTCTGGCAAGGCCACAGCCCGGGGAGATCCGCAACTTTCGATGCTTGCTGCGTGGACGCGCAGGTCGGGGCGGCGCTGTCCATGGTGTACACTTCTGGCGCCCCCATCATGTTCGTGGGGGTCGGGCAGAACTATCCCGATCTCTCGCGGCTCAACATCAAGGCCATCTGCAAGTCGCTGCTTGGGTAGACGTGCGCCCAGCTGCACGTGTGTCGAAGCCGGTGTGGCTGGGGCACTTGGTGCCGGTGCACTGCACCAGACGTCGCTGACCTACCAGCATCTGCTCACCGCGAGAACGCGTGAGACTGAACAGCTCTGTTACGGATGCAAGCCACGAGAGTTCGAGACTCGCACCGCCTGCGGTCATCAGGCGGACATTCACACTGATATGAGCCACAGCCCTCACTCTTGCCGCCAGGCCTCCCATCCCCGCTGCGCCCGTGCTGCATTGTCGGCGCCACTGCTGCACTGCTCCCCCCTCCAGGTGCTCGCCGCCGCAAGGTTGCTCCGACATCACGCCTGGCCCATCGCAAGGCAGGACACCCCGTCACCACTGCTCCCCACAACTCGTCTCTCTCGCATCACAAACGGTCAATTTTTCTCCGCGAGGCCCTCGCCGGACACCAGGAAGCGCGGGTTGTCCTTCGTGAAGAGCTCTGTCTCCTCTGCAAGCGCCCGACGGATGATCTTTGGCATGACAGTCGCCGACCGGAAGAACTCCCCGTCCAGGAACCGCAGCGGCTCGCCCTCCGTTCCGCCCGGGGAGGTCCCTGCGGCGAAGAAGAGCGCAGCCGATGAGCTCGGATTGGCAGATTGGGCACAACACGCCAGGCACAGGTGCAAGCCTCTGCCAACCTGTGATGCGCTCCTGCGCAAGTTTGTCGAACTCGTCCGCCGAGAGGAGCTCCTGCTCCTTGGAGAACGCGACGTTGAACCCCCAGAGGTCGCAGAACGATGGGAAGTACGACCGGTATGCAACCACCTGCGCCAGCAGCCAAACCGACTCGTTTCGTCGTCACGTTCACTGGCCGGTCGGGCAGGCGCATGTGCGTTCGTGTCACGGTGCCAGAGCGTCGGCGCACCTTGGGGAAGACGGACTTGAGCGTGGAGTGGATGAACGACATCACCTCGCGGCACGTCTCCACGCCCGCGGGGCCAGACTGCGTGATGAAGATCCCCCCCGGCGCGAGTTTCTTCATGACGACGTCGCGGTAGAACTCCTGCGCAGCACGCGGCGCCCTCGGCGTCTGAGTGGCGTCGTTGCAGTGGGCAGCAAGCATGCGAGCCCGGCGCGCGCCTCGGAAGTCGTTTGTTGACACTACTGCGCAGCCCGTCGGTTCGTCGCGGCGCCCGCACCTGGGTGTAGAGCAGGTAGCACGGCCCGCCCTCGAGGGGGTCCGCGAGGTCGCCGATGATGACGTCGAACGACCCGTCCGGCACGGCCTCGAGCTGCGCGAGCGCGTCGTCGTTGATGAGCTTCAGGCGAGGGTCCTTGAACGCGGCGCTGTTCTCGGGGATGTGTTTCTCGCACATCTGGCACACGATCTCGTCAATGTCAACCATCACCACCTGCAGCACGCAACGTGGACGCGCGCGACGTGGGTGCGCGGCCGCGGGGCGCGGCGCCGGGGAGGGGGGGCGGTGCAGCAAGCCGAGGTCCGCACCTGCTCGACGGACTTGTGCCGCAGCACCTCGCGCGCCGTGGCTCCCTCGCCGCCGCCGCAGATGAAGACGCGCCGCGGGTTGGGGTGGTGCAGCAGCGCCGGGTGCACCAGACACTCGTGGTACATCCACTCGTCGGAGTGCGAGCTCTGCAGGTCGCGCGCACCGCGGGGGCGTCGGCGCGTCGGGCGGCACTGCAACACCGCCGCACAGGGCATGCCTGACGCTGTGCGCGCGTGGGATGCCGGGGCCCGCGCGCACCTGCATTTTGCCGTCCAGCAGCAGCGCCGTCCCGAAGGGTTCCGTCTTGACCAGCTCGATGTCCTGCGACGCGCGGCCCACAGCAGGGGCTCGTCGGTGCGTCACACGGAAATGTGTCGCCGGGCCTGGCCCGCTGTTGGTGCCGGGCGGGATGCCGCGTACTGGCAACTGGATGGTCGGGCGGGTGTCGAAGGGCCGCGATTCGGGCGCACTCACCTGGAAGCGCGAGGTCTGCGAGCACAGCACTTCCGAGACGTGCATGCGCCAGTACCAGCCATCGCCAAGCTTCTCCTCCAAATAAATGTGACGGTTGCCCGCGGTGGCCCCCGAAGACGACATTGTGACGCCCTTCGACCGTGCAGAGACGCCGGTGCCGGGACGCTGCTCTGTAGCAGTCAGTTGCCGCCGCGCCGCGTGGGCTCAAGGACGCGATTGCGGTGCGGAATCGGCAGGAGGAGCCTCAACACCGTTCGGGGCTGCTGTAATTCGCAGAGTTCGATCGATTTGCGCAGGCGACGAAGACCCGCGCGCACGGCTGCTGATGCCTTCCCGGAGCACTTGGCACGCGGTTCGTCGCGGACTGCGGTCGACGTGCTCCACTTCGGGCCACTGTCAGAGACGCGTGCACACCTGGCCGGCGCCCCCGATCTGATCGGGGAAGGCGCCGGCGGCCGCGACAGCCCTCGGGCCCTGATGCAGTGAGACTGGCAGTCGACGCAGGGGGGTGGTCCTGGGGTACGCCTCGGCGTCCAGGCGCGAACGCGTCATGGGCACCGCGCAGCGATCGGCGCCGCACTCGAAGCGATCGCACAGTCGCGCCCCGAGTGAGACCGCGGACATGAGCTTCTGGCACAAGGACGGGACGACGCGCCCGATGAGCGGGAGGCGGGGCGCGGGACAGATGGCCGGGGGCTCCGTCAACGTGTTTGCATGGGGCGAACCGACCCAAAGCACCGAAGCCAGGTGCGCGCGGAGCCTGCCACGCTTGGCCCTTGCGGCACGGAGCCTGCCGCTGCGTCGCACAGCCCGCACCCAGCGCCTGGAACGGGAGCGGCCGAGTTCTTCGCCGGATGATGCCACATGCCGGCCGCCGGACGCAGCCGTTCGCGCGCGCGGGCGGACATGCCGCGTCGCAACTGTGCACCTCTGGAGATGCCCGGCGCCGGGCTGGATCGAGGGCCTCCTCGGCGCTTCTCTGGCGAACCACGTCCCCTGAGTTACGTGAACCTCGCGGGCTCCGCGCGTGGTGCGGTTCGGGGTCCACAACGCCGCGTCTGCCCATCTTCCCCCTCTGCTCCGCAGGTCCGCGTACGGCGCCCCGGGCGACGGCGGCCGGCTGCCCTCTGCCGGCCACACCTCCGCACAGAGGGAGTCGCGCTTCGGCATGAACTTCGGGTCCCGGCGGCCGATCACCGCCCAGGGCGTGCGCCAGCGCGACGGTTCCAATGCTGTCTTCGGTGATCACGCTCCGCCGCCGGGCCGCCCGCTCAGCGCCGTCAAGGTGCGTCCCACCCGCGAGGAGGTGCCTGTTCAGAACGCCTCGGGCAATCCCGAGCGGTCTTTGCGGCCTGCTGCGCCCGGGAAGCCCGCCGCCCCGCCCCTGGCAACGTCAGCTCCCACCCCGGCGTGCGCGCGACGCGCGTGCAGGCCTGGGATCTCCGCGGGCACAGCATCATCGCCCACGAGGACGTCCTGGACAACCACGTGACCTCGTCGCTCCAGCAGCAGACGGACGGCAACGTGCGCGGCAGCTCGGAGGTGCCAGGGCGCGACATCTGGTCGCCCTCCGCGTACCCCAAGGCCAACAAGCCCAGCAGCGACGCCAAGAAGAAAGACTTCCACGGGTCCAAGGTGCGCTCCCGTCGATCCGCCGCCGCCTCCCATCCGCTGCGCGCGTGCCACGCTGGAGCGAGGGCCAACCGCTGGATGCGAGGTGCCTGTGCAGGTGTTTGGGGGTTACGCCGACCGGCCCGAGGACTACCACGACAAGGCGCGCCGGACCCGGTGGAACCAGTTCAAGGGCCGCGACTACGCCGGCCACGGCCAGGTGTGCAGGCCCCGAGCCGTGCTTGCTGCCTCTCCTGTCACGTCGCACAGGAAGGAGCGTGAGGGGGGCTGACCCCCCGCGACCTGGGCGCTGAAGCTCCCTGATCGGTGCTGGCGTGTCGCGCAGCTGTGGGAGCAGAACGAGGGCGGTCGCGACGAGACGGGCGTGGCGTCGCGTTCGGTCAAGTTGAGCGACAAGAAGATGACCGAGCTGAAGGGCACGGAGGCGCACGAGACGCGCGGGTGAGTGGGCGGGGCGGGGCATGAGCTGTGCTGTGCTGCGCTGCGTGCGCCGACGGGGTAGTTGACTCACGCGGCGGCGCGGGTGTGGGTGTTCGCTGCAGGTACACCGAGCGCGACGCAGCGCAGCCCGACATGCTCGACGTGGCGTACCGCGTCGCTTCGACGGCGCCGGTCAAGCCCGATGCGGTGCGCGAGCTTGAGGAGCGGCAGGCCAGGGGTTTCCCGATCAAGCACAACCCCCTGCGGACCCCTCCGGGCGGACGCTCCACCTTCGTGTTCGGTTGAGGCGGACGCTTCGTCCGTGCGAGACACGGGGCGGTCGCGTGCGGGCCGTGCGTGCTGCTGGTGTGGGGTGGGTAGGTCCGTTGGGGCCCCTGTGCCCGTGACTAGGTCCCGTCTGGTGGGACCTGGGGCGGTTTGTGCCGCCGCGGGCGGGTTGCGATGATTGCTGTGACATCTTGTGCGATCGAGTGAGATGCATCACATGTGCGGCAAATGGCGCCGGGATTCGCGTGTCTCTCCTGCGTGGGTTTGTGTCCTGTGTGGGTTCGTGACATGCCTCTCTCGAGACGAGGCGGCCCGGTGCGGGGGCGGCCGGTCGTGCTAGCAGGATCTGCGCCCCGGGCGAGTTGTCGTCCGAGTGTTCGAGGCCGGCAGGCGTCCCGTCCCGTGTGCGAGGTCCTCGCGCGAGGAGGCAGCCCGTGCGTCAGCGCCTAGTCTGATGGGTGGGGTTGCAGTCCTCATGGAGAGACGCTGTCGCATCTCGGGACGAAACAGAATGAGTGGCTGGGCTGTGGGCGGTGGACGGTGGACGGCGGGCGGGGGGTGAGAGGTGGAGGGTGATGAGGGTGATCAAGTCCGGTGCCGGCGCCGTCACTGCCACACGCCGACGTAGCAGCCGCGCAGGCCGTACGCGAGCGGCCCTCCGACGGCGATCATGCGCGTCCCGGCGGGGTCCCAGGCGTGCGCGTGGCACGCGTGGAAGACGTGCATGTTGCGGAAGTACTGCCGGAACACCGCGTTGGTGTCCACGTGCCCGCGGCCGAGGTGCACGCCCCAGCTGTCCGGGCCGTCGGCGGGGGCCCCGAGCGGGGCGCCGTGCTCCGCCGAGTTGACGGGCAGGAAGCTCATGCTGCGCGTGTCGAGGAAGCAGACCTGGCCGCGGCCGGCACCAACGGAGAGGAGGGGGTCGCTGAACTCGAGCGACCGCACGCCGCCGGAGCCGTCGACGGTGGGGACGGAGAAGAGGGTTGACTGGGGCGCGCGCGGGTCCATGAGGATGACGTGGCTGCTGGAGCCGCACGCGATGAGGCCGTCGCGCGCGGCGACGCAGACGTTCTCCTGGCGGTACGGCAGCTGCACGCCCGCGGAGGGCTGCATGCGCGCGGCGTCCCAGATGAGCACCGTGCCGTCGCACCCGAGCGAGGCCAGGCGGCGCGACCCCTGCGCCAGCGCCATGGCGCGCACCTTGCCCTGGTGGTCCCAGCGCGTCACGAGCGGCGGGCGAGAGGCCGCGTCGGGGTCGTACGTGTCGTAGGAGCCGTCCGTGCTCACGTCCCAGACCTTGATGGTGTGGTCGCGCGAGCAGGTGGCCAGCCGCGTCGACGACAAGAACTTGATGCCAAAGACCCAGTCCAGGTGGCCCACGAGCGTCGTGACGGGCTCCATCGTCTCCCTATGCAACACCACGCAGTCGCTGGCCTCGCGGCCGCCCGTGGCCAGGAGCCCGCCGCACGGACTGCGGAGCACCGCGGAGGCAGGAGCAGTGGTTGTAGGAGGCGTGCGCACCGGGACGCGAGGGGGGGGCCGAAAACGACAAACGGGGGCGGAGCGGACGAGGATGCCGTGGTAGGCCGGGAAAACGCGCGGCGCGGCGCCGCTCGCCGCCGCAGGGTCGCGCGGGTGGCCGTGCCGACTGTGAGAGGTTTGTGCTCGACGCGCACCTTGCGTCGATGGAGTGGATCCCGCAGTGCCCGAACGGGTTCGCCTCGGGCGCTTGAAGGCTAACGTTGCGCTCCGGCGCCGCCGGCAGCGGCACCTGGACCACCTTGCCGGTGGACGGCGTGATTTGCATCAGTGTGTTGCACTTGGTGCCCACGTACGCGACGTCCGGCTCGACCCACCTCTGCGCGCACGACAGTCGACTGGACTTCAGCGCGCGCGGTTCCGCGACTTTCGGCGCCCGTGGCCGCCCGCCGAGGCGCGGCAGCGGGCGCGGGGCTGAGCAGGCCGCTGCGGGGGATCGCCGCGGTGCGGCGGGCGTGGCCGGCCCGCGGGCCGTGCAGTCAGGCAATCGCGCCTCTCGCGAGACAAGGGCGCGGGAAAACGGCGGGGCGGGCCGACCGTCCCCGCACGCGCCGCGATATGTCGCCATCCAACTGGGGGCCAGGGAGGGGGCGCACCACCGTGAAGGCCTTGTCGAAGCGCTGCAGCACCTCCAGGTCCAGCTCCTTCTCGCGCCAGGTCTGAGGCATCGAGGAGCGGCACGACACGCGGAAATCCTCCCTCGTGCGCTCCCTGCAGGCGAGCGCCAGCACCACAGGGCCGCCACCAGTCGGGTCCGGCCACGCGGACAATTGCGCGGCGCCGACGCCGTCCAGCGGGCCCGGCGCGGCCGAGGCGTGCGCGTGGTGGCGAATCGCGGGGCGATCGCCGCGGAGGCGCGGCGGTGACGGCAGGCCGGGTGGTAGGTCGCGCTCAGGTGAGAGGGGGCCACCGCGCGCGCTGCGCCGCACCTGTGCACGCGGCCCATTGCCCGCCGCAGGAGGGCCTGGCTGACGGACGGCCGCTTCAGCGAGGGCGCGTCGCCCGCGGCCTTGGCCATCTTTCCGGCCAATCGGAGGCCGTGGTGGAGAACCTCGGGCGCCGAGGTGCTCGGACCGCCGACCGCGTGGCCCCCGCACGCGCACGCGCGTTTCCGGCGGTGCCCGCTGCAGCTGCACCCCGGGTCCTCCTCGGACAGCAGGCGCGTCACGTCGCCGGCGCGCCCCTTGCCCGCCGCGCCGAAGTGCTCCTCCAGCGCCACGCGCTGCCGCTTGTGCGGAGCGGGCCCCGACGCCCGCGCAGCCGTCGACGAGGGCGGTAGGCGGCACATTGAGCACTGCGGTGCGAATGTGCCGCGCGCCCGCCCCGCCGCGGGCCCTCGACGGGGCTCAAACCTCACATGGCGACACACCTCGAGGACCCCCCTCAAGCCCCTCGGACCCTCTAATTGCGCCGTCGGGCCAAGACCGCGCGCCCGGCACCATCGGACGGCGCCGAGCCGCCCCCCCGGCACATCAGGTAGCACCTGCGCGGCGTTGCAACCCACGATCGCGCGCCTCGGTCACGTACGGGGGCGCCTGCCTGCTCTCGGCGGCTAGGACGTTGACTCTCACGTTGCACCCGCGACGACGGACGCGCGCGGGGCGCGGGGATGCGAGGATCCGGGCACCGGTAGCGCGAGGAACGGGCGGTACGCTTGGGGGCAGCCGTTAGGTCGCGAGGCCCGCGCGCGAGGAGCGACGTGCGCCATGACCATCCCGCAGAGCCCCGTGGTGAAGACGAAGGAGGGGTGCTTCACGAGGGACGAGACGCCCGAAGTGTACAGCCGGCAAACGACCATCTCGCACTGGCAGCTGCGCGACCTGGTGACGTGCGCGGAGGACGGGTGCATCTACACCGTCCACAGGTCCACCGTGATCAAGTTCGACCCCTTCGCGCTCAAGGTGCGCCGCGCGGGAGCCGACCGGGCACGCAGGATGATCCCTGGTGAATGGAGAATGCGACACGGCGGCGCGTGGGTGACGAGCGGCCTAAATCGCGCGCCGCGAGCGGTACTCCCGCCCAGCAAAGAGCACGTGCGCATGCTTGCAGTCGACGACCGTGCAGTCGCTTGATTTTCAACCGACCTCCATGTGCTACAAGGACGGTTATATCGCGACCGGCGGGCAGCAAGGACAACTACGCGTCGCGAAGGTGCGCGGTCAGGCTCCCCTGCCAACGATGGCGTTTCGCGCCGTGAATGAGCCGCACCTGACCTGCTCATTGCCGTCGTTGCGCGAACATTCCTCTCGATGTTCACCGTACGCGGACGCAAGCGCCGTGATGTCCCGCTGAGGGGAGCAACGGACCAGACTGGCTCTCAACACTCACAACCGGGCGCGTATTCCGTCCTCAGGGGCCGCCAATGGCCGCGCTGCGCTGCCAGACGAGTGACGTCGTGACCAGCGACACCCAGTACCGGCCCAACTCCCCTGATGCCGCGCTTTGCCGCGGCACTGCTGCTCTGAGCCTCGCGAGCTGAGGTGGCGCTCTCAGTCTGGTCGGCAAACCGACGTGCTCCGGGCCCGAGGTGCACCGCAGATCCAGCCGAACGGCAGTGCGACGGAGGTCCACCGCGGCGACGTCTCGACCAGCGTGAACAACGCGCTGCACATCGCCCCGCGACCAGACGGCAGGGTGCAGCTCTTCGTGTGCAACAACGACCAGTCCGTGCGGATGTACGACCTGCCGACGATGGAGCAGACGGCGCAGCTGCGGTTCGACACCGCGATGAACTACTGCTCCGTGTCGCCCGACGGCACCGAGATGCTGTGCGTGGGCGACAACAACCAGATGATGATCTACCACGCCCGCGAGTCCGACTGGCACAAAACGCACACCTTCCAGGTGCCGCCCCACGCAGCGCGAGAAACCCGCCCGCCGCGAGCGCAGCATGTGCGCGCGGGGCGTCCCGTCGCGGCGCAGGTGTGTGCACTCACCGCCGCGTCCCGTGCCCCGCTGTGCCCCGCGCAGGAGTTCCGCGACGCCGGCATGGCCTGCGCGTGGAACCCGTCGGGCACCCTCATCTCCGCCGTCAGCCAGGACGGCCGGTGCTGCGTGTGGGACGCCCACTCGCACCGCCTGCTGGCGCGCTACCGCACTGAGGGCGCCTGCCGCGACGTCAAGTTCTCGAGCGGGCCGATGGACCTGCTGGCCTTCTCCGAGCACACGACGCGGTGCCACCTCGTGGACGCCAGGATGCTGACGCGGAAGCAGGTCCTGTACTTGGACGACGACGACAGTGCGCTCCCTCCCTCTCCCCCTCCTGCCCGCCGCCGCCTGGCCCAGTCGCGCGCGCAGCAAGCCGCTCACTGTCTGCGCCTTCGATCGGTGTTCGCAGCCGGGGAGCCGAACATCTCGGGCATCTCGTTCACGCCGGGGGGCGAGCGGTTGTTTGTTGGCACTGAGCACAGCCTCGCCGCGTTCTCCATAGACACTGTGCGCCGCCGCACGCTGGGCAACGGCGGCCTCGTGTGACAGCAACGTGCAGGCCGGCCCGTGGTGCTCCTGACGGACTGACTCATGATGCATGTGCTGCTCGTCCGACCGGGCTGTTCCGCCGGCAGCGCGACTTGCTGGCCCGCCCGAGCGCGGCGTTCGTACTTCGCGGGTGCACGCTGACAGTGAGGTGTCGTTTCGTTCCCGCCACACCGGCCTTGCGAGCCCCGGACCTGTGTGTGCGCTGCGGACGCACTGCCACCAGGGCGGCGCCCCAGCCGCGCGGCTCGGCACGATGGCGACGCTGACGAGGGAGCAGGAGGACCTCTATGACAGGCAGCTGGGGGTGTGGGGCGTGGAGGCCCAGAAGAAGATGTCGGCATCCAAGGTGCGGCCCGCAGGGTGTGTGCACGTCCGCTGGGGGCGGCTGCAGGGGGCTTGTTGCGATGCACGCGACCGGCGAACGGCGAGCTGCGACGATGCTGGGCACGGCTTTCGCGTCGTGTGCTGCGACGTTGTGCGCCGGCGGCGCAGGACGCGGAGACCTGAATTCCCGCCCAGGACGTCTCTCGCAGGTCATGCTGGTCGGAACGGACGGCTTGACGGCCGAGGTGGCGAAGAACATCACGCTCGCGGGTATCGGGTCTGTCATTCTGTGTTCGAGTGGCACGGTCGCGGACTGCTCGCCGTGCAACTTCCTGGTGGCCGGTGCTCAGCCTGAAGCGCGGCCATGCGACGCAATGGCCGCGGTGCTCTCCGACATGAACCCCTTCGTCAAGTTCGAGACATTGCACAAGGCGCCGGCGGAGGTACGCGTGCCGACATCACACATACGAGACGCGCGGAGATCGAGGTCGCTGCATCTGTGCCACACCTCAACCCGCGCGCAAGCCGACCGCTCCCGCGCCACCACCATCCCTTCGGCCCTCAGAGACCGCGTGAGGCAGGCACCCGGTCCCCCACGCCGTCCCCACCTCGTCCACCCTGACCGCAGCTTGGCGAGGGGGACCTCACGGGCCTCGCGCTGGTGGTGCTCATGTCCAGCAGCTGGGCGGAGGTGCAACACATCGCCGCGCTCGCGCGCAGGCTGTCCGTGCCGTTCTCGTGGGGCTACTGCCGCGGGGGCACGGGCGTCCTGTTCAACGACTTCCTCACGTACGACTTCCTGGTGCGCGCCCCGCCCCGCCCCCGCGCCACCGCCCCCGCACAGGCGGCGCGGGTGACACGCGGCCCGCTGCGCCGGTCGCGACGCGCCCCGGCGTCCCCGCGAGCGCTGCGCGTGCAACGCCGTGGCTGGGCTCCCAACGCGCTGCCCCGGGTGGCTCCGCTCCGCGCAGGACGAGTGGCAGAACGGCGAAGACAAGGTCACGAAGCCCCGCACGCTGGAGTACGCGCCGCTCGACGAGGCGCTGTCCACGCCCCTGAGCAGGCGGAACCGCCGCGCGCTGCCGGCGTACGGCGCGCTGCGGGCGAGCTACGCGGCGTTCCGGCGGAGCGGCGCGGAGCTCTGTGCGGCGTCGCTGCCGGTTGTCAAGGCCGAGCGCGACCGCATCTGCGCGGAGGACGGCGTCCCGGAGCAGCGTGTGCCTGACGACGCGCTGGAGGCGCTCCAGGGCATCGGGCGCGACGTGGCGCCGGTGTGCACGGTAGTGGGTGGCGTACTCGGCAACGACGTGATCCGCGTCGCGGGGCGTAAGGGCCTGCCCGTCCACAACCTGTTCACGTACAACGTCGCCGACGGCAAGGGCAGGACCGAACTGCACCCGATACGCAAGTGAGTGAGATACACTGGCCCGCGGACCGAGAGGGCGTGGGCAAGGGCGGGGCGGGGCCGAGAGGGCTCGCGAGCGCCCGCGTCGCAGCAGCAGCAGGACCAGGAGTGTGAGTCAGTTCCCAGTGCCCCCCCGGGGAAATGCCGGTCGCACGCGGCGCCTTCGGGGTGCCGCGGCGCCCACCTCGGCCCGAATCGTTCTCTGGACAGCAGGCGCACCATGATGCAGGCCTTGAAATTCAACCTCGCGCCCTCCCAGCAGGTGCGCGAGCATTTCCCCTGAGAGCTGCTCGGCGGCAAATGCGGCCCTACAGACACGTGCCCGCTGCGGTCCGCGAGACAACTTGTCGGTATCTCATCATGTTCGAGTCCGCTCGCCGCGTCGTTCCCCATCGCGGCGTGAGTGGGCTCGGCTCAGGGTGGATTTGCCTCCCTCCGCCTCATTGCTCCACCTTCAAGGCCATGCTGACACGCATTCTCATTCGAGGAATTGAGACGTTTTCATCAGCATACACAATTGATTCGCTTCGAAGACCGTAGCACGGCGGAGCTATCGCGATGGCTTGTTCGCCTCGCCACACGATGCACGGGGGGACTTGCGGGCCCTGAAACGGCGCGATGAGCACTTCATGTTTGTTCTGATGTCGTGCCATCTCGGTTGCGACGCCGGCGCGTTTGCGTGCGGCGGCTCCCGCAGCTCAGCCGGGTCGTTCGACAAGCCTGCTGCGGCCCGCCACCCGGCGCCCCACGGTGCGGCTGAACCCCCGCGCACGCCCCGTAGCTCCCGCAGGTGAAGGTGCCCCAGGGCTTCCGGGTCGCCCGGATCGTCCCCGCCAAGCGCGGCGGAGCCCAGGTGGCCAATGCCGTCAAGGAGGTCTTCATGCCCGCGCTGTCATCCACGATGACTGAGGGCAAGATCACCACCTGGCTGAAGAACGAGGGCGACTCGGTGAGCCCCGGACCGCACCATCGCCGTGTCTTTGCCGCCACCGCCACGGGGGCGCGCGTCGCCCCTGGCGCTATCCAGTGCCCTCTCGCAGGGCGCCCCTGCGCCTGGCCGGCCCCGTCAGCGCTCCGCCGCAGTGGCACATTCAAGAAGGGCTTGCGCGGACGGTTCACGCCGCACGCGCGTGGCTGTACGCGCACGGAGCCGTGCGGCACGGCCGAAGACCTTGCGCGGCTGAACCCAGCGCACTCACGGCCACCGCCCTGCGCCGTCGGTCGCGCTCTGCAGGTGTCCAAGGGCGAGGCCATCCTCGTCGTCGAGTCGGACAAGGCAGACATGGACGTCGAGGCCTTCAACGCCGGCACCCTCGCCGCCATCGTGGTGCCGGAGGGCGGCTCTGCCAACGTCGGCGACGCCATCGCGTACATCGCCGAGACCCCCGAGGACATGGAGGCTGCCAAGGCCAAGGCCGGTGGCGCTGGCGGTGCGCACTCGAGGCCCGAGGCCTGCTGTCGGCACCAGAGCTCGCGCGCCCCGACGACTCAACCACTCACCTGGCCACCCTCTCTGAACTGCCACGCAGCTGCTGCGCCGGCCCCGGCCGCCGCGGAGAAGAAGGAGGAGGCGCCGGCCCCGGCCCCGGCCGCCGAGGCCCCGGCTCCTGGTACGTCGCCCCGCAACACACCCCAACGCACTGCTTCACGTGCTCGCCTCGCCCACGGGCCCTCACCGCCACCGACGCGTGCGCGTTGCTTGCAGCCCCCGCCGCCGCGGCGCCCGCGCCTGCCCCGGCTGCCCCCGCCCCCGCCCCGGCTGCCCCCGCCCCGGCCCCGGCTGCGCCGGCCCCTGCCCCGGTCAAGCGGGCCGACGGGCGCATCATCGCGACCCCGTACGCGAAGCAGCTGGCCTCGAAGCTCGGTGTCGACCTCGCGGCGATCGGCGGCTCGGGCCCGAACGGCCGCATCACGGCCACGGACGTGGAGCGCGCCGCCAACGGCGCCTCGAGCCCGGCGCCCGCCGCTGCCGCCGCTCCGGCCGCCGCCCCGGCCGCCGCCCCGGCCCCCGCGGCGGCGTCGGCTGTCCCGGCCAAGGTGGAGCCTTCCCCTGCCGCGGCGGAGCTGAAGGGCACCACGGTGCCGTTCACGGCGATGCAGAAGGCCATTGCCAACAACATGATCGCCACGATGAAGGTGCCCGAGTTCCGCGTGTCCATGGCCATCTGCACGGACAACCTGGACGCCCTCTACAAGGTGAGGCGCGACTCCTGCGCGTGGCGCTGCCGTGACACCACACCACGGGTGCCACAGTGTTGCAACAACCTGCTCCTGTGCCTCGCGTCCTGCAGAAGCTGAAGCCGAAGGGCGTGACCATGACTGCGCTGCTGGCCAAGGCCTGCGGTGTGGCGCTGGCGAAGCACCCACTGATGAACGCGGTGTGCACGGACGACGTGTCCGGCGTGTCGTACAACGAGCACGTCAACATCTCCGTGGGCGTGGCCATGCCGGACGGCGGCCTCATCACCCCTGTCCTCAAGGACGCGGACACGGTGGACATCTACGAGATGTCGCGGACCTGGTGAGCCTCCACCAAAACAAACTTGCGATGCCCGCGCGCTGGGACACTCTCCAGCTCCAACTGCGACCCCACGGGCCCGCACAACATGCGTTCGATCGGTCTCCTGCAGGGGGGACCTGGTGAAGCGTGCGCGCAGCAAGCAGCTCAAGCCGGACGAGTACAACAGCGGCACCTTCACGCTGTCGAACCTGGGCATGTTTGGCGTGGAGTCCTTCGACGCCGTGCTGCCGGAGGGCACGGGCGCGATTCTGGCCGTCGCGGGCTCGAAGCCCACGGTGGTGGCCACCGACGACGGCATGATCGGCGTGAAGAAGATGATGAACGTCAACCTCACCGCGGACCACCGCATCATCATGGGCGCGGACGGCGCCGAGTTCCTCCAGACCCTCAAGACCGTCATCGAGAACCCGGACCAGCTCGTGTTCTAGGTCTGCATTCCAGTGTAAGAGCGATCGAAGCGTTGCCGCTGAGCGAGGACTTGTCGCGCCCGACGATGACTCGACATGCGACCGGGAGCAGCGCAGGACGTGCTGGCCTGACATAGAGTGACTTCCGGTGCCCACGATGCTCGGACTCGTCGGCGCACTGAGACCACACGCTGCAGTCACTTTTTCTCGGCACTCTCAGTGGTCTTCGATGCTTCTCTCGGTCGTTACGCTCGCGACCCTGCTCCTATGTGGCCATGTACTTTTTGCCTCAGCACAGCCAGATCGCGACGAAGGCGAGGAGTGCAGCACCCTGTGGAATACGGGACGGAGGGTATGCAGGTCTTCGTGGTCTCGCTCAGGTCTGCCCCCGACGCGTGCGCACGTCTGGTGCGATGATCCAGAGGCAGCAAAACAGCGCTCAGGCAGCGACGCCCGGGGACCGGCGCACTTGTTTCTGTGCGCTTCTGCCTCGTTACGATGCTCGAAGGGATCTGGGGCGCCGAGAGAGAGAGAGAGGCCCGGCGGGGACAAGGTGGCGCGGGTTGTTGCCGGGTAACGAAAGCTTGAAAGAATCTACGGGTCGCGGGACGGGAACTGACTGAGCAGATCCACGGCAACGCCCGCATCAGGCGTAGTATTGCATCTGACGCAAGTGCGAAGCGAGTTATGCGATCCCTGCCGACCGATCTTCTCGCAGGAACCTACACGGGTGACTGGAGCCAAGCCGGGAGGCGCGCGCACGGTTTCGGGCTTTTCGAGAGCAAGGACGGGCACGTGCGCTACATCGGATGGTGGCGGGACGGAGTCCCTGAAGGTTTTGGGCTGCTCTGTCAAGCAAGATCTGCCGAGAGCGGCGTTAAGACAGTCTATGCCGGGAGCTGGTCCAGGGCACAGTACAGCGGGTACGGTGTGCTTCAGCGCCAGGCAGAAGACGAGATCATCGTCTACGAGGGCTGGTGGTCGCAAGGCGCTTTCGATGGCTACGGGAACTACCATCAGTCGTTCTCGCCAAACGCCACCGGCGACTGGTCGCGGCGCGACAACGCGCGATCGTTCTCTGGGATCTGGGAGAACGGGGGAGACATGCGGCTGATGTGGGAGATCCTGAAGGAGGAGCCGGGGCACCGCCTCGTGCAGTCTGAGGACCACGCCGTGAGTGTGTCGTTCGCAACGCTCGAAGCCGTGGGCTTCGGCTTCTATCGAGGCATGTGGGTATCAGCAGCAGCACAGGACCGCGAGGTGAGGGAGCCGGCCACCCGCAGCGCAGGGATGCTGGTTGATGAAACAAACGAGCCACTAGTACTGTGCCTCCCCCGTCGCTGCAGGTGGACGTCATACACGGCGCGGGGACCCTCGGGCTGTGGGGCGAGGACTTCGTCATACACCACCTGGCGGGCGGCATCTGGGATTCCGGCCGCCTGGCGCACAAGAGCACGAACCCGCTCGCTGTCGCGCAGCTGCGCTTCTCGGAGACCTCGGGGTACATCCTGCCGCGGGTGGCGTGGATGGAGGGCGACGCAGACGGCACCTTCAGGGGCCTCGCGGACGACCTGGTGAACACACGTCCCCACCCGTGTTGCAGAAGACGCGCAGCCGAGTGTCAGACCTGACTCAGTGACGCCCGCACGACGTGCACCTGTCGCAGAGGGCGGAGATGCGTGAGGCTGAGGTACTCGCGGCGGAAATTTCACGTCGTGATGACGCTGCTGGACTTGACAGCGCTGCAGGGACGGCGCCACCACCCCGGCAGCGGCTGGCGGCGGTGACATCGTTCCCGCACATCGACACGGGCGGCCCCCGCTCGCTGATCGTCCTGCCCGACGCGGAGAGCTCCTCGGACCTCGCCGCAGTTCTGGGGGTGCTCTTGTTTGCGCTCTGCTTGCTCGTCGTCGCGGCCATCGCGCCCCTGGTCTGCGCCCTCCGCGCCGGCGCTCCGAGGCCGCGCGCGGGGGCACGCAGGAGACCAAACAACCCGTCTCCGGGCAAGGCGGCCCGCGTGGCGAACGCCGTGTCGGAGGCTGCAGCACATCTCTACCACATGCTTGTTGGCGGTCGTGCGCGTCGGGATGGGAGCGCAAGTGAACGCCAGCGGGAAGAGACCGCATCGTTCGCGTCGCTGGCGCGCGGAAGAAGACGAGGGCACCGCGGGCGGGCCGCCAGAGCAGAGCCTGGTTCCCCGCCCGTCACTTATTTGGTTACGACGCCGGCGACACCGCCCGGCCGGCGCCCGTCGATGCGGCCACACCCACGTGCGCGCCTTGATACGGCGTATGGAGCGGTCGTTATCGCTTGGTTGCGCGCCAGGTCGTCGCTGTCCGCAATGAGACAGACCACAGCTGAGGTGGTGCGTCAGTGCTTCGGCCGCCTCGTGGGTGCGAGGGCGCCACCGACCTTCATCCAGCCTGGAGTCTCTCCGAGATCCGCGGAGTCGCCGTGCCAGGAAGGGTCTCGCTCGCCGTCCAAACCGACGCCGTGCAACAGTCCCGAAACTGTGTCGTCCACGACCCCACAGAAGAGGCTGCTCTGTGTCGTCTGCATGGAACGCCCAAGCACGCATGCGTTCGTTCCGTGTGCGCCCCCTCACCCTGATCTGGACGTGTCTGGCCCGCCCCAGCTCGACTGTCGCTGCAATCTCGCGCACCGACGGTTTCGTGCCCACCGCGTCCTCCGCCTCGTCTGTCGCTGCAGGCCTGCACTGCTGCGTCTGCGAGAGATGCGCGAAGGCCACGCTGCGGCGGAGGGGGGCCGCTACTTGCCCGATATGCCGTGCCACTGCAACAGCATGCGGAATGGTGCACGCGTGCGGCTTCGAGGACGACTGAGCGGCACCTCGCGCCTCGGAAGGGTCCGTGTGAGACCTGAGGAGGCCGCATCTCAGTCAGCAGAACTCACAGCAAGCGCAGCCCCACGCACTGCACCATCAGCGTGCACCGCCACTCCGCGACAGTAGCTCGGCCATACAAGGCCGCGAAGCGCCAGCACATATCACCAGCGCGGGCGCGCGCTCCATTTCGAGCGCGCCCCGCGCCCCCCGGGCGCGGCCGGCGGCGCACCCCGCCACGCCGCCCGTCGCCCTCCAGTCAAAACGCCCATCCCGGCCGCCCTCGGCCCGGTCCCCCGCGGCACCGCGCGCTTAGAGCGTCGCCGAGAACTTGGCGAGCGAGCCGAACGCGCCCTCGCCCGTCGTAAGGTACTGCACGCCGAAGCCGAAGAAGGCCACCATGGCCAGGCGCGCGTGCTTGATCTCGGCCTCCTTCAGGCGGAAGGCCTTCTCGGGGTCCGCGTCGGGGCCGGCGAGGCCGAGGGGGTCGAACACGCCGCCGGGGTAGCAGCGCTTGGTGGTGTCGAGCTCCGTCGAGCGGTAGATCTCCACGCCGCCCATGAGGATGGCCTCAATCCAGCACAGCTGGGAGATCGAGAAGGGGAGGTCGAACGAGAGGTACTTCGCGCCGTCCAGCTCCACCTTGCCGGCCTCGGCCCAGGACACGCCCGTCGCCGACTCCGCGACGATCACGCCCAGCGCCGCGAGCATCGCCCAGCGCCCGTGGATGAGCTCGCACTCCCGGAAGCGCTCCAGGCCAAACACCTCGTCGTACGGCTGCAGCTTGTTCTCCGACGAAACCTTCTCCGCCTGGGGCTGGAAAGTGCCGACCACCTGCGGGGACGACGCGCGCGCGAACGAGCCGCCGGTGAGCGCGGGGCGCGGGGTGGCGCCCTCGCGGAGTGGCGCACCAGGTCTCCCGTCAGCGCAGAGCCGGGGCGGCCAGCGATGGCGCGCGCGCTGGCGTGCGCTCGTGGGCGTGTGCTCGTGCGCACCTGGCCGGGCTTGTTCACGGCCGCGTTCTGGTCCAGCTCGTCGACGTCGATCTGCAGGTACTCGACCGGCTTGCCGAGCGACAGGGGGTCGAAGCCGCGGTCGCCGGGGAGCGAGCCGTCGAGCCACTCAGGGATGTCCGCGTTGGGGATCCAGGTCGGGCGGCCCTCGAACTTGCGGTAGCCCACGCCACCGGTGCCCGAGGTGCGGGTGGTCGTCGTGCCCGTCTTCTTGGCCTTGAACACCGGCTTGGGGGCGGCCTTCTTCGGGGGCGCCTTCTTGGCTGCAGAATAGCGTGGGAGCGAGGGCGGAGGTGAGGGAGGCCGGCGGCCAGTGGGTTTGGCATCGCAGCGAGGCGCGAGTCAATCGATGATATCTTCGTCGATGCGTCGCGGCATCCCGCGTCGGCCCGCGTGGCAAGCGAGGCTGTTCGATGGTCGCCGACTGCGAAGATGGCAGCCAGGCATCGGCCCGCATCTACGGGCGCGGGGGCGATGCCTGGGCTCGTCGATTCAGGAGGGCGCTGGCGACGCGCACGGGCCTGCCTCGCGCTCGTGCGGCGCAATGGACGCATCTACAGTACGATCGATGCCGATTCGTGCGAGTTGGGTACGTATCGTGCGGTATGTTCGATCGAACTGCCGACCTACATCCGGCCTAGGTTGGAGAGCGCCCGCAGCGCGCTGAGGGCCCGCGCGCGCAGACAAACAGCGCGTGGCGAATGATAGACGCTCGTGAGGGCGCCCAAACGCGGCACTGATTGGGCGGAGGCACCGGGGCGACGATGCGACCGGAAGCTCGGTGAATCCCGGGCGACGAGCCCAGCACGTCCGCCCGTGCGCGGGCGTCGCGCCCCAAGCTGCGCGGACGGACGATTCGGCGGTGAGGAGGCTCACCCGTGCCGGCCTTCTTGGAGAGGGTGGCGGGCTTGCCGCCCTCGGCCTTCTTGAAGAGCCCGGTCCCGAACAGCCCCGTCCCGCCCTGCTTCATCGTCGTCTTGAGAGCCATGGTTGCGACGCTACCTGGAGTTCTGTCTAGACTGGTTCAACGTTTTGACGGCGTGCATGCCGACGAGAAGCCCCCTTCTGCCCGATGGAGGCGACGGATCTCTGAGGGGGGGGTCCCTGACGCAAGGCAACGCGCGGGCGATCAGCGAAATCCCCTCCGCATCTCTGGACCGCGATCTCACCGAGCCAGTGCAGCACGGGGCCCGCACGGCTGAGCGCACCGCCCCCCCATCGCCGCGCCCCCGGCTGCCCTGCCCCCAGTATCTCCTGCAATCGACGCGTCTGGGCACCCGCGACGTCGCCGGCGCCGCCACCGACCGCCGCGCTACGTCGCAGGCGCCCTCGGCCGCGCCCTCCGAGCGGCCGATGGCGCACCGGACCCCAGTTCGGCCCGATCACCCCCATGGCGCTGCGCGACGCGCGCTCACGCCTCGGCACCGGGGCGGCTCGCCGGGACGCCGCGGCGGGGGACACTCAGATGCATTGCGAGTTCAGGGCTCACAGCACGCGCTCGTTCGCGCGCCGGCGCGCCGCCGTGCGCGCCCGCGTCGCCTGCGCATCACGACCAGATGTCCCGCACGTAGCGGCCCGCCTGCGTCAGCTGCTGCAGATCGGCCGCAGCCTCGGCGTCGGAGCACGCGCCGTGCTGCGCGCGCGCGGCGACCAGCGTCGCGTGCACGTCCTTGGCCATGCCCGCCCCGTCGCCGCACACAAACACGTACCCGCCCTGCGCGAACACCATCTCGTGGATCTCCGCCGCGTGCTTCGCCATCAGGTGCTGCACGTACACCTTGTCCTTCTGCGCGCGGCTGAACGCCACCTCCAGCCGCGTCAGGGTCCCGTCCGCCTTGAACGACGTCAGGTCCTCCTCGTACAGGAAGTCCTCCTCCGCGCGGCGGCACCCGAAGAACAACCACGCCGGCGCCGCCTTCGCAGCCGCGCCCTTGGCCGCCAGCATCGTCCTGCGCTTCTGCAGGAACCCGCGGAACGGCGCCACGCCCGTGCCGGGCCCGACCATGATCCACGGCTTGGTCAGGTCCTCGGGGGGGCTGAACGCGCCGCCCGACCGGATGTGCGTCGCGATGCGGGGCGGGGTGGCCGGGGCCGCGCCGCCGCCCAGGAGGTGCGCGCACAGGTCGTCGAGCCACGTCGTGGCCACGCCCTTGCGCTGCCGGCCGTATGCGTTCTGGAACGACACGACCGACATCGCGACCTCCGCGCGGTCGGGGGACGTGCAGCTCGAGTTCGTCAGCGAGTACTGCCGAGGCGCCAGCGCCGGGAGGTGGTCCAGCAGCGGCGCCAGCGGCGGCCGGCACGACTTGAACCTGCACAGCCACGCGCAAACACACGCGTGAGCGGCGCCGCGGTGACCACACGCGGCACGCGAGCGACGCCAGAGGACGCGGTTCGCACCGGTTGAGGATGTCGAGGAGCGTCGGCGCGTCGCCCTGCGTCTGCTTCTTGTAGGCCTCCTTCCCGGCCTTGGAGCACAGGAAGAGCAGCGTGCGCTTCTCCGCGGGGTCCTCGCAGTGCTCCGCGAGGAGCCGCAGGAGGGACTTGCGCGGCGGGGACGAGATGTCGACGCCGCGCGCGAGGGCCGCGCGCACCGTGCACGGCGCGGGGATGTGCGGGAGCATGTGCCCGTCCGCGCGCTTGCCGTCCGCGTCCGTGAGCGAGATCACCGCGCCGCCGTCCAGCCCCAGCCGCGCGATCAGCCCGTCCACGAGGTCCTTGCAGTTGACCGGGTGCACCGCAATGGCGCTACCTGCACAACACGACGCGCACACCGCACCGTGAGCCCGCCGCGCACGCCCCGCCGCTCTGAGATGTGTCCACGCACGCACTGCGGGAACGCACCGGGCGCCGCGTCCATCCCCGACCCCTTGATGTCGAACGCCACGTGCAGCACGCGGCGGTCCGACGTCGGGCTCGTCAGGAGCCGCGCGTCCGCGACGCCGGCCCAGAACGGCTCCGACGCGCTGTACGCCGCCCCGCGCCCCGCCGCGTGCGTCTCCTCGCCCGGCCAGCGCGCCTCCGCGCCGCGCACGCGCTCTGCCGCCGCCGCGTCCTCCTCGTACTTCACGCCGATGCGCGCGTGGCCGACCGCGGGCGCGCCCGCCGTGTCCACGCCCTCGGGCGCGACCCACGCCGTCGTGTCGCCCTCGGCGCCCAGCACCTTGCCCGCGAGCTCCGCGCTCGCCCGCGCAGCGCCGCGCGACTCCTGCGACGCCCGCGCGCCCGCGCCGCCCCCGTCCTTCATCGCCTTCTCCAGCACCGGCCAGAGCTTCTCGAGCCACCCCTCCACCGCGTCCTCCAGCCCCTCCACCTCGTCCGCCTCCCCGGGCGGGAAGAACTCCCCCGCGCCCAGCGCGCGCATGTTCTCGCACAGCACCCGCGGCACGTGCATGAAGCGCGTGTAGTTCGAGTCCCCCAGGCCCAGCGAGGTGAACTTGACGCCCTTGAACGCCCCCTCCGGGTTGTCCTTCCGGCGCACCGCCATCCAGAACTTGGAGCAGTTGTCGGGGGGGTCGCCGTCGCCCGTCGACGCCGACACGAGCACCACGAACGGCGTGCGCTCGGCGCTCATGTTCTCGAAGCCCAGCTCGTCCAGCGCCATCACCTGCGACGGCAGCCCGCGCGACTCGGCCTCGCCCTGCGCGTTGCGCGCAATCTCCTGCGCTGTGCCCGTCTGCGAACCGTACAGGAAGTACACCTCCTTCGGACGGTTCTTCGCCGCGTCCGCGCGCTGCTTCTTCATCTGCGCCAGGATCGCCGCGCCGCCCACCAGCGGCGCGTTGCCGTTCCCGCCGCCCGCCTTGGCCTCCGGGGCCGCGGCGTCCGCCGCCGGCGCGTCCTCCTTCTTCTTGTTCCCGTAGACCTCCTTCCTGACATCTTCGAGCCCCACGAGGACGCCCCAGTCCTTGAGCTTCTTCGCCACGAAGACGCAACCCGCTGCACGCGCACCGCAGACGCAGGAGGGCGGTGAACGTGCCGGTGCGCCGCGGCGTGCTGCTCAGCGCCAGGCGCGACGACGCGGACGGACAGACCGCAGCTCGACGCCGGCCGCGAATGCGACGAGGCGCGCCCGCGACGCTGTGCGGGGTGGCCCACAAGAGCTGAGGCTCCCCTTCAACATGGCTGGGGTTCCCCCCCGTCTCGCGCGGGCATGGGTGCACCGCGGCGCTCCCGCGGCCTTCGACCGCGTCCCGGTGCATCGGCCACGCGCGGCGCGCCGTTGGCGCGGGCTAGGGCGCGCGGGAGCGCCCCGCGGCTGGCATCGCAGACGGTCAGGTTAGGGAGCCGCTCGCGGTCCATAGCGGCCTTGCGGCGGCCTCTCGAGCAGATGGGACTGGCGAGAGGCTGCGGGGCTCGCTGCTGGAGGCCCGGTGCCTCGGCAACCCGGCGCGGGGGCGCGGCGGAAGTAGGGCAATGCTCGGCCGGCAACTCACCGCAGACCACGAGGAATGGGAACGCCGCGCTCACGAGGGCGAAAATGCCGGGGATGCAGCATATCGCGACCCCGCCGATGAAGTACGGGTGCGTCACCACGTCCTTGGCGACCGACAGGAGGCCACCACGAGCCGAAATGTCGGCATCTTGGGCCAGGAACTGCGCCGCGCGCGACATCGCGGCGACACGGGGATCACTTCTCAATTGCCGCGCCCTCCACGCGCGAAATTCGCCGCGCGAGGTCGACGCGTCCTCGGGCGACGGACGCTGAGGGTGGGCTGATCGAGCGGCCAGGTTCCCGCGCACGAGACAGCGCGGCGCAGGGGGCTGACTGGCGTACGGGGCGGGTCACGTCCCTCACAACCCGAGCTGTGTCCGCGGCGTGTGTGCGTGCCCGCCCAAGCCCTGCCGCGGGCCCCAAGGCGGCTTGACGCATGGCTTCAGCGCGCCGTGTGGCAGACCGGGAACCAGGACTCCCCCCTGGAGGCCACGCGCTCGTTGCCACCTGAACGCGCGCCCCCGCGCACGAACGTGGCGCGCCTGGCGGAGGACGGACTGTTGAGCGACTGCGCTGCCGCGTACCGCGCTTTGCTGCTCTGACGGTCTCACGTCTGTTGCGTAGCCCGCTGCTGCCGTGCACCGTCGACGAGGGGCGCTCTCAAGCGCAGCCTGGGTGACGCGAGGACGCAAAGAGGCGCGCTCCGCAGTGGTTCCAGGGCAGGGCGTTTGACGCCGGAGGAGGCCGGGCGTCCGGGCAGCGTGCTGCTCTTGCCTCTCTGGCCGCTCACCCTGAGGGGGGCCGCCGGGCGACGATGGCGAACGCAAACTATGAGACCGATAGACGTGAGTGCCGCGGCGCCCCGCGCGGCCGCTGTCACGCCGTGCTCGCCGCGTGCGCTCGCAGCAGCGTGACCCAGCGCACACTCCGGACCCGCGCCTCGGGCCGTGGCGGCCGCCTCGCCCGGAACGCGCATCTTTTCCGCCGAAGTGCCTCCAGACTTGCGCGAGCCGCGGAGCCCGCGCGCGTCGGATCCGCGCACAGCAGCCACGTCGTGCTGCCCCCATTTCATGTGCGCGGCTCCCGCCTTCAGCCCCCGCGCGCCCGGCGACGGTCCCCCCGCCCGCCGCGCCCCCTGCGCCCGCAGAGGACATAAAGAAGTTCTTCCTGGAGTACAAGGACCACATCCTCGACGACGACGCGCCGAAGTACATGACCATGCTCGAGGTGAGCGGGAAACCCGCGCACGCACCCGTGGCCCGGCCGCACGGGCCCAATCGCGTCCCCAGCGACGCAGAAGCGCGTCACCTGCCTCGCGGGCGTGCTCCCGCCCGGCTGTGCGCGCGGCTGCGCCGTGGGAGCCCCAGCGTGCCCTGCCAACAGCCAGTGTCCTCCTCGCGCCCCCGCAGGACATCGCGAAGCGCGCGAGGAAGACGCTGGAGATCGACATGTTCGACGTTTCGCAGCACTTTTCGATGGAGAGCGACGTGTACGTCGGGTTCCGCTCCAACACGAAGCGCTACATTGATCTGGCCAGCACCGCGGCGGACGAGGTCATCCGCGAGAACTTCCACCAGGAGTGGGACGAGCGCGACCCGCTCGACGTGCTCGTCCGGCAGCTTCTGCAGCGGCAGGAGGAGGCCGCGGCCCAGCGCGCGGAGAGCGGCGCGGCGCCGGGCGGTGCGGCGGAGCTGCGGCCTGCGCTGACGCGGCGGTACGAGGTGACGGTGGTGCCGGCGCCCGGGGACGAGTGCATCCCCGTGCGGGAGGTGCGCGCGCAGCACATCGGCGGGCTCGTGAGCGTGAAGGCGATCGTCACCAAGGTCGGCGACGTGCGCCCGCTCATCCGCGTCGCCACCTACCTCTGCACCGAGTCAGGGTCCGACACCCCCATCTTCCAGGAAATCCCCTCGCGGACCTTCCTCCCACAGGTGCGGACCGCGCCCGCCCCCCCGCGCGCCCGTCCGGCCGTCGGGCGCGGCACGTGCGTCCGACTGCTGCGCAACCCCCCCCCTGCGCTCGTGTGCAGACGGAGCCGCCGCCGGAGTACAAGAAGGAGGGCGTGAAGGGCCCGCTGACGCTGATGACGCGCGGGTCGCGGTTCGTGAAGTTCCAGGAGGTGCGCGTGCAGGAGCTGAGCGAGCAGGTGCCGATGGGGCACATCCCGCGCACGATGACGGTGCGGCTGTTCGGGGAGCTCACGCGGACGGTGCGGCCGGGCGACGTCGCGGTGGTGACGGGGATGCTGTTGACGGAGCCGTACACGGGCGTGAAGGGCATGCGCGCGGGCCTGGTGCACAACTCGTACCTGCACGGGCTGCACGTGCGCAAGCAGAAGCAGTCGTACGAGGAGATCTCGCACGAGACGAACGACGACGACTCGATCGTCCGCAAGGTCCTGGCCGAGGCGCAGCGCGACGGCGTGGACCCGTACGAGAAGCTGGCGCGGTCGATCGCGCCGGAGATCTACGGGCACCTGGACGTGAAGAAGGCGCTGCTGCTGTGCCTGGTCGGGGGCGTGACGCGGAAGATGGGCGACGGGATGAAGGTCCGCGGGGACCTGCACATGTGCCTCATGGGCGACCCGGGCGTGGCCAAGTCGCAGCTGCTCAAGTTCGTGTCGACGGTGGCGCCGCGCGCGGTCTACACCAACGGGCGCGGGTCGTCGGGCGTGGGGCTCACGGCGGCGGTGACGAAGGACCCGCACACGTCGGAGATGGTCCTCGAGGGCGGCGCACTCGTCCTGGCGGACCGGGGGGTGTGTTGCATCGACGAGTTCGACAAGATGGACGAGACCGACCGGACGGCGATCCACGAGGTGATGGAGCAGCAGACGGTGTCGATCGCCAAGGCGGGGATCACGACGACGCTGAACGCGCGCACGACGATCCTGGCCGCGGCCAACCCGGCGTGGGGGCGGTACGACCTGCGGCGGTCCCCCGGGGAGAACATCAACCTCCCCGCGTCGCTGCTGTCGCGGTTCGACTTCATGTGGCTGATGCTGGACCGCGCGGACGAGGACGCGGACCTCGAGCTCGCGCAGCACGTGCTGCACGTGCACCGCCACCGCGAGGCCCCCGACACCAGCCACATCAACCCCCTGTCGCCGGAGGACCTCCGCCGGTACATCAGCGTCTGCCGGACGCGCGAGCCGACCTTCCCGACGGGCGACCTCGTCAGCAAGATGGCCGCGACGTACAGCAGCATGCGGCAGGAGAACCAGGGCCGCGGCAAGGAGTACGTCACTGCGCGCACCCTGCTCTCCATCCTGCGCATGGCGCAGGCCTCGGCGCGCATCCGCCTCTCGGACGAGATCTCCGACGCGGACATCAACGAGGCCATCCGCCTCACGATCGCGTCGAAGGCCACGCTGCACGCCGACGCGCGTGCCGCACGCGCCGACGACACGGACCCCGTGTCCGCCATCTACCAGATCATCCGCGAGCACGCGGTCGCGCACTGGGAGGAGGTCGAGGCGCACGGGATGAGCTACGACGAGGTCCTGCGCATGGTCGTTGGGCGCGACTTCCGGCAGGAGCAGCTCGACGTGTGTCTCGAGGAGTACGAGGCGATCCAGGTGTGGCAGCGGCAGGAGGACGGGCGCATCACGTGGACGGTACCCGGGCACGCGTACTAGGCGCGGCGGCGGCGTGGCCGACGTGGGGCGGCGCGCGGCTCCACATCGCCAGTTCCATGATCGCCGACACGCAGGGCCGGGGCCGTGCAGCCGGTGGTGAGGCGGGTGCGCCGGCGTCAAATATTACAAGCAGCAGAGCAATCTTGAACGAAGCAGGGGCGCGCGGACATGTCAGCCCGCTCGTCAGGCGCAAGGATCTGCGCGTGACGACGGAGGAAGCCGCGGCGGCGCTGGCCCCGGGCGCCCCGAACGGACTCAATGCCGCGCACGCAGCACTGATGATACTCTCTGAGCTGGAGGAGCTGTTCGTCGATCGGAGCAAGAATCTGACGGCCACGCTGGAGCAGAGCCTCGCGGACCGTCTTCGTCGGTGGAACGTCGAGGGGACCGGGGGCTGCCAGATTCTGGATCCCTCGCAGGGGATGGAGATGCATGTTGGGTGAGGTGCTTGCGGTCCTGCTCGAGGATGCCGACGGCCCTTGTGAGGCCCCGCGTCATGGTCGCCCGCGTCGCGTCTGGCCCCGCTCTCCCGTCCGGGTGCCCTTGCAGCACGTAGTGCTCCCGCTGTTGCTGCTGCCAAGCTCCCGTGGTCGTGCCTCCGACGCTGCGTCCGCTGAGACGTCGATCATGTCTGGGGTTTTTGTGCACGTGACCGCGCATGCTGATGCGCGAATAGAGTGCCACACACACAACGCAAGCAAGACCACCGCCGCGCGCGCATGACCGCCCCCCCCCCACCTGCAGCGCAGCGCCGTGCACGCACGCGACCGCCACCGCGCACCAGCACCACGCCCCTCGCGATCCCGTCCGTGGGCTCGCTCGGTGCGGCTCACGACGTCCGGGGGAGGTGTCCTTGGCTGAGCGTGCGAATTCGATATGGGTGCCTCGCCACGCAGGCCGCGTACAGTGGGGAGCGTCCAGCGTCACGGCCACGACGTAAACTCGACTCAGCGACGTCACGTCACCGCACTAACGCGTCGTCTCGCACTCCAGAGCAGCGAGGAGCAGCAGGGGTCGTGTACGTGAGTTTCCGGACGGTGAACAGGTGTGTGCATGGACACGTGCGTGGCATACGTCGCTGGTAGTGCGGCGCTGCGCATGCGTGTCCGGAACGCGCCTGCATGCGGCACCGCTGGCGATGCAGCGCAGCCTGGGTGCTTGCCGCGCTGCCGCGTGCGGGTGCCGCGTTCGAGGCGGATGTCAAGCGTGGCGCGACGTTGAGTATCAGTAGAGCGCGGCTCGATGTCGGCCGCGCGCCGCTGCCGTCGGACGACCTTGGTTGCGGGCCCACCTCCCAACCGCCTCCCTCGTTGTCTCCTTGGGCGCAGGAGGCGGCGCACGGGCGCGGCAAGACGCGGCTTGACAGCTTTCTTCTGTCACAACACGATGGTGTCGCGCCAGCGCAGCGATATGGGCGGGACCGAGCGCTCGAAACGCGCACGGCCCCAGCAGCACCAGCTGGAGGACATTCAGTGCGGGCGGGACGGTCAGCCCCTGGCCAGCGTCATCCGTACGCTGCCGCGCGAGTCGCGCATCGCGCTGGCGGCGACGTCGTCGGCGATGATGGCCGCGGTGCTGGAGAGCTGCGACGGCGCGAGGTGGTGGTCAGGGGACGCACGCAGCCCTCGTGCGGAGGAGAGGGTGGGGCGGACGGTGGCGCGGCGGCTGGAGGGGCGGGTGTCTGAGGAGACGAGGTCGGAGGTCGGGTGGGCGACGGGGCGCGGGGAGTGGGTGGTGTATCACCGCGCAGGCACTTGCGACGTGGGCGTGCCGTCCGCGGTGGTGCGCGTGGAGGCGGGAGATCGGGATCTGCTGGAGTCCCTGGTCCTGACGGACCCCCGCCCGCGTGAGCTGGCGTTGGCGGTGACGGCGGAGATGACGGGCCTGCGGTGCCTGAATGTGGCAGTGGATGTGCTGGACGTGGAGGGCGTGTGGGGGCGGGAGTGGCTGCCCGCGGGCGTGGCGGCGGGCATCAGGGAGCTGCGGGTGCGCGGGACGATGCTGGAGCGCGTGCCGGGGAGCATGGTCTCGCTCGAGGTCCTGGACGTCAGTTGTTGCGGACAGCTGGAGGGCGAGACGTTCCTGCCGGCGTCGAGCGCTCGGCGGGTGCGGGTGCTGACGGCCGACTACAGCAGTCTGCGGAGGGTGCCTGAGGGGATGTGCGCGCTGGAGGAGCTGAGTGTGTGCGACTGCTTCAGCCTGGACGAGGCGTGCCTGCCGACGTCGTCCGCGGCGGCGCTGCGGGTGCTGCGCGCCGACTTCAGCGATCTGCGCAGGCTGCCCGCGGGGATGCGGGCGCTGCGGGAGCTCCATGTGCGTTGGTGCAAGAATCTGCAGCCCGAGCTTGAACTGACGGGCGCTGCGGAGCTGCGGGTGCTGGATGCACACAGAACGGCGATGCGGGTGGTGCCGGAGGGGCTGGCGGCGCTGGAGGTGCTCGACGTGTTGGACTGCGAGTCGCTGGACGTCGGATCGCTACGCAACGCTCCCACGGTTCGCGTGCTGAGGGTGAACAGCGCTGGGCTGCGGAGGGTGCCGGAGGAGCTGACGGAGCTGGAGGAGCTGGGCCTGAGCGGCTTCCGGGGAGAGATCACGGAGCGCTTCTTCCCGGCGCGGATCTGTGCGAGGCTGCGTGGGCTGAGAGTCAGCCGGTGCCCTGAAATCAGGAGGGTGCCGGAGGGGCTGACCGCGCTGGAGGAGGTCGAGGTGGGTGGTTGCGAGCAGCTGGACGGCGAGGCGTTCCTGCCCGCGTCGTATGCTGCGAGGCTGCGGGTGCTGAGAGCCTCGCTCAGCCCCGTGCGGAAGCTGCCGAGGGGCATGGACGCGCTGGAGGACCTGGACGTGAGCGATTGCAAAGAGCTGGACTGGGAGGACGCGGCGGAGGTGCTGGACGGTGCTGCGAGGCTGCGGGTGCTCACTGCACGCAATAGCAACATGCGGAGGCTGCCGGAGGGACTATGCGCGCTTGAGGAGCTGGACGTTGAAGGGTGCGAGGATCTGACGGGGACGCTGGAGCAGAGCGTCGCGGGCCGTCTGCGTCGGTGGAGCGTTGCGGGGAGCGGGCTGGTGCTGCCGGCGGGGATGAAGAAGACGCGTACGCATCTCCGCGGGTGAGGTGCTTGCATTCATGCTCGCGGACGCCGACGGCCCGTGTGAGGCCCCGCATCATGGTCGCCCGCGTCGCGTCTGGCCCCACTCTCCTCTCCTGCCCCCCCGTCCGGGCGCCCTTGCGGCACACAGAGCCCCTGGGCCTGCTGTTGTTGCAGCCAAGCTCCCGTGTCGGCGCCTCCGACGCTGCGTCCGCTGACACGTCGATCATCGCTAGGGTCTGTGCACACATGTAAGCGCGCGTGCTGTTGCCCGGGCGGGTGAGTGAGCGACCGCGCTGCCCCACACGGACACGCCAGAAGCACTGCGGCGTCTGGGCGCCTACATCGCAGCACATCAACATGCACGCGACCGCGACCGCACGCGCTACCAGCACCGCGCACCTCGGACGTGCGCTTGCCCTGTGCGGCACCCGACGGCGTGCCGTGTCGATGACGCGCTGCGCCCTGGTGGCGGGGCTGTGCAGGCGGTACCGTCGAGCGTGGTGTCGTCCCTGGTCCGGACGCCGGGTGGGGTGCACGCGTACCGGTGACGGCGGCGATGTCGGGCCTGGGATGCGTGGACGCGCCATTGTGCCACGTCACACGTCGACGGCGAACAGGGCCGATAGCGTGGGGCGGGCGGGCGCTGACAGCCGACGACAGCAGCCTGCGGCGGGCCCCGAGGACATGGGTGCGCTGGGAGAGCTCGAGCTTGCGCTTGGACGAGCTGCGCCTCAGCGCGTCGTCCGCCGCTGCGGTGCTGCATCATGCGCGCACCGAGTTGCCGCCGTGCGTCTGACGCGAGCGCGACGGTCCTCGCGCCGCCATGTCGATCGAGGGGCGCGGACGTCGCGGGCCGACAGCTGCTGGCGCGGCAGGGACCGCTGCGGTGTCGCGACGGACATGGGTGTCGGGGTGGGGGGAGTGTCACGGTGCGGGGGCAGGCGGTCCGGGATGTGCGCAGGCGTGCGTGTATGGGCGAGGCGATGCTGACGTCGCTCCGCGGAGGCGGCGCGACCCGAGGTCGCGGCTGAGGCGCCAGTTGCAGGCTGGTTCACGCGGGTGCGGAGGGGTGCTGCGCGATGACTGTGTCGCCGGCGGTGCGTGCACGGGTAGCTCGACTGGCTGCCGGCGCCGAAAGTAGCGCTGCTTCCGCGGGTGGACCGGGGCGGCGGTGCGCGCATGCGGCGTGGGCGTTGACGGGGAGCGGGTCGGGTTGTGGGCGTGCGCGCGGAGCTGGGTGCTTGCAGCGCGCCTGATGGGTGGGTGAACGCCCCGGCAGGCGCGGGGGATGAGCGGACGACCGCCGGGGGCGAGCTGTTGCATCGCGCCGCACGCGCTGAGGCTCGCCGCCGTGCGCGACGCGAATCTGACGGTTCTGGCGTCGCGGTGCACGTTTGGTGATGACAGCATCGCGATCCGACCCCTCCGGCGGCGTCAGCGCCGCAGCGGGCGCGCGGCGTGGCGCGGGTGCGTCGGCCGGGCGGGCTCGATCGAGACCCGTGGGGTGATTTGAGACTGACCAGTGGGCCCTGCACATGGGAGCTCGCCCCGCGCCATCTGTAAGAAAGGCGGGTCGCCACGGCGGCTCGGCTCTCGCTCATCGTACGTTCATACCACGGCGAATATACCCGATCCCATCAGAACTCGGAAGTCAAGCGCCGTTGGGCTCGATTAGTACTGGGGTTGGGGACAACCTGGGAATCTCGAGTGACGTACGGTCATTCCAAACAGTCTGCCCTCCTTCAACTAGGGGGGCTGCACTGCACGCGCCCGCCGCCCACGCGCTCTAGCTAGGGGGGCTGCGCCGTGGGTGCGACAGATATCAAAATGTGCAAAACTCGTATATCAAAAGCAGACTATCTCTCAACTAGGGGGGCTACCGACGGGCCTCCCCGGGGCCCGCAGTCGAGGATCAATATCTAAAAGTGCGCTTCCTCGACTGGGTGAGTCGGCCGGCCTTGTGCGTTTTCGGCCGCCCGCGGGCAGAGCCCCCCGCTTCGGTGGGGTTATTTCAGACTGACCAGTGGGCCCTGCACATGGGAGCTCGCCCCGCGCCGTGTGTAAGAGGACGGCGGCGTGTATGAGATGTCACTTTTGCACTTGTCTCTGGTGTTTTCCCCGTGGCTTGTCTGTGTTTGTGTTGTGTGTTGTTGTGGTATCTCCCCAACCATATGATTAATTAGTTGGGAGGTGTGTCTCTCCGATATCTTCCCAACCATATGATTAATCAATCGAGGTTGTGTCTCTGCGATATCTTCCGAACCATGTGTTTGATCAATCGAGGTTTGCGTCGCATCGATATCTTCCGAACCATATGACTGATCAATCGAGGTTGTGTCGCATCGATATCTCCCGAACCATATGACTGATCAATCGAGGTCGTGTCTCTTCGGTATCTCCCGAACCATGTGTTTGATCAATCGAGGTTTGTGTCTTGGGTATATGCCGAGTGGTCCAACTAGGGGGGCCGCCCGTCTTGGGTGTCTGCGTCAAGGGCCGTCTGCACTAGGGGGGCTGCTGTGGTGCAACGCTGTATTTTGACGACGTTTGCGGTGCGGTGTGTGTGTGGGTGCAACGTGTGTATCTGGGTACGTTTGCGATGCGGTGTGTCGGTGACATGGGGGTGTGGGGGGTATGATCAGTCCCCCCGTTGCTTGGGGCCTTATTGGGTGAGGGTGCAGCAGTCTGCGCGCAGTTTCTTCGTTCGGTGCGGGTTCCGATTGGCAGTTCGACGACGGAGGTGCGCTGCGTTTCTCGCGCTGATCGATTTGCGTGGCGGATTGCGGGGGTTTGCGCGCGGTCCCGCGGTGTGCGCGCGGTGCACCTCGATACTCACGTTGATTTTCGACGTGTGTCCATCCCGCTGCCCCTTCGTGCAGGCATGCCTCCGGACGAGGCGACGGTCGCTGCGATCAAGCAGGTCGTCGGCGAGAAGGGCGTCGGCCCGTCCCGCGCTCTGCGGGAGCTGCGTGCGCATGGTGTCCACGTGACACGTGCCGACATCGAGGCCGTGTGCACCCCCGAGTGGCGTCCTCCTGCGTACCGCTACAACAGCGCTTCGGTCACCAGCACGGAGCCGCTGCAGGCGTGCCATGTCGACCTGCTCGACTTCGCGCAGAAGGGGTTCGAGTTCAAGTACGTGTTTGTCAGCGTGGACTGCTTCAGCCGGTATGCGGACTGGCTGCCGCTGTATGGCAAGTCCGCCCCGGAGCTCCGGGCGGCTCTCGACTGGTTGTGTGTCCTCCGCGGGTACGACACGGCGGTGATGGACGGCGAGAAGGGGGCGTGGTCGTCGGACGTGCAGGAGTGGCTGTCGACGACGCGGTGTCGGCTTGTTCGGGCCAAGCACGCTGTCTTGGTCGAGCGGCTGTTCGCGACGATCCGGAAGATGGCGACCCGGATCCGGCTGGCGCGTACCGACGTGGACTACCTGGGGAGTATCTTCACTGCTCTGGAGGAGTACAACCATTTGAGTCACGCGGCTTTGGGGATGACGCCGTTCGAGGCGCACCACGACCCCGGAGCGCCTCTGGCGATCGCGAACCGCGGGATGGTGAGTGTGCAGCGCCGGCTTCGGCGTGGTGTCAAGGGGTGCGAGTTGCCTAGCTACGAGGTGGGGCAGATGGTGCGTCTGGCGGTCAAGGCAACGACCACGCGGGAGAAATGGCGGAAGAAGACCGACCACAAGTGGACCAGGGAGCTGTTTGCCGTGGCCAGGCCGTGCAAGCGGCAGAACTACGTCACGGTGTGGTTCAAGGGGAAGCAGACCAAGTTCGACATCAGCGACGTGGCATCGTGGCGTGTGAGCCCCGTGTGAGTCAGCCGAACAGTTCGGCCGCGAGCTCTTTGAGTCGCTGGTCTTGTGAGGGCGCTTGTCGCTTGGGTGCCTGCTGCTGTGTTTCGTCGAGCAGGGTTGCCTCGAGTGCCTCGAGGTCCTTCATGCGCCGGTCCAGGGCCGCCTTGCGCAGCGCGATCTCCTTGTCGTGCACGGCGAGTTCCTGCTCCTTCAGTTCGTCCTCGACCGAGCGTTTCGCCTTCGTCTTGGATTTGATTTGTGCACGTTTGGTGCGTACCTCCCTGGCGCGCTCTAGGTTCGCCAGAAGCCTCGCGCGCTTCTCGTCCGCGGCGGTTTGCTGTGCAGTGGGCTCGTCGGACATTTGTATGCTCGCACACAATATATTTTCATCGCAGTCCGAGCAGTTTGTAGATGTTGAGGTTGACTGCCCGCTGGCTGTGCCACGCGGACTGGCTGGCCTGCTCTGCGGCGTTGAGGCGCTGTGACAGGATGTCCGCGGTGCTCGCGAGGCTTTGCTGGAAGTTTTCGCGCGTAGCCTGCATCGTGCCTTCGACGCTCTCGAACTGGCGGGCTGTCTCCTGGATGAACGAATCTATGCGCCCTTCGAGGCCCTCGAGCGTCTCGAGATCGATGTCGTCGAGGCGGTTCTCGAGGGCGGTGATCCGCTCCTCGTGCGTGCTGACGGCGTCGAGGCCGACCGTGTACGACTCGCCCCCCTTGGTCCACTTCAGGATGGGCAGCGACTTGAACAGGGTGTATTTGCCGAGGCCGCTGGTCTCGGTGAAGGTGAGGTCCCCGGTGGCCTGGATGCGCCACTTGCGGTGTTCGATGCCGAGACCGTCCGAGACGCGGAGCAGCTTCGTGTCGCCGTACCACACCTCGAGCCCCCCCGTGACGCGTTTCAGCTCGACCGTCTTGCCCGTGAGCTGGAAGCTGGGTTTGTCGATGAACAGCGAGTTGTACACCCTGTCGAGTTCGAACTCGCGCGTGAACCGTTCCTGCGCCGTCTCGGGGATGAGCCCCTGGAGCGTGCCGAGGGAGGCCCCCTCCAGGATGCCGTTGATCAGTCCCGTGCCCTGTATCTCGAACACCCGGGTGCCCCAGACGCGCACGAGGTTCGTGTCGGTGGCGCGCTCCAGGTCGTTCAGGGTCCGCCCGGTGTCCTCGCGCTCGTCGCCCTCGAACCCCGGCAGGTCCGGGATGCCGTCCGGGGTGGCTGGGGCCAGCCCCTTGAGCAGGGCCATGACAGCTGCTAGTACGCCTGCTATGGCCGTCGCGATCAGGGCGGTGGCGATTCCCGTCACCGCCGTGTTGAACAGGCCTTGGAGCACTCCTCTGGCGTCGTCCTCGGTGTTCGAGACCTTTCTGATCTCTTCTGCGCCCGTGAGCAGGTTCCGAACGCTGTACTGCATAGATTCCAGGTACGGCACGAAGCTCTCGATGTCATCACTGTCTCCGAACCCTACCGATGTGACTACGTTCTGGTTGAGGAGCTGTGTCGCCATGACCCGGGTGTGCCGCGCAAGGCTGAGCCCCGTCTCGGCCGTCCGCTGTAGGTCCGCGTTGACCCGGTTCTGGGCCGCCACGGCTTTCGTGGTCGCGTCAGTGGTTTGGCGTGTAGTCATTTATGTTCTACGATAAATGTTCACCCCAGCGCAGCCGGGTGTCAATCTGTACGATAGCAACGCTCCGTTTCCTTTTCTCAGGCCGGACGGCACGCTGAACGCGGTCGCGCACCGAGGTCCATACTGGTTCCTGCCCCCTGCCGAGGTGGTCGAGAACGCCGACAGCGCGGGGGCCTTCGCGCAGTTTGATCTCTGCCCCAAGTACTGTGGTGACCGGCTCCTGTTCGCCCCGAGCGGCGAGATGTACGTTCACGGCAACATCAATGCCGTCAGCGTCGAACAGAACGGTCAGATCGACAACGTCCTGCTGGGCGACGACTCCAACGGGGTGCCCGTGTACAGCAACCTGCCCGTGTACGAGAAGCGCGGCGCCGGGGTGGTGTACGACCACGCCGTCGACATGCTCGTGGCCAGCGAGTGTCTGTTAGGGCGGCACCAGATGACGCAGCCGGAGATCGACGAGGAGGTCCTGGCCGAGCAGCTGGCCCCGGGCGCGGGGCTGTTTAGCTACACGGCGCAGCGCCATCCGCACCTGTCGTTCTGGGACGCGACGTCCCCCTCGCGCACCGAGGTCCTGCGCGTCGACTACGACGGCGCAATCGAGGCCACGTCGATGACTATCAAGCACATCACGGCCGAGACCATCGATGCCAACGTCATCTCGTTCAACTCGAGCAACATCGCCAACATCTTCGGGAGCAACGTGGCCGATCTCAGCGCTTTCAGCAACCGTCTCGTCGCGGCCGAGAACGACATTGACGCGCTCGAGTCCTCCCAACAGACCCAGGACGGGACACTGGCTATTCACGGCACGCGCCTGACGGCCCTCGAGGGCAGCGACGCGTCGCAGGGCACCCGTATCGCGGCGCTCGAGGCCAACGACGTCGTGCAGGACTCGCGCCTGGACGCCCTGGAGGTCTCGACGGCAGACGACCCGGCCACGCAGCTCGACCTGTTCTGCCGGAACCTGACGGCCTACGGCGAGGTTGCGGAGATCCCGCCCGACTCCTTCGCCCTCGACGCGGGACGGCAGGCCACCCTGGACGCGCGCGAGGCCCGCGATGTGTCGCTTCTGGTGTACGAGGAGAGCAGGGACCGTCCCGCTCTGGTTGTTGAGACAGCTGGGGGCGGAGACGTTTTGGTGGTCAATACCCGGGACAGCCTGCCTCGCATGCAGGTGGTCGGTGACGTGCACATCGAAGGCAACCTTTCGGCCACCAACTACGATTTGCTCGAGAACTACACGTGCAACCTGACGTTCGAAACCATTCCGTCGGACGGTCTCCGTGACGATCTGATCGAGTACATCGATCCAAACAGCGTGCCGATCCACGTCGGGTACGGCCTGGTCTCCGACGCGCCGGACGTGGTGTCGACGATCGGCCTCGACCCAGCGGTCAACGGCTTGTTCCTGCAGCCATGGTCGTTCGACCCCGTGGCCGACGCGGCTGGCTTCCGTGCGTATGTCGAGCCTCGCACGACCGCTGCGTACTCGCGCGACGATCCCAGGGTTCTGACGCAGGGGTTCGCGGACGAGCACCTCTGGACAAACGACCATGCAGGCACGAACGAGCACCTGCTGGAATTCCGCGCGCGGTCGGCGCTGAGTCTGCAGTTCGACTACAGCCAGCCGGTCATAAGCACGGTCATGAGACGAACGTACGACCAGGCCACGCGTCGCTGGTCGATCTGGACGCACACGCGCGTCGACGACGACGTCATGCAGATCGTGGTGTCTTCGGGCGATCTGACGGACTTCAAGCTCCAGGTCGTCGCGCCGCAGGGCACGGCTGTCGCGGTCACTGATCTGACGAGCGTCGGCACCACGTTGCGGACGACCATGCTCGACGAGCTGCGGTTCACACGATTCAATGATCAAGACCGTCTTGTCGTCACCCTCGGCACCGACAGCAGCGAGCTCGTCACGGGCCTCGCCCCGCAGGGCGCTCCGCCGAGCGGGGGCGGGACCCTGGAGCAGATCGCGGACATCATCGTGCCGTGGCGGTGGTTTGGAACAGATCTGCAGACTGGTGCCCTCACAAGCAACGTATACAACCTGGCCGACGGGGACGCGACCAGCAACGCGCTCGTCACGGTCCGCGCGGCCCTCGACAGCAAGCTTGAGACGGTTTCTTGGACGGATGTCACGGGTAAACCTATCGCGTTCGCACCAAGCGCACACACACATTCCTCGACAGAGATCACGGGCCTGCAGACCGAGCTGGACGCCAAGCTGGAGACCGTGTCGTGGAGCGATGTGCTGGGGAAGCCCGCGACCTTCCCGCCGAGCGCACACACGCACGCCGTCGGCGACGTCACTGGCCTGTCGGTCGAGCTGGGCGGTCTCGATGTGCGGCTGACCGCCGAGGAGGACCGGGACACCTACGACGAGCTCACGGTCGAGACAGAGCTGACCGAGGGGGTCGACCTGGTGAGCCCGTCGGAGTACGCCTACGTCGATGCGCTGCCGATCGCCAGCCTGCTGGTCGACGAGGACGCCTTCTCGCACCCGATGATCCTGTGCCGGCGCGCCGGTGCGACGCGGTTCGCCGTGCACCCGCTGGGGCGCGTGGTGGCCGAGTTCTCGGGCGATATCGTGGCCGACAACGTGAGCTACACCGGGCACTTGCACGCGGTCGGCGACATCACGGGCCTGCAGGCCGCGCTCGACGCGAAGCTGGAGGTGGTGACGTGGGAGGACGTCGGCGCGAAGCCTCTCGAGTACCCGCCCCTGACCCACACGCATACCTGGGCCCAGGTCACGGGCGTGCCGTCGCAGTTCCCTCCGGGTGCCCACACGCACGACTGGACGGACATCACCGGCACGCCAGTCACTTACAAGTCGGACTGGAACGACATGATCAACCAGCCGTCGACGTTCCCTCCCAGCGCACACGCACATTCCTGGACAGACATCACGGACAAGCCGACGAGCTTCCCGCCCACGACGCACGTCCACGCCTGGACCGAGGTCACGGGCAAGCCGTCGACGTTCCCTCCCAGCAGCCATACGCACGCCCAGTCGCAGGTCACGGGCCTGGAGGCCGACCTGGCGGACATCAACGCCCGGATCAAGATGTACGAGACCTCGCACTTCGGGTGGATCGACGGGAACGACCACTATCCCGATCTGGATGCGTTGTACGGACAGTTCGGCCTCGCGACGGGGCGGTGGTACCTGTTCGAGCTGATGGTCAGCGGCGAGCAGTCCTCCGGGATCGTCTGGAGCCGGTTCGACGTCGCTCTGCGGTTCGTCCTCAGCATATCGCACGGGTACGTGCCCGAGCGGGCGGACGTCGTCCGCGTGTACGACCACAACGGCCAGCAGGAGATGTTCAAGGAGGCCGATCCCCGGGATCCCGGCAACATCGAGCGCCTGAGGTTCTGGGCGAACGTTGGAGGTTTCGGAACGGCCACGGTGCACTTTCGCTGGCGCATGGCGTCCTAATTTCCTCCCCGTACTGAAAATGAAGATCATCAACCTCGCGTCTGGCCAGAACACCTACAGCTCCGGCCTGTACGTCACGGGCACGTCGAACCTCGAGGTCGGCACCAACACGCTCGTCGCGGACCCTGCCCCGGGTGGATTCGTCGGGATTGGAACGAATGCACCAGCAGTCCTGCTGGATGTCGCGGGAACGGCCCAGGTCTCGGGCACCCTGACCGCCGGGGACGAGGTGGCGGTCTCGAACACGGAGGGTGCGTCGGGGGTCGCCAAGACCCTGGTGTCGGGCTATTTCTACGCTGGGACTCCGGATGGGTGGGGCGATATCAGAGCAGTCGACGAATCCGCGCAACTCGGGGGCGTGTTCCGCGGCGGTCACACCCAGAACGTCGGTGCTTGGGCCGAGATCGGGACGACGGCAGTGGGCGGAAGTTATTCAAAGGTCCTGCGGTGCATCGCGGGACAAGTCGGCATCGGGACAGACAGCCCCTCGGCCACCCTGGACGTCGCGGGCCAGTGCGTGGCGACCAACCTTTCGAGCACGGCGACAGGATCGCTCACGGGCACGACCGTGTCGATTCCGTGCGAGATCCCCGCGGGCTTCGCGTATGCCACCGTGCGCGTGCAGCTGCACTTCGCTGGCGACGAGCTGGACGTCATGCTGAACGCGACAAACACCAACAACTCGACGGGCATAAACGAGCGCTCGATGTACAAGACGAACCGAACCACGGCTCATGAGGTCATGGACGTCGGCTCCGTCACTGGCCCAGTGAAAATCGCAGACTTCACGTGCTCTGGGTGCGGCGGCCACTTCAAGGTAGAGTTCAACAAACCGAGTTCGGGACGAGTCAATATGCAGATCGACGGTGCCTACACCAGGCACATGGTTGGCGTGGAGCGGGTCTTCGGGGCAGCCCTCTTGTATGTGCCGAACGTGAAGAGCCTCGAGCTCACCACGAGCACCGGGGTGCCCACCGTCACGTGCGACTACTCTGTGACGTTCCACCGATGAAACCTGATGCAGTATAAATGCCGAAACACGCCGACACCGACTACCTGAACTGGTTCCCCAGACAGCGCGGCGCGTACCGCACGTCCGCGTTCCTCAGCCAGCTTGCGTACCTGGACAACCCCGACCTCGCCGACACGCTGGCGCGGTCCCGCGGCATCTACATCGACCGCGAGCTCAGCACGGACGAGGTCCTCGTGGCTCGGCAGGCGGGGAACAAGGACGTCATCGTCGCCCTGCGGGGGACCGAGCTGTCGAGCGCGCGCGACATCGTCGCGGACCTGCGGGTCGCCACGGGGTCTCGCAACGGGTTCCGGGACACAGCGAGGTTCCGCGAGGCGGACGACATCGTCCAGCGCGCCCTGGACAAGCACGGGGGGTCCGGCGGCACCCTGTGGGTGACGGGCCACAGCCTGGGGGGTTCCCTGGCGCGCGAGATCGCCCGGGGGCGCGAGGGCGCGAGAGGCGTGGTTTTCAACCCTGGCACGGGAACCGGCAGGGCGGGCGCCGCAGCCAAGGGAGTGAAGACGTTCCGGATCGAGGGCGACCTCGTCTCGAGGATGTCGCGCACCAACACGACCACGCTGCGGTATCCGGGAGACGGGCGACCGGGCGCACTGGCCAGCCACGGAATACAGAATTTCGCTACCTAAGCAAATGTCGGGGAACAACACGCAGACCCAGAACGTCACGATCAACGTCGGCGGCGGCGGGGGACACCCCATGGCAAGGGCAGACACCGCAGGCGGCCTGATCTCGCGGAACATGCGGCCGGACATCCTGAGGCCCGAGACGCTCGTGCACGACGTCCGGGTGCGGGACTCCCTCGCAGCGACGACGCGGGAGCCCGTTCGCGACGACGCCGACATGGCCGACGACGACGACGACGACGACGACCCCCAGGACACCGGACCCAAGATCTCGTTCGACCGGGGCACGCAGGCTGGCCCCGCGCGGGGCGTGGATGCGGGCACGGACGCGCCGGAGACCAAGCCCCGGATCCGTTTCGACCGGGGCACGCAGGCGGGCGAGGCCGGGCCGTCGCGAGCCAGATCGACCCAGGCGGGGCCCGGCGCGGTCGGGGTCGACGCGGAGACCCAGGCGGGGCCCTCGATGACCGACGCGGCCACGGACGCCCAGACCAGGTCCCAGGAGGTCGCGGGCACGCAGACCATCCCGCTCCTGCGTCTCGAGCGGCAAAGGGGCGACCGCGAGAAGGCCCGGAAGGCGCACGAGATGGTCGGCGACGCGGGCTTCAACGGCCCTTGGAAAAAAAAGCCACCTGAGTGAGCAGAAGAAGCATGCCAGGCAGCAGGTGGCGGCACCTGCGGTATCAGAACGTCCACGTCGCCGACGACCCTCCGCGTCCCCGCGTCCCGGGCATGCCTCCGCTCGGTGGGTCCTGCGCCCTGCTGGGCGTGTGCTGCGCGAAGCGGGGGGGCGGCAAGACCTCCTTCCTGCTCGACTTCGCCGACAAGCTGCTGCGGTGGGGGCAGGTCGACCACGTGTACTGGGTGTCGCCGACCTCCGTGTACGACGCCAAGACCAAGCACTTCGCGGAGCGGCACCCGGGCCGGGTCGACAGCATCGGCCAGCCCTCGCAGGCCCTCAGGACGTTCCTGGCGGACCAGGAGTTCAGGCTGCACCGCCGGGACGTCGAGAGGCGGTACGCGGAGGTGTACGACCACTGGATGAGGCACGGCGAGAAGCGCCTGGACGATGAGGGCATCGAGATGCTGATCGCGGAGGACTTCCGGGAGCCCGACCGGAAGCTGGCCGACGTCAAGCCGCACGTCCTCGTGGTGTTCGACGACTGCGTGGGCAACGCCGACGTGTACCCGACCTCGAAGAACCACCCGATGATCAAGGCCGTGCTGCGACACCGCCATCTGGGCATCAGCTTCCTGTTCGCCGTGCAGCGGTGGGTCAACTCGGTGCCGAAGACGATCCGCCAGAACGTCAACTGCTACGTGCTGTCCGGCGGGTTCGCCGACAGGGAGAAGCAGATGATCGCCGAGGACCTCAGCGACCGCCACAACGACGAGGCGGCCATCCTGGACATGTACGAGCGGGCCACGCAGGGGCCCTTCGACATGCTCGTGCACTTCGCCGAGCACGAGAGCGTGAAGTTTCGAAAAAATTTAGACACCCCTCTGTAAAATGTCGTTCTTCGCGAGCGCCCCCGAGGAGCCGCGCGCGCCCAGGGACAAGATCGCGCGCCAGGTGATCGTCTGCTCCAAGGACAGGGACCCCGGGGGCGCCCTGGGGCAGTTCATCATCAGCCCCCCCGTGTCCACCATCGAGCTGGACGGGGAACACGCCGTCATCCTCGAGTCCGTGAGTCCGCTGGTCACCGCCGCGGGGGACCTCAACCTGTACTTCACCCTGGAGATGTCGTGCGTCGACTACATCCAGGGCTGGGACACCCGGACGGGCACCAACAGCAAGGTCATCGGGTACATCGTGGCGGGCGAGGGGCACCCGATCCCCAGCCGGGCCCACGCGGTGGTCACGGGCACGGCCCTCAACAACCCGATCACCTTCACGCTGCGGAACCGGAACGGCGCCATCCCCACGGACACCGACCTGTCGGAAAAGGACTGGATGCTGGTTCTGAATTTCGTTCCGCTCTGAAAAAATGGTCTGGCACGTCCACCTGGACTCGCGCAACGGCACCCGCGTGGGCGACCGGTGGACCTTCGGCGTCGCGCGTCTCCTGCGTCTGGGCAGGGCCAAGAAGCTCGACGTCTACCTGTCGTCCCTCCACATGCTCGACGTCGGCAACGCCCCGCAGGTGGGCGTCCACGCCTCGTTCGCCACCAGCTACGACGGCGACTCGGGCGTGCGCGACCTCCTGGCCAGCGTCCCGACCCTGGGGTGCCCCCGCCTGGTGTACCAGGACCCCTGCGGCGCGTCCATGCGCCAGACCGTCCGGCACAGCGACCTGGACTTCTTCGACGTCTGGTTCGAGGACCTGGGCTCGGGCGAGGCCGTCACCACCGACTGGTTCCTGACGCTCAGCGTCCAGCCCACCGACCACACCCAGCAGTACCTCCAGTTCATCGCCAGATCGCAGATGTGAGAGTTTTTTTTGTCGCGCGGGGTCAGAATCAAAATGTCCGGTCTCATCAGCGTCGCGCGCCAGTTCTCCGGGGAGACCCGCCGCAACGTGGCGACCGTCTCCCCGATGTCGGCCTCCACCGCCACCTCGGGCGACTCCATCGTGTTCCGCCTGCCCAACACGGGATGGATCGACCCGCAGGGCCTGTCGATGGCGTTCAACGTGAACGTCCCCCAGGCGTCGAAGATCACGGGGTCCACCGCGCAGCTCTTCTCGCGCGTCGACGTCATGGTCAACGGTCAGCCGCTGTCGAGCATCCACGACCACGCCGCGGCCGCGCAGATGGAGATGCTGATGCGCCACGACAAGTCCAGCGCCAACCGCCCCTTCGCCAACCAGGAGGACCACACCCTCGCGGGGGGCGTCGACACCGCCCTCGCGTTCACGGACTGGCTCTGCTTCGACGGCATGGGGCTGCTGTGCATGGACCTCATCGGCGAGATCACCATCGAGCTCCGCGTGCGCGCCGACGCGGGCAACACGGCCGTCGTGCCCGACGGCGCGACCGCCAACGCGTCGATCTCGATCAAGAACATCAAGCTGCACGTCCCGACCGTGTCGGTGGGCCGCGATGTGACCGACGCTCTCATCCAGCGCGCCAGCAGCGAGGGCGTCTCCCTGGCGTACACGCGCCACACCAGCTTCGAGTTCCCCTCCGGCGCGACCGAGCTGCAGTTCTCCCTGAACAGCGCGTCCGCGGACGCCATCCTGATGGGGCGCCGCCCCGTCGACTACGCGGCGGCCAAGGACACCGGGGCGGGTCGCATCAAGGAGCTGTACGCGGGCGCTCTGACCACCTTCAAGTCCACGAACGCGAACGACCAGACCTCGCTCGACATCGCGGGCACCACCGTGCACCAGTACCGCGCCGGGCCCGAGGCGATCGCCCAGGCCAAGTGCCTGCATCCACGCGCGCTGTCCATCCCGACCAGCGCCAACTACTCCAGCGCGAGCGTTTTCGCGTTCCCCCTGTCGCTGCCCATGCTCGAGTCGTTGTCGGGCCTCGACAGCAAGGACAACAACCTGCCCTGCGTCCTGCGGACGGCGAACGCCAGCGACGAGCGCCCGGTCGTGGTCGTGAGGTCGTCGGCCGCCATCGTGTGCTCGGGCGGGCGCGTGACCAGCCTGCGGTACTGAAAATGAAAATTTGTCATGCAACTGTCAGAACGAAAATGATCGCCGCCAACCGCCCCGACTGGGTCCACAACATCACACGCGACCGCCACGCCTGGGACTGGGTGCCCAAGGAGAGGGACCTGAACCTGGCTCCCGGCTCGCGGCTCGCGTACGCGAACCGGCTGAGGCGGCGGATCTTCTTCGGCAGGCCCAGCAACGACCCGACCCGCCGCCACTCGCCGTGAGGAGGGACAACCCTTCCTCGACCGCCTTTTTTTTTCGCTCACCTCGCTGCCTGCTCGTTCGTCTGCACCGCCGCCCTTCCGAGGTTGCAGACCTCGCAGCTGGCCACCACGTTGTCGACGGTGTGCAGCCCGTCGGTGTCCAGGCGGTCCAGCACCGTGTTGTGGGGCTGCAGGACGGTGCCGCACGCCCAGTGGCACTGGAACCTCTGGCGCTTGACCATCTCGTAGGCCGCCTTGGGGGTGACGTAGCCGGCCGGGAGCGCGTCGCCCATGCCGCGCCGCTCGCGGTCTTGGGACTTGTAGCCCGGTATGCGGGCGGCTAAAGCCAGGTAGTGCAGCAGCGCGATCCGGTCGTCCTCGCACACCCGGATCTGAGCCAGGTCGTACACCCTGCTGATGGCCGTCCACACGAAGTGCGGGTCGTGCATGTGCTTGCTGTAGTGGAGCACGACCAGCCGCCGCGTGCGCTCGCCCTGGACCCGGTAGATGGTCGTGTTGTGCTCCGGGTCCGGCACGCAGCGCAGGAGCAGGTCCTCGTGGGAGATCGCGACCTGCTCGTCCTCCTCGTTGTGCACGCGGAGCTCCCCGGGCTCGAACGTCGCCGCGACGGAGCCGTCCCGGACGTCGAGGCGCAGGACCACCGACTCGTACGCCGTCAGCTGCGTGTTGACGGGCAGGTTCCCGATGCGCCCCCGCGTCATCCAGGTGTGGCGGGCGGGCTGGATCGTGCCGCCCGAGGTCTTGTTCACCAGCGACGCCGCCGTGGCGTTCATCTGGACGATGTTCAGGGTGTCCTCGTACGCGAGGGCCACCTGGTCGATCGACAGGCGGGGGAACTCCTCGAGGACCGCCATGCTCTCCTTGGGGCCCCGGTGGAACAGCCTGTCCTTGTACGCGTGCATCGTCTGCTGCATCTGCGCGCCCATGGTGTGGCTCCCGTCGAGGGCGATCAGCCGCCCCCCCTGGCACAGGCTCTTGACGGCCGTGACGTGGTCCTCGAGCCCCAGCGCGCACCCGGGGGGCTTCGCCTGGTACGGGTCGCCGTTGGCCAGCACGCGGTCGTACCTGTCGGCGTGGAACACCAGGCGCGCGAGGATGTCGGGCGGGATCGTGAAGGCCTCGTCCACGATCAGCGTGTCCACGCAGGGGGGACGCCGCCACTTGTGGCCCAGGGAGCCGGGGGTGATGCCCACGCCGAGCAGGTAGTGGCACGTCACCGCGTGGGGGAACCCGAGCTTGCGGAACCTCCGGGCCCGCGCGTTGTCGGACACGGCCACGACGCACCGCGTCCTGTCCGCCCCGGCGAGCTCGAGGGTCATGTGCGTCTTGCCGCACCCCGGCAGGCTGCCGAGGATCAGCACGCGGTCGCCCGGGCCGTCGGGGGCGGGGTCGACCCACGACCGGAAGTCGGGGTCCCTGTCCAGGAGGACCGGGCGGAAGGTGAACACCCTGTGCGTCACCTCGGCGCGCGTCTGGAAGCTCAGGCACCGCTTCCTCGTCGACTCCGCGACGGCGGGGCCGTCGTGGTACACGCAGTCGGTGCAGATGGCCAGAGGCCGGAGGCCCTCGCTCCGGACGAGCCGCAGGATCAGGCTCACGTTGTAGGCGTTGCGCGCCAGGATCTGCTCGTGGAACGCCCTGGCGGTGCGGACCGAGCGCGTCAGCCTCGACAGCACCGCGTAGGTGTGTCCGTGCCGACCGAGGGGCAGGAGGCGGAGCTTGTCGTGCGCGTGGTTGAACTCCGGACAGCTCTTGTGCAGCGCGGAGATCCATTCCGAGTTCTCGGTGCGGACGATCGTGCGACGCCCCTTCACCTTCCGGCGCCGCATGCACCCGATGGCCTTGTTCACCACGTCCTTGCGGAACAGGTCGGAGACCTCGCGGTCCCTGTACAGCTCCTGGACGAGCCCCGCGGCGTCGTTCAGCACGCGCGCGTACGGTCTGAGCACGTGGGTGATGGGCCCCTGCGGGGGGAACTCGCGGAGCGCGTACCCCTTGACGCGGCTAACCGTTCCCGTGAAGAGGGACGGGTACTCCTCGAAGTCCCTCTGCGTGGGCGCGACGAAGTACCACGCGTCCGGGTCGATGTCGCTCCCGGCCTCGTACGGCTCGGGGCGGCTCCAGGGAGCGAAGATGTCGACGCGCGTCTCCTGCCGGAGGGCCGTCGTGTAGGCCCGGCGGATGTCGATGCCCCGGCACCCGGCCAGGTCCTGGTGGTCCGTCAGCCTGCCGTGCGGCAGGTACTGGCTCGTGGCGTCCAGCAGCTTGCACAGGGGGTCGGGGATGTGACACATCTTCTCCGGCGCGAGGAAGCACCGCATGATGCGGCGGGTCCACTGGTGCTGCCTCTCGTTGGCGACGTCGACGGTCTCGACGCAGTCGGGGCTCGCGCTCACGAACCTCAGGAGGTTGTCGCCCTTGCGGAACGCGATCTCCTGGACCGCGTCGCCCGTGGGGAACAGGGTGGCGCGGGGGTGGACGCGCAGCTCGTCGATGCACCTGTCCAGCAGGTCGACGAGCGGGCCGTAGAACAGGGCGGTCCCGTGGGCATCGGGGTCCCGCAGGAGCGCGACCGCCTCCTCCCAGCTGCCGCCGAAGTCCAGGTCCGGCCCCTTGCGGGACGGCGTTTTCCGCGGGCGGTGGCACTGGCCCGTGGGGCACGCGAAGGCGTGGTCGTCCCACACGTACAGCTGGACCCTGGACCGCGCCCGGTTCCCGCGCGCGCTGCAACCCTGCTCGAACTCGCAGACCACCCTGTCCAGGGGGTCCCGGACGACCAGCCTGATGTTGTTGCCGTTCAGGAACGCGGCGACCTCGGGCAGCGTGGCTGGTCCGCGGCGCGACGCCAGCTTGTTCAGCCACTTGGCGCCCAGCTTCTTCCGGGTGGCCTTGTCCAGGTCCGGGTTCCAGTCGGCGTCGAAGAAGTCCCGGAGGTCGTACCGCAGGGCGTCCCACATGCAGCTCCGCTCGTCCGTCACGCGGCAGGGGCGCTGCAGCCAGTCCGACACGCTGTGGGTGTCCAGGAGCAGCGCCGTGCCGTGCACGCCCGCGCGCGTGAACGTCGCGTTGAGCGCCTGGATGAGCAGGTCGCCGTTGGAGTTGGCCACCACGGGCATGTTGAGGCGCTCGAACCGCATGTGGAGCACCCCGGAGGCCCCGTCCCTGTCGTAGATGTTCAGGAGGGCCTGCGCGGTGTCGCTCAGGCGGACCGCCAGACGGACGGTGTCGAACGACACGTGCTCGCCGACCTCGATCCACTCGTCGATGGTCGCGGACTGGGCGAACCACCTCGGCACGATGACGTAGACGAGGCGGTCGACCGCGCGGTTGACCCCGGGGGCGTCCGGGGACTCCCCGTCCGGGGCGGACCGGAACCGGATCTGCACGCCCGTGACGAAGTCGCGCACGGACCACGGGTTGTTGCCCTGCAGGCGGTCGGCCAGGTCCTCGCGCAGGAACGCGAACTCGTTCACCAGCTCCCGGGCGCGGGCCAGGTCGACCTGGCCCCCGAACACCCTGTCGCCCAGCGGCTCGTGCAGGTCCTCGCGGGTCGAGAGCAGCTCCCGCCAGGTCCGGTCCGCCAGCCGCTGCCGCCGCGTGGCGAAGGGCACGCCGTCGCCGCCGACCTGCCGCAGGAGCCTGCGCGAGACGTAGGTCGTCGGGTTGCCCGAGGCCGTTGACCTCGTGAGGGGGAGGACATTGGTGCGCCAGAACTCCAGGTCGCCGTCCAGGAAGGCGTCGACAAACTGGTTGGCAGTTTCTTCTTCATCCATTTCTGATGGGAGGGTGGGAGAAAAACTGCGCCAAAAAAGTCACACCACCGTGGGGGTTTTTCGCACGGGGAGGGGCCCCGATGTGTGTCTGCTGTTTTTCGCCGAGACCGAGGGGAGTCGGATTTGCCAGGCTCACAGTGTCCCGGCGGGGGGGGCGGGGTCCGCCCTTGAGGCCTCCTGCTGCTGCCTGACAAACTCGGCCACCGGGTTGACCCCGCGTTCCAGCTCGTCCCTAGGTTGCGGACGGCTGCTCACACCGCGTCGCCTCCCTGGGGGGCCTCGTGAGACTCGACCATGGGTACGGGCTCCAAGCGCAGCCAGCACAGCCGCATACCGTCGTATGGAAATCCCACGCGAGCAAAATCTTCGTAGCAAGCGATTTCGTATGAGTAGGTGATCTCCCACGGCTTCCGGCACAGGTCCAGCGCCTTCTTGTCCGTGACGGTGAGTGTCTCGTAGTCGTGCCACTTGAACAGCACGCGGTTGCGGAAGAAAAACTTGGGCAGCACCGCGTCCACGACCGTGTCGTACTCGATTGGCCTAAATTTGTAGACCCAGTCGCCGACAGGGTCGCTGCAGTAGCCCCTGCCCCGCATGCAGAAGCGGATGCGCACCGGGGTGACGTACTCGCGCAGGCGGTACGGAACTCTCATTTCGTCCTTTGTGACGACCTCCAGGGTGGCCTCCAGGCGAGCGACGAGGTCCTTCTGCAAAAACTGAAACTGGTTGACGAGGTCCACGCCCCGCTCCGGGTCGAGTTCGACGGCGAGGTGGCCCCCGAAGACCCTGTCCGCCAGGGGCTTGTGCAGCTCCTCGTGCGCGTCGATCAGCAGCCGCCAGGTCCGGTCCACGAAGGCCGCGTGGCGCCGCGGGTCACGCGGGAGCGGCAGACCGACCGCGTCCATCACGTTCCTGAACCAGAAATCCAAATCGCGGCTCAGGAAAGCTTCGAGGTAGACCGTGGTATCCATTTTTTCGCCGTGCAAGTTTTTCGCCGAGACCGAGGGGAGTCGGTTTGCCAAGCTCACAGTGTCCCGGCGGCGGGGGCGGGGTCCGCCCTTGAGGCCTCCTGCTGCTGCCTGGGGGTGCACGGGTTGACCCACACCCCGCGTTCCATCTCGTCCCGGGCCCGGCGCACCGCGTCGGCCACGCGTCGATGCAGCTCCAACGGGTCCGGGGACATGATGCGCGACTGCGACAGCGACTCGCGCATGAGCTTGGCGCTCTCCACCGCCACGACCGGGTTCATGGGCGGGTCCCGCCGCGAGAAGGTGATCTGGCCGCGGTAGCAGTACTTGACGACATCCGCCCAGTCCAGGCTGCGCCTGGCGGCCGCGAAGCCCACCTGGCCGTCGGCGTCCAGAATCTGCGTCACATACCGCCTGCGGCGCCAGCAAGCACGGGGAGTGTCGAGCATGCGCGCTTTTTGCTAGGGGTGTGCGAAAAAAAGGATGCGCTTCCGGCACGCACCGTTCGCGGTCCCTCGCGGCCTCGCGCCTTTTCGCAGGCGACTCGTAAGGCATGGCGGAGTTTGCGTCTGACGCGCCCCCTGACCTCGCATGTGGTATCGTACCCTCGGTCCACGGGCACTTCCGCACCCCCTCTGACCACTGTTCGGGTTTCGGTGACCGCCCGCGAAAAACGAAAGGGGTGACTTCGGCGTGTCACTGACACTGCGAGTGACGAGATGGTGATGAAAAAACAGGACAAGCACGCGATCAAGCACCGCAAGTCTGCGGGTGTACGAGTGACGAGGAGCACGACGAGGAGGGCCAAGGAGGCATACCGCCGCGAACTGCGCAAGTACTGCTCATCCATCCACCTGGAGATCGACATGCGGGCATTCCAGGCCGACGTGAAGGAGATCACACGGGACATCGACCCCGAGCTGCGCATGCAGTCTTCGGCCATCCTGCTGCTGCAGGAGGCTGCCGAAGCTTTCTTGATAGCTAACTTTGAACGCAATGGGTAGCGGCTCTACCGCTTGCGCGACTTCCTCCGGGGTGGCGCCGCTTGTGAGACAGAGCAGGAGCCACTCCTTGGCGTTTTCGAACAGCGCGCCGTGCTAAGGCGGCTGTCAAAAATCGGCGTCAAAATTTGTCAGCTGTGGAGGACCAGCAGTTGAGCCTCCTGTGGCGCGCCATGTTCCGCTTGGAGACGAGCTTGCCGCACTTGGCACAAGGAACCCGAGAGCGCCTGACTTTTTTCTCGGCAGCGACATGCTCCGCGGAGCCACGGAGACGCGCCTGGCGCTGCCTCGCGGCCAGGCGCCTTTTCGCAACCGACTTGTGAGGCATGGTGGGTCTGCAACTGGGTCTCACATCTCTTCTCCGGCGCCAACGACGGGCAAACCCTTCCGCGACCGGCTTTTTTTTGGTCACGTGGATGCTGAGTTGTCCTCTGAGTTGTCCTCTGAGTCCGCTTCATAGTGTCTGATTCTCAACCCAACGCCGTGTCCTGCCGGGAGTCTGATTGTCATCCGAACGTCAGAGCTGCTCTCGCCCACCGCGGCAAACATATCACGGAGTTTCTGGTAGATGTGTCCGAACACCACATACATCGAGTTCGACATGCCGTCCGGCCCCCCCGCCGAGTCCTCAGCAACCGCACCTTCGAAGGCGGCGACGACCGCTCCCGCCCCGCCAGCGAACCCCCCCGCCGCCATGATGGCCTCGGACGCACCCTCCCCCTTGGCCACATCGAAAATCCGCCTCGCCACCTCCGAGTGGTGGCCACGATCGCGCAAGGCGCGACGGAAGGCGTCGCACAGGGCGTCGAGATCCTCACCCCCCGCGCCATCGTTGCGATTTGTCGCGCCAGTATCGGGACAAGCGCCAGTGCGCTGCCCTGCGGGGGGAGGCGTGCGCTGCCCCGACGGAGTAGCAGAGCGCTGCCCTGCGGGCGAAGGCGTGCGCTGCCCTGCGGGCGAAGGCGTGCGCTGCCCTGCGGGCGAAGGCGTGCGCTGCTGCCCCGCCGGAGAAGCAGAGTGCTGCCCCGCCGGAGAAGCAGAGCCCGCTCCGGAAGGCCCAGCGCCGAGCTGCTGAAACCCACCGCCTCCATCGATGACACGCCGCTGCATCATGTCGTTGATCGCATCGTTAAAGTGGGCCGGGTTCAGGTTCAGGAACATGTCCGGATCGGCCTGCACCATGGCGGCCGCGAGCTGCGACTTGGCCTTCCCTCGCCCCTTCAGGATGAGCTTGACCCAGGTAGGCCGTCCAACCGCCGTGTACACGCTGACGCGCTCGACGTAGTTGCGGCGCAGAAGCTTCGCGCAGTCGTAGTCGGCGCGCACACGCAGCAACCAATGCGTGCCCGTCTTCTTCTTGACCTGGTAACCACCCCACAACCCCACCGACGGATTGATCAACGCGACAGCTGCGTCGACGACCCGCTTATTGTGCGCGGGATCACCGAGTTGCTGTTTGACTCTCTCCTGAATCTCCGGGTTGAGGGCCTCGGCGAGGCTCTGAGTATACTGCCGCTGGATGGCAGCATCCACGTCCATCGGTTCAGCCAT